ATGGTTGTTGAGAAAAAGCATTGTGAACGTTCACTCAAAGCTGAGATGGTGGCCTGTGCGCAACTGCGCGAACAGACTTTTGTCCTGTGACTGTAGTGTAGATAATGGCACGTTGTCAAGTCTTGATACGCCGCCAGCATCTCTCAGCACACCTTTGCCACATGATCAGGACACAGTTTTAAGGTGCGATAGATCATAGATATGGTGTCAGACTTGTTTTAGTATCAGTGCTTTACACAAAGAGCGGGGGTCTGGTGATCTTGCCCTTTGGTATGCTTTGCTAGACGAATTTTAATGCAAGACTACAGTACTTCTGATCAAGGCGTGTACCGCCTCGCTGTATATGTAGAGGCACTATGTTGTCTATAGCTAGCGTATGGTGTGTGAATAAGGATGTGTAGGTGGTGATATTGTTAGTGATGGTTGTTTTCCGGGAAAGTAAGGCACAGTCTGCTCTTTCCTCTCCTTCTTTGGGGGCCGACGCGGCGTGGATATAGTGTTAGGATCTGACGCATTGCTCCCAAAGGAAGCACTCAAAATCCGTTGTATGGTGCACGTGGGTCTCCACAACACTGAAAGCGCAACCTCTAATTGGCAGTTCAGTATTCGCTCCTAATTTTCTGTTGTAGTTGTGGATAAAAGCAGACTCAAGGGTAAAGAGTGATGGGGGAGTGCGTGGATGAGGTAGGTGATGGTGAGAGAACAGGACCAAAGTGAGCATGGATAAAGGAACAACAGGTAGAGGAGGCAGTAAGTAACAACAAATGTTGCGTGCGTGTAGGGACATCTTGTGATGCTCGCCTACGGGATCATCTTCAACGCGTTTACTTCTAATATCTTTATGCCTAATAGATTCACGTAGTGGTGAAATGTGCGGTAGAGTCCTGTCATATTAGGTCTATGCCACGAGCTAGCATTGTGAAAGTATCGTCCCAGTAAATCTATGAACCACTTGAACTAGAGGCATACGGGATGAACAATCATTTCAGCACAAGAGTCAACAATGGCATGTGTTGGCTCGAACGTCGTCCATTGGGCCTGGGGCTACTCTGCCATTGCAGACGTGAGTGCCTCGCTGGCTGGATGTTGAGCGACTGGAAGATCTCCAAAGCTGGGTATGGTATTTTTGCGTGCTGAGTCGTGACTCTCACATGCTTACCTGTGGGCTGAACTGCATTGGCATTGCTTGGGTTTTGTTTGGCGCTTGTATACCTGTTTTGCGAGCGTTGGAGATGGTGATGCGGTGGAGATTCGTGGATCTATGTGGTGGTATCCATACCTAGGTATATTCAGTCTGTTCTCTGACCTCGACTTTACTGAGCATGTCAATACCATATATATTCTTGTCCCTTCCCGCATGCGATGTTGCTCGTTTCCTGTTATTGCGTTTCCGTCCAGCCTGAAAGGTCCTTCGCTGTGGTCCTGGTCCCGCGATGGATTCACTTAGAGTCTTTGTATGTTCATCCCATGTTCCAATCCACACCATCATGATCTTCCTCACTGCTGCCATCGTCCTCAATGTCTATAGGCTTGGCCTCAACCTCGCACTTTTTCGCATAGCATCCAGTGTTTTTGTTTCCGCCAAGGCCGATTCCAGTGTAGAGCCCGTCCTTGATCTCCTCGAGGATTTTGTCCTGATCTATTTCGCATTTGTCGCCAGGATTGGTACGAGCGAACATGACCTTTTTGGCACGAACGTTAGCAGCCTGTGATGTGGTGTGCACTGAGTCGATGTTTGTCGATCCCTTTCCCTGATCGAAGTCGGCCAAGGTCGCGTAGCAGGTGTCGATGACGACGTAGACGATTTTCATTGTTGCTTTCTGCAAGTTCGGAGAGGGTGAATCGCTCGTCCGGCAAGAGCTGAGGGTTTCTTCTTCGAGAAGCATGTTTTCGCCCATAAGCCGTCTAATAACAGGAGAATCGGCCGTCGATGAGATATACAAAGGAGGCTCGTTCAACTAGTAGTTTCGAGATCTTTCTGAGTCCGACTCGAAAGGTCCTTTTGAGGGTCTGTACATCTGATGAGAATTTGCGAGCCAACTAGGCGTCATGTAGTGTACCTGGGAGATATGAATCTAAAGTCTGCTTATGTACTGACAGGTTGTATGTGGTACCGTCACAGAGAAAATGGCATCGTGAGCGGCTAGTCGAGTGATTGGTCAGATTTGTCATCGTATGGATGTTGTATTGAACCAGTTCACGGAAAGGACGCACTGAACCCACCAGAACTCATAAGGATGCCAACAGCAAGAGCCATCGGCAGCATCGGTCGTGGGGGTATCTTCATGCAAGGCGTGGACCCTTAAACGGACGTCAAAAAGTCACTCAGGGCAGCGCTTGACGTCGATGCTAACGGCGTAAAATCCTTGATTCATTCTTCGCATTCATCGAGCCCCTACGTCAGGTCGCACATGATTGTGGCGCACGAAGTCCAGATCGCAAAAGATTTCCGCGAATATAGAGTGCTCCGCGGAGGACCCTCTCACGAGACCGTGTTGTCCTGCAACCTTCTGTTTCCGCATTTATGGCTATCCATAACCAGACTCTCCAGCTTCACGTCTGATGCCTCCGGTCACAAGTTCGGTGATCAGCATGCAATATGTGAGTAGGAACGACTTAAAGGATTTCTCCTTTGGCCTCTCTTTGCCATTCTTTGCCTAGGCTCCTTCTTCTACTAGCAAGTTTTTGTGCCAAAAATTGGCAACGCGACCACATCAATGGGTGGAGCGCTCTTGTGCAGAAACCCATCCTTCGGTAATTGTCCTGTGCAGAATTTGAGGTTGTCGAGATATGGGCCACCGACATGCACAGCTTGGATGAGTGGGCACGTAGGTGGCGTTCACGAATTTAGCGTGCATGAGCCTGCTCCAGTTTGCCTCATCGAATCCGAGTTTCCAGCGTTGGCCTTTCGCACTCTGTCCGACAGTTATAAAACCAAAAGATGAAAAGTCGAAAATGTCACTCATGCCCTTTGTGACAATTGCTAGACAAGCGGGTGCCGACGAGTGGTGAGCTGAATGATACACAGCAAGCGCACGGCGAAGCGTGGCATTACCTACCATGATCCGCAACAACGGCGACGACACTCAAATCAAAAGAAACCCCCCGAAGCTGTAGCCCTCAACTTTCGTGAAGCTGATCGGTGGCTCCGAAGAAGACGAGTCTCCAGCATATCCCTTCAAATCGCGTGGGGGAGCAACACCGGATCTCCGAGTGGCTGAGGCGCAGCGAACCATGGTAAGGTCATCAACGAGTAAGTCAATTCACTCCAAGACCAAACAGGACCTGCAAGCTCGAGCTTCAACACACTCTACAAAGTATACAACGTACGCCAAAATTCTACATGTCTTGAACAATACCCCGCCTATACCGTCCTCAACCTGGCGTACGACTGTCCACCATGTCGCTCTGAGAAACTCTGGTTGCTCACAACATTTCGCAACATGCGGACACTCAAAGTCAAACCACCATAACTTGTGCCAAAACATGGCTTGAAAAGTTCTTAAAAGCCAGTTCATACGCTGTGCAACTTCCTGATAAGACAGTCGTGATCTTCGGACCCTGGCGATCCAAATGCCCTCCGAAGGAATGGATCCCCATAAATGCTAATCTGCATGTGCAGAAAATCGGCAAAAAAAACTTTCGCATCACATTCGCAACTTCACAATCCAGATGCCTTCCTAATCCGCATCGTCGCCGACGCCCCAGAAAAAAAGCTTCGTGCCGAGCCGGCGCCGACCAACAAAATTCAAAAATTACCTCCAAGTTTGCTTCCCTACACAGGTTGGCAGAACGAAGGGCACTTAGAGGTACTGAGAGCCAACATAGTGTTGCAGACATGGCTAACAAAAAGAAAGCTTTGATCTTGAGGTGCTTTGATCTGAGCGTCAATCCTCGAGACCGACAGGCATTGTCACCACGTGATTTCATTTTCACACACGCAAGCAAAGCTTGCATCATTGGGTTTTCCACTGTGTGTTTCGCTCGTGAACCGTGCTGCGAACCAGCAATTTTAATCGCCGCGTAAAATATCAACACTCTCATTTATTCTGAACCCGCACGACAAACACAACCCAACAAATGCTTGCTCCCTGATCGCAAACATTTCGTTTCCGGCAAACGCATCCTCAAAACGTACTCCAAGATTCAAGATGGCAACAGCCATGCGCACACTCCTTCCTTTCTTCCCGCCCGAGCTCCGGAACTCAGTGTACAGCTACCTCTCACCGTCATCAACACCGACCAACACCGGCCTTCCAATCCAGCTCAAGTCCTATTTCTGCAAACACACACTCATCCAAATCTGCCCCGTTCACTCTGGTTCTACCGCCCTCCTCGCGCTCCAGCGCTACGCCTATCTCGAGGGCAACGAGTACCAGACATGGCTTCTCAACCATGCTATTACGCTCCGCGTCGGCGTTATATTCAAGGGGCGGGCCAACACGTTCGTGCAAGAGCACTGGGACAAGAAGATCGAGATACACCTTCACAAGTTGGCGAAGCAGCACCCCTGGTTGAGGAAGGTAGCCAAGTACGATATCCAGATCTTGTGGGATGCGCCGGATGGAGTATTGAAGAGCAAGCACAACCGCCGGAGCGCGGGCCAGATACCGAGGGCCATGGTGCGTACGCTTACAGGGCTGATGGATGAGGATGTAAGGAGGAAGTTGGGCGATGTGCAGGTTAGGCTGCGGCTGGAGCATCATGTTGCGGGTGTTGCTGTCAGGTCTACACCGCGGTTTGGGCTAGGCAGCTTCGTGTCGCTATCATCTGATGCTACGGTATTAGGGTGTGCGCGGCAGACGCTGGAGGTCTGGAAGGAGCCGTGTCCGAAGGTTTTGCCGCGCAAGTCTGCGCGACTGACGCCAGTCCTAACGAAACCTGAGGAGAAGGAATTGCTGAGGTGTGAGAATGGAAGAGTGGATTGGGTGGACAGGGGCCAGGGGACTTTGGTCATGAAGAAGACCGCGATACTGGAGAAGCGGGCGTGCACAACTTTCATGGACACAGGCGTAGCGTATGACTCGCCGACTGAGCTGATGCTGTTCGAGCTCTTAGAGGACTGCAATGGGCGGAGATGACGAGCAGAACGAACTATGACAGATTTCAAAACCCATACACTTGTTTGCACATTCATAATGTGACGAGCTCGTTCGCTTGACTTGGACATGCGCTGATGAGTAGCTGTGGAATTGATGTGTGAGAAACATGCAAGATTGTAGCTGTGTCGATGCTATGGCATCTTCAATGGCAGGTCTGTAGCGATAGAAAGCTGTGAGGATCGCTAGCGAATTCAAGATCCCAAAAGCTGGGTTTCGGACAAACGAACCGGATTCAAGTGTAGTTTGAGGATGTAGGGTTCTGTCGATGAGTTCCAACATGTAGCCGCGCAGACGCCGTAGAAGATCCGAGGCATCTGCGACCAATCGACCCCAGTCGTTCCTCCCGCTCTCGACGAGCGCACGTCATCATACATCGAAGCAAGAGACCACCACCATACAACTTCCACATGCTGCCCGCCATGCTTTTTCGCTACCCCTCACATACACCATGTCGGCTGGATACTTCCCCAAACGCGAAAAGGTCGGCCTTGAGGACCTCTTCCAGGGCCTCGTCACCGCTTCCCACATCCTCCATCACCATGACGTCCTCGACGCGTACGGGCATATTTCGGTCCGCTCACCAGATGACCCTGCAACCTTCTGGATGCCTTGCAACATGCCACCAGCTTTGGTGAGCTCGGCAGACGACCTGGTCGAATACCACGTTGAATCCGCTGGAGCTGTCGAGAAGATCGCGAAGCCGGGCTACATCGAGCGGCATATCCACAGCGAGATATACAAGCGCTTCCCCAACATCAACAGCGTCGTGCACAGTCACGCAAGCGACGTACTGCCCTACTGCATCAGCGGTGTACCTCTGAAAAACACGTTGCACATGGCTGGCTTCTTGGGTAGGCGCGCCTGTTGCGATCAGTAGGTACATAGCTGACCATGCCAATCACAGGAACGAATGTTCCCGTGTGGAACTCTTCTGGGTCAGACTTTCTTGTCCGCGACTCGGCTCTCGGCGCTTCGCTCGCAGCATCGTTCAAGCCGGCGACTTCGGCTGGATTCATATACTCCAAGGTCCGATCGGCTCTCCCGGGTGCCAAACCCGAACCTTCCCTTGAACCGGACCACGCAGTTGTCCTGTTGCAGTCTCACGGCTTCACTACGTTGGCCCACGGGATTGAAGAAGCCGTATACCAAGCGATATACACTAAGGAGGCCGCCAAGGCGCAGACCACGGCATTGACTATCCACAACGCGCACTTCAGCCACACCTTGGAGGGTAAAATCGATATTGAGGCAGGCGGCAAGATAAAATCCGGGAAAGCGAAGGGCGAAGGTGATCTCAAGTACTTAACTGAAAAGCAATCCCACGATACTTGGGAATCCATGCAAGCGACAGTGTCTAGGCCGTGGGCGCTGTGGTGTCGAGAAGTGGAGACCAGCCCGCTTTACAGAAACGATTGTCCAAGTGGTGAAGATTGAGTAGATTCGCATTCGCATCCTGTCGCGAATCGGTAGGGTTTCCGTTAGGGTGCCCTCACTTGATTTCGAAACAACACCCTTCATTCTGCATCCGGAAGGTCTCCTTTTACAGCGGTGCCTGGAGAGAGTCGGCATCGCTTGAAGCTGCTGTCAGGCGCACTGTCGCTCCGCCCACTTTCAGTCGAAGCTAGGCTGAACTAGCTATACAACTCCTCATCACTTTCTTCGCAAGCGCTTACGTCTTTCCCTAATATGGCCGTCATCGCACTTTCGAATTTCCTGGCACCACTTCAACTCAACCTGAAACAATTCTGTACTCCATTCGAAATGTAGCAATCGGCCCCACAAACATCGGAAGCAAACTGCCACAACTCTTACCTGAAACAGCACCGCCAAGACGTCCATAGTGTTTATACCGTGGGGCGGAACTAGGGTCTTTTTTCTCCGCCACTTAGCCTCGCGTTTCACTCCGACTAGTGTAGCCTTATTTATCGTGTTCTTGACGGAAAATGTTGCAAACACTACGCCCATGTCAACAAGATGCCATATTGCTCCTCGGGGAATGTATACCGCGAAGAATGCGGGGAACCAGAAACGGACGAATGGCGATCGTCAACGTGTGGTAAGCTTTGAGCTACGAAGGCTTGGGTGCCTTACGCGTGACCAAGTAGTCTTGATGAAGCTCGTATAAGTATATGGGTAGGTGAGCGAATGTGGCTGGTGGAGGCTTCCCAGTAGTGGAAATTAGGGGAGTGTGGAATAATTGGCGCCGAGCAAATCCTACAGGCTTCTTGACTCCATGGCAGTGAATGTTCGTGCAGCAGTATATGTAGTGCTGTGAAAGACGACCGGTGTTTTTGTGCATCGCTGTCTGGTCTTCAGTCTCAGCAAGCTTTCTTGTGGCTGACCACTAGCCTTCCTACCTTCGCTTCGTTCTTCCTTTTCTCAACCGTTATGCTTCTCAAGTCCGCTCTTCTGGCTGCGGCCTCCCTTTCAACCTCGGTGCTGGCCACCTTTGGTGTCACTAAGTCTGGTAGCAACTTTGTTGTTGATGCTGGCTCGAGCAATGCTTTGGTTTTTACTGTCGATGGCGCGAACTGCGATATCACGTCGATCAAATACCGCGGCGAGGAGTTCCAGTATGCTTCGAAGGGGTCGCACATCTCTTCTGGTCTTGGATCAGCCACAGTCTCGTCTACAATCATTGGTTCGTCTTCGCAGCGTCTTCTGCAGAATGCTTATTGACGGATTCTACCAGGCACGACTGCAAAGATCACCTGCACAACCTCTACTTTGACCCACTACTATGTCGTCAAGTCTGGGGATTCGACCATCTACATGGCCACTTACACCACTGCTGAGCCGAGCATCGGAGAGCTGCGCTTCATCGCTCGTCTCAACCCAACGACATTGCCTTCCGAGTACCCCTTCGGTGTTGTGTCGACGACTGCTGGCTCGAGCTCAACTGTCGAGGGTTCGGATGTGTTCGTCGTCGATGGACAAACTCGATCGAAGTTTTACTCGAGCGAGCGTTTCATCGATGACTCCAGGGTACGGTTTCTAAGCCTGTCAATAATCAATGCTAATACAGTCAGCAATGCGTGTACCGTGGAGAGGACGTTCACGTCTGCATGCTGCTCAACTCCCAGTCCTACGAGGCTTCCTCTGGCGGTCCCTTCTTCCGCGACATCAACTCGAATAACGCCGGCGACTCTACCAACCTATACTTTTACATGAACTCTGGTCACGTCCAGACCGAGAAGTTCCGCATGGGTCTCCACGGTCCGTACGCGATGGCCTTCACCCGCAGCGGTATCCCGTCTGGTGGCTCGTCGCTCGACACCTCCTTCTTCAAGGATCTCTCCATCACCGGTTACGTTGCCGACTCTGGCCGTGGAAAGGTCACAGGTACTGCGACTGGCGTTGGGACCAGCTTCCAGAAGGTCCTGCACTGGTACAACGATGATGCGCAGTACTGGGTATACGCCGACAGCGCCGGCATATTCACTTCGCCTTCTATGAAGCCCGGAACATACACTCAGGTCCTCTACCAGGGTGAGTTCAAGGTCAAGGCTGCTAGTGTCACTGTCAAGGCCGGCTCAACTACCACCGCCAATATCGCCGCTGATACCGAGACCAAGACATCTGTCTGGCGCATCGGCGAATGGGACGGCACCCCCAAGGGCTTCAGGAACGCCGCCAACCAGCTGCGCATGCACCCCACAGACTCCCGCATGGAATCATGGGGACCGCAGACCTACACTGTCGGCTCGAGTAGTCTTGGAAATATACCAATGGCCCTCGTCAAGGACACTAACCAACTCACCATCAAGTTCACCGGCGCCACCGGCTCGACTCTTCGCATCGGGACTACCCTCGCGTTCGCTAGCTGCCGTCCCGGTGTTGTCGTGAACTCCTGGACTGCTACTACTCCTGCTGCGCCGACCAAGATTGACTCCAGAGGTCTGACACGTGGTGCGTACCGTGGCTTTGGCGAAGTGTACAACTTCGATATCCCGTCTGGTACTCTGACGAGCGGGACGAACACTATCACTATTACTTGCGTTAGTGGTAGCACCGGTGATGGCTTCCTTGCACCGAACATTATCCTCGATGCGATAGAGTTGTTTAAGTGAGTCTGGGGGCTTGTGTGGTGTCGTGGCTTTGACCGAGGGACACACTTGGCAGCCTGTCTGAGACTTGCTTTAGTCGTTTACTTCTTGGTTGTATATACTTTGATCCTGCATTTGGTTGCTTGTGAATACTTTCACACATAATCTGCGGATAAACACCTTTTACTCGCCATGACCCTGATATGTTATGCTTACCGGTGCTGAGCCTAGGTTTGTCATGTGCAAATGGTTGGTGGACTTAACAATGCAACACGGCTGACTCTTGATCGGTGAGCGAGCCGCATTGGAGCACCAGGCAAGACAGTCGTTGTACAGTCTTGTATTGATTTCTTGCCTTATAGCAACACACCGCTTTTTGCAATGCCCCGAAGACATAACTCGGCCCATGTCAATACCATTGCGGGTATGATTTTGTAGATCATAGCGAATTTGGTTTCCAATTTTGGCAGGCGGCGAGCAGTCAATACTTGCCTCGACAAGCAGCAAGCGGTGGTTGTACACACTGCAGTGTTGAACAGTGTACATTGCTCCTGATGTGATCGTAAGTTCAGCATACCGATTAACAACACTTAACTGCCCCACTGATACTTCTTGTATCATTGCTTCACCGGTAGAGTACAGAGTGTTCGAATATTGGCGTGGATAGGTCGACTGCACATTGGGGCTGACCGTACTCCCGCTCGCCTCGCGCGGCAATGAACGTGTCACCCGATGTTTGTCAAAAACAAGGCCTGAATTGTCAACATTGAACCCGCTGCATGCGAAACGTGTATAGAAGGCTATTGGCCACAGGCGTATCCGCTGCCTGCTTTCCGACTGGCCGTTACGGATCGGCGATCGATGTGGCATGGCGAACGGAACTGCACAGGGGTCTGTTCGAAGGGAACCGAAGGCGTACAAGTTCCGTGCGCTAGCCTTACTTGCGGAAACAGCTGGAGAATACAGGGTCGGTATCCAATGGGGCTCCTTGCCTGCTGATATACTGGAATTGCATGTCGTTGAAGTGAGCCCATAGGCGCTGTTGTGGGGTGAACTTGCTCCGCCGGGAATGCAATGTAACAACTGCAGAGCTGAGATAGAGCTATGGAAAGGTCCAATCACTAAAACCTCGACTTGCTTTGTCGGCTTTGTGCTACCACAGTGACAGATCTGGTTCGATTACAGATCGTTGAAGCGGCCAGCAGGCTTTTGTGCCACGACTTGACGTGCTAGCTCTGATAACTCACTTGCAAGTTGCGCTGGTCGCCATACCCGCTGATGAAAATTGCAGTGTGTTCTTGCTGCTTGGAAACAAGCTTAGGGAAGCTGTACCTCAGAAGTGAAGCAACCTGAGTCGTCCACTTTCGATTCAAAGACTTGTTCGGTGTCGACTCTAGGCGTTGTGAGAAACACAAAGCGATGAAGTTGTTGATAAGCCCAGATCTGCGAGTCCTGTACCGAAATTGGCTTTGAGCTGCGTTTTTGCCTGGTAACTTGCGCCTGGCGGAAAGTACCGCTTACTTACCGAATGGAAGACGTCGGCATGTTAGTCGTTGGGGCATCAATAGGCTCCCGTTTTAGATCGATCTGGTGGCTCGTTTAGCGTAACTTGCGAACTTGGAAGGGTCCAATGTCCATTCAGCACGGTCCCTGCTAGGATAGTTGTAAGCGTGAATTGATGTATGCCGGCTGCTCCCACAATTGCCAGCGACATGGACGAAAACATGGAGTCTCAAAACCGTTCGAGTATCAGACCACTTTACGGCAGAACCATATCTTCGGCCAACAGATAGACAAAGGCCTTGCTAGATTGGCGTTACTCCCCGCTTTGGTAGAGAGATGGAAGTGGGCGGCTGATCGGGCCGCCAATGAGCTTTCAATCGCATAGTAGGCCACCACGAGAAGGCTCGCGTTTGCTCACCAACACGTGGCGTAACACGAAGGCGATACTGCAATCGAGACGCCACAAGATCCGAAGTTGCGACGACTAGACGAAGCGGTATATGCGTACGACGACTCGACTAACGTCGTGGCAGGACGCCCTTGCGGGTATGCAGGGAGTGTCCCGCAGGCAGAGCGTTCACCAATAGCGTGAAGTCCTCCTGATACAAGCGGTGAATTGAATTAGCGCGACAGGTACCGAGGCTGCAGACCTGCAAGAGTTGCTCTGAATCTCTCTGATTTGTTCTGACGAATGAGTCGCTCCGGCTCGGCAGCCGGGAATGACCATCAGTTGTTTGACGTTTCTCTGGATATCAGTGGTGAGTGGTATGCATTTACATGTAAGGCCCGAACAGGTGTTCGTCGACTAGAAACTTGACGTGTCAGTTCACCGATCAGAGCCGCTGTGGCGGTGCAGATCCTAGGCCATCGACGATGAAAGATGGCCACTGACTCGCGCACAACAGATCACAGCATTCGAGCAAAATGCCAGAAATGGGGGTTGCTGTTGCAAAAGCAAAGGAGTGCAGGCGTCCGTAGAGATGGAGGTGGAGCATGCTGTTATCGTCCGGCTCTTGCCAGCTATTTTTTTGCCTAGAATTGCTGACTCATCCGCATGTTTTTAGGCGCATCGGAATCGGTTCATCTCATATGCAATTAACGTCGCCAGGGGATGCGGAAGCCAATCCGCCCTAATCTGTGCTCGTTCGCTTTCGTGCAGCACCTTTCCTCGGCTACTTCCTGCCGGGGTCTTTCTGGATCAGATGCTCGTCATCACCTGGTGCCCAGCAAGAAATGGCATCCATCAAGCTCTCAGCGGCTGAGGTTTACAAGGTTGCTGTCACGCAACGTCGCAACACCAGCGCCATGAAAGGACCTGTTATTGCTCTCGCTCTTGCTACTGATTGACTTTGCAGATTGGAATTTTTCAACTTCGCACGCTCTTCTTGTGGCTGCATGCACATCGCCCGTCACCCTTGCCGAGCGTATTGTGATCTTCAGTTTGCGGACATTGTTTGGCAGCCACGAAAATTGACGCTTTGCCACAAACGGGCCTCGCGGATTCGGATGCATTTGGATGCGCTGCTCCTTGTCAGACCCATCACTGAGTCCCTGCAGTATGCTGATTGGTGCCTTTACATGGCAACTTTGATCTGGCCATCTTCCCAGTAACTCGGACCCTACCGCCTGTGAGCGTACCCTAGACGCTTATTCCACTTAGCTGCACAAATGAAGTCCTGAAAGCTGGTGCCACACAAGTACCGCACGAGGATGATGGTCCGCTTCCGGACTTATACATCGATCTCAGCTCAGGCCTCCAGATTTCAGCGTTCATCTTCATCTTCAGTTCTATTGCGGCTACAAACTTCAGATCTTGGACGGAACTTTCCAGAACTCGAATCACCGAACACCTCCGGTCTATCTTCCGCAACTTTACTCGGCATACCGCTTCAAAATGTCCTGGTCATTCCAACTGCAGAAGATCAACCAGTCTTTCGAGAAGATTGCTGGATGGTAGTAAGTTCAGGCAATCCAGTGTCTGACCAGCTCTAATGATATTCAGTTACGAGTTCTTGCAGAGGACCGAGGGTGCCTTCCAAGCTCTACACCAACGTGTCTCGCGCCTGGAAGAACGGCAGGCCTGGCGTGAGCCTAGTGACGAGCAGGTCGAACGAGTGCTCCGCAAGATCCTAGCTGAACGATTTGCGAATGATGGACCGCACCAAACGGACTCGATGATCAAAAGCAACGACTTCTTCGTAGAGGATGCCAAATCTCGATCGACGATCGGACCAATTCACATCGACGCAGCATCTTTGTTTGTTGAGCCTGAGTCAGTGCCATCCAAAGCGTATGCAGAAACGTTCCAGATGCTGGAAGGTCGACTTACCGAGTACCCATGCATACATCAGGAAGAGTCAGCTGAAAAGGATGCCGTGGACGGGAGGATCAAGGTCGAATACGAAAGGTCAATACTCTGATGCACGCAGTCCCTGGTCTCTGCAAAGTCAAGAATGCGCAATGGCCCCTGGCTTCACCACATAACCCAGACACAACCCAATCATTACACCTCTATAGCGACACTCCTCGGCCGTTAAGATTATAAATCTCCCTGGCAGATGTGCACGCAGTTGCCTCCACCGCCAGAGCTACACCGAAGGGCACCGAAAGGGTTAGTCTCAGAGAATTCGTCAGACCCCCCGGGAGCTCTTCAGTTGCTCAACTGGTCCTGAGCATAGAAACTTCGCAAGTCTAGCACGGGCAAGGGCGCAGCGCATGTCACATATCTCACATTCGAACTGGACGTTCTTTCCTGCCTCGATATATCGATACTTTGTTGGCTTTGACTATATAGCCCATCAGCGATGCCACTCAATCCTAGATATTCAAGAAACCACTTCAGTGCATCACATTTTACCTCACTGCTCTTTCGGGCTTCCCTTCGGGCTCAGTACCCTTTCCTACTTCGCTTTAGCCATCGTTGAACCAGCTGGTCCGACCCATGGCGTGGTGTCGTGCTCAACGTGCCTGTATTGCTCCCGCGACCGGCCCCAAAGCCAAAGATTTAGGATTTTGACCTGGTCTACCACATCGAACTGATACTTCTGAAAGGGTCGTTGCGGATATCAAAGGCAGAGAAGTTGAGCGGTATGCAGATTAGGGGCACAGCACGAACACTGCACGCTCGGGCAACGTCAGGTGAGTCTCACAGCATTGTACCACAGGACAATCCTTAATAAAGGTTCTCAGCGCTGCTGTACCCGCCAAACTCAAATATCCTCAGATGTTATGCGGCATTCAGCTCTAGCAGTGTTAATGTTGGCACGTAGTAGCCAACATCCACTTTATCTACATCATCAGCCCTATGATCGATCCGTCAATCGAACTACGATGGACTCGTTTACAGAAACAGCATGCGCTTGCCTCACATACCGGGTGTCTACCCGCACACACCGCTGTTGCGACACCGTATCCCATGACATCGGTAGGAGGCTACACCCGTCCCGAGAGCACTGTGAAAACATTCCAACACATACCCGCTGCACGCTACTGCACATCTAGCGTAACGTTGGCAATCGCGCTTGCTCGGAGCTGCTCCTGACAATGCTTGGAATACATGCCAACACGCACAGACCAAGCATGCTCCTTGCAATGTTAATATCACTCTGTCATAGGTTGTACGCACGCTACAACGTGTAGTCATGCACTGGGGACGGTATTCGAGGAGGCGTATCATACTAGTACGCAACTACACTAGTATAAAAAAACACAGCAAGCGCCACACATGCATCAGTGTACCTCATTTCTTTCATCGAAGTAATCCCCACGCCCTGCTCCGGCTTCTCTTACAAGGCACATACCTGCCGCCTCTACATGCGAAAGAGGTATGTAATCCTACTCTGAGCGTTACACATCAGCCTCACATTCCATGGGGTTGCAGCTCTCCACTGCTTACAGCCTCCTAGTAGCGGTTGCATGCTTCCGAAAGAAGGGGTCCAAAAAAAGCAAACATACTTGAGCGTAAAGATCTTGCTTCGACTTGGAAGCGCTGATCTCGAAGGATTGGAAAGGGATCAGCACAAGGTCTAGTCTTGATCTAGCTGAATGCAAGTGATTTAACGGTGACAGCGATCGATCTTAGTTGCATATAATCGCAGGAACTCTCAGCGCAACTCGTTAGCGATCAGAAGCTCAGCTGCGCAAGACCGTATTGCAGATTCTGCACAGCAACTGTACAGGCTGGGTACCCTTGGATACAAAAACAACATGGGTACTACACTGTAGCTTTACGGACGAATGGAAACGACGTATCACCCTTCAGATTTCTCGCTCAGAGGGTGCACAATATGCACACAGCCATTTTTTAATCTTCATGTTGGCATCTTGCAAGCTTCAAATTCTTCATAATCCATCCAATTCTGGAAGTCATCAGCACAAGAATACACATGGCACGCAATGCGATCCACTTCTACCCAATCCCCACATGCCTAACATATTTCATGGTCCCCCAGAAACTACCCCAACCTACACTATCCCACACCTCCACTTCATCACCTCCTCACTAGCCCAACAGCGAATGCCAGGTGCCACAGTGACGGAGGAAAACTGACGGAGCATAGTGGAGCACCATCTCACGATCCACTCACCTGCGGGACTGCCCTTACGAAGGCGTTTGCGTTTACTAGTTGTCGGGGGTTTTGAGCCGGAAGACCCAGTCTCCTGGTCGCTGAGAGGGTACATCTGCGGAACCAGCGTATGTGGTAATATGTTGGGTAGGGAACCCTTGTCAGAGATCTGTAGGATCGATCTCGTGCTTTGCAGAGCTCGCTTCACTTACTCAACGTCAGCATCGAAGGATTCGAATTGAAGTTGTTGCTGCCCAATACCTTTGCGAACTGCTTGCTTTTTCTCTCTTTGCTGTGACGTGCAGGCTGGAGAGCGGAAATGCTTCCCCGTCGCACTAGAAATCGCGATCTCAAATACGATCGTGACACGTATCCCTGGTCCGCACAAATTCTGGTAAGCAAGGAGGCCGGAAACATCCTTTCGCTATGTTTGCTTTTACTTGTCTTGTCTGGGATAGCCAATAGAAGATCGAAAAATGCCCGCATCGAGATCCGCAATCACGTGGTCGTGTTCGTGTTCGTGTTCGGACAGTGCCGACAGCCGAAGGACACACTGTGAGTAGGATCCTGCAGTGTTCGACCCCAGAATTATGCAATTGGAAGTGTCAATGATCTGGTACAGTACATTATAATTTTGACAGCATGTACGAAAACCAGCTAGTTGTCAATTACCTTCAAACTTCCCTTGCTTCTCTCACATACTTTGTTCCGTTCCTTCCATGTCTTCTCTCATTTCCACTCCCTGCCTTCCTCACTTCCTTGTCTAGTCTCCACTTTCGCCACCCGTCCTTCACTCCTTGCCCTTCGCTCATTGCTTTTCGGGGACTGTTCAAGCCCAAGCTCCAACAAGGCTCATCAAGAAAGCTCCAAAGAAGACCAACAAGCACGCCACAACCCTCTTTTTTCCCCTCAGCACCTGCCAACTCTCGTCACTCAAGAAGTCTTCTGACATGAGCTCTACGAGCGAGGCGAAGACAAGGAACCCGGCAGAGATAGCATTCATAATACCGACAACGAGGAGTCCGATCTCGGAGTCGGGGCTGTAGAGGGTGTGCGTTGCGATGCCGATTGCTTGGCCGAGGGGCGTAGTGCAGCCGTATGCTATGGCCATGAGCCACGGTTGGGGAGAACGGGCGGGCCAGGAGATGGCGGCGATGCGGACGCCGAGGGCGAGGCCTTCGAATGTTTCTAAGAAGGTTAGGATCATGTTGGGAACATCTGGTAAGGGGAGCACGTACGGTGAAAGATGATCGCGATAAGTAAGACAACGAAGTCGTTACCAATGGCCACGGCAAGAGACATGCCGATGAAGATGCTGTGGAACAGGATACCCATTTCTAGGAGGAAGCACTGTAGCACGGCCTTCTTTTGAACTTGCCCGGGCGTCATCTGGAAGCTCTGCTGACTGCTTTCGGGGTCTTCGATCGCACTCTCATTACTGTTCTTCCTGCCGACTTCAGCCTGAGTTTCTTCTCCAGCAGATTCAATGGCGTCGAGTCTTTGGTTCTCCGCACGGTATTGGGAGAGAGTACGGCTGATGCTGGTAACCCTGCCTCTCAGGTTGCCCATTGAGCGAACTTGGTCTTGCATGCTGCCGTCAGAATAGGTCCTTTTCATTTGGGCCTGGAGCTCTGGCGCCGTGCGCACTTCGTCTTCCTTTTCTTGTACGTTGTCACGGGCAACGCCTTTGACTCCCTCGTTGCCGCCACAACAATGCCGGCCCGGAGAGAAGACCATCTCGATGATTGTCACAAAGAAGATGCTAGCCAACATAATCGCACCGGGTGCCGCTTGATAGTCTTCTGTCCAGAAAGAGGATAGACATGGGTCGCTGAGTGACAAGAATGCTGTAGGTAAAAGATGCACAAACGCTGTCGCAATCAAAACGCCGGTTCCAAAATGCTTTGCACTGAAGAGAAACGAGGCAGGTATGCGCAGACGAGGAAACTTGATTACCAGGATTGGGAAGGCGCAGGCGGTTGAGGAGACAAAAAGGATGATGAAGAGGCCTCCAACATGGAAGGGTAGGTTGTAGTCAGGCTGCGCGCCTCCTACGGCACAACCATCTCTCTTAAGGTAGTGGTGGGTCACAGGGGTACCTATGAATGTAAGTCGAACAGCATTATAAAGAATAGAATTGATGAGACTTACTGCTCGTTGGTTGAATTGCAGGCTTAGCAGCTGCAACATTCGAGACTCGATCTCTGCTCATGTAAGATATAAACATGGAAGTACACAGCACCGAGAGGATCCAGCGACCCCAGCTCTTTAACGTCGTCTGCGACATCCTGCGATCAGCTGTGCTGACGCCAGCTCGGTGTTCTTCTCTCACGATTGCGATTGTGCGGGTGCAAGGTCCTGGGGCAACGTCAGCATTTCCGTTTTCATCACATCGTGAACGGCACAACGGCACCTTTTGAAGGACCCTTGACACCCTCCCCAAGCGCAAGCAATTGTTTTTCCTTCTCTTGGAATTGATATTCGTCCACATCGCAGTGTCTGAGACCTTGGGCGCCGCTGCGCAATCGATCCGCATCACCTAGCTCCCTAGCATTCGCAATTCCATTTAGATCTTGGCATGTCGTAAGATCTGCTGCAAAGCACGGTGGGTTCTGATTCCAGGTTGGGTTGAGGAGGACGTCATCATCGGTTCGAGAGGGACAGTTCATATTGACAGCGTAGGGAAAGGTCCTGAGATTGTGTGTAGGTGGTATTTCAAGGAAGCAATGATGTGGAAAGGTAGAGGAGATGCTTGGAGCTATATGTGAACATGTAAGTGGCCTAGGAGTGAGGTCGGCTATGGCTCATCCGTGACGATTGCCCAAAGAGAATGCAGTGCCGAGTGCCAAGACGACTCCGATTCTCTGAGCGTCACGCGAGAACCTGAGGATGGGTGTGAGAATCTTTGAATGGTGGCTCTTACCCCATAGTGCCTCTTCTGTCCGCGGGGATAGCGCTAAGCCGCGTTATCGTGCAGCATCCTGTGTGGTTGTGCTCGTGAGCAACTTCCTGTCTTCGTGCGTGCAAACCCAGCCTTGACCTCTGCCGGCTTCTCCCGGGACCCAAGATAAATAGCTTCTGCATCGAGCACATCAAGGTGCAAGAGCTACGGGGATCGGCATGGAAGCCGGCAACGCTTTCTAGATATCTGCGCGTATTCTGACGCGGTGTTGTGCTGATTGAAGTTTGTTGCTCAAAAGTCACGTTGACGAACTCCATGGCTTGGCGCTAACGGCCGCACAATGAGTAAGGCTACAACTCTCAATTGAGTAGTTTTTGTCTGCGTGGAAGTCTAGCGCATGTTGAAGCGCATTTGAATTGTTACTCTGTGGGTATCACTATCAATTCGCCTTCCCAGATTCTAGGACCTCAAGGGCACCACCGACCAGGTGGAGGCTGCCCGTCACCAAGACCATCACTTCTGCGTCTGTGCCATTCGCCCAATTGCATGCTACCTCTCGCGCTGCGCTGACAGATTCCTCAATAGTTCGCAGTACACGCACTTCTGCAGTACTGTCAATCTTTGACCAGGTCTTTGCTAACGCTGTCTGCACAGCAAGAGCGTCCACTTCCTGTTTGTCGGTGTTTATGGACACTAAATCAGGTCTGTAGCCTTCTTTAGAGGTCTGATTGGTTGTGAAGATGACATGTGTGAAGGGTGATGTTGATCCGGATGTGATGCCGCTCTGCAAGGCTGTGTAAAGTGCTTTGGCAAGAGCGCCTGCGTCTCGAGTCTGCTGGTTGAAGATCAGAACTCTAGGCACCTTGGACTGTGATGCAGCAGTCGCAGTTGCAGACGCAATCTGCTCAGCGAACCAGCGTCCCGTGACCTCGATGCTTTCTAGCGTGTGAGCGCCATCAATGTGCCAAGCTACGTTCTTTTCGCGCCTAGTCTCACAGCGTCCTGACCAGCGAACCTGCTCAAGTCCCTTGACGAACTGTGGAGGAAGGTCGATATACGCTGTTTTCGTAGGATCCGGGATTGATGTGTGGCCTAAGGCGCGTAAATGTGCTGCGGCGGCGGCGATTGCTACAGAAGCGTTGGTCTTCTGAAAATCTGCTGACAGTCCAAGCTTGATGCGACCATTGGCCAACGATGGATGGAGATCGATTATGTGCAAATCGGTACCCTTCTCCGCAGCTCGCTTCTGCAGGACAGTGATAGCCTCCTCTTCCTGCGGTGCTGTAAATGCAATGCTCCCCTGCTTGAAGATTCCTGCCTTGTGCCACGCTATTTCGGGAAGTGTAGATCCGAGCATAGCGGTGTGATCAATACCCAAGCTGGTCACCGCTGTGACTGTTGGATTCGTCAAAATGTTGGTGCTGTCGTACTCGCCACCAATACCGCACTCTATGACCGCAGAATCAACACCCTCCTGAAGGTATGCATGCAGTGCCATGAGCGTCAGGTATCTAAAGTAGACAGGCTTTGTTGGTACATCAGCAGGTGCATTCTCTGCCTTTGCTGCAGCTTCCAACTTGTCCCACACTTCGAAGAAGTATTTCGCAAACTTCTCCTCAGATATCGGTTCATTGTTGATTTGTATGCGCTCGCGAACGAATCGTAGATGCGGGGAAGTGTATAGGCCGATCTTCGAGGGTTGTGACTGTGCGTCACTTGTGGATGTGTATTGCAACAAAATGGAGGAGATGAATGCGCTTGTGGAGCCTTTGCCTTTGGTTCCAGCAATATGTACAGGCTTCAGCTTGTCGAAATCTGAGGGCTAAATTCAATCTTAGTTGACAGTCAGACTGGATGATACTGGGAGCCGCACACCTTGTACCCAATCTTGCTACACCATTCGATCATTTCTGGTATGGCCGCCTTATTCATGCCGCGGCCAGACTTGCGAATAGCATCGACAATTGCAAAGTTGGACTGCAGCATATTCAGCGCAGCGACTGCGGCCTGCAGACAATCAGCTATAATCTTCCACCTTGGACAGATATACTTACTGCATAGTCGCGCTTCTCCATGCTAGGTGCGCTATAGTGTCTTCGAGTAACTGAGGCAGTATGCCGGTAAACAAGGCGACTCCGTGCTACGAGCATGAGGGCATCTTGCTAATGCGGGAGGGACCGTGGAGTACTTTTATTCGTTCTTTCCGTTGATAAGCGGATGATGCGCTTGCATTTGTGGCACGGGCCTCTTAGGGCCGTTCCTGCATTCCTCAAATGGTTCTTCTATCCTTTCCACCATCCACCAGCTGCAATCGATTTTAGACGCAGCACCAAGACCATGCTCGAAAGTGACCGACATCTCTCTGAACACCTAGAATGTGCCACGATAGAGTGTCTTTACTTACATGACTCTGTTCTCTCATCAACCTTGTCAAGCCCGAACGATCCACCATAAGCTCACAATTTACGAGCTCAGTTACGAACCATCATTCGCACAAAGCCAGATGCAATTCTGAAGAGACTCAATTCGAAGCTCATTCCCTTGTACACAGCCTCTAGCTACACAGACAGATTGGTCTCGTGTGCGCGCGTTGCAGCACTGCAGATGGCTCTCACCATCTGAACCGTTGTACGACGCCTATGCATTACCACTTACGAACACCAGAGCTGAGCATACCAATGGAAAGACGATGAACATGTTTGATCAGCTGCCATGTATCAGGCTTGTCTCCACCGCCTTGGGTGGTTAGCGCAAAACGCCTTGGGGTTTTGAAGATGCGGAACCTGCAACAACACGGTTCGCAATGCCTCTACAGAACCATTTGAGTGGATCACCAGACCTCGAAGCGTTCCAGAAGCCTGGCTGACTTTGATGGATTTACATCTCAGCAGGGCCATGAAGGGGAAACGAGAAGACTAACGAGCTTCAGAAGCTCATCACGACATTAGCTACGCTCTCAGATCTCTATAATCTTACTCATAAAGACGCTACGAACGCTGTTATCGAACACAGCATGACAGTCATACTCTCAACCATATCTGTCGATGATGGCTGTTCGCTGCGACAGCACTGTACCCTCAAACCACGCAACGAATGCGCAAAATGTTGACCATACACGGAGAGCAGTCACCGAAATCAGCAATTGTCCGTCCGTCATCGAGCTGCATACCTGATAGGTCACAGATGCGGGCATGTATGCGCCTACGGACTCAACTCACAAAGAAGCAAGTGATTAGGTCCTTGTAGAATGCACGCGCATTTCTACTTTATGAACTCGCAACCACCATTGATAGCAGAGTGACAGGGTTTGTGACCGCCTGCACTTACAGCACTGATATTCGGGCTGGTCTCACGGACGCGTACCTGACGATCATAATCGATGCTTCCCTGTCATACCTGTCAGGCGTGGGTGGGCAGCTTTAATCACAACGACAGCTTGGCGGCGACGAATATATGACAGCAGCTGGGCAATCGCAGTTTTGCGCCACCCCAGCAATCAAAGTCGTGGGGTGTCGCAGATTTGGATTGGTGACTGCGACTCTATCGGTCGCATCATTTCATGACCCATGTTTCACACATCACCATAGCCTTGCAACACCCGCATCGGCCCGCAACAACATCACCCATATGATTCCCCTCGTATCTCAATCCTCTGCCACTTTTCGCGCCCTCATCCCGACCCCAAATTTCATCAGTCTTCATTTTTCATTCTTCATTTCTCATGCCGCGCCGCCACTGAGCGTCTGCGGCGCCGTCTTCACAATGGAGCTGGTCGCCTGCAATACACACTACCGCAGATGCTACCACGGCGAGACAAAGACAGCAACACAGATCTTTGTCCTCGAAAAACACAGTCACTTTAGAGGTGCGTGTGATGGTCGCTTGGCCCCAAACATATGATGTTTACCCGGGGTTTGTCACTCCCGAAATAGCGCTCACCCTGTACAAAGGAACCATCCACGGATCCACAGCCACAGATCTGGCACCCGTATAGGGTCGAACGTATACCTTTTCAAGACCATCTGGAGCTTTCTTTCTCAAAGACACGACTCTACGACAATCACGTACCGTAATATCTAATCGCTGCCAAAACCACCATGTTCACCATCACCATCACCAATGCAATCGCACTCTACATCTCCGTTCTATTCCACACCATGTTCGCACCCAGCCATGCGCTCCCTAATCTCCAGCGCCGCGGCCTCCCCGGAGCTGTCTACACCTGCGCCGGCGAGAACTTCTCCGGGGGCTGCGGCTGGTCCCTCCCAACAACAAACTGTCGCATCGCGACCGCGGAATCAATAGGTCCCGACCCCGGCGGCTATTGCACGCTGTACAAAAACTTCGACTGCACCGAGTCCGTCCGCACCTTGCGCTTCCCTGGCGTCTCGTCTGGCCTGCCGGAGTACATGTCCTTCAAGTGCGGCGTCGGCGTGGGGATTTCGGGGACTGTTGCGCCTCAGGCGAATGCGAATGCGGATCTCAGCCTTAAGGCGTTACCGGCGGATAGGCTGGCGGGCGGTGTGGGGAGTGAGGAGAGGAAGAAGCATTTGAAGGAGCTGCAGGCTATGGAGAGGGATGGGTTTAGTGAGGGACTGATTGGGTTGAAGAAAGATATGTATTATTAGGATTGTGTGGAGTTGGGGGTGGAGTTTTCAGTTCGTGTATACCCGTATCGAAATCAGTATTTTTTCCATGTCACTGAGAAATGTGTTTGAGGTGGATATCGACTTGCGAGATTGATAGAGTGATCACAATGTAATGACATGTAAATTCATCCTGGAGGGATTGCGGACCTTCTGATTGTCTGTTCGTTCTACTACTTAAATGGTGCTTGTCCATCTTTTTTCCCTCTCCCTCTGCTATTATATATAGCATCTTATGGCCCTACAACTCATCCTTGCTCACACCATCAATGCTGACCAGCTCTGTCTCAAAGATCAACACACTGTTCGCAGGGATCGGCCCGGCGCCCCTGCTGCCGTATGCCCACTCAGGCTGAATAGTCAACTTCCTCTTCTCGCCAGGGCACATGTCTAGCAGACCCTGGTCCCAGCCCTTGATCACCTGGTTGCTGCCGACCTTGAAGCTCAGAGGCTGCCCGCGGTTGTAGGAGGCGTCGAACTCGGAGCCGTCGGATTCGAGGGTGCCGCGGTCTGGGGGAGTGTTAGTGTGTGTCTTGGAGAGGGTGTGGGTTGGACTCGAGGGTGGAGGATGGAAGGGCGGAGGTGGTGGGCTTCACGGGGGAAGAGGCAAAGGGGAGGCGTACAGTGGACGTGGATCTTGTCGCCGGCGACGGTGGGGCGCTTGCAGTCGACTGCGGTTACGACTTCGGTCTTGAGGTGCTGTGGTATTGTTAGCTACCACACGTATGCAGGTACAAGCTCGAGCATGGCGGAGGTGGGGAGGTAGGTACCTCGTTGTTGATGGTCTCTCCGGCGAGCGCAGTCGCGGCAAGGGCAAGGATGGTTGTGAGCTTCATATTGGGCAATTGGGGTGTTTGGTGTAGAATTGTACGTTTGAGAGCTCAAAGGGACTGTACAGTACGAGCAGCGCCACGATGGCGGTGGGGAGCTGTTCATTGTGGGGTAAGCGCCAACGCGAATCTGGCCTCAAGCTGGAACCAGGGTCTGATCGACGTCACTCCACACCACCCTCCATGCCTCTTCCTTTCACTTTGCTCACATCGTCGATACGCTTGACCAGTCAACTACACGGCACATGTTTGCGATCATTCTGAGCTCGTTTATCCATGGATGTCTTCATGATGTCTCCTGGCTTGCTTGCTCTGCCTTCAGAGCGATTGAATTGTCAACATGCATTCACAGTGGATGTTGTTGCAGTAGCCATGTCGTTCACTTTTTGCGTTCGTGTCCTTGAAAGAGCCTTGGGTATGGTAGTGAATGCTAGCTTTCACTTGCGTGCACGCAGAAATGACAGGGAGCCATGATAGGCCCCTTTGCATAAGTATCTTTCGGCTCATTTGGCTGCAGAATACACTTCATCTAACACCCAGCACAACATTCAACCAGCTACGTTCCGAACCCTCAACCATGCCATACCTGGTAGGAGACCTCATCAAAGAGATTGAAGCTGGTGGGCCAGTTCCTAGCTTCCCCAGGTCATTCAAGCGCCCGCCTAGACTGGAGAAGGAGAAGGAAACTGTCGAACTGGACGAAGGCAGCCCAGGAGAACCGGGGACGGAAGCCACAGGAGAGGCCACAGAAGAGGCCCCAGGAGGACTGGGTCAAGAAGAAGTGGGCCCGGTACTACGAGCTGAACAAGATGGGACAGGTGAAGCCAAATTTCGACAAGATGACCTTTCCTCAATTTGAAGAGTACATGAAGGACGCGCAGGGACAGAGCAAACACAGAGTCGCTGCGGCTTCGAGGCATATGGGGATTCGTGGGCAACCGGTGGATGTGGAGCAGAAGGAACTTATGAAGACCAAGACTGCGCCAGAGGGTTCACGCAAGCGTAAGTTGGTCGCACCAGCAGCAGAACTGCAGACTGTAGGTGCCGGTACCGAAGCTCGTCCTCGCAAGAAGCCGCGTGTGAAGGCGCACATCACCAAGGAGGAGTACTTGAAGAAGCATTGAGGGCCCAGGTTCTGCGCCGCTGCTGCCCACGGGTCACTCGTGGTGTCTGCAACCGCACATTTGCTGATCACCTCCTGCCAGAATCGATCTTCGCGAACACCTACATTCGACGTTGTTGCCCGCTTGATTGTCTGTATATGTACAAGTAGTAGGTTCACCATCTCTTTACTCAGAATCTACTGGTTCAATCATGCGAATCCTCCATTTTGATGCTATACGCCTTCACTTCTTGCTGTCTTGATCTATGCTCTGCTGAGCCCATTCCTGTTGTGTACGCTCTCTTCACCTCGACAGACGCACTTGCCCTCTCGTCCACGCTGCGCTCGCCTCACACCTGTCGGTCCGTTCTGCACGCTTCACTTCACCCCAACCTCTTGCCGCGCACGGTTGCGCCCGGCGCTGTCATAAAATCACCGATCGCACCTCTATTCCCTTCTTCACCACCGCTGCTGGTAGTTGAGTCCCCGCCACTGCGCTCTCAACGTCAGGCTGCATTCGCGCGCCCCCTCACGCATCTACTTTTCTCATACCTCTTACATGCTTCACATATACATTCACATTCACTACCATGGCTCCGCCGACGGAGGCTTCCGTCACGTCTGATGCGCCTATCATCGACAAGTACAAGCATGCAGACGACTTGGTTGAGATTGAAGTGCAGTTTAGCAACAAAAGGCGACAGAAGGTGTTAATCTCTCGGAAGGCGCTTTCCGCGGAGAACAAGCTTGGTGAAGCATCCAAGGTTGACAGCACTATCAAAGATGAGGTACGCTAAATCGATCGCCAGCTCCCTTATTCTCAGGCTAACATTGTAGCAGCAGTCCATCGACGCTCAAGTCGCTGGCTCGTCCGAGCCCAAGAACAAGATCGCAGAGAGATAGCAAGATCGTTGACAGCACTTGCGATGAAAAGGCTGTTCAGCAGTCGAAGACAGCTACCCAGAAGGAGGAAGTGAAGCGCGCTGAGGTCCGTGTAGCACAGCTCCCTCAGCCGAACGTACAAGCTGACACTGTAAAGCAGACCTTGCATGTATCCACCGAGAAGAAGTCGAACTCCAGCGCCGCTAAGTCTGCTGTAACGCGCTCGTCCAAGAAGGCTGCCGCACCTAAGTCCATCGCCAACAAGCCTACTGTGACATCACAAGAGGTCACTACCAAGCTCTCCGAAGACGCCTCCCGCGGCGTAGCGTTCAAGGCCAAGCAGAAACCTTCTCATCGTCGACTGCTTTACGCAAGTCAATGACTTCCACATTTTCCAAGGAGACCGCTACGGCCAAGGACAAGGTGGCTCCTTTTACACAGAAGACTGTCGTGCCTACCAGCCGTGTCCCCACCACCACACAGGCTCCAAGTCCAGTATGTTTGACGATCTGCTTAAGTGCTAAGGCTCCGGTCGTACAGCCCAAGATACCGACTCCCGTTGAAATGGTTCTAGCATGAGAGCCATAGCTTGCTGCTCGCAAGACTCCAAAGGACACCAACGTGCCAGCGCCTACCAAGCCTACCAAGTCACATGCGGCAACATCAATGACCGAGTCGCCAACATCCAAGTGTAATGCCAACGGCAACTGTATTGATAAGGGCAATTTCGTTCGTCCGGATACACCTCGTAAGCTAGCAGAGCCGGTCCTGACTCGTAAACCTTACAACGAGGCTGCCAAGTCCTCAGTTCGTAACGCACCAGCTGCTACACCGACGGCTGATATTGATGGGCGCGCAACTTTGCAAGACAAGGCCAACAAGCGCAAGTCCGCACCTTGGTTTCAATCAAAACCATCTGCTGATACTAGCACGCCTTCGCAACCCGCCAAACCAGTCATCAAGTAAAAGACCTTCATCGCTGATGGCAAGCTCACTGCGGTGAACGGGAAGCTCGAGCCGACTTCCAAGCGCCAGCGTGCCACTGAGGACACTCATCCTACCGAGCGCCCTACCAAGAAGCTTGCGACGAAGCAGACTGCTATTGAGGACATCAACCACGTCGACTCTAAGCCCGCCGTCGAGTCCAACGCAGACGCTCTTGTTGATGCTATATCATCACCAGAGCTCGTCCATGACCAACTCGCCATTGACGGGACCTTCCAGGGAGTCGCAGCAGGCAAGCAATGCACCTAGCTGCGAACACAGTGTCAGCCACGAATAAGCAAGAACGAGGACTAGAAGACACCAACATGGATATTCTCTTCAAAACGGCGGTGGCGAACAAGACACGAAAGGAAAGTGGTGTAGTTGAGGGATTGTAGTGGTGGGGCGAGTGGGCGATGTGGAGTTGCGCTGACAAGGGATGGATGTCCAGTGAACGCATTGGCAACGACTTGGTAGTGAGTGGGCGTGGAAGCGCTAGTGCAGTTATCTGATTGACTGGCGGTTGTGGAGGTGTTTAGGAAGGATGATACCCAGGCATGAGGCCCATTGCAGAACATGAACTACACAACGGCAACTATGAAGTCGATGCCATGGCCTTCCCTGTTCTGGCAACATTGCAGTCATGTTCCTTGGCAAGGTGTGAGCACCTTGACATCTCCCCTGGCCTACCCATCACAGCACTTTACACGCGTCAAGAGGATAGTCTGGAGTTTTTGTTGTATTTGCATTTCTGTACATACACATCTTTCTTTGGTATATCCCCACAAAACGCCGTCATCCACACTATGTACATGTAGGAATCTCCCACTGCTTCGGTGTGTGCTGCAAAGAAAGCGCCCGTGGAACCGAGTCGCTACGTAAGGAGATGTATGTTCGTGACATGAAGAAAAGGAAAGACGCGCCAGCCCTCTATGAAGGCAAATGCAAATGGGCCGGGCGATATGTGTGTGTGTGTGTGTGAACAAACGATCGCTCGAAAGCCGAGGATGTGAGGGAAGAGGAAAAGAGGATCAGTCGCCGCTCAAACGGTGGTGAACTGAGTCAGGAGAAGGGAAGGAGAACAGTCGCCGCTTGAAAGAACAAAAGGCGACGCGCTGAACAAGACATTAAGGTATCTCGAAATGTTGAAAGGCCAGGCGATGCGAGTGTTTTTGCTGGGCGTGAGAAAACCTTTTGTACAGAGTCGAAGGAGAAGTCGAATCGAAAGTCGAAATGAAATCGCAAGGGCAACCGCGGAGAATGGGCCTGGACGAGGCCGGTGCAACAGCACGCAAGGACACCAGTAAATCAGACGAAGACGCGACGAATCAAGGAGCCTCAGTTTCAGCCCCCCAATCCCCGTCTAGGTCTCTCATGCTATGCCATCCCTACATAGCACTAGCCCCCGGATACCTCCCCGGCGCCTGCAACCCGTTCTGCATCCCCATCATCGTCGCAGGCGGCTGAATGCCCCTTCCTCTCCCTCTAAACGTGCCCCTCCCGCGTCCCCTCCCCATCCCCACCCCGGGGATAGCGAAATCAGGATTCGCCGCATTCGCATCGAGAATCACATCCTCAGGCCTCATAGGCCTGCCACCACGGCCGTTAGGTCCGTTGCCAGCGTACGGCCCGAAGTTTCCCGCCGGCGCGCCCATTTCCGGGCGCCACGCGGGATTCACAGGGCGTTGTGATACAGATGTGAAGTGCGAAGCTTCTGAGGCGGCCGGACTGCGCGAACCGTCGGGCAGATCATCATAGCTGCTTGTGCGCGGGAGGTTCGGGTCGCTGAGCTGCTGCGGCGCCTGGGGCGCAGAGAGTAAGTTGGGGTTCGGATTGTACGTGCTGGGCATGCCGCCGGGCATTAAGCTTGATGGCATCGGGGGTGGGTTTGGGCGTGTGGGTTCGGCGAATTTCGGGTCGACGTCTTCGTAGTAGTCAGAGCTGCGCTCGATACTGTTGCTGTGGGTGTGTGTGGGCGGTGCGAAGCCGACTTGGGAGAGTTGCGCGGGCATTTCGACGGGGGAGTCCATGATCGGGGAGAGGCCGCGGGAGTTGGCGCTGTTCTTGGAATTGTCGGAGGTTTGGCGGTCTTGCGTCCAGTTGGAGCGCGCGGGCATGTATTGTTGGGGTTGGAGACCTGACTGTTGTGATTGTTGTTGTTGTTGCTGTTGCTGTTGCTGCTGCTGTTGCTGTGGTGGGAGGAGTTCGCTGTTGAATGTCAGATATGCGTCAAGATTATGATAATGCGAAACTCACTCTTGCGAGTATGAGCTCGTCGGACTCATCAACTCAGACGGCCTACGCTGCGGCGAGCTCGCTGGGAAACCGCCTTGCTGAAGCGCCAACATGCCCTGAACATCTCCGTCGCTTTCTCTCAAACCATAGTTCGGGTTCGGGTTCGGGTTCGGGTTCGGGTTTACTGGTGGTGTTCCAGTACGTGAGTCCATCTCGATGGCTTGTCCTATCGCCAGAGGAAGCTGTGGAGATGCGCCCCTGTTGCCTTGGCCATAAGGCGACTGCTCGCGCGGTGGCGGACCTTGCCCATGAGAGCCTTGACTGTAGTTGTTGTAGCCCGGAGGAGGAGCACCTCGTCCCATAGGCCCAGGTCCTATTCCACCAGGTCCGCCACGCATTGGTCCACCTCGCCCACCTTGCCAGCCTGGCGGTGGAGGACCGCGCATACCTCCTCGTGGCCCGCCGAATCCTCCTCTTCCAGGGACGCCGTAGGGAGTGCCTCGTGGTGGGTAACCGCCTCGTCCCCTCACTGGACCTCCTCGGCCGCGTCCTGGGCCGCCTGGGCCAGCGTTCATCATGTACTGATCCTGGGGCATCGGTGGGATAGGGTTTCCGTATTGATCAACAGGCTGTCGTCCACGACCTAAGGGACCACGCATTGGCGCAACCATTGGATCCGAACCTTCTCTTCCAGCACTGCTGTTCGTCTTGAGCGAGGGGTTCCGCTGGTTAAGTGGCGTCATATCCTCAGGCGAATGCTGCTTTTGAAGCTCGAACGACGCATGTTCGTTGTCTTTCATCCCAGACGACATGGTATCGTTCGACATCGGTGGCGGAGATTCGGCCTTGGGGAATTCGGTGGTCAGTCTCGCATCACTGGGGCGGTTCGCGTAGTACGTCTGTCCGTTCATGTCGTCGTTCTCTGCAATACGCCTCTTACGTGCCTTGCGGCTGACCAGCGTCCGACGCATAGCACATGTCACGATTCCACTCGCCACAATGATGATGGTGGCTGCTAAGACGATCCATCCTCCCCAAGCCACGTGCGGTACGAAGAGCAGAATGTCGACCAGGAATGCCAGCAGCGAGACCAGAAGCGTGGGGAAGGTGAAGATGAGCAGGGCAAGCAGGTAGCGCGGCGAGTGGGCGGGCGAGTGGAAGTGGGCAGCGATGGCGAGTCCGAAGCAGATCAGTGTCATGAGGGCCGCAATGGGGTGCACGATGAGGATGGAGGAGAGAGCATGGCGCGAATTTGCAGGCAGCGAGAAGTCGGTGTTTGGCTGATCCTGGAATAGTGTCTCTGTACGTCACGGTCAATTGCAGCCATTGCATAGATATATCGAACAGCATACCAGTGTCGTAGCCAATCATGGGTCCCTTGCAGCTGCCTCCATCGGGACAGTAGCCCAGCACACCAAAGTTGATGTTGCGGTAGGTCGCAATGGGTATGGCCGGGACAATGGGCGTGGAGATGGTCGACAGGAGCAGCAAGCAAAAGGCGACGAAGAACAATATGGATAGGGGCGTCGCCGGGCGAAGCATGGTGGGCTACAGATGGGTGAGTCTGCGCGGAAATCCGGCGCGCACGAGACCGGCTCGGGGGTGGTGGTGAAGGTGGTGGTGGTGGTGGTGGTGGTGGTGGTGAGCGACTGTCGCGGGCGCTGCGCAGTCGGGGCGGTGCTGCGAGCTTGCGGTTGAGGACGGCCCTACGCGCGGTGCGGCAGCGTGAAACGAGTGACGATTGGAGTGGGACAGGCGATGCTTGTGTTCGCGCTCTACCACATTGACACAGGAGTGGAGCGCAGCAACGTGGGCAATAGTCTGGCAGCGCGCGCGCACGCTTTTGGACCGCTGGATGGCGCTGTGGAGGTTAGCAATCGCGCGGGGAAGTGGGCGCAGTGGTCCAGTGAGGCAGGAGTGACCGCTAGAGGCAGCTTAGGGCAATGAAAGCAGGCCTGGAGCTACGGAACAAACAACGGCTGTCCGGCCAATTAGAGAATTAGATGCAAAGCGAGCGTTGAGCGACACCGTCTCGAAGGCTGCCGGAGGTGAATAGAGTTTGCAAAAGACAGACGCGTGGGAGTGTCTTGCACCGCTGCCTCATCGTCCACTCAATATTGCATCCTCCAGAAATCCACCAATGCAGGCAACCAGGCTGCTTGGGACCACCATTCCCTCCGAATCCACGCTGCCCGCCCGCGTCTCATTTTACACGCGTTGCACAGGCCGTCGGGGGAGGCACGGCCCCTGCTATCCCAAATTCAATACTCTGCCCTGCCGTCTTTAGCCTCTTGGTCTCCATTCCTGCTGCTCTGACACCTCCTACTCAAACAAACGCCTGTCGAGGCTGATGGAATTGCATGTTTTTTGCCTCGAATCCCATCCAAAGCCACCATTGGCACCAGGCTCCGGTTTTCTGAAACGCTATGCGCCCTGGTTAAGAGCCTCATGTCCTCGTCGCTTGCACCCGGGAGGGCCATCTCAATCTCTTTGCGCCAGGGGAGCAGATAGCGCTTCCGTCCCCTGTCCATAGCACCGACTTATCAGTCGTCAGGCACGCTGCATCAAGTCTGTCAAATGGAAACGCCACAGGCACGCATATAGCTCGAGTCTTATCGCGTGTGTAAGCAGGCAGTTGAAGTGTTCATTTGATTCTCATTTGGTATTCGTATGATATGCAGAATGACCCCAGACCCGTGACTTCCCCACGAGCGACCAAACGCCTGGTTTTTTGGTATCCGAGCCCCGCAAGGCACTTCATACGGTCATGTCTGAGCTTCGTATGCTAACCTGCTGCTTCCCACTTTTCACACTTACTGGCCGGCAATGGCGTAAGCCCTGCGGCGGTCACGCTCGTCGGCAATGGAGAGCTTGACACCCTTGCCCTTGGGAAGGGAGATCCAGGGCTTATCCTGTCCGATGACGATAACGTTGGACTCACGAGTAGTGAACTCGTTGTCAACGGCATCCTTCAAGTGAACGATGTTGAAGCCACCATCGTGACGCTCACGGTGGGTGATGACACCAACACGACCCATGTTGCGACCACCAGTGACCATGACGATCACACCAGTGTCGAACTTGATGAAGTCGGAGATCTTGCCAGTAGCAAGGTCGACCTTGACGGTGTCGTTGACCTTGATGGCGGGGTCGGGGTAACGGATGCTACACAGATCATTAGCATGATATCAAAAGACATCGCCAGATCCTGGTCGGATGCCGGGTGCGAGAGGTTGCCCTGCTCAGCACCTAGCCCAAACTTGGTCCAACGTCTGACAGAGCGGGAACTTACGTTCGCGCATCGTGCGTAACCAAGTAGGGAATGCCACCCTTGCCAAGCTGAACACGCTTGACCTTGCCGAGCTTGTATTGTGCCTCCTCAGCGGTGATGCGGTGGATGGTGAAGCGGCCCTTGGTGTCGTAGATCAGGCGGAAGTTCTCGCCAGTCTTCTCGATGGAGATGACGTCCATGAGACCGGTGGGGAAGGTGCTGTCGGTGCGGACCTTGCCATCGACCTTGATCAGGCGCTGCTTGACGATCGCCTTGACCTCGTTACCGTTGAGCGCATACTTGAGGCGGTTGCGGAGGAAGATGATCAACGGCAGCGAGTCGCGGAGCTTGTGAGGACCGGGGGAGGCCTTGGGGGCGTAGGCACCTGGGATGTGTTAGTACTGCTGTGCTTCGAGGTTGCGCATCTGCAGACGATGCGATTGCGGGCGTCGAGCATACCGGACAGTTTGTCCAGGAGCCAGTGGCTGGGCGCGCTGAGGCGCTTCTGGTGCTTCTTTGGTCCACGGCCCATTTTGACTGTTGTGTGAGGTTAGTCGTCGATGATGAGGGATCCTGTCGAAAAAGAAGTCTTCGAGAGGGAAGTCGCGATGGGCAATATTCTTAGCGAGTGTGGTGGGTCGTTAGTAAGCGAAAAGTGGGTCTCTCGTGGCCGCGCATCAACCATTAGTGCTCGAGTGCCTCCAAGGCTCGCCAAAGAACTTGGACTTTACTGCGCCAGTCTTTGCCAAAGCGCCGCTGCTTATAACGGAGATATCTTTCGAACATCGCATTGTGTGTGTTTCAGAGTACTGCCGCGCAATGCATCTGCATGTAGAACTCTTTGGGTGGTATCTTGTTCATGATTTTGATCCAATCTCAACTCCGTACATCTAGTCTAAGCGTATCCCTTCAGTACCGCCGCCTCAGCGTTCAATATCGACGAACCAGCAGCGCCAATAACAGTGTTGTGGCTGAGCGCAACGAACTTGATGTCGAAGATGCCCGACTCGTCCTCACGCACGCGACCAACACTGACAGCGTAACCTCGATCTGTCTCCCTGTCCAACCTGGGCTGCGGCCTGTCTGGCTGATCCATGACCACAATAGCCTTCTCCGGCGCCGAAGGGGCACCCAACTTCTGCACGTCAGACACATACTCGCGCATAGCCTGCTTGACCTCCTCCGCGCTGGGCGGCGGGCGGCGCTGGAAGCGCAGCGAGACGCAGGCTGTATGTCCATCAAGCACGGGCACGCGGTTGCATGCCGCAGAGATCTTCATGGGCCTGTCAACAAAGCCGGTAACATCGTCGTTGACGCTGCCCAGGATCTTGGATGCCTCGGTCTCGAGCTTGTCCTCCTCGCCTGAGATGAACGGCACTACGTTATCGATGATGTCCATGCTGCTCACACCTGGGTACCCTGCGCCTGACACAGCCTGCATTGTGACGACCGAGACCTGGTCGATGGGACCGAACTTTTCTAGCGCGGCGAAGGGGATCACTATGCCGATGACGGCGCAGTTCGAGTTGCAGACGAGGAAACCCTTCTGCAGCTTGTGGTGTTCTCTTTGGTGCTTGATCACGTCGAGATGTGCGAGGTTGACGGTGGGGACGACGAGGGGAACAAGAGGGTCGCGGCGGTAGTTCTTTGCGTTGGAGAACACGGCGAGGTTCGACTTAAGGAAGGACATCTCTGCATAGTATTAGCGACTGGAATGCACACGTGACTGAAATACGTACCAACGTCTCCAGCAACATCGCTGTCGAGTCCAGAGAAGACCAAATCGCAGTCTGCAAACTCCTCTGCTGTGCACTTCTTCACCACCAGATCGCCAATGCGGTCCGAGTAAGGCAGGGCCTGCTTCCACTTGACAGCATCCTTGTACTTCTTGCCCGCTGAGCGCTCAGAAGCACCAACAGCGTGCAGAACAAAGTGCGGGTGAAGTTGTAGCAGCAAGATGAAGCGCTGGCCTACAGAGCCCGTGGCGCCGAGCACACCTGCCACTGTCAGTAAAGCAACAGTTATAGCAGACTAATTGACATACCGCACTTCTTCTTGGGGAAGTTCCTGTTGTTTGATGTAAAGCTTACTGCGTCCATGTTTGCTGGTAGAGACTTGGTGGGATTGAGTCAATCGGAGGTCTAACAACTTTATGACAATGACGCGGGGTGCTGTGACTGGTGGGGGCTGGAACGAACGACCGATCCCGGAGCGTGGACGGAGGTCCGCGTGCAACAAATTTCACCAACACTGACTTCGGCAGCATCGGCATACGATATGTGTGGTGATGCCGTGCTTCATTTTGAGATCGCAAGATGGTGCCGAAGATGTATGTACAGTTATGTACTCCGCAAATGCCGTTTTGTCAGACATCCTCCCAACGCGAGCTTACAGTACGCCAAAAGAATGCTGCAAAGTCGACCCATGTCCAGCCTCATGCCTTCGCATCCATGATCTTTCCGGGGTTCATGAGCCAATGCGGATCCAGAGCACCCTTGATGCTCCTCATAACATTGATCGTGTCGAACCCGAGCTCCTTCTGCAGTGAGGCTTTCTTGCCCAACCCAATGCCATGCTCGCCGGTGCAAGTACCCTCCATCTCAAGTGCGCGCTCGACCATGTCATGAACACACTTCTCGACAGCCGCACGCTCTTTTGGATCCTTGCTGTTGTACATGATGCTTTCGTGGAAGTTGCCATCTCCAATGTGTCCCAGGATACTTGCAAAGAGACCGAGGTCATCCATTTCCTTCTTCGAGATCTCTGTATCACAGTCAGTATGCGAATTCACCTGACGTAGTATTTCTTTGCGTACCTATAATGTCTGGTAATCTTGAGATTGGAACAGCTACGTCTGTCGACCAGACTTCGTCACCTTCTCTGCGAATTGCCATCATGCTCCAGAGAGACTCTTTGCGTGCCGACCAAAGCTGTCTGCCTTCTTCGGCGGTTTTGGCGAACTCGAAGTCACCGCTCTTGTGCTTCTTGGAAATGTCCTTTACCAATTGGATGTTTTCTTGCACCTGTGCTGGTCAGCATCATTCGTTGGTTGCATAATTGTGCGCACTCACTCCTGCCTTAGTGCCCGAAAACCTATTCACAATGATTAGTCTTGACCTAGGTGATGCTTCGAATCCTTCAGAAACCTACTTGAAGAACATGGTTGGGACCTCCTTCCATTTCCTGTGCGTCGATCCAGCTTTGTTGATCACACCCATCTGCACGTCGTCCATGATCTCCATTGCAGCAACAGGTACGCCTGCTCGTAGGACTTTTGAGGCTGCAGCTGCAGCATCGCGGATCGTGGGAAACGTAACGACAGCGACGCTGGTCTCCTGGGGGATGACGGCCAATTTCAGTGTGATTTCCGTAACGATGCCCAATGTGCCTTCAGAACCAACGAAGAGATTCGTAAGGTTATAACCGGCTGAAGATTTCCTGTGCGTTGTCAGATCTGCCTAGTCATGATTTGATGATGATCTCTTACCGTGGCCGCTTTCTCGTCTTGATCACTGTGCCATCAGCCAAAACGACTGTCAGGTTGATGACCCATTCTTTCATCGTGCCATATCGCACAGCATTCGTTCCACTATTACAGTCTCAGTACGAGCGTCATCGTGACTTTTGGCGAAAGTGTTACCTGCAGCTCGTGCCGACCATGCCGCCAATTCTAGCCTGTGTCAGCGATTAGCGAAATCCGGATTGCCGATTTGGGTGATGCCGAATGCAAATTGATACCTTCAAAATGCGTCACTTACAGATGGCCCAGGGTCCACGGGAAAGAACAGACCGGAGTCTTTGATTTGATCATTCAGGCTCATCCAAGGCACGGAAGGCTGAACGACGACATCCATACTATAAGTCTCAATCAGCCTCGTGATGACTTCCCTTCACTGGATCTCTAAGCTTACTCATCCGCGTGCAGCGCAAGAACTTGATCCATTAACGTGAAGTCGATGCTCATGCCACCAAAAGGAGCAGAGAAGTTGGCCTCGAGACTCGATCCTCCAGAGTATGGGACTGTAACAGGTCAGTCTCAAGCTCGGCGCGCGCATGCTCGTTCGTACTCATGGGAATCTTGTACTTGTGGCATACTTGCGCAAGCTGTGACACCTCTTCTGTAGACTTGGGGTAAGCTACCGCGACCGGGAGCTGATCGATATTGATCGAGGACCATTCTGAGTAGCCATGCCTATGGAGATCTTCATCATCCGTACTGATTGTATCCTCGCCGAATGCTGCTCTTAGCTCCGCGATTGCCTGAACATGGTCAATAAGGATGCATTACTGTCTTGACACTTGGTCGACCTGCCTTCTCCATCTCTTTCTTTGAGGCATATTGCGGTCCCGTAGACTTCATCCACGGAAGCTGTAGCTTCGAGGCATCGTTGATACCATACAAGTACGTCGCTGTGCCGGTGGAAGCCGAGAATAGTAGTACTCTGCCTGTTGTCCAGAATGCCTTTTGAGCGTGTACAGGTCTAAGTCCAGACTTGATGTTTTGGCTGGGTCCAGATGTTCTTGCTCGAGAGCCGCCACGTTTGAGCAGAGGTGAGGCAGACTGTCTTAGTCTCACGATCGGTTGACGAAACATAATGAGGTAAGTGGAAAGCACTGAGGTGAGGTTGGAGTAAGCTGTGCGGCGGCTGGTGAGACTAAAAGGTAGAGTCCACTTTCAATGCCCACGGGGTCACGCGGCAAGCTCGAAGCTACGGGAATAGAGGCATGAGGTCAAGCACCGCTGTGGGACTCGGCAGCAGTTCAAGGGCTGGAGAGCCTCCAGGAAGCGGGTCGTAGGCGAGGATAGCCTCGGACTAGACGCTGCTGGCGCTACTCGCCTTGTGGGCATCATGTCGAGCAGCGGCGCACAGGTAAAGCCTCAAAGGCATCTAGGCGTGAGAGGCTGACGAGATTTTGATCACGTCTCAGACTTTCGGCTCGCGCAGCAACGTGCGATGGATGTGCTGCATGGTCATCTGCAAGGGGTCTGTAAAAAGCAAGGTAATTGCGGGGAAGACCAGGGCGACAGTTGTGTTTTGAACGAGAATCCGGGTAACGTTCCGACCTGTCGCCGTCGCGTGACGAGGCACCTTGGATCTCCAACGGTGGCATACGAGCTTCAAATTCGTATAATGCGAAGATGCGGCGCAGTTCAAAGCTGCATGCCATGATCTGAGATAGGATCGTGGTGAGCGGGGTTGTCCGATAGCTTGGACCATGGGAATCCTCAAGAGCTTGAGGCTCTCGACGTTCCCTGCAACTGCAACTGCGAATGCATGGCAAACACTCGTCGGTGGTCATTGGGTGCTAGTGATACAATTACTCACGAGAACACGGAATCCTGGTTCGTGCAGCGCATGAACGCTGGCTGAGAAGATGCGTGGGGGTAGAGGCTTTGCATCCTTCGCCAATTCATCCCACTCTTGTTCCTCAATGCGATCTTAGGCCTTTCGTGATCGATGACAGCGGGGCGTCAAACCCGGTTCAAATGCCGCTGTAACGGCACGCGACTGCGCTAAAACCAGACGTCTTCCGAAGTCGTTGAGGTCTGATGGAGCGCTGGGCTGTGAAGGTGCATGCCTCAACATAAGCAGCTGCCCAAAGCAACAAAGCGCCCGAGCTATACCCGCGGAGTAGGAAGGGGGATAGACAAAAAAACAAAGCTAAAGTGACGTCTCGCCGCACAGGATGGAACAAGCCGAATTGAGGTCAATGTCTGATGCTGGCGTTGCAAAGGCTGCTGGCGAAACGTGAGAGCGCGTGTTTTTCGTGCAAGCGCGGCGGCTCGGTTGTCATGCCAGTGCGACCCCAAACAATCTCGTTCACGCTCCACTACGAGCATCTGGACTTACTCCGCGCAACTTGACTCGACCCGGCATGGAGATGGATATCAGATCGGAGTTGTCGTCAGAACTGACGAGGATAATTGAATGTCCATACCCGGCCTCATTGTCCGTAAGTATTTGCCCCGCATCTTCCCAGCTTTGACAGTAGCACAAGACGGCAAATGACTTGATGCGTGTGCAGTTGATCTGCGGATGCTGACGCGCAGACAATACAGAAATTGAAAGATCTTCTTGCTCATGCGGATGAAGTGACCATACAGTCCTGCATCCATGATCGACCACCATGTGCCATGACGAGGCTGGCCACACTCGTTTGCGATGCATTGCCACTATGGGCATACACTTCGCACGTGTTGCAGCTTCTCTGTACGCATGAATCTATGCTGTATCGTAACGGTATTAGCTGATGATTCCTACAGGTTGCTCTCCAGAGTTCACTGAGAAGCTCTTGCTGCAAAGTCCAGGACTTCTCAACGCTCTGCTAGTGAAAGCAAACACTTCACAACGAGACTTCGACGATGTGAGTCTGACATTGTGTTTAGCTAATCCACGCTGAGGCTTTCAGTATCTGGGACTATGCGTACAACTTCTATCCAGACCGCTTCCAGAGTCCATCTCACTACCCGCAAGTGCTCAGTCGTTCTTCCTCCGCGTGTTCGAGCGAGCCACGCAAAATCCAGATGTAAGCACACTCCGGCCTGTCTACAGCATGCTCAATGGAGCGTGTCGAAAGCTCCTCAGCCTTCTGCCATCCGAGGTACGACAGCAGTTCGATCGAGAACTGTGTCACATCCTATCTTCAAATGGTACCGGACAAAACTCCATGTTGCTGGTGTGGTGCTTTGGAATAGTCATTCTCGCAGAGCATGCGGAAGATTTCAGTGCTTCACAGAACTTTGGGCTAGAGCAGCCAATGTCGACAGCAGGTGTCGAGAAGCAATGGACAACGGCATCTGGACGCAAGCTTTTTGGTTCTACCAACGGGCTGTACAAGACCATCAACTTGACCTACCTCAGTGTGATCTGGGCTACGAAGGGAGACGTTGGCGTGTCAGACGCCGAGGCCATTGAAGGCATACGGATCGCTGTGAGAACGTTGCGTTTCGTTGATATCGAGGCACGAGCAGGCTGGCCAAACTCCAGCGCTTTAGCGAAGAACATCTTCCCCAAGCTTCCAGCCAAGATTTTACGTGAAGGTATAAACCCGGCCGTTCAACTTGAGGCCTTATGTTTCTACGCAATGATCACAGGTGCAAACAATCTTCCCATGGAAATTGTAACACAATATCAGCGCTGTTTGGCTACACTGGAGGAGCTTGCGGACGCCGACTCTCTGCGTGAGATCCTACTAGTGTCTCTCCCTGTTTTTGCCGTGAGTAGAGCGTCGAACACTTCCTTTGACGAGACTGACCGAAATAGCCTCAAATGCAAGACAGCTTGTTCCGGACATTACTCTCAGACACCCTCGATGCTTGCGTCGCAGATTCAGCTGCCCGCCCATTGACCAACCTTGTCACTTTGGTCGATACATTGTCTGCTGTCTCGTCAGGTTGCGCGGCTTTGAGCGCGAAACTACTACTGGCTCTTTCATCGACAACATTACAGGGCAAAGTCTGGAACCTCGTCCGGACCCATATGACAACTGTAGACATTGTTTGTCATACATATGCTGCTTCCTTGCATCGAGACGCATTTGCCGCTACAATCTCATTGATGTTGAATCTGACTATCTCAGCGCGGCCCGAGGAGCCATCACTGCCACAACAACTTGCGTCTGCCTTGATTGCCAAGCAGCGTAAGCTCCCTCATGTTCCCAAGAAATGCTCACATGCGGCGAGTCATCCGAGTGGTCCATCGATATCATTATTCCAGCAAGAGTCAACTCCCTTTACTGGCCAGCATCTGCAAGATTGGAGGAATCGTCTCAAGTCCGAACTGGAAAGCCAAAACTCCTATCAGCGCGATTCCATCGTACGCTCGGTTGCGCAGATCTGTCAAGATCTTGAAACGCGTTGCAACACTGTAGAGGAGCCACTTCGCCGGGAGAAAGCAAGATCGCAAGAGCTCGAGAAGCGTGTGGAAGAGCTAAGCGAACAGGTCTCGTCACTCGAGTCGCAAGCGGCAGATGACCGATTCCACCTGGATGGGTTGGAAGACGAGAAGCTTGGTCTTGCAGATGAGAAGGACCGCATTTCTGTGAAACTCAATGAGCTCCGAACACAGTTTAAGGAAGCCAACCGGAATGCGGACGAGGCCCTCCGCACCGCTCAGGAAGAGTTCAATGCAAGAGAGCTTGAGTTGCGCTCGACGATCCTGAATCATGAGGAACAGCTTCGTACCCGCGAAAACGATGTTCGAGAGCTGAACGGTACAGTTAGCGAAGTCAGAGACTCTTTAGAGCACACAGAAGAGGAGCTTCGTGCTATTGGCGAGCGATACGAGGACTTGCAGACTCGCCTTGGCGACACTGGCCGCCAGCTGGATGACGAGCGCGAGGCGAAGTCCAGGCAATCCGAAGAGATCCTGAGGCTCAAAGAACGTGGCATCAACCTCGAGCATCAACTTCAAACGACTGAATCAGAGTTGGAGGCCATCGCTGGGCAACTCAGTGATCTTGAAGTCAGCCACCAAGAACTCAAGCAGTCTTCTGTGGATGCATTGAGGGAATTGGGGGTCAAGTATACAACTGACATGGAAGCCGCTGCTGCCAGAGCTGAAGAGGAGTGCACCAAACTTAACAGCAAGCTCACAGACACGCTTCAAACAAGTCGACAGTTGAAGGATGCGCATGATAAGACTCGAAGGGAGTTGCACTCTTTGCAGAACACATTCTCGGCCCTCGAAACCAAAGCACAAGGACTCGATGTTCTTTGTGGGGAGCAAGAGGAGGAGCTGGAAGAGCTGAGGACTTTGCGTAGGAATGTGCTGGCTTCAATGGGGCTTGCGACGCAAAATTCGTTAGCAATCCGCTCAGCATCTCGATCACAGAGAGACGGCACTATGCCAGAGACTCCTCGGGAACCACGAGAGCACAGGCGACGAAAGTCGGCAATTCATACCCGGGACCTTGCGCCAAAAGCCACGACAGCAACCCAAGGCTTCAGCAACACGGCTATGGAGAACTTTGCTGAAGCATCATTCGCCTCCTCCAGTCACGACTCGCAGAATGGCTCAACACCAAAACGCCAGAAACGTCACCCGTCTTTGAAGGTGCCTACGATGCAAACGCCATTCAATCAGAAGCCAGCTCTCGCTTCATGTTCAACATCAAAGAAGCTATCGCCTGTCAAGCGCTCTGCTTTACGACAGATGTCTCCAAATCGCCGACACACTACAGTTGGCTTTGCATTATCTGAGACTGAGGACCAGGGGCAGGTGCAAGAAGGCGGTTCGACAAGGAAGAGGCGAGGCAGTCTCCGTGGAGGTTCACAAGAGGGCTTTGACATGGATGACTTCCTTGCAGGTACACCACTAACACCCGGTGCATTCGCATCAGGCACCGGAAGAGTCCCAGAGGACGACGACGCAACGACCACAGAGCTATGAGTTCGATGTTTTGGCGCACCGTTTGCATAGATGGTTGGCATTTGTGTATTTCGCGTCTCAGGCAGCCGCACGGGTACCTGCATGTCTGGCGTCCCAGGAGTTGATCAAAGCTTGAAGACTCTATGTCTCATTCTTACTTGTACCTTTCGATTTGCCTTTACTTGTCTAGTGCCTGTCTTACTTTAGCGTCGCGATCGTTATCCATTCTCGCGCTCTCTCTTACACTTAATTTTATCCAACTACTCTTCCCCCACGCTAACTACTGTGGCTCGGTTCCGAATTCCATCTCTATTTCCCAAGACCGAATTTGAGGAGCACTGCAGTCGTTTCGGTAAACACTTTTTTCATCACTATCTCGCCAGATCCAGTCGCACTCACCATCTGCTCGTTTTGGTCAAAGCAGCACTTCATCTTCTCCTACATTCTCTCACACAATTCTACCAGTTGGTATCCATCAACGTCTGATTCTGTCATCTCTCTGGGAACAGTGCTTGCAATTTCGAGCATTCGGATTGCGCCTGTGATCTGACAATTGAATTCATCTCGCTACATCCTCATCAACGCCCCTCCAAACAACAAACAACAATCACACCTGCCTCGACAGACCCATTGCAACTTGACCGAAGTCACAGACTGGAGCTATTACAGTTCACAAAGGCTTTCTTTACGCTGCAGCATAACCGTGCGAGCCTTCACCTGGCCGCATCCGGGGCCGCCCCTCCACCGCTCCTGACCTGACCAAATTGGCAGTCGCAAACAAACGCTTCTCGCCACCTCTCGCACCTACCCCTCCTGCTTGGCTTTTACGACAGCAAGCGCGCTGATAAACAAGCTACTTCACTCTACTTCTCACTTTGCTAACCTCCTCTACACCATCCCCCCCCCCCCCCCCACACCAATATCGAACACAACCTACACATCGACACACCTTAGGACAATCGAGAAGGCTAATGTGAGTGAGGGTCCTTGAAATCCGACCTCGCTTAAAGCTTGTAAAATGTGTCGCCAGAACAACGGTCGCTTGCAAAGCGGCTACAGAAGATACGGCAAGCATGGTGAGAGTGGCAACCCGGACGGTCATGCATACTCGAGCAGCTCTGGTGGCTCCAACAGACAAGCTGGCCCTACTCGGCCCGTCATTAGACCTTCCTCGAACCCAGCCAGCCGCGTGAAGACTCCTGAGCAGCAAGATGCAAGCCCCAGTCGGGTCGACTCGCCCTTTGCACCGGAGATGCCTACCAGCGAGCAATCATCCTTCACATTAAACGGTCATCAGATCAGTGAGATGTTCAAGGCTCGATCGAGCGCGACTGCCAGCCCACCAAAACCGTCGACACCAGTCTCTCCAGCCACCAGGATCGACAGCCCTCGTCAACCTTCTAACCACCAAAATGCATCAAGCAGGCCTCTTACGCGCAATACTAGAGGGCAATGGGATTTGGAGCAGGAGTTCAAAGTGAAGATTTTTGGTATACCCAAGCAGTACTGGACCAAAGATATCTACTTCGCCACGTCCAGGTTCGGTACCGTGACAAGGATCGAAATGGAACTTCTCAGCCGAGACAACAATGCATGGGTGACCTTACAGTGGGTCTATTTACTCAGCTTACAAGCTTATAGCTAACGCCGATCTCATAGATCTCCTCTGAACAGCTTGCCTTCTCAGCTTCGCATCGGCCCAGACTTCGTGCGCTGCGAGAAACGCACAGCATGCACGAAACCCATTCCTAGCCCTGTGGATCCAACCACCCAGTATCAGGAGTTCAACATCCTTTTTGCCAACTCGCTCAGCTTTGGTGTACAGACTGGAGAGATGAGCCTGGTCAACATGCACGAAGTGGACACTATCGGCAGGGTCCAGATCATGTTGAATCTAAGACGAAAAGAGCTTGAGATTCAATTTCCTTTGACGATCGATGATGAAACCCACCAATTCTGCTTCCTATTGCCGATCTCTCAACTTTCTTACATTCACAAGACACAGGATGGAAGTGGCTCATCTGCCTTGATCATTCCATTTGACCGTCCGCCCCACTTCTTTGTCCAGAAGAAGCCAACGATGAGCGATGATACTCCGTTTCCCACGAAAGAGCGCGTCTGGAATATTTGGAGCACTTTTTTCCGCAAAACCGATGTGGTCGATAGCTGCACAAGGGAAAAGATGCAAGTGCAGCCTTTGATGGATCACAAGGGTTCGGCAATCATCGACATAGGTAGGATTTCATTTTTCTGACGAGCGACTTGAGCTAACAATATCAGGTCACTGGACTATCTATCGCCTGTCATTCGACAATGGCACATTGCCTGGACCCAAGTTCAAGGAGTTTCGTAGTGCGCTTGTTGACTTTGGAGTCACGTTCCAGGACTGCGACCAGTTCACCATATCCTCAGGGCATCCGTCGTCTCTCTCGAACATGCTAGGTGAAGAGTTCACGGGCACACATTCGCATCTCAAGGCTTCGCACAAGACCTCTTTCTTCGAAGATTTTGCTGTCGATCAAGTCCACCTAACGTTTCCTGTACGCTATCAGCTTGAAGCATGCCTGTCGAATGGTTATATCAAAGAGAGCAGTGTGACTCGCGACTTCCTCACGAAGCTGGCATCCATGGATGCTCGTCGGGCCATTCACATCCTCGAAAAGGTGGTTGACAAGCAGTACGTCTACTACGACCCCATGGACATCTTCAAAATTCGCTTGAAGATCACATCGCAGAGGTCGATTCCCAAACACTGTGTGATGGAGCGATCCGTCAACATCACGCCAACCATGATGCATGTCGCATCACCAACCATGGAGGTCTCCAACAGGATCACTCGCCAATACGTTGCGGACGCCGACAGGTTCATCCGCGTCAAGTTTTCTGACGAGAAGGGCGAAGGTGCGATAAGGAACATCTCCGGCGACAGAGCCGGTGAGCTCTTCAATCGAGTCAGTCGTGCCATGAGAAATGGCATCGTCGTCGCTGGGCGATATTACGAGTTTCTTGCTTTTGGAAACTCACAGTTTCGTGAGCACGGTGCTTACTTTTACGCACCGACGTCCACCAAGTCAGCGCACGACATCCGTGTGACTTTGGGTCAGTTCGACCATATCAAAACTGTCGCCAAGTACGGTGCTCGGCTGGGACAGTGCTTCTCCACCACTCGCGCCATGCAAACAACTGTTAATGTACACAAGATTCCTGACATCGAGCGGAATGGCTACACCTTTACCGATGGAGTGGGGAAACTTTCTCTTTTCCTGGCTCAAATGGCTGCGCAAGACCTTGGCCTATATAACGCTTTCGACGATCCGCCATCCTTGTATCAGTTCCGTCTGGGCGGTTGCAAAGGTGTGCTTGCACTTGATCCAGCCATCACAAAGAAAGAGGTTCACATTCGCCCAAGTCAATTCAAGTTCGAGGCTCCATATACCGGCCTCGAGATCATTCGCTGCTCATCTCTTGCCACGCCGTTCTTAAACCGACAGATCATTGTCATATTGTCAGATCTGGGTGTGCCCGACGACGTCTTCATCCGGAAGCAGCAACAAATGGTGAATGCTTATGAGCTGGCCATGACGGACAAGACAGAAGCTTTGAACTGTCTTCTGAAACACATCGACATGAACCAGACAACTTTAACGATGGCCAGCATGGTCTTGGAAGGATTTCTGGACACCCAAGAGCCGTTCATGATGTCTCTCCTGAACCTCTGGCGAGCTAGCGCCATCAAGGAGCTGAAGAAGAAAGCTCGAATTGCTATCGACGAAGGCGCTTTCGTGCTTGGCTGTGTCGACGAATCCGGTACATTGCGAGGCCATCGTGATGAACCACAGTCACGGCTTGATGCAACCAGGGAAGAGAAGATCAGCACTCTGCCGGAGATCTTCATTCAAGTTGACGATACCAGCCGGAAAGGCCACTACAAGGTTATTGAGGGCATCTGCGTACTCGCGCGCAATCCATCTTTGCACCCTGGGGACATCCGTGTCGTTCGTGCAGTCGATGTTCCAGCTCTGCACCACCATAAGAACGTTGTCGTACTCCCACAGACAGGCGACCGCGATCTCGCCAACATGTGCTCGGGCGGTGACCTCGATGGCGATGACTACATGGTTTTATGGGACCAGAACTTGATACCGAAGATTGTCAATGTTCCACCGATGGACTTCACTCCCGAAAAGCCAGTAGAGAAGGTTGATCCCATTGACATATCGGAGGTTGGCGACTTCTTCGTCACGTATATGAAGAACGACTCGCTTGGTCAGATCGCTCACGCGCACCTGGCACAAGCTGATGATCAACCCTCTGGTGTCGACAGCAATATCTGCCTGGAACTGGCGAAGCTACATTCTCAAGCAGTGGACTACTCCAAGAGCGGTATCCCAGCTATCATGGAACATACACTGAGACCGATGAAATGGCCTCATTTCATGGAGAAGAGACACCTACCCACAAACCGGATCTACCAGTCCAAGAACATCTTGGGTATGTTGTATGATCAAGTGCAGCTTGTCGATTTCACCCCCACAGAGGAATATAATTTTGATCAGCGAATCCTCGACGCTATTGTTTCCGACAAGCCTCTGCTAGAGAAGGCAGCGCATATCAAAGCAAACTACGATAACGACCTGAAGAGGTTGATGGCGAAGCACGGTATCCAGACTGAGTTTGAAGCCTGGTCCGTTTTCGTGCTGGCGCATAACAAAGAGACTCGAGACTACAAATTTGCAGAAGAGTTCGGTCGGACTATTGGAGTCCTGAAAGCACAGTACCGAGAAACCTGCATCACCGCCGCTGGAGCGAAGAGCATCGCCGACTGGGAGCATATGGGTCCGTTCGTCGCCGCTATGTACTCTGTAAGCGCGCAACAGACGAGGGAAGCACTCAAGGAATGCAATACGAAGACCGTTCGAGGCCAGCAGGCAGCTGTGCGCGGGATGGACACGGAGAACATGCCCTTGATGTCCTTCCCGTGGTTATTCCACAAGGAGCTGGGAAAACTGGCAACCGGAAACAAGGCGAAGCCTGAGTTCGAGACGATTCAACTAAAGCGCCAACAAAGGCATCGCACCAATAACGCGAGAGAGACAGAAGTCGAGCCAGGCACGGTGGAGACTGCTGAAGGTATTACGCGATTTGGAGAGATGTTGAATCTGGACTTCGAAAAGACTCAGGGAACCGAGCAGCGGCAGCAGGATGGTTGTGAAGACCGGGAAGGAGCAGAGCTGGAGAAGTTGCATAGTGGGTCGCCGCCTATCGCGCCATAGCCGGCACTCGAACCGTGAGCTACTCTTCCAACCAGAGACAAGGCGTATGACAGGCGGTGGCCCGGAGAGGAGGGTTCAAGGTTGGAACGAAGGTAGAGAAAAGCACGGTCAAGCATTGCCCTGCGCAGAGGCATTCGGGAGTATCATTGATGGTGGACGGTGTACGAAAGGTAGCGAATCAGCAGAAAAGCACAAAAAAATCTGGAAAGAATCAAAACTACATATATCAGACCCAACAGGAAGCAGTGACGGAACGCTTCCAGCGGTAGGAACTTTGGGACGCCTCTTATCGATAACTTGCAAGCCATCCCAGAAATTAACCCTCATAATTTCTCCCCGCATCTGCTCACGATGAACTCGTCATCGCGCATACCACCTCTTGTACAACCCTATGTCAAGCTCCCTCGCGACGACTCGCTACTCCTCCTCACAAGCACACTTGGCGCCAGCGCAAACTGGCTGCTCACACGATTCCTCTGCGATGCGCTGAGCAACCACACACAAGATGGCGGGGCAGACGAAGGTCACAATGTGGTGCTCGTGTCATGGATGAGAGACTATGACTTCTGGAAACAAGAAGCTAGGAAAGGCGCAGGGCTGGATCTGGAGAGGCTGAAGAGGGAGAAGAGGCTCGCGTTCGTGGATGGGTTGAGTGGGCTGGTTATGGGCGATGGGACAGGTGCGCAGACACAGCAATCGCAGGCGCAACGACCCCAGCAACCTCAGACAGGATTACATCCTGCGAGACTGACGAAAGAGATCGATCCGCCGCAGCGACCAGGGCAGATACTGCCTGCTCGAGGACCTCCAGGGCGCACACTACCTGCCAGAGGTCCCTCTGCACCCACCGCGCAACCCGCACGTCCTACCTCAAACACGATCGCCTCATCGACGACACCGCAAACAAGGGCCAGCCAAAGCACAGGACACTACACCCTCACGTCCCTCGACCTGGCACATCTCCGCACCACCCTCACGAGCGCTATATCCGCCCTCACGTCCACCACCACTTCTGCGCCACGGAAAACCCTCGTCATCCTCGACACCCCCGACGTGCTCCTCACCCTCTCCTCGACACCATCTGCCGCTTTCACGTCGCTGCTCCTTCAGCTCCACAACACGCCCACGGTTTCCCATGTGCTGACGCACTTACACGCGGACACGCCGCTCCTCAGCCCGTCATCGCCTGCGCAGCCGCTCGAAATCAGCCAGTTTAATTTGGTGACCAAGGTCGCGCATATGAGCCGCAGGGTGATGGAGGTGAGGGTGCTGGATACGGGGGTTGCGCGGGATGTAAGTGGGGTTGTCCGGGTTACCGAGCAGAGTGTTGGGTGGGAGGGGTTGGGACTTGAGGAGGAGGATGGGCGGCAGCGTGATGCTAATGACAGTGGGAAGGGGAAAGAGTTTTTGTATCGAGTCAAGGGGGATGGGAGTGTGAAGGTGTTTGAGAGAGGGGCTGGTGGGGAGGGCTGAGTGAGTATGGTGGGTGAGAAGGTCTGAGTCGAAGGCATTGACGAAGCACGGAAAGACGGAATCAAGTGCGGAGCTTGACAGGTCTTCATGATCGGGCTGCGAATGAAGGTGGCACGCAGCAGGTGTAGAAGAGACATGCTTGCGAGACCTAGATATGGCGACTGCCACTCGTGAAATGAGTTTGAACTCAATGTCATCAAGCCCTGAAGTCTTTTACGAATTTTGATATCTTTGTTCCAGCTACAAAGCGAACTGGTGCTATATGGGGTTATCTCGAAAACATGCCAATGCCGTCCAATGCGCGCCGGATGATGCCGCCGTCGCCATGAGATACATAGGAAATCCCTCTTCATCCTTTGCTCTGTCTTATTCTCTGATAACTTCTACGTCCTTCCTGACGTTGCGCGCTCGACAAATTGCGCAAAGAAGTTCCTCCATTCCTTCTCCTTTTTGGCACCCTCGAAGGCGCCGGCAAGTGTGCGCAGATACTGGTCCACAACGTCTCCACCAACACCCATACCGCCTAGGTCGCCACGCAGACGCTCGACGTATGGCTCTCCAACCTTCTTGATGATCTCGGTCTGTAGATTGGCGGTTTCGTAGAGGACTTGCTTGGCTTGTGCGTCCTTGGAGTTGAAACCAGGCGAGGCAGGGATCGACCAGACGAGAGGAGAGAAGCGCTCGACGACATAGTTATCGAAGCCAGGCAGAGGTTCGGTACCGGGTGTTGTGGGAGTTGCGTTTGCGCCGGGCCCGACTTTATCGGGGCCGCTCCAGACGTTGATCATGCGGATGAATACGCAGATAGCGAGACGGGCGGTCTGGTAGTCGCGAGTATCGCGGGCGAAGGTCTCGATCGATGAAACCACGGGCTCGAAAGTTGCTTGGTTGGCTGTGCTGTGTCAGTGGTGAAAATGAGGTAGGTGCGTGCTCTAAACGTACCGTTGCTGACGAGCACAGATCCAAGATTCTGGTTTAAAACAACAGTGATGAAGTTCAGGTACTCGCGGCGGAGCTCAGCCAGTTGAATCTCGTCATCTGTGCCCGATGGTGTTACTGCCAGCGCTGTGAAGATGCGCTGCAGAACTGGAGTCATGACCGTGTCTAGGATGCTAGAGATCTCCGACTTGAATGTGAAGATGACCTGGGCAAGGACCTTGAGGAAAGTGCTGATCTCATCCATAGAAGAGCTGAGCGAGAGAAGCCCCTCGATCCAAGAAGGCAACTGTTGCAGCAGTCGTGAGCCAAGGACAGAGATCAGTCGCGAGAATGCGAAGCGCGCGGCGTGGCGAATCGATCCAGAAGTGTTGAGGGACTGAAGGGCGACGAGGATGGCTTCGGAAGCTTTGGTGAACTCGTCGGCGACTTCGGTAAGAGGTGCGGTGCTATTGTTGGCTGTGGGAACCCAATCTGAGTATCCACGCGCAAGCGTACCAAGCGCCATGATGATGTGGTGGATTTGGAGGATCGATCGTTCATCTCCATTTCGAGCCTGAGGAAGTGTCTGTTCCATGTCGGCGAACAAAGGGCTCATGATCGTCCGGGCGTACAGCTGCTTGTTTTCTGTCGAGACTGTGTTTGCAGAGGCTATGCACCCAATTGCCTCAAACAGGTACAATTGGGAGTTGAAAAGGGCATCCGCGGACTGGTCGTCCTCGTCTGAGGACATGTCATCTTCAGAAGTGTCAGGGACCTCCGCCTTGATTGTAAGCAAGTCTCCAACGGCCTGAATGATGTTGTACGAGACATTGCCCAGTTGGGCTCGCAGATGCTTGACTAGTCGCTGGAAGAGGTACCATGATCGTGAGCGGACCTTGACATGGTTGCTATGTGTCAATGTAACGAAGTTCTCTAGAACCTTGGGGATCAGCTGAGGGTTTTGCTCAAAGAACTGATAGTATCGGACGCATATCTCCATGTACTGAAGCTGAACGGCAGGATGTGAGTAGTTTGCAAGCCCTAGACGATGTTAGTATTGCATGTTCATTCTCGAGTCTTGAGCGTGCTTACCTGAATCGATCATGCTGTGCATCATACCCACAAGCTGCTGAGCAGCAACAGATGACGGTTCACGCTTTGCATACAAACCCTGGTTCCTGACTGCGAGTTCTCCAAACAGGTACATCTCGTACAAAGCCAGTTCCAGATCACGCCAGTTCAGGCTCTGATCACCCTGCGACAGACGTCCAAATGTTCCATTCACCACTCGGCTGAGAGTCTCAATGTAGTATGGCTCGTCGATAGCTGTGACTGTCTGTTGCAGCACATGTAGACGTCTTCGCAGATCCTGGAATTCGGCCTCATCTGTTTGCTCGTCCTCCTCGCCCCACGATGCGGTGTCGTCGTACTTCATCTTCGCAATGATGGCGTCCAGGACAGGCGGCAGCACAGCTGCATACTGAGGCGGCACGGACCCAGTCTTTTTCTGGAGTTTGCGCAGGAAAGTAAGCAGATCGGTCAGGGCTGGGATGACGGTCGAACAGACTTCATCGTATTGGTCGGCGAAGAAGCGCAGAAGGTACGGCGTGAAGATTCGAATGAGGTCGTCAGCCCGCTGGCGGGTCTCGTCGTTGGCAGAGTCACTCTCCAAGATCTTGACAACGTCAAAGACGATGTTGTTGACGAGTTTCGCTACGGTCTCCGCAAGGTCGTTATCGTAGTTCGGGCTGTTGTATTCTGCCAGCGCAGGGCTTCCAAGGAGCTGGCCAACAACTTCCGAGAGATTGAGGAACAGTATGAGCTCAATCTTGTCCCCTGGGCTCATCTTCTTGCCCACAATCTCGGAGAAGGTATCGATGGCTGCATCTCGGACTCGGCCAGCTGGACTCTCGGGGTCGCTGATGCCTTGCTGCCCAGCCATTTCCAGGAATGTGCTGATCATGGACTGGTTCACAATGAGGTTGATGTCCGTCCAGCTGACCCATCGACCGATGGTCCGCAGACACATCTCAACGAGACCTAGATCAATTTCTCTCCACTTGCCCAGAATCTCCTGCCATGATACTGAAATCTTTTGAGCATCTCGCTGTCGAATCAGGTCCTTCAACTCGGTGTTGCGCTTCTTCTCGTCTTCAGGCCTCGCCACAAGCTGATCGGCGATTTCATCGTGTATTTGGCCAAGTACGCGCAGGTATAGGAAAGTCGTAGCGGTGTTGGCGCTGCCAATGGCTGCCTGGTCGGCCAGTGCGCGGAAATCGTCGAAGAAAGACTGCCATGAAGAAGGGTATAACACTACAAAGAGATAAGTCATAGTCTGCATCAGCTTGTTCTGGATATGATTTGTGTCGGTCGAGCTACTGCCAGGCGCATACGACTGGCGAATGTGACTCATGAGCGTATCCTTGATGTATGCGAGGCTCTGCTCGTCGAGCCGGTGCTCCTGGACGGCATTGTTGACGAGGTCGAGGGAAGTATGGCGAATGATGTCGGAGGGACGTGGGTCGCGGATGAACAGAGCTAGCGAGGCCTGCCATGCTGTGCCTTCAGCTCGCAGCTGGTTGAGGTATTCTATCGCCTGGCCGCGCAGCTGCTGGTTCGAGGTGGGGTCCGAGGCGATTTGGATGGCATTTTCGACCTGCAGAAGCAATGATGGTCAGCAGAGAGCTCTACAGTGGAGGCGTGTGAGAGCCTACCTGGGCCTCCATTTCCTCCGCCGTCTCAAATGCAGAACAGTTTGTGTGTAATCAAGGGCAGTCGGTGCGGGGTTCAACCATACAAGAGAGGGTACAGTATGATTGAGGTTTAATTCGAGGTGATGTGATATGCTACCGAGTGCTTGGGCGGGGCGAGGACTTCATTGTGGGAATGTTGCGGGCGGTGAAAGTAGGCTTCGGCGGGGCACGCTCGAGTGACGTGCAGGCGATTTGCAGGGATGCTGGTGAATGAGCTGGAATAAATACTGGGGCTGGCAGATCAGAGTCCTTTCACGCTGGCGAGACAGAGGGCAGGTGCTGTTGGCCCTTTTGTTGACGTGCAGCTGGCTTGTGTATGCTGCTCGTCAAATGTGATGTGCCCGGGCTCTGGTGGGCTGTCAACTGCTGCCCGAACCCGCCGTCGCGTGACACGGACCATCAATTATTGCACAAGTTTGATAAGGTCCGCTGAGTGTTGCTTTGGTATGTGTGAGACTCACTTCGAGGCAATCGGAAATTGGTGTTCAGCATCTCGGTTGGAGCTAACTATATACAACACATTCCAACCTTCGTCTCCCTTCCACACCCCTGAGACTCGTATCATCCTACAACTTGTGTCTACTGCTCGAATCGCTTCCACAGCAATCAGCGTGTCTTGTTCAGTCATCCAGTTCGATCCACGTACTACGCGTTCAAGTGCTTCGCCGCCCACTCGACGTGGTCATCCGCGAAAGAGGCCATGAAGTAGTAGCTGTGGTCGTAGTCGGGCTGCAGGCGAAGTTGGATGCCCTTGTCGTTGCCGGCCTGCTTGGCTGCCTCAATGAAGTTCTCTGGCAGCAGCTGCTTCTGCTTGTAGAAGTTGTCACCCGTGCCCTGCAATTGGTTAGCTTTCCTCAAGACAAGCATCGAAGAGGATACGCACGACATCGATGAGAATCTCGAGCGGCCCCTTCCACTGCTTGACAAGCTCTGTGGCATCGTGCTTCTTCCACTCCTCCTGGTCCTCGCCAAAGTATCCCTTGAACGCCTTCTGCCCCCAAGGTGCGTTGATGGGGTTCGCAACAGGTGCGAAAGCAGAGACGGACTTGTACTTTCCGGGGTTCTTCAGGAACAATGTCAAAGCACCATGTCCCCCCATGCTGTGACCTGTGATGCTGACCTTGCTCGAGTCGAGCTCCTTGAACTGTGAGAAGAGCGCCTCGGGAAGCTCCTTTGTAATGTACGAGTACATGTTGTAGCCCTTTGTCCACGGCTCCTTGGTTGCGTCGATGTAGAAACCAGCACCGGACCCAAAGTCGTAGGACTCGTCCTCACCCTCGATGTTCAGGCCCCCTAGTCGGCAAGTCAGTCAGGTACTGAGCCACCAATAGCAAGTAACGCACTGGGTGATGTGTCTGGGTATACAATGGCGATGCCGTGCTTGCTAGCACCGTGCTGGAAGAAGCCCTTCTCAGAGCAGTTGGCTGCCGTGCACGTGAGGCCGGACAGGTAGAACAGCACTGGGACCTTCGCGCCGGACTTCAATGCCTGGGGCGGCAGGAAGACATTGAGGGCCATGTCTGTATTGGTGCTCGACGACTTGTGCTTGAGCTGGAGCAGCTTGCCCCCGAAGGAAGCGATGGTGCCGGTGGTTTCGAAAGACATGATGGTTCGTCTGCTGTAGTATGGAAGGAAGGCGTGGTGGTGGAAGCGTGGTGTCACGGTATGCAGCGTCAATGGACGGAGCAAGGGCAGTTTTGAAGCTGTCTTCATCAGTGACGTTGGTGGGGTAAGAGGCCCCTCCACACGGGCAGCTTTAGGGCGGAATTGCCAGATTAAGATGTCGGGTCCGCACCCGGTGCACGTAGAGACGCGGACAAGACTTGGGGACTGCGCGAAACTCGGTTCTGATTCGGGAGGTATAGATGCGCAGCCACTCAAACGCCGAAGATGCCCCAGCGGACATTCAGTTTTCCTACCAAAAACTCCAAGCCCAATGCAGCCAAGACAAACACTCTCATTACCTTATATCAGCAGCTCCTCGCACGTCCAGTCCTCGTAGAAGCCGTCGGGCAGGTATCTTCGTACTACGAGGGGGATCTTCTTCTCGCGCAGCTCCTTGGCCGCAATCTGAAGGGGATCTGTCATGCCCTCGACGTCGATCAGGACGGGAGCGTTTCCACTGCACAGTTGTCAGCCTCAACTACCACACATATCGTCTGCCATAGTCTGGAGCCCACCTGATCTGCAGCGCCCTCGTACCCAACACACGCGCCTTCTCGTACTTTGTCATGTATGGCGTTGTCGTGCGGTTCTCGTTGGGGACCTTCTTCTCCTTCTCAGCATCGACTGAGTTTTTGACTTTGTCTTTCGAAGCAGCTGCAGCGCTTGCATCTCCTGATACTACGATGTTGTCGTCCACTTCTGGGTCCTCGCCGCCCTCAGCATCGTCGACGTCGTCCATGACTTCTGGTTCTGCTTCCTCATCGAAGTCGATGGCGCCGCCACTGCTTCAAGTCAGCGCCTGCCTTCTATGCCCTGCTGTTCCAGCTGCGCCAGTGCTGCGCAGTGCAAGCGAGCCATGCACGTACTCGTAACCGCCGTCATCAAAGCCACCGTCGTCGCCGCCGTAGTCAGACATGATCGCAGCCGAGGTATGTACGTGTGTGTGTAGATCGTAGGGAGTGGAAAGCGTGCGTCGTGGAGTTCGGGGAACTGGTGTTGTATCGTAGCATGTCAAAGAGGCAGCCGCAACAAAAAAGCTCCAATCGCGCGCCAATCATCTTGACGAGCTCCACACGCCAAGAGTTCGCCAAAACCCACTTTATTTTGCTACGCCATCCACGGACCTCCGCTCTGGATGCATTCACAGGCATTGCAATGGCTGTGAAACGCAAGACAGACGGCAGTGCTGCTACCGTGCCGCAGAAGAAGTCTCGCACCGGTATGCCTTCCTCCACAGTCATGGCGTCGCTTCCGCATGCTAACAGCACACAGTCCCTGCGGCGACTTCGCCTGATTTGGGCTGGGCCTCAGATGATTCGGCGGACCAGAAAGTGAACTTCACCGACAACGGTGCCCGGAGGGCAGACAGCGAGGCCCGCCGACAATGGCACTTCGTCTGCGAAGTTGACGGCTGCGGACAGCGCTTCAATCGACCATGCCGTCTCGAGTCACACATGCGCAGCCACAACAAGGAACGACCTTTCGCCTGTCGCGAAGTAGGCTGCGACAAGACGTTTCCTCGAAAAGACCACTTACAGCGACACTTGAAGAACGCCCACAGTGGATCGAACGACCAAGGAGCGCACGTGTGCGACTGGGAAGGTTGCGGGAAGACCTTCACATCGGCCGGTCGACTTCAGCGACACAAGGACGTCCACGAATCGAAGTTCTACTGCACCGAATACGCTCCATGCCAAGAGTCGTTCAGGAAAGAGACAGCGCTGGAGGCACACATCAAGAGCCAACATCTGGAGGTGAAGCCGTACCCATGCACCTTCGTTGATCCAGAGACGAATGAGAGGTGCACAAAGGGATACCAGACGGACAACGCACTACAAAAGCACATCTCCAAGGCCCATGGCACGGAGCAAGAGGAGGCACTATATTGCATGCTATGCGTTACCCCTGGTACCGGAGCGGAGGCCATGGAGACTGACTCTGGTACTACTACCATACCAAAGAACCCACTATCTTTCGCAACAGTGGAGCAATTGCACGACCACTCTGTCGAATGCCACCCCCCAGTATGCCCCGAATGCGGCCAAAGGTTCAAGAACGAAGCCAATCTCAAATCCCACACCGAAACCGTCCACAGCGACACCGCCGCCCGCTACCCGTGTCCCAAACCGCACTGCAGCGCTCTCTTCACGCGCAAGCACAATTTGACAGTGCATATCCAAACCGTACACGAGCATCAATTCAAATACCACTGCGTCCCCACCGCGGTAAACGACTCGAAACACGCCGATCTTGCTGGCTGGAACGGCGAGAACGCGTGCGGTCACTCATTCAAAGCAAAGTCCTCACTCGACAACCACATCCGCACCCACCACCTCGGGCAAGGAAATCGCAAAGAGCGCCGTCTCGCAGCGAAGAGCAGAAAGAAGGAGGACCCTTCTATGCTCACCCTCTTAACCGGCGTGGGCTACGAAAAAGAGCGCGAAATCCCCTGCATCAAATCGGACTGCGAGTTCCGCTTCCACCGCGACGTCGATCTGCGGCGACACCTGAAAGCAATACACAACATGAGCGAAGATGAAGCGAGCGCAGCGATTTTGGAGCGCGACGCAGCAGCCGGCGGACAGTTCTGGATCGGCGGTCTCAACCCTGGCGAAGAGCTGAGCCTGTTCGAGAGTGCAACGCCGAGTATGCCGCAGACGCCCATGCCGTACTTCACAGAGGGCGCTGCGCTGGGGGCTGACGGGAAGGCGATGGATGGGTACTTCGATCACCGCTTTGACCAGCTGAGTCTGTTCAATGAAGAGGCCGAGATGGATGCTGTGATGGGTCTGGCGGGTTTGGAGCCCGCTGCTGATGCGGGCGAGGGGCTGCAGTGGGACATGCTTGCCCCTGTTGAGCAGTACAATAGCATGGGCTAGGCGTCCGTTGGTGTTGCAAGGAGAAGGAGTCATGATCTGAATGCATAGTTAGCGATATAGATACCCCAGCGAGCGCAATGTCACAACGTATTCGAGTCAAATATTCTGTGTGGATTTGATTGTGCTATGGAAATTCAGTCTAGGAAGTATAGCGCGCGATCTCGCAGCGACCTTGGTATCTTTCTTCGTCTTCGTATGAACATGAACAAATGAAATAGCAACCGTCCCCGAACGCCATCCCATGCTTAACCAAAAACGCTCTGATGCCTGATCAGCCCATCGTAGATCATGAGCGATCCAGCGCATCTGTATGTCCACCTCTCAATCCCGCGGTGTAACCCACTCAGCCCGCTCTCTCGAATCCACCTTCGTCATCGAGCGTCCCCGCTCCGTCTCCTCACTCCCGTCCTCACTATCCACCACGCCCTCTTCCTCATACGCCTCTTCTTCCAGATCAACATCCTCCACAACCACCCTCACCTCACTCTTCCCATCCCTCCTCATCTCTCCCTCCCGCACCTCCAACAACCTCCCCAGATCCCTTCCAGGAACCATCATAAGCTCCTCACTGCATCCACGACAGATGCGTAGCTGACACCACGTACAGACAAACTTCTGATCCTTCTCATTCGCATGACAAATCATGCAGCCCATGGGCTGGAACACGTTATTCGACCACACGTTCGTTTTGTGTTGGGTGTAGCAGGAAAGTTGCGAGGCGGTGATGCGTGGGATTAGGTTGATGCAGAGAGGGATTGGCTGGCGTGTGAGCGGGATAAAGGGTGGTTCTGGGATGGAGGTGTAGGCAGAGGCTGAGCTTTCCTCGGGGAGAGTGGGTGCGAGTATGTGCGTGGAGAGCGAGGGATGCGTAGTGGCGAAGCTTGATTGCGATGTTGGGGCAGTTGAAGGTCGGATAGCCGGACTGGACTCGGGAGGGTCGAGGGACGTTGTTCGCAGGGGGAAGGCGGAGTGAGATGAGGGTGTTGGATCGGCGGTTGGGGGTGCAAGCTGTTTGGTCTCATCCCCCTGCTTCTGTTGCTCAATCTTCTTCTCATCAAGTTGCTGGGTTTCTTGCTGTCCATCCTTCTGCTTGAGCGAACCCTGCTGCTGTTCGCCAGGTCCCCCGTAACTAAACAGTCGGCGGTTCTCGGTTGGAGGTGGGAGAGGCTTCATGGGGGAGATTTCGTTGTCCATACGGATTTCGGGCTTCAAGGTTGGAGATGGAGTCATCTCAGGCGTGGCGGCCTCCTTTCGCATTGTTGGAATGGGGGGAGCGGGTCTTTGGGCCTACGTTTAGCCTGTCAGCTACTGATTTGACTATGTAGGGATGACAGATTTCTGACCTTGTAGTGTCAAGGCTACCGGAGAAACACGGGCGATGGGAAGGGGAGCTCAATAAGTACCTTCAGGATGTTGAAACCCGTGCTGCTCTTACCGCGGGTGTGAAGAGGTGACATCGGTTGCTTGGTACGAGGGTTTGATGGCAAGCCAACGCCCACAAGGGCCTTGCGGGGCGGCGAAGGTACAGATTTCTTCTCTGGTGGTGTGGGTGGTAGTTGGTTGCTGGCAGCAGCCTCCTTCCTGACTGGTATCTTGCTGGGTGCGGCGTTCGAGCTGGGAACGACGCCAACCTCCTGGTCAGCGCTTATCTTTCGAGGCGCGGACGTAGGAGCAGCAGCAGGTTTGTCACCACGGGGTCTATTGTGCAGCTCGAGCAAACTGACAAATTTCTTGACGCCTGCTCCAGGAACAGCCTTTCGCTTCACTGGTGGTGCAGCAGCAGCAGTTTCAGACTGACCCATGATCGAGGATCTGCCTTCGCTCTGAGAGTGGAATGAGTCGTTTCGCTCCAGCTCGCTTTTCGAAGGCTTGTGGCCCATAACCGCGGCTTGGACTTCCTTTCGCTTGATGGAGCGTTCAGGTGGCGGCGGTGGTAACTCTTTAGTATCGGGAACGACTGAGGATGGAAGTGGCTTTACTGGTGCGTAGACAATGGGAGTAGGCGGGATGTGGGCGGTTGCTCCGTTACTGACAAAAAGCTTGAGGGAAGGTGGTGTTCCGCTGCGAGAGAGGCTGCGTGATGTGATGCGCGTTCTGGGTGTTTGATCTAACGAGCCGTTGCGTGAGCCATGCGAGGAAATAGATGAATCATCGTCTTCTACTGGAAGTTAGCAATTGTGTTCTACGTGAGTGATGTACATTGCGTAACACTGCGCTGCTTGCTGCTGTTGCACATTGGAAAAAAAAAACCATAGCTTGGAAGTTATCATAGTCACCAGCTTCCGTTTGGTGAGGTCACGGTGAATGCTGACGCGTAAAAGTGATGCCAAGCCAGAGAGCTGAGTTATGCATACATCGGCACCCCTCAAATACCGCACGGTGACGAGAGTGTAGAACACAGCTTACCTCTCAATTGAAACTTGGTGTGCATTCGCTGAATAGCTTTTGCCTTTGGGTCTCTGAGGCTGTCTGTTCGCGGTGGAGGTGAGGGGAGCTCCTTGAACGCAGGTGCTAGACTCGACTTTGGCGACACGTCCTCTGCGTCGTAGGAGTCCCCGCATGTATAGTTGTCTAAGAGCTCGCTGACGACATCGTGTCGCGATGAAGGAGCGGCAAGGGTAACTCCTTGCTGGGCCATGACTTCAGTCATTATGTTGTAGTGAGCGTGTTGATAACTTCGGTGTGTCTATTGAAATGGCGATCGAAGGAAATGGTGTCGAATGACAGTGTGTCGAGGTTGGTGGTCGCTGACCGAAAAAAACGTGGGTATCAAAAAAGAGTGACTGAATGAATGCAGAAGATATGGTTCCTGGAACCAATTAATATCGCAAAAGAGCGAGAAATGACTGAATGATAGGAGGGAAGGAGAGTACGCGCAAGACGTTCGCGGCGAAGCTGGCCGTCTCAGGTAAGGAAAGAACATGGATTACGGGTGACAGACGAGCGACGGGCCCATCAAACACTCATGCGTTTGATGCCCTGTCAGGCTTCTTCCTGACCTGTCGCGAGATCGAGCTCCGCCCAAAGGCGGGTTATCCATGCAAGGGTGAAGGCATTAGAGATTTGAGGATGGTACCGAAGCCCCGCCGCCGCGGAAGCGGTCACTGATGCGGACAGTGTTAATAAACATTCAAGATGACGGCACGGAGTCTTTGAAGCCTCGAGCTTGCTGTTGCCATAAATTACGGGAAAGTAGGGAGTTGCGCATGTGCTGCATCTCGGTGATGCTGATGGAGAGCTGAGGCATTGCAGGCGTCAGGGTTCAGCAGCCCACGAAAGTATCCATGATTGAATGCACGTGACTGGGACGATCGTGTTTCAGAAAGCGCATCCCAGACTTCGACAACCCTATGAAAAGATGCCAGACCTCGCTAGCGGCCCACAACGAACGCGTTGACGTGTGACGTTCATGGATCGACTTCTTCGTCGGTCTTGACCGTGATGTGGCTTAGCTCTGGCCTGCTACTTCAGTCTGTTCGCTCGAAATATCCTCAAGGGAGTGGAGTGGAGCGAAATGACGATGATGCACACAGATTGCTTTATATCACTAGTGGAAGTGCAACGTTGTACGCGATTGCGGCAGATAGATTGTGTGAAATATACAGTATATTCCCAGGGTTATCGTGCAACAACCCTGGCCCTCTCGAAGACTGGATGTCCAATCGGAGGAAGCCAATGCCTATTGCGGCTTCAAAAATACTTTTTTTTTGGTAGTTGTGTCCAATCTCGTTCTGTGCGCGTGCAAATGTTTCCACACATTCCTCTCTATGCTGCCCAAGTACCTGAACGCCGGTACCTCTCCAAGACAGGGCTGGAGTGCCTCTCAAGCCAATGCTCCGCCTCCGCAACAAGTGATCCGCTCTAATGGGTATCCGCTGCCGGTCATGCGCCGGCTCAAAGGCAAAAGCAAACAAAAACAGACAAGCCCATACGCCGTCGCTAATGAGTGAAGGCCGTGGCCGTTCGTAAAGTCCATGACAAAGTAGGTACAAGAATGTTACAAAGAAGGCACATATGGTCCCTTTATTGGAAGAAATAGAGAACAAACATTAGAATTAGGGCGAGTGTCGGTGTAAACGATGCGCTCGATGTTGGTGCGGCAGCTCCCTTTAGTGGCGCGGCAGTGATGTTTATGAATTTTGACCCGCAGGATATGGAGAGCTGTTGCGCAGCTGAGGTGTACGTTTTGCTGAGTGGTTGCGTCGCGTTGTTAGCGAAGTTCGCGTAGATCGCCATGGTATCTTGCAGACACGAGTTGCAGGTGGGTCGCGAGCCTCCCGGAAGTTCCTGGCCAATGGGTAGGTAGAAAGGGTAACTATCGGTAGTCGAAGATGAGTTGCTCACTGCATTTGCAAAGCCTGGATCACCAAATCAGATAGGCTTTTCGTGACGCTGCGGACAACTTACAGTAATTTCCGTCATCGTCACGCAAGCAACTTGCCTGGTACGATGGTTTGTAGGCGACGAGTCCATTGTAGGCTTGTAACACAATTGGATTGTCGTTGTTGTAGTCCGTTTTGCAAGCTGTGTCGGACAATAGTTCTCGCGCAAAGCCGTTCAGTGTTGTTGTACATTGGGTCTCGTTGACAGCACATGTTGCTTCAAGTGTCTGAGTGATGCGAAAGAATGACTTCGACGCGTCGAAAAAGCCACTCGATGTCTGTACAGAATTAGCACAGGAGCCTTTGCTTCATCAATGTAGAAACACGCACCTGTAGCAGCAAAGAGAACGGGTGACAGTTGTTGAAGGCATCGCTTTTGAGCAACTGGTTCAAGTAAGTCGCACATGAGCTGGTAAAGTTGTTCGATAGGCCTGTGTCGAAAGGTTTTGGCACTTGGAAGTTCGCCGCAGAGCTGCTCGCAGCTGTCGCAAGGGACCGTTTGGAAGGTGGTGCGGAAAGCGTTCTGCTGGCATCTTCATTCGCGAGTACGGGAGGCATCAACAGTGGAATTACTGGTGGCGGACGGGTGTCGAGGTGCAATGACGATCCTTTCCACACGAGATCGTCGTCGACGATGGAGAGTCGATCACCATGTGGTTCTGTAGCGGTAACGGCGCCGAGCAGGGAACTCCAGGATAGTAATACGACGAGCACTGAGAGCAACGCGGATGGTAACGTCCTGCCGGTATATAAGGAGAAGATGCCGCGGCGCAATCTATTCTCGTGCTTCCTCTTTCGTACTGGATGGTGCGACAATGGGGCACGGTACATGATTGGTGACTCGCGTTCCGAGAATGGCTGGGACTCCATATTTTATGTTTCTTCAACAGTCTGATACTGCTATTATGGTTCACGAGGCTACCTCAGGATCACACAGAGCATGACCGTCTGCTGTGAAGGTCAAGAAGCAATCGTAGCGTTGACGCTGGATTGGCTGCTCTGACAAGATCCCCGCAGGCCGCCTGAAATGCTCCGAGTATTGGTTTGCGGATCCAGGAACGTGCAGCGGCGTGGGCACGTTAGCGATGACAACCAAAAGGAAGGAGAAAGCAGCGGCCTGCTTGTCGATGTCGATCGTCGCCTAAAGGAATAAGTTAGGACTGTTCCCCCGGTGTTCTTCGTTTGATTATCAGGCTCGAAAGTTTGTACCACGATGGGAACAGCCGTCCTTATGTTGAATATTGCCATGGAGCTTGCAGGGAGCCATAAGCCATCAATGCCAGCCAGCAGACATGGTAATAAAGCCACGCGCCGCCTCCTTGCGAACGAATTCCCACTGCTCGGCTCATGACTGGCATTGCGACTCGGTTGCTCGCCCTAAGGTGTTGAGACGGGTGCCGCTGATAGGCGGACGGGTAATTCGTTTAGGAAAGTCAATATGTCCTTGCCGCATCGAGTCGCTAAGTGGATTTGGCTGCTCTTCGGCAAGCTCCATGAGGCCAGAACCTTCGTAAGCTTGTCAGAACCTGCAGCCCTGCACGGCTTCGCTGCTCGATCTGTTGTCGTGCAGAGGGTCTTCGATAGTCTAGCGGCCCGTTGTAAGGTACGCAATGCATCTCCATCGCCGGGTTGAGGTCCGGTGAGCACAGGGAAAGAATTCACGTCCCCACACACGCTTCACGAGCATGAACATCTTGCTGCTGTTGAGCGACGGGAGGAACTCGAAAAGAAGGGCAGTGCTGAGCCGAATGGATTGACTGCCACTCGGCAGTGCAACTGACGGCTTCGGAGACACGTGCGATGCTGGAATGCTGCTGCCCACAGAGCAGGACCGTACCTTCCGCTTTGCCAAGCCGAAATTCGATAAACACCAGCGCCACCCTTCACCCCTCGATCCTCTCGCCAGCTGACGACGTCAGACACGGATACGAGTTAGGTTCTGGTCGTGCCGGACACTTCTCGATGGTTTGATGTGAGAAACGCCAGCGACCTGTCACTCTGCTCGACCAACCGTTGGTTGGAATCTGGACTATGGTCCTTTGTTCAGCTCTCGCGCCTGTTCTCGACAAGTCACTGATGGTGTGCAGCAACTCATCTTCCAACATCTGCCAATTGCGCTCGTTACTCACACTTTCTGCAATTGTCAATATTCTCTCGTCAGCGTACAGCAGCCATTTATGCAAGACAACACCGTCTTGCATGGGGATAGGCCTGAGCCTGTTGTTGCCCGCCAGTAACAGCTGCAAGCTGCGACAGCCTTTCGCGAAACAATGATGCCTTATCGCTTCTTCTTTCTAGAGTTCGGTAGGAGCTTACCGCGTTTTGCGTTCCTGAATTGCGGGGCATCGTAGCCTTATCTTCCTAAGGTACCCATCACGGAACCAAGCTGACTGTTCTCGACCAGCACACGTCTTCAGAGTTGAAGTCAAAGTCTCGCAAGTCATGGCAAAGAACTAAGCACCCACTTTTCCGCTACATCGCCGTATTCGTTCCATCGCATTCTTCGATTCTGATACAAATGAACGGGCAGGTATCTGTCATGCTCAATGTCCTCGCCCTGTAAGAGTCCGTCAAATCTTCCTTCCAGGTTGACCCTTCATCGTCATTCTAAGACTATCCTCGTTGCCACCTGGTGCAGCAACCCTTGCCGTTCCTCGGAGTCTCGCGGTAGGACAATGTCATCAAACTGTTGCATCCTGGACCCTTGATGAACCTAAACTGTTGCATTATGCAGATCGGAGGACCCTCCGAGGTGTTACTGCAGCTAACGACGTATCGGTTATTAAGCAGAAGCTGAGATGAGAGTGGAGGCTTGGATAGCCGTTGGAGGCTTTACATGGTGTAGGACTGGCATCGAAGGGAGCTGAAAGTATCTGCAGCATGCTCAACCATATCTCTGCATGAGGAGAGTACCCATGGATATACCTATTTGGTCATCACTCCATCTCAATGACTACTCACATCTTCGGCACGATACCTCGCAATCTTCGACAGAAGTACAAAACTTACAGCATGAGAAGGTCCTGCAAAGGATCGTCACAGTAAGTAAGCTTGACATAGGCGTTACAGATACTTGACACCATCAAGTATCTGACTTAGTCAGCTTTCGGTCAAGATCATCATGCGGGCTCTGACAAGAACTTGCTAAGATAGAAAGTGCTAACTCGAGGTATAGTTTCAGTACTTCTATCACTAGATCGTGCTGTATTCCGACTGTGGTTCAAGGATCCTCGCCATACATCCAACGTCCAATCTTTCATCAAAGCTACTATATACTCGAACAATTGCATTTCAAGGTAGACTTGCACGGCTCGTCCGACCATGACCAACCTCAGACATCTCCCCTTGCAGTATGAACGGCCGGCATCTACAAAGGTAGTGCCCGCTGTGCAGCCTCAAGCGTACTCTCCAAACTCGCGTTGAACGTAAATCTCTGGCCTGGATTGTATTTCAACACGGTGTTGATGATCCCTTCGAAGTACGGCGTATGCTTAGCTACAATCCTGATACCAAGCTGAATGTGATTCACATGTCAGCGATATAGTTCCCGGTCGTCTCGTTCTTGAGAAGGTTTGTATACTTACACTAACAAGTACCAGATCGTATTTGGTCATTTGTAACTCCTCCTGGAGGGCCGCGATGCCTGCCATAATAGGCGGCAAGAATAGATTTACCTTATAGCCAGCGTTGGTCATCGCCTCGACTCCTTTGTTTATGGCAGCATCTAGCTCGTGTGCTGTGGCATTCGGTGGGATATCGATTTCGGGATCCTATCCGCCTATGCCCATGAAGAGAACTGATGCCACGGCTGACGATATTTGAGGATCTGAATTGTTTAGAAGGGCGTTAGACTTGAATACAAAGCATGGTTGAAGAGATGCATCTGTGTTATGACGCAAGGCACCATCTTTGCAAAGTGTAAGTAAGCACTGCAAGCATGCGTGGTGATCTTCAGAGGTAGAACCATTGCAGCGATTCACAGGCTCGGGACATGCATCCAGGACGACGTGGCGTGCGCCTACTGCGCCTATGCGCTAAGGTGAGAAACAAGTCAGGTGAGAAACAAGTCAGGTGAGGAACAAGTCAGGTGACGAGGTAGATATCAGCCTTATCTGGTGGGTGATGGACAGATGTACAGGACTACTTATCTCCGGTCCTGGAGATACATGGGCCATCAACGTTCGACTTGCACGGATCATGTCCGATCTGATGGACATGTTTTGAACATATTTGAACACAGGCTCCGGTGGAGGCTTGGTTTACATGCTACCTTATAGTATTAGGCACCTCTACTCTACCTTTATGTCTGTCCGCTATACCTTCGCCGACGTCCCCTCGACCGCGACATCGTACGATCTGAATCGCTGCTCAAAACCTCTACAAGTGTCGTGCCAGAAGAGTTCGCAGTCCTTGATAACCTGTTAACGAGCATCTCGCCGCTCATATTTGCAAGTGCCTCGAGTTCAACAATCGAAGAGTGTGAGGACGGTGGAGCTGAAGAGTACGTAGAACACTGGGAAGAGGGATAGTAGCCTGTAGACGAAAATGCACCCGTAGTATTCGCAGTGCCATCGACCCCAGTCTCAGCAGCGTGTTGACTTAGACTCGAATCTAGCAGTCGATTATGTGTAGCCTGCAAAGATCTCCGGCTGTCGGGTGAGCTGGGTATTTGGATCGTTTGCGTGCTGACATCTATGTATTGTCGTCGCGATCTCCGTGCTGATTTATGAGCCTGTTTCCGAACTTGTCTCTTGATTTGCTTGCGAACCTGCTTCTGGGTCTGGTTGCGGAGGCCCCGGATTTGGAGGGCGGCGAGAAGAGAAACACAGATGTTGATCACGTTAATAGTGGTGATGAGGAGCATGAGGAAGAAGTCGATAGATATGTTGCTGAGTCTCGTTGTCATTATTGCGATCGTTAGTGTTCGAAAGATCTGTGGGGAAGTTGAGAGACTACATAGTTCTATCGGTTCTATTTTGAAGTGCGTATGTGATATATGGGCCTGTGATGTCCAAGGCAAAATCCCATAGACACTTCAAGATACACGTCACATGCAACGAGAAAGATGTGATATCAGCAGCGTCACAACTGGTGCTGGAATTGATTGCATTACTTTATTCAAATGCCTTTGGTAGGCGTGTCGAACTGTGTCGCTAAATCCAAGGTATATACAAGAATTGGCTGAATCAAGAATTTACTGTCCAGTGATGACGATGGTCAGGGCGTTGACCTGGGAGCAGACGAAGTCGTTGGGGCCGTTACCACCAGCGTGGCAGTAAGTGGGAACATCGCCAGTGGAGTACTTGCCCGCGAAAGGGCTAGTCTGATGGTAGATAGCAAGACCGTAGTCGGACTCCTGACCCTGGACAAGGCCGAAGCGGTAGTCGCTGGTGCCGCAGGTAACGACCTCGGAGGGCAGGCTGGGGACAGTGCCAATCTCGCAGGCGATATCAGTGACGTTGTTGCCAGAGAGCTTGAAGCCAGCTTTCTGGATGCCGTCGTTCTTGCGGAGGTAGAACTCGCTGATGTTAATGTTCTCGTACTTGGATGGGTCGGGGGCCGAGCCGCCGCAGTGTGCTGGGTTGGGGCAGCCGGTTGTCTGGGGAGCGGGGGCTGCGAGGGCAGCAGCGAAGAGAGCAGAGGCGACGGTGAAGAACTGCATCTTGGGATAAGTGTGGATTGGGAGTAGGTGGTTGAAAGAGTTTTTGGAGTGTTGAAGTGGACAGTTTGATGGGAGTGTGGCTGGATGATGATAGCAACAGTAGAAGAAAGAGCCTGTACTTATACCTTCTCGAAGACCATGCTTTCTCCTGATCGACGTCATTGTCAACAGTTCGTGTAGATTTCCGCTTGTTAGCCTCCCCCCCATCTTTCTTCCTGACCCTGCAGGGTTGCAGCCGAGTAGCTTCCATTCCTTCCACATGTAGCCTCGTATTTCTGGTAAACCCAGTCATGTTTCCTGCATTTAAGGGGTCGCTTGACTAATCGGTCCTTGATCGTCCAGTCTGAAACAGGCAACCTTAATGGTCTGCTGAATGCAAATGTACATAAAGAGCACCGCTGGTGTGCTCGATTGAGAAGGTGAATTATTTGCATGTCGCAAGGATGTCGACTTCCAGCTGGGACTGCAAAAGGTTTCAACACAGAAGCTTTGAGAACTACAACGACGTGCAGGGAAATGCATGGAAACACTCATTGCAGTTGTTCATGCCCATGCTGCTTAAATTAGGGACAGCAAGGCTGACAAGCTTTACGCAGGGATGATCCTGACCCGCACGCCACTTCCGCTCAGAACCGATCGAGTGCCGCCGAGGGTCACATTATGTAAATTGAAGGTGGCTTGTTGAAGTGTTTGTTCTGTGACGATCGGTATGCGTGAATTACTCGCGTGCAGAAAGGGTGTGGAGCTGCAGAAGATAAGGTCGTGTCGCTTGTTGCATGACGAGCTCAAAGATCAACAAGGTTAAACAGACGACAGCTTCTACATCGATTCTCTGCGAGGTGTGATGTTTCGCGTTGTAGGCCTCCAGAACAAAGTCAGTTAACAGCCTCGTTCTGAGGGAGAAACGGCTTCTTCTCAATGCGCGCGGTGATGTCATAGCTCCACTGCGCAACAACCACCTCCATGAACGGTGCGACAAGAGAGCTCGTATTCACGAGGTTGGTGCTTCGGTCTATCCACCCGATAGATCTTCATTGTTTGTGGACATTGACGTGGTTTTGAGAGCCACAACCAGATGGTGTTTCCTCGATAACACGCCCAGTTTATTAAGAACAGATCAATTAGCAGGTTTGTGGGTGTACCATATGCGATGACTCTATTCTCGCCCATCCTTTGTTGTTTCATTGTTTCCTGCTTTTCAACTCCGCTTAAGAAGACCACACAATCAAACTCGCAGTCGCAGGAGGTATCCATTGACGAGATGGGAGTTCGTCATGGCGGGAAAGCTCAGCGCCGTGATTACCACCGGAGGTCCAACATTGCAGACGGGCCATGCAAGAAGACGTACACCAGGCTAGAGACCCTCACAAGGACTTACAAGTGAGAGCGCTGTTGTAGCAGGCATGAAGGTAGCAGCACGCAGTGTGGTCGTGGCGCAAACGTTGACATCGAGACACTCCGCTCAGGAGAAGGATCACGAGGAACCATTGTACGCGGATCTGTCCGATTACGAGGTGTACAGACGCCCTGGTTCCGAATTTGAGAAGCCTCTTGCTCACGAGCTGACAAGCTTGCATCGATTGCACGACAAAGGAGTGAACTTACAATTCGATGGTTTAACATCATACGGAAATTCGTGCTACTTCGTCGAGGCTCTTCCGGTAGAGAAACTTCGAATCGACGGGCATGAAAGCGAAGATTCCATGATCAGTGTGTGCATTCAGAGTACACTGAGAGACAAGGACAAAGCTTACAGCTTTTAGTTACAGTTGCGCGAACCTTTTCGCGCTTACGTCCGCTTCCATGAGCCTTTCTCGTGGATTGCTTCATTCACCAAAACTCGTCATCGATGATTTGGCCAGAGTGCAGTGTTCAGAAAATGAAGGGGACCGGGTCATCGCCAACAGTTTGGTTACGCCACCAGAGACAGGCGATTCCTTACTCACGACACCGCTCACTCCTCATCATGAACTTGAGTTGGACGACAACTAATTTATTCAACGCCACTGAATCACAGCAGAGGAGAGTACGAAACTCCCCTCTATAAACGAAGCCACTGGACATGACACTAGCATGGAGTCCGTACAGAGCCGTTCATCTCGATCATTACGAAAACGAGCAAGATCGGACGCCGACCCTCAAGCATCGCCCAGGGGGAGAAGATACGAACTGGGAATGCAAAAATGTTGCAAGAGACCGAACAACACGCTCAACATCTCGAATACCATACAGCCAGAGAGCGTCTAGCATTCTCTGTACCATGAAGAAGAGGAAGCGCAGAGTCAGCCACCGAGACGTCAACTCTCTTGAGGAGTGCATTGTGTTGCCGCGCGAAGCGCGAACCACACTCACGAGAACATCCACACTAGCACCAGTCAGCTCATCGAGGCGTACCACAATGTCACGGCTCAGAGAATCATCCATCGACCAGCAAACTCCTGTGCAGCGTATCAGCAGCTGTTAAAAACTGCCAACCCAGAAAGTCATCGATGAAACTGCTGCCGCCAACTCTTGCCTTCATTGGAGAGTACGCAATACGTGGCCTAATTCATCAACTATAGTTCGAGCCAGCCTATCACCGCTCAGCATCCAGCGAATCAGCAAGCGCAAGATGACCCCAACGCAAAAGGTCTCCGATGGAGCTGCTCTTGACATGCTTCGCAACCAGGTAGTCACCTCGCTGATTCGAAGTTTCCAACGAACGTCTTCGGCTAATGGTACAGGCAGCGTTGATCAGTAGTCCGAGAACAGTGAAGAGGCACGCACTATTCAGATTCGGCGGTCGAGACTGCTTCAACGTCCTCAAGCGAGGTTGTGGAAGATGAGGGCTTGTGGGATCATCGCCTGAGGTACACAGACGCAGACACCTGAATGCGATGGGATAGTCTGAGTTTGTGGTGAATCGCAATCAGATAAGCGAATATCAAAAGCACTCAACAGGCAAGGCACGGTTAGGTGGACCCAGACAATTGTAATGTGAAGAGCTCGACACTGCAACTATAACCGATGTAAAACGCTTTTCGAGTCGGCGATGCGACCATGGGTATATAGCATATACAAACATAGCAATGCCACTCAAGACGACCTAACCCAACCTGAACGCGACACGCTGGACATGACAAAAGAAATCGTGGAGAACAGTCATGATGAAAGAGTAAAAGCGAAAAAGCAATCAGAATGCGTAGAACCGCTTCAAGATGGACACACGACTGCGTGTTTTCTCCGCACTAACGCGCTTCCCAGACTCCTTCGAGGGCGAAGATATCGTAGTGAAGAGTCCGTGCTCACGATGGCTGGCACTGCGTGAAGGCGCCTTCGAGATGGGAAGATCGGCATATGTGAGCTCGGAGTTTGTGGAGTGTTTTATGGAGTGGGAGGATGTATTTTTTGGCGCTCCCGGAGAGAGATGAAAGTATAAGGACTGCAAGTTGATGCTCGGGCTCAGCGGCGGTGAGATGGGAGGAGAGAGTGCCATGCCGATCGTTGTGTCTGTGATTGGGGGCCGGAAGGCTGGGTGGATGTGGTCGAAGTTCGTTGCTTGTGGAGTATCATCGTGGAAGCGGAATGCTTGCATGCGTGAGGTGGATGGCTGTGGTGGCTGTGAGGCAGGTGAATTTGTCTTGACCAGTGATCGTGTTCGAGGAGTGGGCACTGGCGTGCTGTCGACGGATACGAAGCCGCCCAAAAGTCCGCTGTCTTCTACCGTGATACTGTGTCGTTCTTTGTAATCGCCATCTGCACTGGACTCTGAAGACATTGTGCTTGACTCGCTCCATACCTGGCTACCATGCGAGCTCGTGCTATCGGAGCGACTCATATCTGTCTGATCGCTAGTAGCCACGGAACCGAGATATTGTTCGAGATGAGCTGCATCTAGAAGTGGGGTTCGCTGACGCGCGTGACGACGAACTTTGTTCAACGACGATGTTCGCTCTTGTAGGATGGGAGGTGGCTGGGGCCTGATCCATGATTTCTCAGGACCAGCACCTTCTGGCAGGATAGATGCCGAAGAGCGGTGAGACTCATTCATAGACGCACTAAGCGATAGGCCCTGGACGGGTGAACTTGTAGTGGCTTCGTTCAGCCCATTCCCGTACCCGTGGACGATGATCTCGCAGTGGTGGGTAGGCTTGAGCTTCAAGCTGTTCCGTCGCGAGCTTCGTCCAGACAATGAGATTGACCCAAATGATCGACTGGGTGGGTATGAGACAGGCGTAGAGATTCTGAGTGGTGCTGGTACCTCGACAGAACCACGCCGACTTGACGTTTGGGAAGAGAAGTAGTCTTCCCTGTGGCAGTCGGGTTGGATGGAAGTGAAGTCAAATTGCGAACTGTTGATATGTTCGTCAATTGCTTGAGGTACGTTCACTGCGGAGACAGGTGAAGTAGTTGTAGTAACTGAAGGCGTAGATATTTGCGAGCCGCCAGGCCATGATGACTGCTCTGGTAGGAGACAGCAGAGAGGATAGTCGGCAGTCTCCGCGTCCCGGACCTCCTTGGGGGCTCGCAATGCTGATACCAAGTACTGTAATGTGCCATAGATAAGAAGCCATCTGACTTTCCGCGCATCGACAACAGAGACCTTTTCGTCGCGCTGGTGGAGTGTTGAGCTATACGTTCGTTCAAAATGCGCATACTCCTGTACGATGTTCGAGCTGGTGACTGCCGCATCTTGTGTGTTGGTTGCTGCCGCCAGTGTAGCACTTATAGTCTGAACGGGGTTAGCCTTGTTGCGCTGAGACGCCAATGTTAATTGTTGGAGAGCTTTCTGAGACTCCATCTTCTTCGTTGGGTCCGCGTAATTTGGTACTAGCGGCAATGGATGTGGTTGCGACGTGAACTTGTGACGCTTGTCGAAGCTGTCAACATTCTGCAGAACGCATATGCCTCCGCTTGCTGGTCCCTGCAGAGCAAAGTCGGTAGACGAGTTCGTGTCGACGAGGTAGTCGTACAGATTCTGGAAGTCGAAGTACATCGACTTGTACAGTGCTTTTGGAAAAGCGGAACCCCTTGGAGGCGGCCAGTATCCAAACTTCTTGACGTAGAAGCTATGTAGAAATCGGCGAAAGCGGTTTAAATGGCTTCTGGCTCCTGGTGTAAGGCCAAGGCAAACAGCGGAGAGATCCTCCTCCAGGAATTTGCTCAATGCAGCGGTCACTTGACCAAGGTGGATGTCTACCTCGAGGAAGGCACGTGTTATGAGGGCCTTGGTCAGCCTTGAGGTGGCCTAGGCAGAAGTTAGCTAGTGGATGAGGACAATAGAATGTTAACGTACAACATATTCTGGACTAAGTGACAGACTTTCGTTCATCCCGACGCAGTGAGCGAAAGCATCGATCCAGGCATGTCTGAGTTTGTATGTCTCAGCATAGAACAGACTGGCAAGCGCATAATCAGTACACTCGGAAAAGTCACGGTATCCTTGATCCTCAGCGTATTGCAAGAAATCCTGGTGGTTGTCGACGAGTCCGGATCGGAACAGTTGTAATCTTTCTTGCAGGTCGACAAAGGTTTGACCCATGTGGTAGCCCACCAGAGGCTTTCCAAGAAGGAACGCGAAGAAGTTCCGTGTCGTGACGTGCCATTTGAAATAATCTTGGCGGGAAGTGTCAGTAGGAGCCGGGATGAACAGGTTGACGACGCCCAATTCACGGCTTGGTAGGATCAGTGAGCTGGACATGCTCAGCAGTTGTTGCGACTCTGAGCCATCCCGAGATGCAATCTCTGCGTAACAGATGTTGAGTATAGAGCTGCATTTCTTCTGTCGCAGAGCTCTGAAAGGGATGCAAAAGGATGGACCACGACGCGATGCTCCTTGCGCATAGAGATGTACATAACAGTCGCCGTCTTCGACCCATAGTTCGGTATCCTTCGCAAAGTCAGTAAAAGATAAATCCGACTGTCAATAAGTACTTACCCTCCGCAGACCATCCCAATCACTGACAGTACGGGTCATCCCCGACCATCGTTGCACTTTCTCGACAGCCATTGGGTTTTGAGCAGCTGTTGCACAGCTGACTGAACATCGAATTGATAAACGAGAACTGGTAGTGTTGTTCAAGACTCGACCAGCTACACTAACATTTTCTAACAGTCCGATAGGAAGAACGTCATCAGTAATGAGGCTCGGGCGCCGTCCTGAAGGTTGCCTGCCGCGCGGGGACGGTCCTTTTTTATCTGACGTAGTCCTAGGGGAGGCGATTCTTGAGATCTGGGGATGCTTGGTGTCTTCCGCGGCAGGGCTGTTCGAAAGACTCAAAGACGGGCAGCCATCAGAGATTGAAAATTGGGGCTCGAATGGCGATTCAGTCGAGGCCATGGCGCTTAAGTAGAACCTGGAAAGCCTACAGTGCGGCACGTTCTACGAGCAGGGGTATGAAAGAATTTGTGGCATCGAGTTACCTAGCTTGCGGGCTGAAGTGGGACAGCGAAGCTTTGTACAACCGCCATGCCTAGGATCCCAGCTCAATACATATACAGGCGAGATAGAGTACAAGCTCTAATTAGCGCGGGCCCTCAATGATGAGGCTGCATCTTGAACAACCAGGGCCAGCGAGTGCAGGAGCTGATCTGCCGCCAAGCGTGGAAACCAGGCCAGTCGGAGGCTTGTGGCTTGCGCTTGCCCGCTCCGAGACTCTGGGCCTCGCTCAGCTATCAAGAGGCTAGCTGGATCATGCTCACGCCTGCAGTTGTAGAGACGCGTTCTAAAGCTCGGCTGAGCTATCCAGTCTTCGGCCTTCAAGTTGATGTGTTTATAAGATGCTTGATGATGATAAGGTGATCCTGAGATGCTGTTAGATGCTCTATCGCAAGATACACGATGAGTAGCGCAGAGCTTCGTCATAGATGACAGCAGTGAACTTGGAAATGTCGGCATCAAAAGGTGCCGCCTGCAGATCCGGGATCACCGCTAGACAAGGGTCCTGGTCCCGCTTTCCGTGTGGGTGAGCTGGACTTCTTGTAGACCGTGAAGGTACTCCCAGCTGAGCCTCTGGCGTTCCCTTCACTTCTGACTTCTTTAACGAGTGACGGTTGGAGCCCCTTCGTCCCTAAATGGCGATGAGAGCTTGCTAAGCTTGCTCTCACGAACCCAAAAAGCGAAGATCGATTCATTGGTGGACTGCGCGCCGCTTTAGTGGGGCCGCAAGTGTAAATCTCTCGGCTCTCCACCTCCAGCAGTTGCATCATGCATCACGACACCATCCACCGTGGTATCCATCTATCTGCAATTTTGGTCGATATCACCGTTGCTAACGTGTTTGTCTGACTCCGTCAACGTTGGGACCCACAGTTCGCGCAGAGACGAACTAGTAGCGCCCATCAGGCACGGATCGTGCACTGTGGCCGAGCAGCTTCACCAAGACATCCAAGACAAGATGCTGTGGAGCAGTGTCTCAAATCTCGAATTTGGAGTCAGAGGAGCACAGCATGTGTTTTTGGAACGATGCACATCTGCAACCGGCCTTTAAGCAGCATGTCATCTTCCGGAGCCAATTGCTTGATAAGAAAGTTCCACTGCTCCTGCAGGGCAATCCGGCTCGAACGCAGTCTTCCGCCGTCACGCTCACATCCGTACAACCCTTTCCGTGACGCAAGAGAAAAAGCCGCCGCTGCAAGACCACGTCTCTCTGCACCTTATGTCGCCGACTCAACCGACCACGCAATTCAGGACTTAGCAACGACACTCAGTGCTTCAAAGTATCATCACAGTGCAATTCCTGCAGTCTACCGGGTGTTACACGCGCTGTCCCAACATGATGGCTGACAGTTCGCAATGTGTAACGAGGCTGTCTCTGCGGGATACACAAACCGCAACTAGAATATTCCGAAACATAGCACAAGCCTTCCGTATCCGCATATGCAGCCAAAATATTTTCCGAACTTTGATGCGAGAACGCAATCGAGATGAAAGATCTACAGACGAGTATGTACAATCCCTTGTTGGGAGATTCACTCAGCAATGGCCCGTACAAAGACTCCGTCACACTGTTTGCACGAAACTCGGTCGACTATCTCGTCTCGAACTCGAAAGCCATCTAGCAACACGTCAATTCTCCATATGCCACCTTGTAAGAGTTTGCTTATGCCAGTTAAGCCAGATCGATCTGATCTGTAACCATAGCGCCTGCAACGACGGAACGCATCTCGGTCTATGCTGAGCCAGCATGGTGCATGGCCTAGATGAAGGGAGAAGCATCAGAATCGACGGTACCAACATCTGCAGCGTACTCATAGGATGGCGAGGTCGCCGTAGGGCCAGGAATACCATCGACAACTGCGATTTTCATGTCAGTCACTGCTCATGTCTCATAGGTTGCGGCTAGCTCGAGTCCGGCAATACGTCAAAGAAGCTATTCAGCCTCATTCGGCTATCTCTCGACTAGAAGGAACTCGACGCTTCTAGCGAGCGCCACAGCCAGCATCGCAACAGTCAATTAGACACCTGGACATCCTTTTGAAGTCGATGGTAAGTGTGTGCTTTGTCGGAAGTCTGCATTCCACGGAGGCGCTCTTGTCTGTCATGCAAGCCCGCCTGCGAACTTATTCAAGCTCGACCGCACATGGCTGATTAATTCACACCTGAGGGATCAAGTAAATTTTGGTGGGGCAGCTGTTCGCTGCTTCAGGATCGCGAACCCGGATGCAATCGTGAGTCAATGTCATACAATCGCATGCAATATACACAAAAGATTCGCCCGAAAAGCTCTCTACAGGATTAGAAACCACCTACATAGCATGTCAGTGCGTCGTGCCTGCTATAGTCTTATAGTACGTCATGATCATGTCCAGATATAATCTCGAGCACCATCAGACCGCGATCAACAAATACGCTGCTGCGATTCTTCACCCTTCATCTACACAAGACATATTTTGAACGAAGTGTACTACGCTGTTCTGAGCGAAGTAGACTGTAAGCGATGGCCAGTGAGTTAGCAGGAGGACAGTGTGAATGAGGGTATGAAAAGTGTAGCAATGTACATTGTGCAAAGACCCTCCACTGGATCATCCACTACACTCATAAGCCGGTAGAAATGCGCACATACGCCTTTAACATACAACATCCTCATAACCCACAAAACACTACCTACAATCCTCACACACGGTCCCATCCGGATTTCTCTTCACATCCGGAGCCTCTTCAACCTTCAAATCCTTCACAAGATCCTCCGCGATCCTCTCCTCCTTGCCCTTGACCTTAACATCGATGCCTCCGTCCTTCCCCTCATCGGTACTAATCTTCACAGCATCTTTCTTCTTTCCACCAACATCGCTATGGCCCAGATCTTTCTTGGGATCGATATGATCCCGGGCGAGCTGTTTTAGGACTTTGGTTTCGGGGAAACCGCCGGCGGTTTTGCGGTCCCAGAGGAGCACTTTTTTGGCTTGCACTTTCCCATCATTTGGCGAGTCTGTTGAGTTGGGTGGGAGGTACGTCTGTGTTATTAGTACGGTAGACGTGAAGCTAGGGTGCATGAAATCAAAAGAGCATGATATCTGCTATCTTCTTTGCAGGAGAGGATTGGGAGAGGCTTACTTACAAGCTCGACTTGAAAGAGCCCACCAGTGGCAGGTATAAGAGCTATTTCACCGATTTGGGTGCCAAATGTGGAGAGGAGCTCCTGTCCAAACTAATGATATGTGAGTACTGGTCAGAACTAATGTGGTGGGGGTTGATGTACGTATGCAGCCCGCAACATCCAGCGGCATTGCGTGCAGTATGTTATTGTTACGCGAGGCAGGTTTACTGGAGCTACTTGTGTCGATGCCATATTTAGTTGTTGCGGTATCCGTGTCGAGGTTTTCAGCATCAATGTGTAAAGACGCGAGGGTCCGAGATCGGCTTAACAGTTGGTTGCGTCATCACCTGATGGTTCCTTTATAACTGGGCATCGCAAGAGCCATGTCGGAGCTTCAAGTTCATCGCACTCGTAACTGAGATGGTCGATTTATGCATCATATACCCTTGAATGTCGCTTTCTCTGAAGATAGTCGCAAGTCCTCTCTATTTGATTATTTAGTACCCAACAATCACAAACCAGTTGTATCGCTGATGGTTGCGTTGCTCTCTTGACAACAGCAAATAGCACACCTGTTCTAACGCCCACCCTGACGGTCATGACAGTTGGGCAGGAACGATAGCGAAAAGGGGACCTTAATGGACGTGCTCGGTGCATGTGATTGGCTAGCACTAATTCACGGCTGCCCACGATTGGCGCAACCACTGTGATTAATGCTCGGCAATTTCGCATGAACCAGTGGGCTCAAGCGTTGCAATAAGGGCCAGGGTGTCCTGTTCGCTGCCGTTGTGAGATCAAAGGCTGCTGTCATGCTGCGACACCTTTGTGTGAGTGTCGTCTCGAGGATTTGGCTTGTTGCGCAAAGAGATTTTAGTCGTGTAAACAAACAGAGGCCGGGGTAGCTCGATTTTACGGTCGCCAGCCGTCTCGCAGCTTTGTGCCCGAGTGACTTAAGATGAGTGCGATGTTTCAGACTATGTGATGTGATGCATGGATCATATTTTGGACATAACTTCTCCAGACATCGAAAGCACCACGCGCTGAGTGATTACTTCCTGGTACGTCACGCTTAGCGCGTTGCTACGGAAGAGCAACCGCGGTCAGGGAAACCTCACGACTCCTTTTCGACAGACAACTTGCCCACAGTCACATTGTCCACAGTCACTTGATCCACCAATTGTCACGCTATTCGTATCGTCTCCAGAGCAATCGTTGTAAGTGATGCACTCCGCTGAAACCCTTGTTCCCTGGCCGCCGTGACCGCAATTGGCGCACACACCACATCATCTCACACGCCGTTTCAACCACATCGAGCTGCCACTCGTCCTCTCCACACAACGCATTCACCACTCCAGAGGCACTGCTGACGACAGTTCGCCCCCACCGCAGACATGAGTTCCGGCGTGCGCAACCTTCGCGCTATGTTCGAGCAGAACGCAGCTTCTTCTCCTGAACCCCGCGGCCGTTCCCCAGGAAGTTCTTCAGCAGTCGACGACACCAGCCGCCCGACCTCCAAAGTGCGCGCTTCATTCGTTTCTGTCGAGCACACACTCCCTCAGCCAACCGATTTCGGTGCTATCAAGGGCACACCGTCCAACAGCACAGCTGCACACCGCCGCGAGAGCTTCAGCATCAGCGAAGACACCACTGGAGAAGTTGCAGAGCTCAAGAAAGTTATAAGTGAAGAGAGAGAGGAGCGCCGGAAGAGCGCAGCCATCATTGAGCCAATTCCAGAGCAGGCAGTAGCTTCACGGGAATCTTCAGTAGGCCCACCGCCTATCAAAAACGAGCCCGAAGGAGATATGGTGAACCTCGGGACCATTATGAAGGGCTCTGACTTCCCTGAGCCTTCAGCGGATGCGGCAGCTGGCGCGCCACAGCCAAAGGAAGCGCCAGCCCCTGAGCTGCCCGCAGTCACGGAAGAGCCCGCAAAGGAGGAGTCTGCCCTAGCACCAGTGCAGGAGACTCCGGCCGAGAACCCAGACAAGGCTACAACAGGAGCACAAGAAGAGGTGTCTCTGAAGCCAGCGGGTCCAACCGATGCTTCTGCTGTCTCTGGCAGCAAGACCCTTCCTCCACCGGCCGAAGAATTGAAGCCTGCAACCACTGAGCCCGCCGCACCCACCCCAGCTGCTCCAGCTGCCCCCGCCGAGCCCACTGTAGAGACACCGAAGCCAGCTTCAAGTAGCACCAAACCCAATGGAACACCGGCGACAAAGGGCAAGCTCGAGTTCAAGAAGCCTGCGACTATTTCCATCACCAAAGCCTCTGCATCCAAGGGTACACCCGTCAAGAGCCCGCTGCCCAAGGCCGCACCGAAGACACCCACTAACCCAAAGCACTTAGCTGCTACGCCTGCGCCGAAGGCAGCTACACCTGTCTCGAAGCCTACTGCAGCTGCTAAGCCTGCAGTGAAGCCAGTCTCAAAAGAAGCAGCCAAAGCAGCTGCGCCAAAGCCAAAGACCAGCCACACATCTCTGCGACAATCGACCGCCACAGCACCTACTGCTGCAGCAAAAGGAAAGACAGTCGTTACTGAGAATAAGAAGCCAGCAACAACCAAGCCAAAGTAGGTATTTTCCGAGCTTAAATATTACCACGCTGATTACCGCACCACAGGGATCCCATCACCACTTCTCCCCCTGCCCTCAAGAAGCCAAAGCCGAGATCGCCCACCCGTCCCGTCGCGCTGAACTCGCGCCTCACCGCTCCTACCGCAGCATCCGCCGCGAAGTTGCATGGGGAGGAAGCAAAGGTCACCCGCAAGCCTTCTACCGCAACCCGCCCTGTGACGAAGCCTGCAGCCACCAAGCCTTCTCGTCCTTCGGTCGCACCCAGTGCGAGCACGAACAAGCGACCAGAGTCGCGCACTTCTACAGTTGGGGCCAAGCCCGGCTTCCTTGAGCGTATGTCGCGGCCGACGGCAGCTAGCGCCAGCAAAGTGCATGAGAAGCCCACTTCGCCACCCAGAAAAGCTCCTGCGAAGTCGAGCATTCTTCAGAAGAGTAAGAAGAAGGTGGAAGAGGTTGCGACTAAGGCGAAGGAGGCGGTGACGTCGAATGGTCATACAGATGAGGCCGCGAAGACTGAGCCAATCAACGGCACCAGCGCCCACACCGAAGCCTCTGAGGAGCCTGCTGTTGAGCCGGTCACAGAGTCTGTCCCTGAGCCTGTTGCCGAGAAGGCGGATCAATTTGAGCCTGTAAAGGCAGAGACACCTGTCCCAGAAGGCGAGTCATCCGCTCTGGAGCTGCAGACGCCCAACTTCCGGGGTGAAGCCGTCCGTTAGTCACCTTGTGTGCCACCTCTTGGGAAAGAGGCTGTCTGGCTGCAAGCTAGTATTCTTGCCCGTCTGATATGGTTCTTGCTCCTCTATTTCTTTCTATACCAGCATTTTCAGGAGCGTTCATTCGGCAGAACTTCATATCCATTGGCGGTGTTTTTGATTCAGAGGTTCAGGTTTGTTGCATTACTTCGCTACGTCCGTCGAGTCTGGATAGTGCAATTCGTTCTGAGAGCTTGGGCTGAAGGCTGGAATGTGCTAAAGGCGCTATGGCACGATGACAAATTGTACGATAAAATACTCGGGCCTACCACCAGACGTGTCTGGCCTCCTTTGTAGCATAGCAATCAATGTATCCTCACTCAGACTATGTTCACGCAAGTTGTGTATGGGGCTAGTGGCGGCGCGCGCGGTCAGGTGATTCTCCAATAAAAATGTTCGGACTTCCGACAACCCCCAGGTCGAGCAACAGCAGACGTTAGCGTCGTCCTTTCACTTTCTCCTCTTCTTGTTGTTGTGTCTAACAGTGTTTGAGATGAGGGTTCAGTCACTCATCAGAGCGCAATCGCTCGCCACAAGCAGCCTTCGCACAGCTGCTCGCACAGCTTCGCGGACCCCTTCGCGATGCGCTCTGTCGACCGCCGCGGCGTCGCGCACACCCTTCACCAACGGATTGAAGACGGACACATGGATCAACAACCAGCAGAAGAGATGGCAGTCTGCGGCAGCACAGGTGTGAGTGCAATTGCCATTGTTGCAATACAATGGGTTGTGGCGAGGAAGCAGTCGAGCTAATCGAAAGTCAGATTGGCGCAAGCAAAAGATGACCCGTCAACATTGTCCCAGGACGACATTGTCGCAAACCTCGATCCCGTCGAATGGGAGCGTTTGTCTCGAGTCCGTAACATCGGTATCGCAGCGCACATTGACTCCGGGAAGACCACCGTCACCGAGCGCGTTCTCTTCTACACCGGCCGGATCAACGCCATCCACGAAGTTCGAGGCAAAGATGCCGTCGGTGCAAAGATGGACTCGATGGATCTGGAGCGTGAGAAGGGTATCACCATCCAGTCTGCTGCAACGTTCTGTGACTGGGTGAAGAAGGACGATGAGGGCAAGGACGAGAAATACCACATCAACTTGATCGATACACCCGGGCATATCGATTTCACAATCGAAGTGGAGCGCGCGCTCCGAGTACTTGATGGAGCTGTCATGATTCTCTGCGCCGTCAGTGGTGTCCAATCTCAGACAATCACGGTCGACAGGCAGATGAAGCGCTACAACATTCCTAGGTTGTCGTTCGTCAACAAGATGGATCGCATGGGCGCAAACCCGTGGAAGGCTGTTGAGCAGATCAACAAAAAGCTCCGCATCGCCGCTGCCGCTATCCAGGTCCCTATCGGACGGGAGGACGACTTCTTGGGTGTGGTTGACCTTATCAAGATGCAGGCCATCTACAGTGAAGGTGAAAAGGGGGAGACTATCAGGGTTACAGATGAGATCCCAGCGGACCTGGTTGATCTCTGCAAGGAGAAGAGGGCAACACTCATCGAGACTCTTGCGGATCTGGACGATGAGATTGCCGAGATCTTCCTGATGGAGGAGACACCTACCATTCCCCAGATCAAGGCTGCCATCCGCCGTGCAACTATCTCCCTGAAGTTCACTCCCGTCCTGATGGGCTCTGCGCTTGCTGATAAATCCGTCCAGCCTATGCTCGACGCCGTATGCGATTACCTACCCAACCCCTCCGAGGTCGAGAACATGGCGCTGGACAAGAAGAGGGCTGAAGCACCGGTCAAGCTGGTCTCATACAACTCGCTGCCATTCGTCGGTCTTGCGTTCAAGCTTGAAGAGAGCAATTTCGGCCAGTTGACTTACATCCGTGTCTACCAGGGTACTCTCAGGAAGGGCATGAACGTGTTCAACGCAAGGTCAGACAAGAAGGTCAAGATTCCCAAGATCGTGCGCATGCACTCCAATGACATGGAGGAAGTCCAGGAGATTGGCGCTGGAGAAATCTGCGCTGTGTTTGGTGTCGACTGCGCGTCTGGTGATACTTTCACCGACGGCGGCCTCGGATACACAATGGTAAGTGCTGGTCTATGCCCAGAGGATCGCACCACTAACACCTGGCAGACCTCTATGTTCGTTCCTGAGCCCGTCATCTCCCTCTCGATCAAGCCAAAGCACACCAAGGATACCCCCAACTTCAGTAAAGCCATGAACCGCTTCACCCGTGAAGACCCTACTTTCCGCATCCACGTCGACCCCGAGTCCCAGGAGACCGTCATCTCCGGCATGGGTGAATTGCACTTGGATATCTACGTTGAGCGTCTGCGCCGTGAATACCGCGTCGACTGCGAAACCGGCCAGCCTCAGGTCGCCTACCGCGAGACGCTCACCAAGCGCGTCAACTTCGACCACACCCTGAAGAAGCAGTCCGGTGGATCCGGAGACTTCGCGCGTATCATTGGGTGGATGGAGCCCTCCGAAGCCCTTACAGACAACAAGTTCGAGACCCAAGTCACTGGTGATAACCTGTCCGAGAAGTTCTTGTACGCTTGTGAGAAGGGTTTTAACCAGTCCATCGTCAAGGGTCCTCTGCTTGGTCACCGCGTACTGGGTACAACCATGGTCATCAACGACGGAGCTACCCACGCTGTCGACTCCAGTGAAATGGCCTTCAAGAACGCCACAGCCCAGGCTTTCCGCAAGGCCTTCGCACAGGGGGCCCCTCAGGTTCTCGAACCTCTCATGAAGACCACCATCACCGCGCCCAGCGAGTCCCAGGGTTCGGTTATTGGATTGTTGAACAAGCGCAATGCTGTTATTATCGACACTGAGGTCGGGCCGGAGGACTTCACCGTCTACGCCGACTGCTCGTTGAACTCTATGTTTGGTTTCAGTTCGCTGCTGCGTGCTAGCACACAAGGAAAGGGCGAATTTAGCATGGAGTTCAGCCACTACAGTCCTGCGCCGCCGCAGCTGCAGAAGGAGCTTGTTGCGAAGTATGAGAAGGAGAGGAAGGACAAGGACTAGAGAAGTAATGGCTTGGGGAAGAGATGAGATGAGAAACTTTCGCGTGATCGAGTTTCATGTTACAGTACGACTAGGGCTTGCATATAGACGGGCGCATCGGAAAACTTGGGTACTGTAGTATAGTTGTACAGTACGATTGATGTATGTATTGTATGTGTACGGGAACAAATGATATCCCCTCTATTCAGCGACGTTATCTGGCCTTCCCTCCTCAACACTATGCACCGGTAAAGGGATGTACGCAATATCTTGGTTGATGCAGACCCGTCTACAGTTCCAGAGGTTCGCGTCATGAGACATGATTGTGCTGCCCCAATCTCTCATCATCCCAGAGCCGTTCTAACCCGTTCGTCAGAACAGGCGATACTCACCCCAAACACAGCCCACCAAAACGTGTACAAGACGCCGATGGTGAGAAAGACTGCGCTTTTTGGGTATAACGCCATTCTCAGAAAGCCTACCGTCAGCTCGAAAGGCGAATTCGGTTGTGTATTGTTTAGTGCCATGTCCTCGGGCTGAATACATTCTGCGGTGGGGTTTGTGGATTTGGTAACCCATTCAAAAGCGGGCAAGGCTTGTCGAGGGACTTGATTGTGGGATCGCCTGTTCAGTGGTGTGAATATTGAAAGGAATGGTGAAGAAAAGCTCGAGTGAGACGGATGGAAGGTGCATGCCACTTGGGGTTGTGTACCGTGATCGGGATGATTTGCTTATATCTCTCTCGCACTTTCTCAGGCAATGATTCTACGAGATGTCTCCACGTTGCTCTTTCCAGTGCTATATGTACATGTTCGTGATCGTAAATCTGCGATGGTGTTGTACATATGTAGGTCAACCGAGGTTGCCTTCTTCTTCTGTCCCCTGCAGTTGTCTGCTATGTGTGCCTAGTTCTTCTCGGCGCGAGCAGCCTTCATGCTCTGGTACTGTCGCGACAGAATTGTAGGGCGGCTGTTGATGCTGCCGAAGGCTTGGGTAACGATGGGCGAGCTGTCTGTGCGGATGGTAGTGCCGATGGCCATGAAGAAGCTGTAGCCAGCTGTGAGCAGTCATTCGCTAGACACTCTACTATGTTCATACCCAAATGTCGCCGCAGATCCCATCATGTATTGCCCGAGTGTTCGCAGCATGCCGTTTGGCCCGGGACCGAATCGAACGATGTTTGTGAAGCCTGGCATCGTCAGTACAAGCTTCTTAACGATTTCTTGATTATGCGCACCGAAGATGAAGCCAATAATAAGACCAACAGCTATTCAAACCGTCAGAGAGCCATTCAAGTCGTACCGAGTCTTTGCGACGTACATCCACCCATCATGCCACCCATCTTCACTGCATGCTGTTAGCCGACTCCACAGTCCAGGTGGGTTGTGGCAGCATACACTTGTCAAGCGTAGAGGGGCCATGCGCGCCGTCTCCTGGCATAGCTCCAACAGGTACTGGCATCCTGACGAGTGTGTGAGACGCTTGTATAGAGAACGAATGCGGAGAGAAACACGGCGGTTTGACAGCTGCTCGGTGCCGAAGAGCACTCCACCTTAGCTGTAGTGGTCTGTGCCAGCTGCCGCCAAGTGAGCTCCGCAGATGTGGATGTACACTTCCATAAACACACGTCGACTGGACGATATTGCAGCCCCCGTGGAGAAAACCCCCAGCCTACATGGCACATAAATGGAAGCTATTTCGAGGGGCAAATTTTGACTTTTGCACGAACTCTAGCTCTCAAGCCTCACGTTCACTGATGCTGACCACGTGACCGATAACTAAACGGTGCACCGCGCCACAAGGAAATGTCTACGATTCGAGGTTGTTGCTTTTTGTAGTGCTTCTCAGTGCACGCAAAATCATCACGAACATCTTGCTCGAACAACTGTTCTGCTGCACCGCTGCTCGTTCCACCCAGCGTCATACCTATCACCTGTAGTCTGCGCAAGCGAACGACTAGGCCAGGCCAGCGCCGACGACCTCCCGCTCCTGGAATCTTAGACCATCGAACCCGTCCACCACGCTTCACCCAACAGCCCGTTACGCGGCCCCTATATCGATATTCCCTTGCCAGTCCGGCTTTGCTGCTGCTGTACACTGCACCCCATCTGCAGGCCTGCATCGCCCGACGTCGCACGGGCTCCCCGGAGACAGGACAGCACACGACAGACAACATAGCCGCGGATACTTCCCTCTGCACCCGCTGCACTGCCCGACTGCTGCGCTCGACCGCGACGCATGAGCACGTGAGCTGTAGCGTGGACTGTCGCTGCCCTTCCCCGCTGCATCTTGGTGGTCTCGCGACTGCCACGCTGTCTCGCTGCGGCGCCCAGGACGGGGGACACGGACGACCTCCAAAAAGTGACGACCCTGCGCATCAACAACGCGACCACCTTCCACGGAAGCCGGCCGCCCGCCCCTCGCCTCACCAATGACGGCTGTCGCTCCTCCTGTGCAATTTCAGAACATCAACCGGCAGGCATGGAGCGCTGAAGGAGGCGCGAACGGCGCCATGTACATGCCGCGGAAAAGCGCTCAGCGAACAAACTCATCCTCCTCCCTGTCGTCGCAGGCCTCGTCCACATCCACTATTTCAGCAGCCTCTGCGCAATCACAGCCCAACGGCGGCGCCCTCCCCAACGGCACCGACGCCAGCGCGTGGGCAGCCCGCAAAACAAAAGGGCCCAAAGGCCTCTACCCAGCAACCAAGACCGAGCCTGTCGCAGGCCTCTCAATCGCACGACCACAGCAAATCGCTACTGCAGGCCCTGGCGCATCGGCAGCCTCTGCCATGAGCGCCTTGCAGGCACCATCCGCCATGGTTCCCTCACAGCAGAATGGCGTCCTGCAATCGCAGCAGAACGGCGTGCAACGACCAACGGGTGAGAGCACTGCTATACTGCACCTGATTCCTATGAACGGCACATTTGAACGCAAGACCATCACTGTGCCCTTCTTCCCAGACGTACTCCGCATCGGTCGCCAAACCAACAACAAGACAATACCCACCCCGCTTAACGGGTACTTCGATTCGAAAGTCTTATCTCGACAGCATGCAGAAGTTTGGGCAGACCGCAACGGCAAGATCTGGATTCGCGATGTCAAGTCATCCAACGGCACTTTCGTCAACGGGCAACGGCTGTCGCAAGAGAACAGAGACTCGGACCCTCATGAGCTGCGGGAACAGGACATGCTGGAACTTGGTATCGACATCGTTAGTGAGGACCAGAAAACCATCGTCCACCACAAAGTCGCCGCTCGTGTCGAGCACGCTGGAATGTATGCTAGGTCACCCAACGAGGCACTCGATCTAAATTTCGGCGAGCTGGACGGCAATCAGATGCAGAACATGATGGGAGCCAACGGTCAACAGCAACTGGCGAACATGCGCGGCCGAACTCCCAGCCAAGGTTCGATGAACGGACAACGCATGCAAATGGCCGGCGGTGTACAAGCATATCAGAATGCTATGCAGCAGCCACGCCACCCCAACTTCTGGCTGCAACCGATCACTATGGAGCAGGTGGTCAAGAAGCTTAATGTGAGTGTCTAGTGCAAACAAAAGCTGCCAGCACTAATCTTTCCAGGCTGAGATGAAAGCGGCCAAGCAACAATCGCAGGAGCTGCAACAAGCTCACCAGTACATCAATGCTATACTATCCGCAGAACCTAAGAAGGAGCCGGCGAAACAGTCGCCCGCAAACTCCGTCAAGATATCACCAATTAAGGACATCAACCTCAAGGCCAGGTTCTCCGACCCTCCTGCCCCTCCACCACAACAGCCTCTCCCCGAGAAACCAAATGCTGCATTGTCGCTTAAGAGGTCAGACACCGAGCATCCCAAGATAGCGTCGCCTGTACGGTCAGACGCACAGATGTCAACCCTCACAGAAGCTTTGAATAGCGCCAAGAAGGAGATTGAGTCTCAGAGTATTCGACTCCGGGATCTGGAGTCACTGTTGAGCGAAGAGCGCCGTGCGAGAGAAGACGCTGAAGAACGAGCGAATCGACTAGAGCGAGAGTCAATCAGGGAACCTGAGCAGCATGGAGAGGCCGATGAGGAGGCGAAGGAAGCAGATGAGTCTGTAGTTGAAGAGGTGGGCAACGCTGGCCTGGAGAATGGCTCCGCATCGCCTGCCGCCGATACCACAGCGCGCTTGCAACACCGCCTGGAGACCATGATGTTGGAGATGAACGAGATGAAGCAACAGATGGAGCGATACCGCGAACGTGCTGAAGCTGCAGAGTCTGACCGCAAGAGCTTGGCCGAGATGATCGAGAACATCAGGAAAGACAATGCAAAGTCGATTGGTGGTGGCGGCAGGAGACGAAGCCGAAGCGGCGGTGATGGAGCAAGAGAGCTCACAGGAGCCGGTGTCGACGGCTCTGAGGACGGCAACGATGCAGAGGAGGGCGAAATCACCATCATCAAGGACCACGACGTCGATGAGGACAGTGCAGGCACGCTACACCGAAGAGCCAGCCAACAAAACGGGCATGCTGTAGATGGCGAGGCAAAGGAGTTCTCGAAGCCATCCAACGCCCTCTCGGTTCAGCGTCACAGCAGCGCTGACTTGATGTACCATGGTGGTCCAGTCGGTGCTATTGTGACAGTAGTCGCAATTGGTGTAGCTGTTATGGCTATGCTCAACCAGTATCCAAAGGCCGAGCGCTGAGTGAGCGCACATCAACTCGCCTAGGCCGATACTACCGCAACAAAGAATTCGCCATAGAAACGGCGGAGCACAGTGGCCGACTTTGATGGGTCTGAGGGCGATCCCAAGCCCAACAACCGGCCCCCTTGAGGGACATAAGTTGGACAACCGCCTCCAGATTCCCCCCCTTCCCGGTTCACCCAGCAAAGCGCTGATGCCTCCTCACCACAACACTATCACCAACCTCCCTCCATACAAATACGACAAGCATCTGAAGACCACGACCATTCACACATGCAACGAATAAATTTTGGATCGAAATCAGCGTTACACAGCTCATTATATCGGCTGATGTGACGATCTTTTTTTTTACAACGGCGTTGCACAATTGGGCAAGCACCAATAGGCGTTTATCATATATTTTTCGGTGTTCTTTGGCGCCTGCGGGCATTTTGGATGGACGGAAACCTCAGCGGGGTTTCTACAAGGGCAGTGTCCCTAGACATTCACTGTAACAGCTAGCGAACCTCTCCTTTGTAGCATTATGAATTATCTAGCTTGGGTCTTGGATGACAACAAGAACGAGAGTGGAAGGTAAGGAGCGGGCCTGTTATGGCTGAGCTGTTAGGTTGGTACGAGTTGGGGATTTGGGACCTTCAATGATACATATTCGACCTTTTCACACTGACGCTGCGCTTCGGTTGTCTGAATTTCACGTGGGGTATCTTCGCATCGTACTGTCGGAATGAAACCAAAGCGCGAGGAAACTACTTGAGCCCAATACACACCGTCACCGTACTCAGTGTCCGTATCCTCGTCTCTGGTATTTCCTCTTCCTTCCCTTTATCTCCCTTTCCCTCCCCCGCCACTAGCCCCTCCCCTTCCGCATCCTCCTTGATCTCTACATCATCAATAGCTTTCACACTCCCCATCTCAACCCTCACTCTACAATCCTCCTCCCCCTGAAACTTCACTCCCAGCTCCAGCGCCCGCGGTATCGCGCGCCCCGTTGCTTTCAAGTAGACTTCCTCTCCGCCCACGCTTCGACTCTTTCCTGATCCTTGAGCAGCGGCAGCGGATATCGAGGCTTCGACGTCCGCGGCTGAGAGCCGGCCGTTCGCTTCTAACCCTTTCCCTCTCCTTTGACTTCTGGCTTTCCCGCGCCCGACCGAGGCAGCAGACTGTGCTTCCCTTTTGCTTATCTGAACAAGCAGAGACCGAATCCGTTTACACGTGGGTATAAATGGCGAGGAGGCGGTTATGTACAGCACCTTTGGACTTTCTGCAGAGGCGAAGGGTGTTGGGATCGCGGGGTGCAGGAGCGGGCGTTTGGAGATTGTAGCGTTCGGGGGCAGTTGAGGTCGCTTGTTCTTGTCTTTCTTGTTTCTACGCTCATGGTACGCGCGTTTCAATTCTGCGTCCCTCTTCACCCGTTCCTCGTATGTGGGGACTGGGGCATTGGGATCTCGGCGGAAGGGATTGATGGGGCCGTGGAATGAAGGGACATATGTGTTCCATGGTCCGGCTTTTATTCGGGGTTCCCATGGCTTGGTCGAGTCTGCATCGTTCGTTGTATTATCCTTTGAGGTTTTTGAGTTGGTGGTTTTGCTGCAGGATGGTTGCGCTTGGCCGCAGGGTGGGGTGTCTTGTGGCTGTTGCTCTTCGGGGTTGCTTTTAGGTTTGGGTTCACCGCTACGAGTTCGCTTTTGGCCAGCCATAGTGGCAAGGCGTGAGTTATGGGTGTTGAGAAGTTTGGAGAAGGAAATTATTTCGGCCGGTGTGAAGTCAAGGCGCGTCTATGGCAGGCGCGTCTTTGGCAGGCGCGGTCTGAACTTCTTTCCTTATCGATACCGTGTCCGCCGGGTCAATGCACGCGTCGGGTCACCAAAACATCACAAAATCATCAACACCATAACTCAGCCAAATCATGCCCGTTCTTGAAGCCCTTGAAACTGCACGTGCAGAAAGTGCAGATGGTTCAATTTGCTACCAAGAAGTTACTGATTAGACAGGGTTGTCATATTCAATGTTGTCGCACAATGATAGAGGCGTGACAACTCCATGTGCAGAGGCAGACTTGCAACGCCACAAACTCAACCTACAACAAGAGCGTGAGCTCTGTGAGTACATAGAAGTACTTACTGAGCATTGCCTTCCACCTACAAGGCAAATGGTACAGAATTTTACTGCAGAGATAGCTCACGAGAGCGTTGGCAACACCTGGGTTACTGACTTCCTCAAGTTAACTGCAGGCAACAATTGTGCCTGTTCCAATCGTGTTTGACGTTGGTATCATACTTCTCTCCTTCACAGCACCAGGTTCTTATTATGCCTCGCTCTTCACCAATTCGAGCAGGAGTCTCATCAGAGAAGACTACCTCGGTAAAGTTGTAGCCTAAGTTGTCACCTTCTTCGTACTTATCAGGGTTGTAGGCATGTGCCCAGGCATCCTGCTCCTTCTCTTGATCAGGTGTCAGTCAGTGAAGGTTTCCACCCTGGTGCGCGGTGCGTGTAACCTGCCTCATACATGATGTTTTCAAACGTTGTTATACTCATTTCTGGTACAACTTCTTTGAAATCGCCATCAGCAATACCCTGCCAGGGCTCCTTCTCACGTGCGTCGCATGAGGACGTCGCGATCTGGATGATGAGTTCCTTCTGTTGACGTGTCAACAACAGGCTCCTGCCGCGTCCCAAATCGTTCTCATAAAGTATATCATCCCATAGAGCTACAGCGTGATCGTTGGCTTTCATTTCTACCATTGAAGCAACTCCGAGAGGGTGCTTGTGACCGTCCCATAGTGGTTGCGAGATCACGATAGTCTCCCCGCATTGCGGTGAGAGCGCCCACCGCGAACGCCCTCTCAACCACCCTCAACTCAGTGCGATTTGCCTTAGGAGCTCGGATCTTCTTGTACTGCTTATAGTTGAAGTTTTTGCAACGCGCAATAGTCTGTGCAGGCATTGTGGTGGTTGATCTACTATATGCAAAGTATGGTGTTGACATGAGATGGTTGGGGACGATCGCGCACGAGCCCCCTGATCGGCCAAAAAAAAAAACGAGCTCCTTCGTAAAGCTACGAGCTGGACCTCTGCTCGGGCGCATACCTTCGAATGCCTCGGATTCGCACACAGTAGATGCTATTGAACTACAACATGAAGTTTGTCATATCATAGGCAGTTCTCTACCCTTCACCCACTTATCTCCTTCTGCGAGGAACAGAACCGCAGCTCCCCATGAGATTTCCATGACGCTAGCCACCCAGAACGGGGGACGGATGTGAATTACGCCTATGGACGCAAACCGTCTTTCAGGCTCCACCTCCTTCCTCCTTGAGAACTAATACGACAACAACCTCAATGGCACAATCCCTACGGCACATCCACCTCCCGGGCATCGTTCCCTACTCCACAGCCGCCCGCCTGCAAGAGTCCCTTGTCTCGCGTTTTCTGGCCTCCAAACCACCCTCGAACGCGCCGGCACCGTCCTCACACATTATAACCGCCCAGTTCGCGCCCGTCTACACCTGCGGCCGCCGAGAGATTGGTACAGTCTCACCAGAGCAGCAGAAGTACCTGCGCGCAGATGGCCGCGCAGAATTCGTCGAAGCCATGCGCGGTGGCCAAACGACCTTCCACGGCCCAGGCCAACTCGTCGCATATCCTATCATTGACTTACGCACCCACAAACTCACGCCGCGCGACTATGTTTGTCTCCTAGAGAAGTCACTTATTGCTACGTGTGCAAAGTATGGTATCAAAGCTATGACGACTGAGCACACGGGCGTGTGGACCAGTCCAGATGATAAGATTGCGGCAATCGGGGTGCATATGAGGAGGAATATTACGAGTCATGGGGTAGGGCTGAATGTGGGCACGGATCTGTGGTGGTTTGATAGGATTGTTGCGTGTGGGTTGGAGGGGAAGCGGACGACTAGTTTTGAGAGGGAGGGAGTGACAGGAAAGAGCGCAGAGGAGGTGGGAGATGCGTATGTGAAGGAGATCGCGGGACGGCTGTTGGGGGTCGAGGGTGTCGATAGGGCCGGGCAAGAGCAGGTTGCAGAATATTTCAAGGTGTGATCGAGGCCTCAATCAAAGGACGACAATCACGACACAAACAAAGACGCCTTCCCTGCAATCCCTCATCTGATTCTACCGCTACCAATAGTAGCGCAGCTTCCGGACGACAAATTCAGGACAATACCTTAGACAGGCGGCAGTCTCAACGGCCGCGAGAGCACCCAAGAGGAAAGAAAAAAGGCCGCCCATGTCACACCGCATTCAGCAAAACTCCTGCTGTAGGATTAGACGCCTGTGACGCCTCAAAGAGAGTCAAGGAATTCGTTCAACAGGGTTCTTACGAAAACCAGGCGGGTTACCAGGCAGTGGACATTGGTCGGCCGGCACGATCCTGCCTCAATACTTCTTCTCGTGCCAAGCAGCGAACAACTCACACTACAGGTATTGGGGCCAACAACAGAGCTTCTGCAAGCATCAGCCGTGTTAATATATTGTAGAAGATGCTGGATGTTTTCCCTCTTCTATGTATCAACGCGGCGTTGTGGTAAACTAGATCTACAGCTTGTTGGCGCGCCTCGTCTTTTTAGAGACCTTGTTGAAACCATGATATTTTGCCTTGAGGGGTCACAGGCGCCTGATCCTTCTGCAAGAATCCTGTCAAACGCCGAGCTGCAGAAGCCAGGACTGTAGTCTCATAGTTCGCATGTCCACCGAGGTAGACGCTCTGGGGATCACCCCTCAGAAAAGAAGGAAGCGCAGCGTCGATATCCGATCTCAACATTCCCGTTTTCGCTCTATATCCTTTTCGATCTGTCGTGATTCAGACGCGCCAGCCACCATCACAAAATCATAGGGCCAAGTGGTGGTGCCCTAAACGCCGGACTAAATCCAGTGTCGACCAATGAGGAGCCAGGACTGAGCATTCCTCGCGACAAGCTCAAGTGACCATCTAAGCCACGGAGAACAACCACCATCCAATTAGTTTCTCAGTTTCCGTTTTGTTCACTCGTCAAGTGGAAGGAGCAGGGTGTCGCGTGGCTTCAAGGTCAATCCGCTTGCTCAAACGGGCATCTTGAATCTCGCTTTTTGTGACCACCCCGCGGACTATTTCCCCGCAAATGATATTCATCGAAATGAAGGAGAAGGGATGTTTGCGGATGCCACTACTTCACCGTTCTCCTTACCTCTCCCCCGACAGTCTCTTTAATTACTCATATTCTTTCAACTACAATCTATCATGATCTTCTTCTTGTCGTTCTTTTTTGCCGTCTTGCTCAACGCTCTGCTCAGCAATGCCGCTCCCTTCGTCGCTGAGAAGAGAGGTCAGTAACACAAGTCCCAGCTCACTGTATCAGTATACTGACACCAAGTAGCAATCGACACCACTCTCCTTCAATCCTTCAGACTAATGTCCCAATACGCCTCCGCAGCCTACTGCTCCAACAACTTTAACTCCCCCGGCGACCAAATCCAATGCGGTTCAGGAAACTGCCCGCTAGTCGAGCAAGCAGACTCAGCAACCGTGCTTGAGTACAGCAAGTACTTCTCCCCTCCCCACCACTTCCACTTTCGCCCACCAAGCTTACGCCATCTAGAACAGAGACCCTCACTGATGTGACCGGCTTCGTGGCGGTCGACCACACCAACGCCGCCATTGTTGTCTCCTTCCGAGGCTCTCAATCCCTCGACAACTGGCTCACTAATCTCGATTTTGGGTTCACTAGCACGGATATTTGTGACGGCTGCACCGCGCACTCCGGATTCTGGGAATCCTGGGTCGATGCGCAGGGCTCTGTTGTTACTGCTGTAACAGCCGCAGCTACCAAGTATCCTGCTTACAAGATATCTGTAACCGGTCACTCCCTGGGCGGCGCTATTGCGCCGTTCGCCGCCGCGCAGCTGCGAAACCAGGGGCTCAGCGTCGCTCTTTACACTTTTGGCAGCCCTCGCATTGCTGGCACTAAGCTAAGCTCCTACATCACCAATCAAAGTGGTGGGAATTACAGGATTACGCACTGGAATGACCCCGTTCCACGAGTCCCGCTGTTGACCATGGGGTATGTGCATATTAGCCCGGAGTATTACATCAACAAGAAGAACAAGGTCGCTATTGCGGAGAGTGACTTCAAGGTGTATGAGGGGGCGATCAATTTGATGGGGAATGCGGCGTGGTTGCTTACGGATTTGGAGGCGCATCGGTGGTACTTCACGCAGATGTATACGTGTGCAGATATGAAACAGAAGAGGGGGTTGGACGAGCTGGAGGGCGTGGATATAGTTGCGAAGTTCTAATACAGATGATACTGGTTAGGGAACGGGATTCAGGAATCGTGGATCAATGCAAGCACACGAGAGCCAAATCCAAGTCGTCGCTCATAGGCATAAATCGAGTTCTCATTACTATCATGGTCTATAGGATATCAGATCATCGAGCCTCATTCTTAGACAAGCAAGAAGCTGCCCCCGCACCAATACACTCAAGGTCTTCTTAGACTTTCTCTACTCTTCCAACTCCACCATTCTTCTCCTCAAACAGCTCTGTCTCAACAGCCTTGTCGGTCGGCCTAGCCTCAACGCCTACCTTCGACTCATTAAACGCATCCAACTCCTTCGCCTTGAACAAGTTAAGGTAGATAGGGAAGGAGTATGCGATCAAGAAGCCTGCAAGCGGAACACTCATAGCGATCCTTGTGTTGCGTGCATCGACGATGGCGCCGAGCATGGGCGGGAAGACAGCGCCGCCGGACACGGAGGCGACGAGGAAGGAGGCACCGCGCTTGGTGTGGCGACCAAGACCACGAAGAGCTGTTTCCAGTTAGAAGGCTTTCTAAATGCGCTTGGGAACAGTGAAATTTACAGAGAGTGAAGATTGTTGGAAAGATGCAGGACTCGAAAAATAGCACCATGCACAGCATGGCAATTGCGGCGTCGCCGGTGGTCGGGATGGATGCAGTGATGAAGATGACACAGCCGGTCAAGAAGCCAAGCAGGATGTAGCGAGGCTTGACCCACTTCATCATGAGAGATGCGACGAAGCGACCGACAGCAAAGAGGGCTTGGGCGATGGCAAGAAGGTTGGAGCCATCGGCGGTTGTGAGACTAGGTTTGACCTCTGTCACGTAGTGGATGAAGAATCCGGCGACGGCGACTTGAGAGCCGACGTAGCAAAACTGTGCTGCTACGCCCCAGAAGAGAGTGTACTGGCGGCGAAAAGGCTTGTCGATGTATCCGGTCGCAGTTTCCGTCTTCTCGGACTGAGCGGCGACATCGGCATCTGTGATTTCGGGGATGCTGGAGCAGGGTTAGTTTGAAGGGACTGTGTCGGTTGTGAGAAGATGACCACTTACGGGGCAAAGAAGAAGACGACCGCAAGAGCGAAGACGAAGCATGCAATACCGAGGTACACCCACTGCACTGACTGCAAGCTGTTGTTGTTGACGTTCTTGAAGAGAACGAAGGATGCGAGGACGGGCGCTACGACACTACCAATGGCCTGAAAGGCTTGCGCGAGGTTAAGACGGAGTTCCATCCATCTGGGAGGACCACATGTAGCCTAACATATTGCAATCAGTACAGCTCCACCAAATATCGACTTCCAAGGCAACTTACAATGAAAGGATTCGCTGACGTCTCAAGCGTACTCAGACCCGAACCGACAACGAACATGGCACCACAGAAGCCACCAAATGACCTCTTGACACCACTGGGCCAGAAGAGAAGAGCTCCTGCGCCGTAGATGCAGAGACCGGTGATGAAGGTCCATCGGTATCCGAATTTGCGGACAATCCAACCACTGTATGTGAGAGGGCCGATGAAGTAGGCCCCGAAGTATGCACTGTGGCCGTTAGTACTTGGCTTTTGCCACGAGAAGAGGGTGCGTACGCTTGAAGACCGGATGATTGTGCAGCAGTGACGTGGAGTGTTTCCTGGAAGTGCTTGTTCAGGACATCAAGCAGACCGTATGCGAAACCCCACATAAAGAAGAGAATGGTGACAAGAGACACCTTTGCAGGTTAGTCACGCTGTGTTGCGCAAGTTATCGACGTACAGGAATGATGGATTGCTTCGTTGTGATTTCGCCAGCACCTGTGACGGCGTGGTCATCAACGCTCTTCCTTCGTGTGACATTCTCCGTGGCTTCGACTGCTGATGGGCGACGTTCAGTGTTGCTATCGGTCGACGATGAGTCGCTCCTGCCGAAGTTGAACCTGCCCATGGTGTATGGATGGTAATAGATAAGAAGAGAGGAAAGTGTTATTCAAGATAATGGATGAGGAACACTGAGCTTGGGCTGCTGCTCCAAACCATATGGACACCATGATAGTTATATACAAATCAAATGCTGAGCATTTACTGTTGTTGATGATAGTCCTAGTTCTGCGGTGCTTCCGAGATGCCAACAAGACGTACCCTTGTAGGTGTACTTGGCCTTTGAGCCGCCTCTCTGTGAAGGCAATCGGACCGAAGCCATTACACCAGTAAACCATTGAGGTAGCACTGATCCGGCAAGGCTTCCTTGAACTACGTGAGTGCTCGGGCCACCGATGTACTGAAGGCCCTAGTGCGTTGAGGACGCGCGATCGTGTACATGAGGTTGAAAAGAGCTGGAGTGTGGGATGCGACGGCGTACCTTGGCCATAGACCCCACAGCACCCCATGGGAAAGCAGTTCTCCACTTCGACCTCATCAAGAATTTGTTCGAGATGGTTGGCATTGTGGAGACGATGGCCATTATATATGTGTATGCGTCGAATGTCTGTGATGGTGAGCTGTCTCGAACTGCTGTAAAGGGCTCCTCGAGGCATCATTCTGTACAAAACCTCACGACAGTTGTATGTACAGTGACGCAGACCCGACAGATCCGTGGTAAGCTGGCGCGAGGTGTAGTGCATACCGTGAAGCTAGACACGCACTTCCTCTCCAACGACGTCCCAAAGTCGTAATACGTTAGAAGTCAAGAGAACTTCTCCTGCTATGCACTTGGCAGGTCTGGCAAGGAATCGCTCATTTGCTTGGTCGATGATGTTCAGAGGCGCCGCGGTGCCGCCAGAGCCTCATACTAGCGTCAAAATTGCCGGTAGTGCTGGTCTGAGCGCTGATATCGACATCTCAAGACCTTGGAGTATGCTTGGCTGTCCAATGAAGCAATTCCAGGCCTGATCGATGTCGGCCTTGGTACTCATTTTGGCCCTGAGTCTGAGTGCGATGTTGTGCGGAAAGATTGTCGGACTACCAAGCATCGTTGTTTCAAGCTTGCTGTGCTGCAAGCCCACTTTCACGCAGACTGAGATCCTTGGCGGATGATACGCAAGATGCAACGTCGAATCGTCGTTTGAGAGGTTTTCAGACCATGCTGTTTCGGGTGACTGCTCCAGTGCTCCACTTTGAGCCTCGCTGAGTCGCATCGATAGCGTGATGGTTTCCAATGTTGGCGATACGTGCCCATGGGGAGAAACTCCAGCTGGGGTTACCGCGACTCCACATCTCAGGCGTGCTGTTCGGTCATGTTGAGGAGCTGGGCATCGCGACATCGCTTGTAGTAGGGCCAAGAGAAATTGTTAGTTCGTTCGAGGGGACTTGCTATGTGTGATATTCTTGCTTTTATTGTGCTTGTTGGTTGAGCGCTGCATATCAACTCAGCTGATTGGACCTATGCTGGAGCAACAGCGTCAGCAACCTATCGTCACTTTATAACCAGCTGATTGCATGTGCTCGCCTCATTGTCATTTTCGTTCAGTGTTGCCGCCTTCCGAGGAGAAGACTACAACATAGTCAAGCCAATACCTCCCGTGTGCTTAACGCTTGCCTGATTCCTGCTGTCGATGCCACCTGTGATAGGTGCTGCACGGTAATTGTACAGGTAGTAGTGAAGAGAGCCGTCGCCTGCGCCAAAGCGCTGGTCCTCGAGGAACAGCGGATTGTCGAGGAGAGTGAGGGCGTTGAAGACATCGAAGTCAGCCTATTCGTGTTAGTATCGCATTAGATTCATAGACCTCATCAAGACTTACCTTCTTCGCAAGGATCAAAGCGTCCTTCATCAGTGAGTTGAGCCTTGTCTTCAGCTTGCCCTCATCCTTTTCGAATGCAACTTCAGATGCATAGTAGAAGAGGTATGCAGCTTTGATGGTGTTGTGCTTCTTGTTTCCGATGACAGTACTCTCCAAGTTGTAAAATGAGAAGTAGTCTGTGATCTTGTGTGTGTCGGGGTCTTCAACGACATAGCTCCATACAACTTGCTCCTTCGGTTCCTCCTTGGGGCAGATCCAGTGCTCAAACTCAGTCTGGTCGAAAACCTGGGCCATGTCCATACGTTCGAGGTAACGCTTCAGTAGGTCAAGTGCGGCAGGTACGTCCTTGGACTCCATCTTCCGCAGACCCGGTGTCGATGTGGTATCTGGCAGTTTGTATCGATTGATCTGACGCAGTTTTGTGCTGCCGTGCGGTAGAGGTGAGAAGCCGACATCGTACAACTTCTCCCAATCAAGGGCACGGTGGAAGTAGCGGCACGTCGAGACCGGTGTGGGAAGAAGAGATCCGACGGTGTATACAGCCTGGAAAGTACCCTCGACGTAACAACGACGGGTGATCTCCTTGATCAAGACAGGCGCCAGTCGCTTCGAACGGAGCTTCTTGTGGACGCAGAGGAAGTTAACCTCTGAGCACTTGAGCACCTTCTCGCGTATCCGCAGCTGAATGGGGATACCCGAGATGAATGCGACAAGCTTGCCAGAAGCTGTTGCGCGGACACCTACGTGCCATTCCTTCTTCCAGCCAGGTGCCTTGAGGGCCCTACCGACGTTAGCCGTGATTTCTATTCCTCTGCATTTGTCGAACCTACCAGTTCAAGAACGATGGCGAGTACTTGAAGCGGAAGGTTGCGTCCTTGTCCTCAACGTAGTGGTTTGTGAGCAGATCGTACACCTCGTCGAGCTGCTTGGTGTCTTCGAGATCCATTGTGACCCACTCGAAGCCCGGGTACATTGGGCTTGGATTTCTGTCCACCTTCTCGATATCGATTTCCTTGATGGGGCCATCCGGTATCCGCTCCTTCGCAGACATCTCATCGAAGCTGGGTACGGGCTGTGTCTTCCAGAAGGCGTGATCAGCCATGTCTTTTGTAGCGCCCTGCGGTGCCAGACCAGTCAGCATCTCGTTGATGTTGAGCTTCTTGATCATTTGTTCCAGCTCTGCCCTATTGTTCGCCTTGGACATGAGCTGGTTCTTCAACGCAGGGTTGGCGTCCAGCAACATGCTCATCTGGTCCTTGCCCAGCTGTCCAGCGGCTGGCGCATTCAGGTCCGTAGTCTCGGGCGCCTTTCCTTTGCCAGTAATTGCATCCTTAATTTTGCGCTTCCTGCTTTTCTTCTTCTTCTCTGCAGCTCCCTCTCCTCCTACGGTTTCTGTAGCTTCGTCACCGCTCTCATCCTCGGACACGTGAGCCTCGTTTTGTTTGCTGGTTTCGGCGATGACCTCCTCGGCTGCGGCGGCGGTCGTGTCGGGGTCAGATATCTTGGACGCTTCTTGAGGCATGACGACGGTGTTGTTGTTGTTGTGTTGTCCTCGGAGCTGCCTAGGAATAGGTAATCGTGGCAGGTGGGGCAACTCGAACCTTGTATGGAGGGGTCCTTCGACGCGTGCCTCGCTTGCGCCTGCCTTCCGTCCTTCACTTGGAGCTTGATTAACAAGGTGCACGGCATGGGAAGATGCTGGCTGCCTCTTACTCCGTCAACTCGAAGAACTTCAGGCACCATCATGTCCGATCAACTTGATCAAATGAGAGCACTTGCAGCTGCGTTTGCTTCGGGGGAAACATGGCCACAGGCAGAGCTGGAACCTCGACATTGACAGTACGAGACGAGTAGCCCACCAAGTACGACAATCGGAGTATTTCAGTCATGTGTTTCCTCCTCTGTAGTCCAGTGCCCTTTCATTATTAAGAAGCTTGGAAGTTGAGATTGGTGTTTACAGAAATTCTTAGTCATCTCGGCGCCTCCCGATTCGAGCTAGCCCCGAATGGAGGTTATCTCAGCCATCTCCAACTTCGTCGTCCCGTCCCCTATCCATCTGCATGATTTTCTCTATGTTGTATGAATAGTGTTTCCTCGTGGTCCCTCTTCCTCTGTTTTTCCCTTGATCACGCTTCACCAGTGCGCAAACATGCCGGCACTCAAGCCAATCTTCGTCAAGGCCTATTGGGCACTAGCCGGCCTCGGTATGATATGGGCTGCATTTCTGATAGCGTTGATCAATCCGACAATACAGCGACAGTTAGTAAACAAACTTCTCCGATTGCCAGCTTGTTCTGACCAATCTATACAGCGCCCTGTATGCCCACAAGATCAACACGAACTACTGGCACAACGTATCAAACCCGGAGGAGTTTGGATTTGCCAGTTAGTCTCCCCGCAGTCAATTTCACGTCACTTTTCATGTGTCCCGTAGAGAGTCTGTGCTGAGTAGTCTCCAAAGAGGGCCAAGTTCAGCCTTTCTGGCTCGATACGACAGATAATGAGCGACTGTTCTGCTGGCACGTGCTTCCCCTGGATGTGTACTTGCAGAATGAGGACCAATTGGTCATGAGTACAACGACAGGAGAGGTGGTCGACAAGCTCAAGGGGACAGCTGGAGAGAAGCTACTGAGGGTTGATCCCGAGGCGAGAATCGTTGTGAACTTCCATGGGGTGAGTCGTCCTATTCTTCTTCCGACTTCAATCATCCTACCGTTCAGTTTATATAACCCTTACGAGTCTATGGTCTATGTTGTAGATCGGTTTCTCAAATCACTCACACTTGTTATTTCTAAACCTCTACATACACTTTCTGATACTTCCATAGAACGCAGGCCACCTGGGACAAGGCTGGCGTCCATCAACCTATCGCTCAATCTCTGGCATTCCCCACACCCATTTGCTCACTTGCGACTACCGCGGCTTCGGATTGTCCACACTCAACAACAAACCCCATCTCCCTACAGAAACCGGTCTTATCACGGACGCCGTATCTCTGCTTTCCTACATTGAAACCGACCTCAACCACCCATCAACCCGCACCGTCCTGCTCGGCCAGAGTCTAGGGACAGCTGTAACTGCCGCCTCAGCCCTCTACTTCGCTAACCCATCATCCCCCGACCTCCCCTCTGACCTAGTCCATGTATCTCCTATCCCAAAATCCCACGCCGGATTCGCCGGCATCGTCCTCGTAGCCCCCTTCCGAGACCTCGCGACCCTCCTCGAAACCTACAAAATTGGTGGCTTCGTTCCAATACTCCGCCCCTTACGCGGGTATACCCGGATCGCCAATTTCCTCCTCTCGCGCATCGTAGACCACTGGCCCACACTTCCACGCTTGCGCTCCCTCGTAACTCTCACTGCCGCTTTAAAAACGCCCATCAGGCTCACCCTGCTCCACGCTCGCAACGATCAGGACATTGACTTCCGCCAGTCCGAAGCTTTATTCCAACCTCTTCAATCTACGATGCTGGGAGAGGAGGGCGTGAGCGCGAGGGAGGAGCGAAGGAGTATCCATGGTGGGGATAGGGTGAAGAGGGGCGCATTTGCGTTTAAAAGAGTCGAGGATGCGAGGGGCGAGAGAGTGTGTGAATTGGAGATTGTGAGGTTTGGGGGGCATAATGAGGTTGTGGGGTGGACGCAGGTTAGTCTTGCGGTTAGGAGGGCGTTTGAGGCTGTTGAGGCGAGGACGGAAAGGGGTGTGGGGTTGGATGTTGAGTAGGGTGGTGAGTGGATTGGGATGGTGTTGGGGATGGTGTTGGACAGGCCAACATCTATGGTGTGTTAAGTAAGAGATTTTGCACAATTGGCATTGAAAACTGGAGCAAATTGCTATAAACCTGTAAAACAGCGAAACCTGGGTATCACTCAATCAACCCCATAAAACCAAACTAACACCCCACAATATCCCCATCCCTCTCCAAATCCTCACTTGTATGCTCCTTCCACAAATGCTCCATCAGCGCCTCAATCGAGCGACACACAGTATCCGCACCACCATATTGCGCGCACAGCACACATGCAAACCCGCCGCCCTCGCGATGACACTTGACCACGAACACATTTCTCACCAAGAACTTCTTGCATCTCGGGTGCCGTCTACTAGTCTCCATGACAACTTCCCACGCTTTGTTCGGTTGCACAGGAATATGGATGCGACAGCGTGGACACCTCCTGTTGCCGTCCAATTTGAAGTTGGCTGAGAGGGGGAGGTGTATGTTGAATTGGAGGTCGAGAGCGTAGCGGCAGAAGAGTTTGTTGATATTGGGATTTGGCTTGGGTATCGGGTTGGAGGGTATCTGTACGGAGGTGTCCGAGGAGCATGGGCTGCTGCTGCGGCTTCTTTGTAGTGATCGAGGAGGAAGCGGGAAGCCCCCTGGCATGGGTGGGTGCGCATCTGATTTCTTGGGAGATGTTGCTAGCATACGCTGATACAGCATATCGAGAGCCTGTATAGCAGCTGCCCGCGTAGTGCGTACCGTCTGGACCAGGTGAATGAGCTGTGAATGTGAAGAGGAGATCGTGAGGTAGTTGCTCAGCATGAGGTCTTGGTGAATGCTGATCAGGACTTGCTGCAGCTTAATGATGTGCGATTGGAGCTGGATCCTCACAAAGTCGTCTCCACGCGCATAAGGCTCGCCAAGCTTGCGATATGCGCGGTCGTATATGGCCTGGACTTGCACAGATGCGTTGCATACAAGATCGTCTTCGCTATCACTGTGGTGCGTTGCTCTTCTGTCGAGGCTCCATCGTACATGGCGACCAAGTGCTTCGATAATGTTTGAGTGAGAGTCCCGGCGGTCTCGAGTGGAGTCGTGCTCGGTATCTCTTGGTTCATTTTGTTCGTCGTCAGAACTTGACTTCTGCTTCAGTCTGTGATACAGGTCTTTTGCTGACCCGAAGCCGTCGGTCAACACGCGAATGAGCAAGACTATGAAGACACGGTCTCTGAGTACATCCTGGAGCAAGTTAGCTCCATGTTAAGTGATATGGGGACTTGTCTTACCGGCTCGACTGTAGTCTCGACTTCTCGCATGGTGAACTTACAGCAACCTGTATAGTCAAGAGCGATGAAATGGGAGCAGCGTAACACATGGTGGACCTGTGGACGAAGGTTCACAGCTTTGCAGCAAGGCGTCCAACTTGTGTAAAATCACATTGTCACTGACGAGTGATGAGTCCGCTGGCTTAGCCTCATCACACGTCGCAGCCATTAAGCGCATCATGCGCACTTTGTCTTGAACCACGGATCACATGCTGAGGCTCATATCGAAGGCATCTTCGCCTGGCTACGCTCAGTCAAATTACTTCGCCTATTTGATAGTATCCACGCGAAGTTGTTTTCAGATCTCGACATTTTCGCTTCCTTTAGTAGGGTTGCTCTTACTTCTCTGGAGGCGTCCTGTAACCATTTCCTTCAGGAAGCTAGCACGTGTGGCATATCTCAGTCAGCGTCACGTGCGAAGACTCCATGCCTGCTGCAGCCAACATTAGTGTTCGCATCGAGCATACCGTCCTGAGATGCTGGGATTTCTTAGGCAGCAAATAGCTGTGCGTGGTTCTCGGGTCGACATCGTAAATGCAGGAAAGGTGACAGGCGTCAGCGCTATGGTATGAGGGTTGAGTGCCAGCCAAAAAGCGTCGCATTTGCGACGAGTTGATGCCAGCAGATTCTAAAGATAAGGGAGGAACGATGGAGGTTTCCAGGTGGTGATTGCAGGAGTTCGTAGAGTCCTTGGCAGTGGCATCGTACCTTCCCCGCCTGCCCTCCCTCCATCGTCGACTCTTGAGCACCGTCGTCCACGCCCACGCTCACTTCCTGCCAACATGTCCTTCCAGCATTCACCCAGCACTTCCAGAATTTGTGCGATGTAGAAAACAGATATGCACGTTCAGTCCCATCGCGGGCCGAAACGACCCCACTGATGGCTCGTCCCGGTGCTTGTTGTCTCACCAAAGCGAAATGATTCGCTGAGAATGCTGCGTCAACTGTCGAGCATTATCGTAAGCGCGCTCCCATGGCTAGAGACTTTAGCGGCAAGGAGTAGATTCTCTATGGCTGTGCCTCATGGACGCCATCCAAAAGTCCTGCGCTCGCTCTTCGCGAATGAAGCACTCGCCTCATCTGTTCGGTGCAGCATTCCTTGAGAGCGTGCATCAGCGACCATGGCCGCGAACACCAGTTCACAAGGGCGTCCACTACAACAACTGTACATTCCCGACATAGTAAAGGAAGAGATGGCTGGTTCGACTTCCCCGAGTATAGCAACAAAGTCGAAAACATTGCGGACCACCATAACACACGTTCCAAGTTGGCCGGAAGAGGCAAGAGCCTTGAAGAAGCATACATGGCTCTCGTATTTTTTTGGCTTTGGAGACGTCATTCTGCTGCTGTTACCAGTATACTTTCTTCGCAAGTGTCAGTACATGAACTCTTAGACATGGCTGACCAGTTTTCAGTCCTTGGAATCGCCGTCCTGACCTTGAACGGCAAGCCTACCAAAGACTCCAGCTTTGGCAACGATGTTGAGTTCGCCATGAGCCTAGTGAGTATTTGACCCTATGTAATGAAACTGTTCTGACAAAGACAGGGTCCCACAATGTTCCCAATTATTTTCGCCGCCGTTAGTGGACGAAGCATGAAGATGATCGCCAGGTATCTCGCGGAACGAGGCTCGAAGCTTAGTGTACGTCTATTTTTCCCTTTGTTCATTTGTTCTACTCCAATGATCTCGGTTGACGCGTGTCTTAGACTTTGGAACTGCTGATGGCCAGTCAATCCGTCTGGGGTACGATCGAGAGTCAGATGATCATGCAGCGTCTGACAATCGTTGGAGCGAACTTGTTGTTCCTGTGGGCTTTGTCACCTCTGGGAGGCCAAGCATCTTTACGGCTGATGAGACGACACAATGAGGGTAGCCCATCATCCTTAAAGCTCCGTTACATGACCACAGGGCCAGGCGGGACGATATGGGGTCTATCTTCGACCTATGTCGGCGATGGCAAATTTGCCGATGCTAATGCTCTCTACACAGCCGCATTGCTTGCTCCGTTGAGTACCAAAACCGGAGCCAGAGATTCTTGGGGCAACGTCAAAATACCTAATCTGGAGAACTTGAACGTCAACATATCAGATGCGCAAGGCTGGATAGAGGTGCCTTCCGCCCAAGTACCAGAAACATACTCTTCACTGGTTGGACTTCCAATCGTTGGGCTGCCACTGTCTGGCAAATCAAACTTCACCATCGAGTCGACTTATCTGACCGTTGAGTGTGCTCCTTTCAGCCAGGCACCCTACCCCGGCGTCGGCGATTCAACAAATAATGGAAAGACCACTTTTACTAGGTTGGACGAACTTCTTCCCTACCCAGGTCAGGTCTGGTTGAACAAATCCAGGAACAATCCTTTCGAGCCAGCAAAAGGGCGTCGAGCATCTTTCTTCCTGGACACAAACCTAGGATCCCCTTGGGCGCCTGAGGATCCCGATTTTGACTTGCTAGTAGGTCGTCTCGACGGTTTCGTCGGTCACTATAACGATACTCGTCTCAGTGACACGGAATCCAAGACCAAGCGCGAGATAGTCTTCACTTCGATGTACGCTACCTCCGTCGACAGCGGAGAATATGGACTGAATATCGCCCGGTGTACTCTTGCCCAGAATCACGTCGAATCCATGATTGTCTGCACTGGGGACCAGTGTGCAGCCCAGAAGATCAGGACTTCAACAACAGACACGCGTCCCTCAGCCCTAACATCGTTCGAGCACGGGCTGATCATGCAAAACTTTGCGCAGCAATTCCCCATCGCAGTCCAATTCAATACCGGCTCCAGCCCTACAGAACGTTTCCTTAGCAACACCTCGGCTTTCCCATTTATTCAGCAAGCCGGGCATCTCACAGAAGACGTGGCATACTCGAATTTATCCCTTCTGACTTCCGCAGTCTTCTCGCGGCGACTGAGTCTGTTGTTCAACACGTATTATCAGCTTACCATTCAACCAACTGGGTACTTTGGTAGTCTATCGAGCAACCTGACTCTTTACGGGCCAGACACACTGCCTGTGACGGACGTCAATGTCTACCTTCCTAGCAACTTTTCAGCTACGAACAACTCATTCTTCGACTGGTATTCAACATTTGATACCGGAGTACAAAGCAGCAAATCTCCTTTCATCGGAGCAACGATCGAAGCGCACAACACCACGACGCAGGAGATTTTCCTCTGTAACTTTGCCTGGTTTGCTATCTTGATAGTTGCCTCCACTGTCATCTTCATCACCGGAGCTGCTGGCTTGATACTTAAACGAAAGACACTCGGGCCAGACATGTTCGGTTTCGTCACGAGCATGACCTACGAGAACCCTTGGGTAAACATTCCTAAGGGAGGAACGATGCTGGATGCGATGGAACGCGCGAGACTCCTCAAAGATATGGAGGTGCATGTCGGTAATGTCCGAGGCGATGAAGACACCGGCCATATTGCCTTCGCGGCGGGCGTTCCTTTACGCAAATTGGAGCGTGGACGCCTTTATTGTTGAGTGTAGCCCGGGACAAAGACTCCGAGAGTTGCATGAATGGCTGTTACTGCTCCGACCCTGCGTAATGTCCGCTCCGCCGTGGCGCAGCACACTGGAGCACCGCCACCTGCGGGTCCTTGGGCGACGTCTTTCCTTGTGGGCAGGATCACTGGTCTGCGGACTTGCATCAATTAGACATGTAAGGAACACACCGAGGTCTCCACTATCAACACCGACAAGTCGTGGCAACCGGGAGCCTCATAGAAAAACGTGGTAAGAGTCAGTGTGATGGACTTCGAAACATCGCGGTATGTCTGGACAGGTGGTCGCAGGGAACATATCCCGCAGTTCACGGGCCCGCTGTACGACGGAAGCCACGAACAGCATCTAGCGCTTCGCTGCAGCCAGTCTCGACAGCTGTTGAGAGGCAGATGTGACAAGACCCTGAGGCCTCGCTTCAGAAGTCAAGCTTTGTTAGCAGGCGCTGTGGATGGACGCATGGATGTAGCAAAAGACGGTCTACCAAAAAAGTGAGCGGTCGACCAATCGATCAGCTTTTGCAGGGGCTGTGGAGGTGGACTTGCGACACACTCCAAAACACGGGCCCGGAAGATCTTGCGGCCCGCTAAGCGACTCAGCCCCCCAACCAATCATCAACCTCATGGACTATCGAAACGAAACTTCTCCTGAAGGCGCCCGAGACATGGCAAACCTCGAGCCCTTGAGTTCCGCGGCCTGCCCTTTTCGGCGACGATGCATGATGTGCCTGCGTCGACCCTGCGAGGCTACTGGCCTTTCTTTGGCTCACAGCCTTGGTCACACCTGGACCGCCCGTTTCACTGAGTAGACGCTCCCCGTTGTGGGTCAGTCCACGTCTCTCAAGTCCATCGTTTTGCGTTCGGACTGGCATCGTCCAGACGTGCCGTTTGATTAGGGATCGTCATAATAGACTCGATGAAGGTCTGGTGGCGGCAGACAGCAATGCAGCCTAACATCTTATATAAACGTTTGCCAGAGCCTCCCTCTTGGCCTCATCACACAACACGCTCTCTCAGCAGCTTCTACCTTCTTCGCATCTGCATTCTTCTCTTTCTTGCTAGCTGGACTAGTCGTTTTTGATTATACATCACAGTCCTTATCACAATACTTTGGAGATATCAGTTATACCACCATCATCATGTCTCTCCGATCAGTCATCTTGGCAACCGCTACCCTTTGCGCATATGTCGCAGATGCCCACGTCCTCATGAAGGCACCCGTTCCTTACAGCGTGGACAAGCTCGACAACAGCCCTATCACTAAGGCGCAGTACCCCTGCAAATCTCAGAATGGCTTCACAGTCTCCACAATGAACACCATGGCAGTAGGAGAGAAGCAGACACTCACTCTGTCCGGAAGCGCAGTACACGGAGGTGGTTCTTGCCAATTGAGCGTCACGCTGGACACTGAGCCTACTGCCAGTTCTGTCTTCAAGGTCATCAAGTCAATGGAGGGTGGATGCCCCGGTGTTAGCGGCGAGGCTGAGGCTTACGACTTCACCCTCCCCGACAGCATTCCCAACGGTAAGGCTACATTTGCCTGGACCTGGTTTTCAAAGCTCTCTGGTGCCCCTGAGCTCTACATGAACTGCGCACCTATCGAGGTTACTGGAGGTGCCAGCGACGACTCCGAGTTCCAGAAGCTACCCAACATGCTCGTTGCCAACATTGACGACACCTGCAAGTCCGTTCCCAACTTCGCCGTTCAATTCCCCGACCCTGGATCTGTTGTCACAAACGGTGGTACCAACGATCTGAAGGCTCCCACAGGTACTGGTTGCGGCGCCACTGGCACCACACCTGCTGACTCTTCGTCCCCTACTGGTTCTGGTGCTCCCGCTTCTTCTGCTGCTGGTGGTCAGGCTTCTGCTGCTCTTTCTTCCGCTGCTGGCAATGACGGCATGTACACCCCTCCCGCTGGCGCCGGCGCTACCTCTGCTGCTGCCACCTCTGCCGCTGCTGCCCCGACCTCAGCCGCTGATGGTGCTTCTGGTGGAGCTTCCGCTGCTCCCTCTGCCACATCCAAGGCCGCTGTTACTTCTGCCGCTGCCACAGGTGGTGCTGGCGGTGTCTTCGCCCCTGGAGCTTCCAGCGCCGCCCCCGTCGCCTCCACCCAGACCACTCTCGTCACCGTCACCGGCACACCCGCTACACCCGCCAAGTCAACCGCCGCTGCCTCCAAGCCAGCCGCCACAACTCCTGCTGCCGGTACCGGTGCCTCAGGCGCTACACCCACCACCGCTCCCGCAGCTGGTGGCGACGGTACTTGCACCACCGACGGCGCTATCGTCTGCAACGGCACCACCCAGTTTGGTCTTTGCAACCAGGGCAAGGTCGTCTGGCAGGCCGTCGCCGCTGGAACCACGTGCTCTAACGGCACCATTCAGAAGCGCGGGTACAACGGCCGTGTTGTTCGCCGCAACCGTGGTCTTGTTGGTCACGTCCACACGCACTGAGTCGCTACTTCACACTCTTCGGCTTGCGCCGCTCTTCAGAGACACTTATGATATTGATATCGCTTGATATTTATTCTTTAGTCATTCGTTCGATATTTGAAAAAGGGGATGTAGGTCTGCGACCATGGATTGTTGTACACTAGACTTTCGCTGAGAGAAGCATTGCATTACTGGCGCTTGGGAGGATAGGCATTGGATCATCTCCAGAAAGCCACATGTTGATACGAAAACGAGTTCCATAAACAATACATACATACACTTCACATCTTCCTATCCACCTTTGACGTTCGCTATGTTTTCGGTTCTTTCTTCTAGGCCTTTGTGTGCGATGGAAAGGTTGAGCCTGAGGTTTGATGGTTGTCACAGCACTTATCGTCAAACATCGCTACCCTTACGGGACGTATACACCCAACAGTCCACCAACATTCTATCTTGAGATCAAATTGTCTCTCTCACCTTGGTAGCCCTCAACACCCACCACCCAACTGCTGCCTTCTCACTTTTCGCAAAGTTCGGCTCTCGCGCCTCAGATCCCGACGCATGAAACCGTACCTGTCTCCACCCCCCTCATCGCCACACCTCACGCCAGCACACCCCTGTGGTCATGCAGTGGATACCGGCTCCGGATCTACGCCCCTGAAATAGCTCGCTTCACTTGCTCAGCCACCACAAATCTTATATGGGGGTAGCCAGTGGCAATAGCGCATGGGAGATTCATGCGTTGAACCCTGAGCAGCTGAGTAGAACAAGACTTAGGAAAATGATGGTGATGCAAGCCGGATCCGAGTAGGTAGTCGGCGGCGGCGAGGTGGCATGTAGCGCAGTGAAGTTTAGGCGCTCGTGGCTGCGAGAACGGCCATGATAGTGGAGCGTGGTCTAGGCAGCATGTGACAAACATGTATATTCTCTGGCCAATATAATGGCTCACGCACACTGGACGTCAAAATGTAAACCCCTCAAGGGAAGTTGTAGGGATGATATGTGCTTTGTATAGCAGCTTGTTGCAGCCAATGGGTATATCTCAAGTCGTCGATTGTTCCTCCGCTTGATCGGACACAGTACTCGTACACTTTCTCATACAGCAATACTCTTCCTCGATCGTCCAGCAGTACTCTTCCTCTTCTCTGCGACTGCCGCTCCCATCCCGCCCATCACCACATCCGCAATCGGCGTCCCCACGCTCGGCGTAACATCGCCGCTCCTGGCACCTACATCGACTTCCATATTGCCGTCCTTGGGCAGCCTGAAAGCTAGATACGTCTCCTCTGCGCGCTTGCATGTGTCGAATACCTCTTCCATGTACTTCTCCACCACGCTCGGCGGGCGGATGGCGCGTGGCAGGGCGTTCTTGACTTCGTGCTCGTCGGTGAGGACGAGGACTGTGACCGGCTGGTAGAAGTCGATGTCTTTTAGATCGTTGCGCTCATCGAAGTCTTCGATGCGCGGAGGAGCAATGTAAGACGGCGTAGGTGTGGGTGTAGCGGTCGGACCGGCCGGTGTCGGTGGGAATGGTGGGTTGTGTGAGCCGTTTGCGCTGGGTGTTATGGTGGGCACGCCTGCGGGTGTGGGAGTTTGTGGCGGCGCTGGTGTGGATGGGGGCTTGACCGCAGCTTCCGACTTCGGCTTGAGCTTGGTCACAAGGAAACTAAACTTTGCGCCCGAGCCGTTTGGTAGCCATTCCATGAAGCTGTACGAAGGAAAGTAGAAACGGTCGCCATTACCCTCCACAAACTCGAATGTAAGTGGGCGATATGTAACCCGTGGCGGTTGCTGGGGAGCGTAGTGAGGTGGAGGTTGTTGATAGTACGGTGGTTGGCTGTAGTTCTTCACAGGATATGTGGGCGGAGGGGGTCTCGCGTGAGGAGGAGGCGGTCGCTGCTGCTGTGCTTGATGCGGCGCTGGGCTGAACGGCTTCGGTGTAGGTGTAAGTGACGGTGCCTGTCGCTGCTGCTGAGCAGGCGGTGCAGGTCGTGGAGGTGGAGGTGGAGGTGGAGGCGGAGATGTTGGTGCTTGTTGCCTCGGTGGAGCAGGAGACGGTGTAGGAGCTGGAGCTGGAGCTGGAGCTTGATGTTTCGGTGGCGCTGAAGCTGAGGCTTGGTGTTTCGGCGGTGCTGGAGATGGTGCCTGGTGTTTCGGTGGTGCAGGAGTAGGAGGCAGCGGCATTGGTGCCTTTGCTTTCTTGTTCTTTTCCAATATCTCCGTCAACTCGTTGATGTGCGTCTGAAAGAATTCGAGCTGCTCCTTGCTCGCCTGCCCAGCAGCCACAATCTTCATCACCGCCTTCAGCTCTGGATCTGTGCCTGCCCTTGCCGCGAGCATGTGGATGACCGGGTCGGGTGCTGGCGTTGATGCTGGCCCTGGTGCTGTCTGCGGAGGCGCTTGTTGAACGGGCTTGGGTGGCGGCGGTCGTGGTTGGGGCTGCTGTTTTGGTGGGTATGGCGGCTGGTTGTATTGCTGATACTGTGGAGGATGCTGGCTGTGCTGGCTGTGCTGGCTGTGATTCGGCCACGCTCCATACTGCTGCGGTGGAGCCGGCATCTTCTTCGGTGCAGCTCGACTGCCCTCTTTGGGCGCATACAGCTTGATAGGGAACGTATGCGGCTCAATGACAAGCTGTGCGTCCAAAGTTCCCACCTGCGGGAAGTTCTTCTCGATTTCCTTCTGCCTCGCCCTCCCGGCCTTGTCTGCATCCGTCCGCTCGGTCAACTTCTTCGGCATTGTGTGCTTCTTGTGGAAGGTGCGGAAATTGACGCCTGACACCCAGACTGCGCGCGACCGCTGCAGCGACGCGCTGAGGACGCCGCTCTGCTGGATGTTCTGCCATTCCGCCGAGGACAGATCGAGTGGTTGCGGTTCGGGGAGCGTAGGCAGCGGCTGGCCTTCCGCGATCCTGAGGGGCAGCGTCTGTTGAGGGCCCTGCTGTGTTGCTCCTCCAACGGGCGTGCTTGGCGTTGAGTCCTTGACGGCGATGCTGGTTCGTTTGCGCTTCAATGTCGACTTCGCGCCCTTTGCAGCCTTCTCCGCGGGCGTCTCGGGGGCCGGCGGGGCAACTTCTTCGCGGGCGCGCGCCCTCGTCGACCGCCGTGGCTCAGTCATGGTGGGCGTTATTGATAGCAGTTCATGGCACGCATGCGTCGATCGAGGAATTGTGAATGACGCGGGTGCCTCGTTGCGGGAGGGCTCCACCTCACGCGCCGCACTAGCCTCGCAGCATCAAGCCCTCCACAGAAATGCTCCGGGGTTGCACCATCCTTGTACTTCTGCTCTCGTGCTTAGATTGCTCTACGCTCTAAAGATGAAAAACAGGATGCAAGAGATGGGAATGTAATCTCACTATCACGATCGAGCCAATGGATATCCACACCATTGCAGCTTGTACACCACCATGCATGTGCTGAGGTTTGGACGCCTGAACGTGAAAGCACTCGAACTATAACGGCTGGAGATTACCGCGCACCGCAATGCTATCAACAATACGGTCTGGCACCATATAGCCCTGCTGCGGTGCATCCCCCTAAAGAGGACGTCTCCGCCATCTATCTTTCTCTGCTCCACACTCGTTTTGACTGCTCCCCTCGGAGCACCTTCACGATGCACGCACTCGCTCGACTTGTGACGGCTCTGGCCTGTTCCACGACCGTGCTGGCGGCACAATGCTACTTCCCAAATGGCGGTAAAGTCGATTCAGATACGGCTTGCAACCCAAATGCTCTGGTCTCTGCTTGCTGCTACGACAACCAAGCGTGTCTGTCGAACGGACTCTGTGTATCTGACCCACACGATCCCGTCAAAGCGCGTTTGCATCGAGGAACATGTACAGATGCAGATTGGAAGTCTGGAAATTGTCCACGCCATTGTCTAGGTAGATCTCCGCTCGACTCGATCCTCAAGGCCACATTACTGACGCTTCGCAGACATCGACAACAACGGCGTACCAGTCTACAGTTGCAACTCCACCAGTACTGACTCCTACTGCTGCTACGACGGCTGCGACTGCCAGGCCAACTCCGGGTTCGAGATCTTCACCTTCGCGCAGTCGCCCGCAGATGTATACACCGTAACTATCATCGGCGAGTCATACACGCAAACCCACACTTCCGCAGCCTCTTCAACTTCCTCTTCGATCGCAACGACATCAAGCGCATCAACATCAGCATCGGCGAGTGCATCTACAGCTGTGTTCTCCGCGGCGTCTTCCGCATCAATTGCCAGCGCATCAGCAACGTCCACGCCCTCATCCGCCGCCGAACCAACAAAGAAGTCCAACACCACGGCCCTCGGCGTCGGTCTCGGCGTTGGCATCCCCGTCGCTGCACTCATTGGCGTGGGAGTCTTCTTCCTGCTCCGGCGGCGCAGGAACCGCAATGGATCCGCTGCGCCCTCTGAGATGGCTGCAGACGAATACGCGCTGCATCCGAGATCACCGAGCACAAAGTACGCATACATGGCCGAAGCGGAAGTCGCCGCTGGAAGGTAGGATGCCACTGGCTTCCGCCTGACCTTTTTGATATGGGGTAGAGGAGTGGCTAACATGCACAGGGATGCACCACCAGTCACGCAGGAATTGAGTGGGGAGAGGAACGAGAAGCCTGTCGAACTGCCGGCGACTGCACCGAGTGCACCAAGTACGGCGGGAGGAGCGCAGGCAGTGGAGCTGGAATCGCCGTTGAGTTCTCCTCGAGAGACGACCAACCGCCCTACGTGAGCAGTGTATAGTCGATACCACAGCGACCATGGCTACAATATGGCACAACACACGAGATTTCCTCACACTGAGGACGTCAGTAATTCATAATGCATAATTCATCGAGTTCCTTCACACGCCCATTAATCAAGCCTGCTGTAAGTTGGGTGCTCTTCGTCTTTCGCTTGCACCTTCCCTCACCCGTCTCAACTCAACCATCCTTCGTACACGATCAAAGACACTGTCAACAGTTCCACAAGCGTCTCATCACCGCACAAACAAATGACCAGTACATCTCTCGTCAGCCAGTCGAAGATCCGTCCGACCGCCGAGAATCTTGGTTGAATGACGAGCCATCCGCGCTCATGCACCGGAGCCCCGCAAACAGCTCAGGGTGCATCGACCCTTATCCATGAATCATTCGACAAAATTTGTTAGTTGTCAAATTGTGCGCACACGCTTCCAGCAACAGCCCTATGAGATGCTCTCTGGACGTTGAGCACAACCTTACCAAACAAGCTCATCCATGCATGTCAAGGTGGGGACCGACCACCACTCGACCTGAGCGATGACACGCGCCTTAGACACGGTCCGTGTATGTTTTGGTATACAATGGTTTGTTATACCCAGGAAGACATTGGGTCTACTCCAACCCTCAACCACGTTGCTTTATACCTGCTACCACGTTTCGCTACCCGCCTCCTCACTTGGTCCATACGATTGATGAGCGAGCACACGACAAAATGTCCCAACTACTGCAGCCTCTCTCCATCTTCGACTTCACACCTCCATCTTCACCAACGAGACTTTCTGACACCATGAAATGGCTCAAACGTACACCTACGAGCGTACCTTTGCCGCCTTCGCCCACGAAGTCACGCGAAGGCTCAGATGACGACAGCAGATCGACCTCCTCAACGGAGTCACTCACCTTGACCGAATCAAACTTCGCAAAGGTCATAAGGTCCTTACAGAGGAAATCCAGCACCCTCACATTGCAACAAAAAGCCAGCTCATTGTCTCTCTCAACGACTCCGGTCGGCACACCACAGCGCGAAGCTGCAAGATGGCTATTTGGACCCTCACCCGTCCACGCAGTAACATCCGGTCCTCCTGTAGACGAGTTGTCAGACCACTTCGTCCGTTCTCTTCCAACGTACCAGGAGAAGCAAGCGGAGTTATGCCGGCGTCAGGAGGCGAGCAGGGAGCGTGTCAAAAGGATGCGTGCACACCTAGGCGCTCAAGGCTTTAGGCCTACTCCTGCCCTTATCAACGAGATAAACGACCCATTCACGGCGATCGAAGGTACTGAACCATCGGGAAAACATCAGCGTTATGACAGTGGTAGCCACGAGCACAGCGACAGCGGCGCATTGCAGAAACTGCAGAAGCTACACACTACCACTACATCTGAGCCTACGCAAGAAGAGTCACACAAGTTGCCTCTACTCAACGAAGACTTTCTCTACCACGCTATGATGCGTATATGGAGTCACAACATGCGTTTCTTCAACTGCGTAGGCTGCAACAAGACCCATACGGATCCGTGTCATCAAGGAGTAGCAGTCATATGGTTGTTGCATGGCTGCAGACACAAAGTGCATGCTGCATGTTTTGGCACATTTCGAGATATCGAAGCTTATGGTTTCCCCGGTGATACCAACAGCTGCTACAACTGCGAGAGTTTGAAGCGGACGATGAGGAGTCACACCCAGGAGGAGCTGGACATGCGGCATAAACGCCTGTTGAAGGCGACAAGCACTGATTATTGAGACCTCACTCTGCATGCGACCGAGCAAGTCTCCAGAAATGGATGGGATGGAACATCGTGGCCGTCTCACATCACGTTTTCAATACATTTCTTCATACATCCAGCGCCTTTGTAACGCAAGTCGCAAACGCTCTACGAGCAAACTAGATCCACTTCAACTAAAGATGCAGACTGAGCGTAATTACCACACTTATTCATTCGATATCCGTCGCAAGAATCCATCCATTGTGCCTCATATACAATTCTACTCGCATTTACATCCAGCCAACCATGCCAATACCCCACCCAACAGACTACACACGCCCAACCTCCTCGCCAGCGCCCGTCACCCATCTCATCCCCGACCCGAGATCCCTAGAAATCGACATCGCCCACAGGCTCGCCATGAGAGACCGGCGCACCCTACCCTGATAGCGCCGCACGCACTCCACCACCATGTTCGTTCACTGACGAGGCCATGAATTCGCTGCTCCTCCACCCGCCTCTGTTTAGTCCCTTGCAGTACATCTCCAACTTACATCTCCAACTTGGTAGTGCGGTGTCTGCGATCTGCACTTCCATGTTCGCTCGAGAAACTTAAGAGCTCGTGATCATCCAAAGCTTGAAAGTCGAGCAACGGGCGTAAATAACTGTCTTCCAGTTTCAGCGCTGCGGTTATGTTTTTCACGCGGTGTGCCTTGTCGTGGTTAGAGGATGGCTTGGCTGTGAAACGCGATAGGGAGATAGAGACGTTCAGCGTGCATGGAGGGATCGAGACCGTACGGGCGAGGATGCGAGGTGGTGTTGTTATCTGAGGGCATTGGTCGAGATGTGTAGAGCGGGAGTTGTACAGAGCGAGAATTTGTTGCAGAAGATAGAACGAACTGCGAGGATGGCAGCTGTGCAGAAGGCGAACGTGCCGGACTGCGGGCAATACAGAGATGTGGTGTGTGTTTTTGGACCCACAGGGAGACATCTTTGTGCTTTCGCTACATATCAGGGAACCTATCTCGCACAATGCGGGCCTCTACTCCCAGGCCTTTTAACCCTCCATTCTCCCACGTGAGACCGCGGTTCCCACTACCCAGTAATTTCTGATGAATCTACCTCTTCCTTGACAACATTGAAATCAACACCCCACCCCTACAATCTCCTCCAGCATCCCCCCAACCCACGCCCAACCCCCCAGAACTTCTCTCTACACTCTACACCCTCATCAGCCCCGCCCAGAAAGGACAATGTGCACTATGCAACCTCACCCACATATGCCAACTGCAGCACCTCCCCTCGTCCTACACTGCACCTGAAGCCCAAGGTACAAGGCGAAGGCGACCCGCGTTATACAGAGCGAAGTCGCAAGTCGCAGGCTGCGCGCATCTGTTGCATGAGGCGTGTTGGCGGGGCTGGTTGGAGGAGGGCATGACACAGGGTGATTTGAGCGGGGGAATAGAGGCGGCGCCTCAGAGAATGCGAGGAGATGTCCCGGCTGCTGCGTGCGCTATGTGCCTGACGGTTCGGAGGTCGGTTCGGCAGGCGAAGGTGGGTGCTCTGGAGGTTGAGGATTTAGTGAGGCGGATCAGGACGAAGAATGTGAGGGGTTTGAGTGAGCATCTGGTCCTGTTGGAGAGTAAACAAGAAGGGTGGAACGAAGGGTGGATTGGAAAGGCAGGAGGGAGAACGACGGAGGGAATGAAGGGGGAGCGGTCGAGGGACGTGGCCGCAACTATGCACAGTATGAATATATGCTGTAGAAGGGCAATGCAATGAAGGGTGGGATAAACTATATGGTATTGATGTAGGCAATAAACAACATGCCTGTGCTTCTTCAGGCCTTGTAAATACCCCTAGTGACTTCCATCTCTTCCCTGACACTTGACCTTCCGCCAAACGATGATGAACAATGACACAGAAACTATCTACGAAGAAAAGGATGACTATGAGCTCGTACGTATGAGCGTTCGATATGATGAGCTTACTCTTCGAGGTACGACAGCTTGCGCATCTCGCCGAGCCTGATGCGAGCTTGCGAGAGCTGGTTTTCGAGCTGCAGAATCTCGACCTGTGTAATTGATTAGCATATTGACCATCGAATTGAGCGGTGTGAGACATACCTGCTGCTCCATCTGCCTAACCTTGAACTCGTGATCACTCAACTTGGTGTAATCCACAACCTCACCATCGTCCCTGTTCTTCTGGGCAATAATGTCCTGCACCTGCCTGACAAGCGAACGACAAGCAGCAGTGACGGCCTTTGACGCAGTCTCGAGCCTGTCCTGGGTCTTGCTCATGAAGCTGGCCTTCACACGACTAGCAGCGACAAGCTGAGCAGTGGAAGCTGCGACGTCGTTAGACGCGACGATGAGCTGCTCGGGCGAATTGCGGCCAGAGATGACACCATCAGCGGTCTCGATGAGCATGTTTGTCGAGGTAGCTACGGCCTTGGCTGCGCTGATGAGGCCTTCTGTCCAGCGGTTGTGCTTCTTGTAGAACTGGGTCTTGGACATGCTGCCGCGACCCTCACGGACAATTTCTTGCTGTGAGGCTGTGGCTGCCTTGATGAGCTGTGCGATGGCATTTGTGACTGCGATGGCCGCATCAAGGATTGAATCGTGAATCTTGAGCTCGTAGGTAGAGTACTGGTCCCGCGGCTTGTTCTTCAGCTTGGCGAGGCGGTCAGTAGCAGCCTGGATAGCATTCGCAGCCTTCGTCAGCTCGTCGTCAACAACTTCGCCAAGGTCTCCGTTGGTGTTGAGCTTGCTCTTGGGTGCGAAGGCGTCCGCGAGCTTAGACAAACTCTGCAAGTTGCGAACGACCTCGGAGCTGTTGTTGATGACCACATCGATCTTCTGCTCAGCATCGAGGTCGTACATCCGTACCGACTGAACGTTGCGAAAGAATCTGATGGTCGAGGTCGCGGAGGCTCGTGCTCCGTTGATGAGCTGATCAGCCTTGTTCTCGTCTGAAGCAAATCTTGTCAGACCCTTGGTGTTGATGAGAACGTCCACGATTGAACCGGCAAAGTTGTTGACTGCGTTGATCACTTCGGTGTGTTTTGCGTTGTGTCCATCCGCAATGAAGTTGTTGAAGGCAGTCGAGAACTCCATGGTACTTGTCGATGCATTCTCGATCTGTGAAAGCACGTAGGGACCGGTCGCGTTCTGGTTACCAGCCTGCATCGAGGAGTCCAGCTCGTAGAGAGCATCATCCACACGCTGTACACCACTCTGCAGAACGGAGTCGATGATGTCGTTGATCTTCTGTAGGCTGTCCTGCATAATGGTGTCGAGGTGTCCATCGAGAACGTCATCGTTGGCATTACCGTTCAGCTTGAGCTCATTCAGCTCGAGCAATGTCTGGTCCATGCCGGCACGGAAAATCTCCAGCTCCTCTTCCTTGTCGCGCAGCAGACGCTCCAGATCCGAGTCTCCTTCGCGGTGCTTCATCTGCAGCTGGTCAAGTTGGCGTGTCTTGTTACGCAAAGCTTCTTCCAGATCCGCGATCTCACGGTTGTGTCGCGACAGCATGGCAGACAGCTCGGAGCCCTTGCCTCGCTCTGCGTTGTCGACTCGGTCCAGAGCTTCACGCAGCTCGCGCTTGAGCCTCTCCAGTTCGTCGCGGTGACCACCAGAGCTGCGATCCTTCTCCATCATCGCGCGGTCGCGCTCGCGAATCATGTCTGCCAGCTCGAGGTTCTTTGTCTTGAGCTCTCGTTGAAGCTTATCGCGGGCATCGATGGCTTCTTGTGCAGAGTTGGCCTTGAGCTGGACAGCCTTGAACTTCTGCAAAAGCTGCAGATGCTCGTGTCGTAGCTGAGAGTAAAGCTTCGCAAGCGACTCGTACTTCGATCGCCATGTGTTTAGTTGCTCTTGTAGCGCTCGGAGCTGCTCATCACGAGAACCCATCTGCGAAGAGAAGTTCTGGTTCATCTGTGCAATCTCGCCCTCAAGCGCCTTCATCCTCTGGTCATATTGCTGCAGCATGAGCTGGTCGCGCTCATATTGCGCGCGCGCATTGAGGTTCTCCCGCTCGAGCTCCGCAAGGCGGCCCTGTGTCTGCTGCTGGTACTGGTCACGCATAAGCTGCTCCTGCGCAAGACGGGCTTGCTCCGCCTGTAGTCTCTGCTGCTCCTCGAAGTCTCTTTGCGCCTGCAGTTGCAATTGCTGCTGTTGGCGCTGTGCTTCCTCCCATTGCTGCTGCAACCTCAGCTGTTCTGCCTCGTACTGCTCCTGCTGTCTCTTCTGGTCATTTTTCCAGAACTCGTTGATCGGCTCGGGGTCGACAGATGGTGCGCGCGGTGCAGGAGCAGGTTCTGGGACCTTCTCTGTCCTCGGTCTCGCGGGCAGGGCAGGTGCCGATTCGTCTTCGGACAGGAGGTTCGGCGGGTCTTGAGGGAGCTTGGGCACCGTGATCAAGCTTGTCAGGTATCGGAGATTCGAGCATTCGTAGTAGAACTTGACGAGGCGGTAGTGTTGGGCGTCGTACCTGCCACGAAGGGGGGAGAGCGCCTCATCATCACCCAGTGCTGCGCTCGTTAGCCTTATCTTAGTTCCAGCTCATTCGCAAGACTTACTGGTATGCATAGCACGCAGCATGCTGGTGATGAACTTGTAGATACCATAGCTCTCCTGGACCAACGGCACCAGCGCAGCTATCCTGCACTCATTGTTGGCGCCGCTTCGGAAGTGTGAGAAGATGAGCTTCTGGAATGCGTCAATCTGATCCTGCAGTGTCATGAGATCTGAGATGGTTTCGTATCCCTCGTTGGGGTCGTTGATGGACTTCAGGCTGATATACTCCTCGTACTCAAAAGTGCCTGCCCATGGTCAGTCCTGCGCTCGAGGCATTGCACTTGTTGGTCGTACCGTTAAACTCCGGGTGCTGTCGGTGGAACGCAAGCTTGGCCATGAGATAATAAATGTACTCTGAAATGAGTGGCGCATATCCTCTTGCACCTGCTCCGTCTGTGGAGCCCCGCGACAAGCTCTCCAGCCAGCTAGTGTTGGATTGCGCCTCCTTTAGCACGATTGGGTGGCCTTCTTGGAGAACCTTGTGTACTGTAATAAGCGCTTTGAATGTCTGGATCTCGTCGGCGAGGATTGGCTGCCTGCATTCGTGTTCAGCAATGTTCCGGCCGTTCCAATGCGCCCATGAGGTCGTTTGGAGCATCTGGCGTGACATACACTTTCATGCCCTGCCAGAACGAGGCGGAGCTCTTGTGGTCCCATGTGTACACGATACATGCTCGAACATGCTTGCCTGCGCATTACAATGAGCTTCGATTGAATGTCTCGGAGGTTGCGGACATACGTTTCGGTGAGACCTCCTCGATGCTGGTTGCTTTACGAATGTTGATAGCGAGCTCTGATTCTTGCCTGTAACAAAACTCAGCATGATAGGATCCCATTACGTGATACATAGCTGACTGACTTTCCCATGTCAACATTCCTGCTGGATCCATAGAGCGCCATCTTGACGGTCGTCGCTGCCTGTCCAGAGCTGTCTGCAGGCAATCACGAGTACCGTGTGATATAAAGAAGGAAGGTGGCAATTAGGTGGGCAGGCACGATGCAAAAGGCCTGCGCGTATGTGTAGGGAGAATTGGTGGGAGGGGTGAGTTCGGACGGCCGAGCATGAGCTTCGAATGCCTGGATGCGCGACCGCCTGGAGGTTGGTGCCCCATGCTCTTGGCATGACGAATGCTCTGAGCCACTCTGCGCACACCATTCAGCGTTCACGAATTCTCCCAAACCGCTGCCTTACCGTTATACAACGCATACGCGCGGCTGCATGTGTAATCGGTTTCTTTGTGAGTTGGCATCTGTAATGGTGGGAGAGAAGTGCATATGGGGAAGACGGAAGCCTCGAACCCTAGCTGCATTACACCGATCAGCACTGCACTCTGCAGGACAACGCATTCGATCATCAGGAACTATATGTCATTCTACAGGCCGTTGCTGATGTGCAGCCCTGGGTATAAACGCCTTGCCAGCGCCACGCGATGCTAAGATAAAAAGTGAAGCTTTTCAATGATGGAGAGAAAACGATGCACATGCTCATACTGCATCGGCCATGTTCCCCGTCAGGTATGCGGCCATGGGGTCTGCTGCCGTTGTGCGCTTCCGCCTGTACTCCTCCATTTCCTCCTCGTCCACGTCGTTGGTCATCTCGGCTATGGTTCGCTTGCGACTGGCCGAGTCTTGCTTCGCCTTCTGATCCCTCTCAGGGGCATTAGGCACGTGCTCCTCGAGAGCTTCTTCCTCTTTCCATGCAATCGACCTCGGAACCTCCTCGAGATCAGCGCCTGTTCGCATTGCTTCTGCTTTCTCGAAAGCCTCTTTGCCGGCCTCGCCAGTACAGTAAGAGTTCTTGACCGTGGAATGACAGCATGCGAAACCCCATTGGAAGTTTGCCCACCAACTGCCCCAGACTGATGTATGATTTCCGGGAAAGACATCCTCTGCGTATTTCGACTTGGCCTTGATCTTTGGTGCGCCCTTGATACCACCTCGCTCGTCGTACTCGACATATCGTTCGTTCTCGGTGACTGCGATCTTACGTATTGACTCGTCGGTGAACTTCTCTTGTGTGCCGTACTTTTCAGCAAGAGCTTTGGCCTTAGCCTTCTTCTGCTCCTCCTCTTCCTGGAGCTGCTTCTTCCGCATGACTTCACCAGACGTAGGGTTCGCCTGCAGATGGAGCTTATTCTTATCTCCTCGCTCTTGTGTCTCCCAGGCATAGCGTTGTGCTCTCTCAAACTCTGCAGCATCACCGGATGCACGCATAAACCCATCTTCTGCCACCAGTTGTGCTGCTTTGTCCGAAGTCGCGCCACTGTCCACCATCGATCGTGTCTTAGGGTCGTACTTCGCCGAGTCGAGGTCAAGGTTCAGTAAGTACTTTGCAGTGTCCTCACGTAACCGGAGGTTCCTTGTAGATGTTGCCTGCTTCCTGCCCATGTCCGTCTCTGCATCGTACTTGTCGCCTTCGTCCTCCTCGTCATCGGACTTGTCGCCTTCCGCAGCCTTCTTGGTCTTCTTGCGCAACTCTTCCAACTCATTGTACTCTTCAATGACCTGGTTGAAGTCTGACGCATCGTACCCGTTCCACCGATCTCGCTTGGCGTCCCAGCTTTGTTGCACGTCTTGAATGACTTCGTCCGCTTCGATGCGCTTGCCCGTAAACTTTGCGCCTGCCTTGCGCGGCCTGCTAAGACAATCCTTCTTCTTGTGGGTCATCGCTCCGCAGTTCTCACACGCACCTTTGCGATACTTGGTCGCCGCCGGCCCAAGCTTTCTTCCTCGATCGTACCATGTTGAGTCCTTCTCCTGCTTCTGCAGACGTTGATGCTCGAGGTAATCGTCGCCATTGTCGTTGCCATTCTCATCGATTGCATAGAATGGCTTCTTCGAAATGAAGGAAGGAATATACTCGTTGCGCTCCTTTGCTGCAGCGGAGATGTCCGGCTTTCTCGGCTCACCGGCGGGTGGCATTTTGGCAGTAAGAGATTTGTTGGGTGGTGAGGCAGAGTGAAGGCCCCATGCGCGGTGGTTCAGCGAAGATGCGGCAAAGAGTGGAGAGCTATTTGGTAGCTTCGTAGGGCTGCAGCGCTTAGCGTCGTCACATGGTAGCGCGTGGCAACCGACGCGTCTTTTGTTGCCCAGCGTCGCGCTTACACTAACCCTTGCTTCATTCTTGCAACCGCCCAGAACGTGCAGGAAACTATGCAGGTTGCGTTTGGATACTTCCCGCGACCATGAATACGTGTTTCTGTTACGGAAAGGCCGCCTAAACAACTCAATGTCGTCATGGATACCTTCCGCTTCCGCCTGAATTGTCTCGACAACTACCAGGCAACACCGACAGATCTCGATCCAATTTTGAGACGTGGTGCCGGTCCGTCGCAGAAGTCGCGTGAGGCATCACCTCAAGTCCCGGTTATCCGAGCATTTGGCGCTACCGAGACTGGGCAGAAAGTGTGCGCGCATATCCATGGAGCCCTGCCATACTTGTATCTCGAATACACGGGTAGCTTGGAGAAGGATGCTGGTAAGGTCACCACACAATCAAGCTGGGCCGATGCTAAGATTGTGCAGTCAATGTCTATCTTCAATCCCTTCGAGCCTCAATTGACCATGCCCTCGCCTTGACATACCGCCGAAATGCATATGACGGGAAGTCGGTCTACGTTGGCCATATCTCGCTAGTTAAGGGTGTGCCCTTCTTTGGATACAATGTTGGATATAAGACCTTCCTCAAGGTCTACATGCTCAACCCCATGCACATGACTCGCTTCGTCGATCTGCTGCACCAAGGAGCCATCCTGAACCGAATCTTCCAGCCATACGAGAGTCACCTGCAATACCTTTTGCAATGGATGTGTGACTACAACTTGTTTGGCTGTGACTATATCAATTGCGCAAAGGTCCAGTTCCGCGGCCCCGTTCCGGACAGCGACGAGATAGACACCAAAACGCACAAGTGGCACGATGCGTCAGTTCCAGAAGCATTCATCACGGAAGACGATCAGTACCCTCGCCAGAGCCACTGTACACTCGAAGTCGACATCTGTGTACAGGACATCCTGAATCGGTACGAGCTCCAGTATCGACCCATCCACCATGACTTCCTGGAGCGCTCAAGTCAAATGCCAAGAAACCCAGACGACAAGTTTGTCCCGTCAATGGCAGGGCTTTGGAGAGACGAGACACGTCGCCGGAAGCGGCAAATGGGCCTCACTGATACAGAAAGTAGCCCGTTCCCTGCCGAAGTGATGGTTTCCATGTCCGCGGACCCAAGGAACACAGACAAAGGTGGCTGGATACACGAGGAGGAGTATCGAGAGCTCGTGGCGAACCTGATCGAAGAAGAAAAGAAGTACAAGGACGAGGTGAGCTTTGGCACCTTTGTGAAAGAAGTTCCCGGTCAAGAGAAGATAAGAACGACTGTGGAAAGCGTGGAAGACCTGTATCCAGAGAACCTTTCGAGTCAGCAAATAGACGACTACGAGCAAGAGCAAGCGCCTGAGCCAGAACCACTGGGTGCTGAAGTCAAGAGTACCATGACCTTAGTCAATGCTCTGCCTTGTGGTGATGAGCCACCTCGCAGCGTTGAGCAGCTTCCCGATGCCATCGTAAAAGCCGTCGAGGCAGACGAAGCAGGCCAAGATGACCAGTCCGATACTGAAGAACACCAGTCGCTTGACCCGCTGACGGTGTCCCTTCTGCGACAGTCGGGTGACGGGGAAACTTCTGATGACCACTTCGACGAAGGCATTGATCTCGTCGATCCCAGCGACGCAGGCAGTATCGGTGACCCTAACAGTCCATCTGCAGTACGCAAGAGGAATTTTGAACCGGAGTTTGAGTCTCCACAAAAGCGCCAACGCGTCTTGAACTCTTCCCCTCTTACAGCAAGGAAGATATTCTTCAGTGAAAGACTCGAGAGACGTACGACGACGAGCACACCAAGAAAGAATATTCACGATGAGCCTCGGCCTAGCCAATCATCTCAGACTAGCATCAAGGCTCAAGGGCACGGAGGGCTGACGACTATGTCATTTCCAGTCGTGAAGAACTCGAACGACCCAAGGACGAAGTTAAGACTCAGTCAGGCGGGATACTCGAATTCACAAGATCTGCCCAAGACACCTGGGTCTAAGCACCTCATGGTTAGAGGGACACTGATGACTCCTTTGACACCGTGGACACACCAGAAAACTTCGCCTGTAAGACCAAACAGCAGCGGATCCCAGGCTGTTGCTGAGGCGTCGTCCTTGACCGAGCGTCTGGCAAAATCTTTCCCGCACCAGAATCCCACACTATACTTCGGCACTGTGCCTCCGTCCTTCGATATGGTCAACGACACTATGATGCATGCTGGTCTACCGCCTGTCATCTTTCAAGACGCTTACTATAGCAACGAGAAAGACGTTCCGGATCGAGCTCGTGAGTATGCTGGGCGTGAGTTCAAGCTACAGAGCACCACTTTACCATACCTGCCCCCGTTCGACCCCACTGGCAAGAGTGCTGCAAACTTTGGTGAACAGAAGCCGATCTTGGTCGACAAGAAGAAGGAACAGGCAAAGAGCAGAATCAGGTCTCAGCGTTGCAGCTTGCGGAATTGGGAGATCGCAAAGCCGCCTCCGCCATTAGAGGAAGTAGAGGAATGGCTGGAAAACGAGACAACAAAAAACGCGCCTTCGAAAACGCCATCCAAACGCAAAAAAGCAGAGACGCCTAAGCCACGGAAGGTCAAGTTCTTGGATCACCTCTCACAGATCGAAGGACCCACACAGAAGAACAAACACGGTTTCAAGTTCTCGCAAAAGCAGAAGTCGACCAGCGTGAAGCATGAGACCCAGTACATGAGCATCATGAGCCTGGAAGTGCACGTCAATTCGCGAGGTGACTTTGTTCCAGACCCTGCGGAAGACGAGATCCAATGCATCTTCTGGACAGTCGAAGGCGAAGAAAACGCGACGACAGATCGACCTCGGACAGGAGTTCTTTGCCTCTCAGAGGAGAACGGTATCGCTGAACGCATAGCCAAGCAGGTTTCGGTTGAAGTAGAGTACGAAGAAGACGAACTAGACCTCATTAACCGTATCGTGGACATCGTCTGGCAGTTCGATCCTGACATCCTCACTGGCTATGAGGTACACAACAGCTCCTGGGGATATCTCATTGAGCGTGCGCGGATGAAGTTTGAGTACAACCTCTGCGACGAGATCAGCAGAGTGAAGTCGCAGTCTCACGGCAGGTTTGGCAAAGACGCTGATCGGTGGGGCTTTACTCAAACTTCAACCATTCGAGTAACCGGACGTCATATGATCAACATCTGGAGAGCTATGCGAGGAGAGCTGAACCTGCTCCAGTACACTATGGAGAACGTCGTCTTCCATCTTCTACACAAGCGAATACCGCACTATCAACATTCGGACCTCACCAGCTGGTACCTCAGTACGAAGCCTCGCGATCTGTCCAAAGTGCTCAACCATTTTCTGTCTCGCATCCAGCTCAATCTTGACATCCTACAAGCGAATGAAGTCGTGCCGCGTACAAGCGAGCAGGCGCGTCTACTTGGTGTCGACTTCTTCTCAGTCATCTCCCGAGGATCGCAGTTCAAGGTCGAATCCACTATGTTCCGCATCGCCAAACCTGAGAATTTCGTTCTCATCTCTCCAAGTCGTAAGCAGGTGGGCCAGCAGAATGCTCTCGAGTGTCTGCCTTTGGTCATGGAGCCCCAGAGCGCTTTCTACTCTAGTCCACTCCTGGTGCTGGACTTTCAGTCCTTGTACCCTAGTGTCATGATTGCGTACAACCTCTGTTACTCTACATGCTTGGGACGCATCACGAGCTGGCGTGGCCGCAATAAGATGGGGTTCATCGACTTCAAGCGTGAGCCTCGATTACTGGAGCTTGTAAAAGACAACATCAACATCACGCCAAATGGCATGATGTACGTCAAGCCGGAGATGCGAAAGTCGCTGCTGGCGAAGATGCTGGGTGAGATCCTAGAGACCAGAGTAATGGTGAAGAGCGGCATGAAGCAAGACAAAGACGACAAACCCCTCCAGCAACTCCTCAACAACAGACAGCTAGCACTAAAGCTACTAGCCAATGTCACCTACGGCTACACATCCGCCTCGTTCTCCGGCCGCATGCCTTGCTCCGAAATCGCAGACAGCATCGTCCAAACCGGCCGCGAGACCCTCGAAAAAGCCATCGCCCTCATCCACGCGACCGAAAAATGGGGCGCCGAAGTAGTCTACGGCGACACCGACTCACTCTTCATCTACCTCAAAGGCCGCACGCGCGATCAGGCCTTCACCATCGGCGAAGAAATCGCAAAAGCTATAACCGACGCCAATCCGCGGCCCATAAAGCTCAAGTTCGAGAAGGTCTACCACCCCTGCGTCTTGCTCGCCAAAAAGCGGTACGTTGGATTCAAGTACGAACACAGAAATCAGACTGAGCCCGAGTTCGACGCGAAGGGAATCGAGACAGTGCGGAGAGATGGCACACCCGCGGAGCAGAAAATCGAAGAACGCGCGCTCAAGATCCTGTTCCGCACCGCCGACTTATCGCAAGTGAAATCATACTTCCAGGAACAGTGCGCGAAGATCATGCAAGGCCGCATCAGCATTCAGGACTTCCTCTTCGCCAAAGAAGTCAAACTTGGCACCTACTCTGACCGCGGCCCCCCTCCACCAGGCGCATTGATTGCGACGAAACGCATGTTGGCTGATCCGCGCACAGAGCCGCAGTATGGCGAGCGCGTGCCGTATGTCGTCATTACTGGGGCGCCGGGCGCGAGGCTGATCGATCGATGTGTCGCGCCGGAAGTGCTGTTAGCAAACGACCATCTGGAACTCGATGCTGAGTACTACATCTCGAAAAACCTCATCCCACCCTTGGAGCGTATATTCAACCTCGTGGGCGCGAATGTGAGGCAGTGGTACGACGAGATGCCCAAGGTGCAGCGCATGCGCAACATCACTGTTCCGCTGCCGAACAAATCGAACCCCAATATCGCCGGCGGTCAGACGAATCTCAAGAAGACGCTGGAGAGCTACATGAAATCTTCCTCCTGCCTTGTTTGTCGCGCAAAACTCCCACCTCCACCAACATATCTGCCTGGTGTGGAACCGGATGCGTTTGCGGTGCTGCCGCTTTGCGCGCAGTGTTTGAGGAGGCCGGCAAGGGCGCTGCTTACCTTGAAAGAAAGGATATGGAAGAACGAGGTTATATGCAAAGAGGTTGATATGGTGTGTCGCAGTTGTTCGGGACTGGCGTGGGGAGAGGAGATCAAATGCGATAGCAGGGATTGTCCGGTATTCTACACGAGGATCAGGGAGAAGAGTCGCCTTTCGAACCTGAGGGAGGGCGTTGGGAGGGTGGTGAATGTGCTTGAGGATGGTATTCCTGAGGAATTTGGAGAAAAGAAGGGACGGAGGAAAGGGAAGGGAAAGGGAAAAGGAAAGAAGAGTCGGGGAAGTGAGGGCCTGGCGTGGTAGTGTGCCTCATTGCTTAATGACACAGCTGAAGAACACCATGAAGCAACTACTGAGCATCCAGGAACGTATAACAAGCCTTAATCCTCCCCCCAACAATCGTCAGTACATCCCACCCCGTCAGTCCTGGTGCTGCTCCCTTCGGTCCAACACCCCACTTCACCCTTGTCACCCAGATATCTTCCTCCACATCGTGTTTCAAGCACTCGACCTCACCTACATCACACACACACACATCAGCCTCCTTTCCCAACTCACCCTTACTCGAAACCCACTTACTCAAATCGACAAACTCATCATCTGGCCCGCCCAAACTCTGTATCTTCTCCACCATGGCACTGATCGCATCGTGTGCTTTGTAGACGCCTGTTGCGTCCACGAAAAGGATTTCTCCGCTTACAGCCCAGGTGGAGGATATGACTTGCAGGCGTTTTGCAGCGTCTTTCTCGCCGAAGATGGCGTGGATGTTGAGTTTTGTGAGTTCGGCGGCGCGGATTTGGGATGTCATTGTAGAGATAAAAGGAGAATGTAGGTAAACAAAACCAAGAACTCCAATCACGAGGGTTAGGATAGTCTTATATTGTTTATAACATAAGCGCGACAAGCCCAGTCGGATGTAGGTGCACTGCTTACGCCGCAGCACCTGCACTACGAAGAACCCACTAGCCGCAAGAGGAAAGAGGAGTACAGTTATGGCGCATACTGTCGACAGCTACAGTGTCGTATCTTCTCGGCAGCTTAAGGTGCAAAAGCCCATCAGATTGCCGAAGAGCTTGCCGATGGGGAACCATCGTTCCGCGGGGTTGCTACGAGTCTCGTCGTCTTCGGCTGCTTGTTGAGGTTCTGCGAGATCAGTTAGAGAGCGCGAAGCACCTGCACTTTCAAGTCGTGACTGCCAAACTAATAGAACTCCACACATTTTCATCAACGTCTACAGCTTTAGCCGATCCTGTCTGCATCCCGCCGATAGGTTTTTCCGAATGCAATATATGGCAGTATTCGGTGGGCTTTCAGTATTTTTGTGAGTATTTGGAGTAGATGGCCATTTCCTTCTAGACTTAACATGCGCTAATGTTGATGTCTACGCCTTCAGCCGATCTTGCCTATATCTTGTCAACGGGTTTCCTCTAATGCCGAAGTCTTCGGCAATCGAATGCAATAGATGTCAGTGTGCGACAGACTTTCGGCCTCTTCAAAGCTGGGGAGGTTCGCGGGCATGTGCATGGTACCTGCCATGATAGCCACACTCGCATGTACAGTACTCGAAACGTCTTCTACGTCGAGAGCTGCAATCGGTACGCCAATGGTACCTTCTTGTTGCCGAAGTCTTCGGCATTCGAATACTATGAAAGGCAGCCTTCGGGAGGCTTTCGACCGCACTGGAGTGATCGTTCGAAGTAAAGATGCCAGAAGAAGCGTGAAGGACGGAACGTGGCAAAACGAGGCAAGGTCGCAAAGGAAGGAGCTACGAAGTGACTAGGGTCACACTGGTGTGCGGACATAAATTTAAGTGACTAACAAAACTGAACTTTTGCAAAAAACTAGAGAGAGAGTACACTCATAACGTGTATGTAAGGCTTGAGAGTGAACCCTTCACAAGACATCGAAACGCTTCATACATGACAAATTCACGTCGTTGTTGCTTGCTGAAACAGATTTCGAAAAGATTGAAGTAATGTAAAATCAAAAGACTAATATTCCAGAACTCCGTCACTTCGCAACATCGAGTCTGACATTGCATGTCTATATCTAGTGGCTGTGAAAGCCGGGGTATCACAAAACGTCATAAAAGACGGTATACACAAAAGTTGAATTCCAAACAAGTGGAACTCGCATAGTTGCTGAGGGACCTAATCGTCAAAGCCTGGGTCATTTCTCAAGCTCTGGACATTTCAAAGCCATAGGTAGGTATTCCTCAGTCGATGATCTATGGCTGAGTGGACCACTTCTTTATGCTGAGGTATGTCTCCATAAACTCCTTGACCTGTGCATTAGCACCGCCAAGTTCGTTGCGTGGGAGAGCCTTCACAGTCAGACCCTTCAATGACCGCGCTCTGCTGAGGGCGACATAGATCTGACTAGTCTCGAAAGCTCGTGCAAGATCAACAATAACGCGATCAAGCGTCATGCCTTGAGACTTGTGCACTGTGATCGCGTAGCCGGCCGCAAGAGGAATCTGTGTTCGAGAGAGTAGGCAGTACGGCTTCTCGTTGCCGAGCTCGTTCGCGGTGCAGTCTGCCATGATTGTCATGACTCGCCCGTTTAAAAACTTGACGACTGGCCATGGCTGGTTCCCGTTCGCTTTGGCGAAGTCTTTGATTTGGTGTTCGCGATATGTGGCGTGGTCGCCGCGGAGATCACCATCATCGTTCGGCGCCTTTGCTGCTTTGGGGAGTTTGTCTTTGTCATAAGGTTCGAAGTCGATGATGGTCCCCTGGGCACCGTTTACTAGACCACCAGTTGGGTTGATGTTCGCTTGGAGTACGACTCGCTGGCCTTCCTTGAGCTGTACTTGTGTTTCGAAACGATGATCTTTCTGTAGCAAGCGTTAAAGAGAGTGGTGTTTGCCTACAAATAATGACTTACAAGCGCAGTCAATGTGCCGTCTGGCATCCTGAAAGTATTTCTCTCCATTGTTCTATCGTCTCTGTGATCTTCTGCCCACCTGAAGAAGTCCGCGCACTTGTAGCTGCGGGCGACAGAAGGTAGTTTGGAGATGTTCATGTTATTGACACGATCAACGTCTTTCCGCAGAGCGTACAGCTCTATTGCGCCCTCGGTCTCTGAGGTATGGTGCAAAAGGGCGTTGGCGTGAGGTTTCAGAATCTTGCCGTCTGTACGAATGCGGTTGAGGATGCTTTTGAACATCATGTCTGATTGCCTGTGAATCTGTGTAAGATTGACATGCTTGAAGTTGCACTCCTGGAAGGGTCAGCATATTTTCAGAAAGGGTTGTTGATAGGTGCCCTTACTCTCCAAGCTTTGCTTCGGAAGGCCCACTTGTCCACGTCGTAAAAGACATCTTCGCAACAGTCCTTCTTCTCACAACGGTACTCGCTCGGAGTACGTTCATTGTCTCTCTGGAGTTCCCAACCACAGCCGATGCAATGTTGAAACGGCTTCACGGGCGAAAGCTGACAGAACTATGCACGTCAGTCACGCTCCACTGACGAAAAAGCACGCAACTCACATCTCCGGTAACAATGATTTGTACGCCTCCAAAAGCACCGTTCCCTCTTGCCTGCTTCATCAACAGGTTCAGACGCTCAAATTGAAGGTTCTCGATCATGCTGATCTCGTCAATAACTAGAACATCCACAGATGTTAATCGCTTGAAGACTTCCTTTCCTTGAGCACCCTTCATGAGTTCGCCCAAGCTTTTCTTCATGCTGTCCGGAGTCCATCCAGCAAAGTTCCAGGTTGTCTGTCCGCCCACATTGAGCGCAGCAAGATTTGTAGGAGCGATTATCTTGACACGACGTTTCTTTTTCGTAAGTTGCTTTACAAAGGCCTTCAGGATAGTGCTTTTGCCGCACCCTGCCGATCCGGTGTAGAAGACGTTGTGGCCTTGGAGAACGAGATCTACGACCTGTTGCTGTTCAGGGACAAGAACGGGATCGACATCAACTTCGGAAGGAGCAAAATCTTGTCCAATCTCTTGGTCCAATTCCGTCGAAGAAGGTTGGTGCTCGGTATGCAATAACCTGGATTTTGAGCTGCCGTCGGAGTCGAGCGTTGACTTGTATAACGTGTTCGGTGACAGTCGGGAACTCAAGTCTTGTGGGTCACCAACGATGCGCGGTGGAAACTCTTCGTCCTCATTCGCGAAGATCCTACGAAGCTCCTCATCGTCCCCTATTGTATACTCAATATAGTCACATGCATCCACTGGAGACTGAAACATCGCGTGTTCAGCGCCACGGAACCCTTTGATCTGTTCTTCCGCAGTTGCCCGGTCATTGTAGACTCCAGGTTTACGTCCGTTAACTACAGCGTAGTACTCTGGCTCTAGTGGCTTAAGACCATATGATTCGGCAAGCTTTCTTTGTTCGTCCAGCGTGATAGCATCCGCATCAAGACCCAACGTTTTCGTCCGCTGCGATGATGATTGACCGGATAATGCCGTCTTAGAGCTGGTGCCGTTGGAGTGGTATCCCGAGTCGAAGGACCTTTCTGCTGTCGGCCGAGAGGCTTGCATGGTTGGCGCCTTATCGATGGGCTCTCTGTGCTTTTCAATGTATGCCAACGCCTCGTCTACAGTCTTGAATTTCTTGTGTCTTGCGCCAAAGAAGCCATGGATCTGTTTCTCGGCGGACGGCCAGTCGGGATACACTCCTGGTTTGCGTCCGATAGCAATGGCGTAGTACCTCGCCTTACTGGGCTTGACATTAGTCGACTTTGCAAGCATATTTGTAAGTTCTTGTCGTGAAAGGCCGTCGTAGCTCATGGGTCCCGTCGGTCTAGACGCCTCGCGTAATTCTGGGCGCGCAGTTTGTGGAGTGTTGGTTGTTTCCCTGCGCTTTGTCTCCGGTTCGGGGCTTGATGAAATCTCGAGCGGAGCGTGTTGGGTACCGCGCGGAGGACTGGAGGCTTTTGCAGGACGTTTTGGGGGTGCCTGGCTGGATCTAGGCGGTTGGTTGTTCGTAGTGTTAACGGCCGATTCTGGGGTCACGGACAGTTGCTTTGGGGGCTGTGCAGTAGTAGATTGATCAGCGTCTGGGCGCATCGAGCGCGTGCGCTCCTTGTGATGAGCCGGTACCTCGGAATCATTGGGAGCATTTGCGGCGGTTCGAGCAGGGTTTGATACTGAACCATTCGGACTCTCCGGACGTTGTATATACTGCGTCGCACCCGGAAGGTGAGGGAGTCCATTAGCTTCATACATAGGTGGTGCCGTCCAGTACGTAGGTCGATAAGGGTCTACTTGCCCTTGCCCTTGCTCTTGCTCTTGCTCTTGCTCTTGCCCATTCCGATCCGGGTGTTGTTTAGTCCGCCTGTCATCTTCGCCATGATGAAATTCATGGTGCTTCCGCTTCAGAGGCTCGTATGGGGCCCAAGGTGTTGTACCTGATGCCGGCGGGGGTCGGTAACGGTCTGCTTGTGGTCGAGGTGTATGTTGATCTAGATTTGCCGGAGGTGCTGGAGGCACGTAATGGTCTCTGTGTGCTTGAAGTGCACAATGATCGCTCTCAGGTCGCCAATTATCACGAGCTCCAGGTACCGGGCTGGGTCGCGGGTCTTGGGAATATGGCACGGTATTCGGCGGGTGCGAGTAGTATGGGGAAGGGGAGCTATACGGAAGAGACGGACTCGATTGGGTTGGGACTACTGGTGGATCTATTACAGTACGTGAGCCAGTCTATGTCTATTGCTGTATGTCTTGAGAACTTACAGCCATGCCAATGTGCATGCATCTGACGATATGCATCCTCGTATGAGGTCATTGCACCTAGCAGCTAAAGTATAGCTGTAGGCAGAAAATATATGTGCAATATCGACCAACGAACATATGACATGTAGTAGATATGATAAGCCAACAATGGCAGCTTGAGGCCACCATACATAAGCAGCGTCGGTGCTAGCGAGGATGAAAGAAGTTCAGTCGCGTGGATAGACGCGCGGGTTGCGCGCTAGATTAGCTCCCGCAAGGTGGGGTCAACGGTCGACGGAGGTTCATGGAGTGGAAATAAGTCTTGTGATGAAAGGTTGATGTTTGCTTCATAGCTTCTGTGGGTATATCATAACGCCTCTTCTTCCTCAATCGATGCCACTGCAGCCGTGGCATCTGCATGATCGGCCTCTTCAGTCTTCCTTTTCTTGCCTCCTGCCTTTGACCTTCCATGGCCCAGCCATCCTTGCTTCGCCGTAATAGGCTGCAAGAATCCATCTATATGGACTCCTCCGTGTGTTCTCTCTTCGTTGTCAGAGTCGTTAAATCGAGGATCGTAGCCGTGGATCCTCATACAGTGCTCAATGACACGATACGACATCTCGAAATCCTTATGATGCCCATAACAATCAGTATGTGGACATCGTATTGCACCTGCTTGCCAATATGGTCTTTTCCTGGGGAGAGGTGCACCAATGATCGATGGCTCCGGTGCTAGAATGGAGGATGGTGTGTACTGTATAGGTACTGCAGCGGATTTGGTGGCAAGATCTTCGTGGAAGGGAATGAACGACATACTCTCCCCAAACCATGCTGCGCAACGCTCTGCGGTCCGCGCGAGAGCCTTCTGATCCCAGCCTTTTACAGCTGCGATTCCCAAAACTTCGCTCCAATCCATAAGACCTGCTCGTGACCAATCGCGTGTATTCGACACGCCCTCTTCGTCAGCAGTGCTTTCTGATCTGCTCCGCTTTCGACGCGTTGTAGGGCTACGAGACGCCTCTGAGTCAGGGATGTCTTCTTTACCGAACTGTGCGCCGTAATCAGAAGCTGAGTCGCTGTCTTCAGGCTCTACTGTGGGGTTTGAAGGCTTTATCGGGGACTTCGGAGCGCGACTGGCACGACTAGAAGAGGGACGTGACGATTGGCGTGTTATTGGCTTACTTCGGGGTGCACTCTTTGCTTGAGACTGCGATCTGGAACGAGATTCTCGCTCCGTTGTTTCTGCGTCTGTTGTGAACTCGCTCTGAGATGACCCTTCGCCAAAACCCCCGCGACCAAAGTGATTGAGGCGGGTCCGCTGCAAAGCTAACGCAACATCATCCAGCTTACTAAGCATAGAAGCGATCGTCGGTCGCAACAGTCTCTGGGCTTTCGCATCGTCTGCAAGAACAACCGGCTTGAAGTTCACCTCCATCTGAGGTTTTCTTCCACGCTTCACTCCGCCCTCCTGTGGCACTTTTCCTTCGGCACTTCTAGATTCGTCTCCACTGCCATCGTTCAGCTCGACATCGGAGTGGACACCCTGCGAACGAAGTCTTGCTCCTGATAGCGCTCTCATCCTCGTGCTCTGCTGACCAACACCTTGCCAATCCTTCGCATTCCAGTTGTCCTTCGCCAGTCGTACGAACAAACCCAACATCTCTTCTTTCAACTCCTCTCCTGGGTCTTGTGTCCCGTTGCCACCGATGACCCATTCATCTTCTTCTGGAGCTACTGCAGCCCTTCTGAATCCATTGGTGAGAGTGTAGAGCGAGGCAGGAGGCAATGGCCACGCCGTCCAGTCCTTCGCGGGGATCAGCTCCGTCTGCAACTGCCCTGCAGCATCTATGTGTTGTAACTCCTTCCCCTGCTTCAGCCAAGCGTCCTTGTTCTGCCAATTTTTGAGCGTCGAGAGCGCGTATGCAGGCTTACGCACGCGGCGCTTCAAAGCGTGCGCATTGTAGAGGTGGGCGGCAAGATCGGCGTCCTCGAGCTGCTGAAGTGACTCAGTGATCTGGCGATCTACTGCAGTGTAACCTCTCCATGTCTGCGGTGGCCCTTTGAATCGGTTGGGTCGTTCTGGTTCTTCGTCGTCAGATTCTTCGCTGTCTGCGTTGTTGCCGGCCAGTTCCTCGACTACATCTTCTGCTAGCGGTTCGTGAACATCGTGCGGGATTTGCGCGCTTGAAGGACTTCGCAATTCTGTGGTGGGCGGCGACTGCTCGACGGAGGATGGTGGGTTGTCTGAACCAGATTCGTACTCAGATTCAGTTGGCGGCGCGCTGCTGTCACCACCAAACAACGACATCTAGATTACTGTAGATGTCAAATGTGAGTAGAGATCATCTCGTGGTTGTTGTGTGACTTAGTTCGTCCATCGCGTGGTGAACGTAAAAGGTGAGGGTGGACTTTCGTGTGGGGTATTCACGAAAACGCGAAAGCACGTGCCCAACCTTCATCGTGCTAGGCTGCTCCACTGTTCCTTCTCCACAGATCCAGAATGGTGGAAAACAGAGTCTGAGAATGACATCCAGGATATTTTCAAGAGCATCAAATCCTGCGGAGATGATCGGTTACTGCAGCACTTTGAGACGTCCGTGGAGAGTCCAGATTGCCGCCGTTAGCGCACCTACGTCATTGGTCATTTCGACCACGCGGCACACCACAGCTTGGTTGTCTTGCACTTGACCATGGCAATCTTTTCGGCTGTTGTTGTGTGGATTTCGCTCAGAAACGACATGCCTTCACGTTCCTTGCGTTGGGCACTCTGAAACAGACACAGCATGAACGATCCAGGCCTCGATAAGGCCGCAACACAGGCGGCGGAAGATGTCGAAGCAAACAATACGCAGTATGACCAAGACAAGGAGCAGGCAGAAGAGGAAGAACAGGAGTTCCTGAAACCAGGGTAAGCAAACCTTTCCACTGTCACGACTTGAGACCCACTGACCTCTGCAGTCGATGGTGGTTCGCATCTACAGCATGTCCGCTCATAGCTGGCACGTTTGGTCCCATGGCGAATGCGTTTAGTATTTGCGCACTTCCTGAGAAATGGAGAGTGTACATTCCATCAGGAAGCGACGAAGGTCATGGGTTCACGGTCGAGGACCCAAAGTGGTTGATCACCATCAACTCCATCTCTCTGGTCTTTGCTCTTACAGCAAACATGTTCTTGCTGCTCAACATGGCCCGAAGGGTGCCCTTTGCAGTTGCACAGCCAATCACCCTGGTCGGCTTCTACACGGCGTCTCTACTTCTGATGGCTCTAGTTGGCGTGGCATCGACTTCAGTATTTCGTCTGGAGCCACGACAGGAACATGCTCTGAGCCAGGCCTATTACTACGCCATGATCGCCTCTGGACTCTACTTCATTATTGCGACACTGATGCTGTTCACCATCTATGGTGCGTACAAGGGCCGTTACCCTAAGGAGTTCACGCTGTCTCCCAGTCAAAGGACGCTCATGCTGCAGACCATTGGGTTCATGTTTTATCTTCTGTTAGGTGCTCTGATTTTTGCAGAGGTAGAAGGCTGGAACTTCTTAGATGGAGTGTTCTACGCGGACTTTACCCTGCTCACTGTAGGCATCGGAGGTGAATTTGTTCCCACCACCCATACCGCTCGCTCGCTGCTATTCCCATACGCCATTGGTGGGCTTGTCATAGTCGGTCTGGTCATCGGTTCTATACGATCGCTTATCCTCGAACATGGAAAGCAAAAGATGGCTGCTCGGTTTACAGAGATCAAGAGGGAGAGGGTTCTAGCTTCCTACAACGACAAGACAAGGACGATTAGACTGGGCTGGTTCTCGAAGATGGAGTATTTCCAGAAGGGATTGTCTGAAGCGCAAAAGAGAGAACAAGAGTTTCGAGTCATGCGGAAGATACAAGAGATTTCGGAGAGAAACCGCCGGTACACATCACTTGCTATCTCCTCAACAGCAGCCATGCTATTATGGTTCCTTGGAGCCCTAGTCTTTATGTTCGCCGAACAGCCTCAAGGTTGGACCTATTTCTCGGGCCTGTACTTTGCATACACTTCACTGCTGACGATTGGATACGGTGACCTCGTCCCGCAGTCGAATGCCGGAAAGGCTTTCTTCGTGTTCTGGAGCTTGCTTGCCGTACCAACACTCACCATCCTCATCAGCAACATGGGCGACACCATCATCAAGGAGTTCAAAGACTTCACGATTTGGGTCGGTTCTTTGACGCTCCTGCCGGATGAGGAAGGCCTCATGTCAACACTTAAGATTGGTACGAAGCGGATGCGGAAGGTCTATAAGGAAGAGTCACAAGAAGCTGATCCAGGCGCTTCGCTGAGGCACATGATGGACAGACTGCGAGATCACATGGAGGAAGAAGAGCTTGGACTAGCAGAAGAAGCTGGTGAACACGGTGACAAAGTGATGCGAGACATCCACTTCTACCACTTTATCCTCTCGAAGGAGATCAGACAGCTGATGATAGATGTCGATGCGTCGCCTCCACGGCAATACTCGTACTCGGAATGGGCATACTACTTGCGTCTCCTAGGTCAAGACGAGAACGACTCCTCATACCATCGCCGAGCGCGGGTCCACCACAAGCACGGCAACCGCTCTACGCCCGACCTCGGTACAGCAGACGACGGCGATGAGCAGACATGGAGTTGGCTAGGAATCCGCAGCCCACTAATGGGTAACTCGAGCGAGGCAAAGTGGCTGCTTCGAAGGTTGTCTGCTAGACTTGAGATGGAGATGCGGAAGATGAGTAATCCGGACCCAAAGAAGAGGAGAGCACCACCACCGATATCGATGGATGAGCTCAAGCATGGCAAGGAAGATGCGGATGCTCATGGCAATAGCGGAGAGTCTTCGGGTAGGACGTTTGATTCTACAGAGGCTAGAAGACGAGGGCGTAAGCGTGTTGATCCGTGAAGGGTACAAACGCGCTGGATTCACATCGGCTGTGGGAATGTTGACTAATGCCAAATCCTCCAACTTTGCTGTCATGTCATTTTGTGCTCTGCAAATTGGGAGACGGCCAGCTCCCTTCATTACAACAACTTCGCTGAATGACGTCCTCCATGGCATTGCAACCGATTGATACCACTGAAGAGCTTCCAGTAATCTGGCTTGCTCCCCCACCCGCTCTCCTCCCTTCAAGCCACCCCATCGCCATCCGCCCTATCCCCATCGCCATCAGCGCAACACTAGCAAGCCTGCTCATCCTTGTCCTCGTAATCCTATACAACAAGAAGCCAAAAGCCGCCAACACACGGCAAGAAAGCATCGAGCTCGCCACACTCAAAAACAACATCCACATCGTACGATCCCTGACCACCGTACCACCAGTCACTGCATCACCAGTCTCTGCATCACCGCACATATGTTCCCATCACGCTTCCTTATCATATGCATCAAGCCAACTTGCAGAATCCGACAGCATCACATTCGAGGACGACCCACCCAGGACTCCGCCACTACGAGACACACCACCAGTTCAATATTACCACGCCTACCTCAAGGACAGTCTTCCCGCACCCCATCACCAAAGCGCCACCAATCCTCCCTCACCATCGATAGCCAGCTACTACTACTCGCCAGAAGACCCTGTTGACACAGCAGCGCGTTTAGACTTTAGCGTCTCTATCAACGACACTGTACCCAATGCTCCACTGGTACACCCTATCGACACAGCAGCCAGCTCGGACTACTCCGTCTCGATTGGGCCAACCCCGCTGCCCAGCCGTCAGAACTCCCTTCGCAATAGGGAGACCAATGGTGTATGGACAAGATTGAGACTAGGTCCAGAGTACGACGGTGACCGCACTTTCGTACCCAGCGAGGCGAATCTTCAACTGGGAAAAGGCAAAGGCTAGGCAGGGTGGTCTTAGCTGAGCAGTATGGATTGAACTGGGTTGCAGCTTGGACAAAGTGAGCATATGAACCTTGAATTTGAAGAACAGGATGCATTTGTTCGTAGTACAGAGAATCCGACCTGACACCATGCTATACGTGACGGTACCAACACCAGCGCTGTGTGCATGCTCCATATACCATTTCCTGTTGATGACAGTCCTAGCCAGGACAAAATATAGCCCTCAGAACGAACCCAGGGAGCCAACAACATGGGTAATATATGTGACCGTCAAGAGGTCCGCGCTTCCCTGACGGCTTTTCATGTCCGAAGTGTTCTCCAATTTGTGTGCTTGACGATGAGGTGGAGCCACATGTGGACGAGGAATGAAAAGAGTTGGTACTGCCAGACTACGATGAGCCAGACTCAACGCTGGGGCCGCTGCGGTAGCTGCGGTCGGACATGATCTGGGAATGATGGCCGTCATGGCCCGGGTGAAAGGCAGGCATGGGTTCTGACATGGCAGCAGAATCAGTCTGGGTGTGGGTGAGGGCAGCGTTGTGGTGGGGCCCATGCTTCGCAGTACGAATGTGTGATGCGAAGTCCATCCCATCAGAGGTGCCGTCGGTGGCGCCGTGGCCGCGGGCTATATTGTCAGCGTGCTGGTCTGTATGTGAGGTGACGGTCTGACGTACTTGTTGGTACACGTTCCTGGTAGTGGTCCGAAGAGCCGCTATGCTCGTAGTATGCCTCGTGGCGACCATCGCCGTCGGCACCAGGATTGGCGGTCTCGTACTCAAGCATCTTGAGAAGACGATAGAGCAACACAGCGAGAAGAGCGCCGAGGAGTGGTCCCACCCAATAGATCCAGTGGTAGCCGTCAAAGCGTTTGGTAGCAACGTCAGGACCGAACGAACGTGCTGGGTTAAGGGACCCGCCAGTATACAGAACACCTATTGTTGTTAGTATCGTGCAGACAAGATGTGAAGTTGAGCTACTGACCAGCCATCTCGGCGATGAATAGAGCCAGACCAATGCCAATAGGGGCGATGAAGGTAGACCGGTGCTTCTCGGCTGCCAGCATGAATATACAGAAGATGAGCATGGCGGTGAGGAACATCTCGATGAACACGCCACGACTGATCGAAGTGCCGGCACCAAGGCGTGTGCGGACAGCCAGTGGACCTGGGAAGGTCGCCGCAACAACGCCAGCGGCGGTTATGGCACCCAACAACTGTGCAAGGATGAGGAGTGCAGCCTTGAGCCAAGGCAGAGCACCGATGAGAGCCATCGCAACAGTGACCTTCACAAGAAAGGTTAGTTATGTGAACGTAAGATGACAGTGAGCATAGTGACGGCTCTGCTGAAACTGAAAGCTGTGCATGGCTCGGGGGTGACGACTTACGGCAGGGTTGAAAAGGCCTCCGCTGACGCGGAAGAATACCCAGACATTGACCGCGAGGGAGAATCCGAATGCCAGCGAAATGTACATCAAAGATTGAATGTCCATTGCCCGATTACCGAGAAGGTTGTTGGCAGTCTGCGTTGCTGCGAAAGCGAAAAAGAGGAACAAGAACGTGCCGATGAACTCGCCTAGGAAGGCAATGAGTAGATGGCGTGTTCTATTTGGAAGCCATCCGAGTGCCCGCCTCTCTCCAGGACGGTTTGGATCCTCGGTATATGTTGGCTTCATCCTTAACAAGACCTCGAAGCTTTCCGCCGGTTAATATGTACGGCCGCGTGATGTTCATAACTGCGGCTCTCTGGGTGGATACTAATAGGTGATGCGAAGGTGTCGCCGAGAGCGTATCGAACAGTAACTGCCCTCGAGGTGAGACAGGTGGAGCGTAGGAAGTGGGAGGTCTAGGCGAGGCTCGAGGTCGATAAGACTAGGACAAAGATAGAGATACCAGGATGCTGAACAAAGTGCTGAAAGGGAGTGTAGGAGATGAGTTGCGATGTGAAGTGTAATGAAGGTACAAGTAGGGGAGAAGAAGCCACGCCGCCAGCGACATCATCGTGTCCATCGTGCAAGAACGCTAGTTCATATGGAAGTCACGAAGAGATCGATCGTGCCGCGGCGCCTTCAACGTCAAATTTGGAAGCTGCAACGGCAAGCAACACATGAACGAGGTCTATTCAAGGAAAGTCCACCTCGAACTCCATGTGTCTGGGAGAATGCACGTTTTAGCAGAGACGACAATCTTGCAAGTAGGTTTTGCGACATGAGCAGAGGCTCGTAGGATGTCTCCCCGCTGCACTGGTGCTGTAGGTCTCTTAAGCAGGAACATGCCGTTGATCTCTAGACGCCCTTGATATTGTGCAAGAACGCGACCTGCGTTCGGCTACGACAATGGTTTGAGTTGAGCTATGTCTCAGTCGCAAATTGCTGAGATGGACTCGAGATGCCTATGGTGCTGAAGAGTGAGTGATGTGACGAAAGCATGCAGGGCTGAAATGGAATGGTCACGCTTGGCTCCAGTGGCGGCCTGGTGCCCACTTGGTCCTGGATAACGCGGAAGTCATCACGACAGCCCGCGGCGAAGTGTGCACGACAGGCCGTTGTTTGCTTGGCCGTTAGGTAGTCCCTTCACGCACGTCCTTGCCTAGCGATATTCCTATTTTTTTTTTGCCTTGGGGCCTATACGCGCGTTTCCATGATTGTTGTTGCGTTGCTGTGTTGTCACCTCATCCCATCTGTACCAGCGAATCCGTGCCTTCCCCGCGTCCGCGAGCCTCCTCGTCATCGTCATTGACCGCTATCACGAGCCGCTGAAACCACTCACGGCGCGCTGCAGCAGACAACACCGGATGCCGTGAACCACCACAGAGCCCAGCATACCTTGCTGCTCTCCTCCGAAACCCTTTCCTAACCTTCTACCACATCTTGCCACACGTCGCCAGCATGCCCCGCCCGCTGCGGCTCCTCTTCTCGCTGACCACGAGCCTGCTCGCCGTCTCACTACTCCTCTTTGTCACCCTAGGCGCGCAGCAGGACCAAAAGTTCGAGGGAGCGTCACGTGCGCAGAAACAGTCCAGCGTCAACGCCCTCTTCTCCTTCACCTCGCCAAGCTCGCTCTTCCCTCCGTCCGCCATCATAAGCCTCACAGACGACAACTCGACCTTCTTCCTCGCCCGACCTGCAGCGTTTGGGCCAGCGCTGCCAAGCGATGGGTTGAGCGGCCCACTATGGATTGGCAGTGGCTTTGGCGACGACGCCTTGAGTAGAGGCGAGCTGGGCTGTAGCGACATACCCGGATGGGACGGTAGCAGTGAGGGACTTGCACGTGCTCTGAAGCCAGCTTCTACTGTTAAGAGCAGAAGGACTGGGCCTCTGGCCGAGAAGAAGGACAAGCCAAGACGGATCGCCCGAGAAGAAGAGACAGAGTCACCACCGACAGATGATGGTACCGACGACCACCTGCACCAGCCTCTCGAACAAGGCACACGGCACTCGTCAGACCACGCCGATATCCAATCACTCCAAGAAAGCGCCGAGATCGCAGGCAAAGTAGTACTGCTCAAACGAGGAGGCTGCGGCTTTTTGGCCAAGGTAGAGTGGGCACAAAGACGTGGAGGCGTTGCTGTCATCGTGGGCGACGATGTGCGCGGTGGAGGTCTGATACGGATGTACGCTAGGGGCGACACATCCAACGTTACTATCCCATCGCTGTTCACCTCACATACGACCGCGCACCTGCTGTCGTCTCTTCTGCCGTCTGGTAAGACCTTATCAGGCGTTGTTCCCTCCCAGCAGAAGAACAAGCCCGTACCCACGGGGACTACGCCTCAGTCCACAACTACTCCCTCTGTCGGCAGTCAAGATGGCCCTCTTGCATCTGTGGAAGAAAACTCCCCTGGTAAGGGTTGGCTGCACTCGCTGTTGACCGCACTTGGTCTTGCCAGTGCAAAAGAGCAACCAACAGACAACTTCAAGATCGGCGAAGACGATTGGCGAGACCCTAAGTTCCGCAACCTGCCTACGACGACTCTTCCTGCACCGCCAACTTCTACTCCTACGTCATCCACTTCTGTGATAAGTAGCAGTCGTCACAGAGTTGAGACGAAGTACACAGCGCCGAACAGCGAACACAAAGCGCACTGGCGCTCCTGGCTGGGATCAAGACGAAGGAGTGTCACATCCATCACCAGCGCTGACAACCAGGAGATCGATACGCTTTCTGGCGATGCGCAACCTCACGAAGGTCTTTGGGTGACGCTTACGCCCACGAACGTCTCGTCCAGTCCTTTCTTCGACACCCTCCTTGTCCTTGTTGTCAGTCCACTTGTAACCCTCTCTGTTGTGTATGCTTTACTGCTCCTTCGGTCTCGTATAAGACGCCGACGCTGGAGAGCTCCCAAGTCGGTTGTTGAGCGACTCCCTGTTCGGACTTATCAAACTATAAGCGACTCATCGTCGTCGCCATCCGCTACGTCTGAAGCAGCGACTCCCACCACTCCTCTACTTCAACGTCCTTCCTCTCAACCAGCCTCGTCACCATCTTGTTCGGTGTCACGAGACGAGCCTGAGGCGCCCGCAACATCTTCCTCTGTTCAACGCACGGCCCGTGACCGAGAAGAAGAGAAACGCGAAACTGGTCTAGCCGAATGGAGACGCCGGTATGGTGGTCGACAGAAAGAATGCGTCGTCTGTCTTGAGGAGTATGTGGACGGTGTCAGCCAGGTTATGAGTCTACCATGCGGTCATGAGTTCCACGTGGACTGCATGTGAGTATATCGCCCCTCTTGCTTTGCTACGATGCTAATATCCCGTAGTACGCCTTGGCTGGTAACACGCAGACGAACGTGTCCCATTTGCAAAGGCGATGTTGTGCGGTCACTATCTCAGGCCTACTCAGATCATCCGAGCCCCTCACAACCGACACCTCGATTAACTGACGATGAACACGTTGTGGATGCATTGCAGATCCAAGCCGCGGAGACTCGCAATGATTCCCCATCGGCCTCTCGACCTTTGTCCACATCCGCATCCGCACCCAGTAGTTATCGCACAGAATCTGACGATGACGTGGAAGCAAACTGGTCGACCGAAGAGCGTCAGCCAAATGCGCAAGATATACCCGGAAGCAGTGCAACCGAGTTAAGCACCTCGGTGCGCGACTTGAGTTCCACTGTTTCTACGGTCATTTGGCGAGGCTTCGATGCGGTTAGGAGTACCGCTGGCCTTCAGCGACGCCCGCCAGCCGAGGACGTCGACCGAGATCGATGATCCGCATCACACCACTTACGCTTGAATGACACTCTGATCGCATTGGAATGGTACATACCCCCGGCTAGGAATATACGGCGTTGCATTTGTTGAGCGGCATACATACGGCGTTCAAAGACCTGAACCAACTCAATCTTTATCTTGAAAGCACCTGTTCCACTTCTCAGTCATCTCCTTCTTTGTACGGCAAGGCTGGCAGCCGCATTTGGAAATCGTTAACAGGACAGGCGCTGGGGTGCGCTAATCATAGCATTCCTCGGCAACGTGGGTTGGAATCATATTTCAGCGCATCCTCCTTTGACCATGCGACTAATTATCATGCCTACGCATCGCTGCAAGGAACAGTCAAAACCAACACGCACAATTCCTTCCAATCTGAACCGGCCCGTTTTGTCCATTAACCGGTGAATCAATCCACGCGCAATCTGGATGAAGAGGAATGGCGCTCTCAGTCCTCAGCCGTTCATGATGAGCAGTTTCGATTCATGCACCGGGTCACAAACTCACGATACAATTCCAGAGACGAGGAATGGATGCTAGTTCCGGATGGACTTTGAGCGTGCTGTACCCCGCAAAGAGGGTACCTCAAGAAAGCTTATCTTCGGCTATTCTTAGCTTACCAGCCGACCTCATCTCCCTTGACAGATCAACGTACGCATTTCTCGCTCCCGTTGTACCACGAACAAGTCATCTGCCAGTCGTGTCGCCGTGGAATGCGAACCCCGCATTTTGCCGGCTGCGGAAAATCGAAAGCTAATGCGATCTGCTGTAGGATATGAATTGGCTTGGTAAACTACCTTTTGGCTTGCAGAACTCAACAGAGCTATGGTGACGCACCTTGGCGACACAGGCAAGAACATGTGTGGTGCTTGACTGGGACGTCAAGGCAACGCATGGCTTGGGGATGGACCAACATAAGAGGACCTCTTCGCACCCCTGGAATATGATTGCAAGCTGCGTGGAACCACCCTTCCGACAGTCCTCGCGTGGCAGACTACTTCTCACTTTGTCGTCTTCCACTCCGTCAACCTGTACACCGTTCTGATAATGAAGCTTCTCTACCTTACCCTGCCTCTGTTGGGATCGCTAGCTATTGCTCAATCACTCGTGGAAGATGACTGTCAGTGTCCTCAAGTCAAGTGCCCTGCCAGTGACACCTTTGTAAGTTTCTCCCCATATGGTCAAAACGTTCTTGTGACTAACAATTATGGCAGGAGGGCTGCAGATGTACTAACCTTGCTGAGCTGAGATGCAAAAGACGGTGTCCTAACTACACACCAACGAAGTTCAAGGTAGGTCCCATGCAGTCAACATCAGAAGTAGACACTGACCAGACCACAGATATGCCCTCTGCCGCAACAACCCTCGACCTTGCCTACATCTACACCAACCGCAACCCCAACTCTGCCGATTCTGGGTTTCCCAACGCCAGCTTTGCCAATACCAGCTCTTCCAACAAGTCTAGAACTGCCTGACCTACCGCTGATTCCCGGCTGTGAGTGCGAAGAGATGATGTGCATCCAAAGCTTCCCCGACTCGTGCCACTGTGCATACGGCATCGCGAAGACCTGCTACGAGAAGTGCGGCGGCAAGTCTCCAGGCCTGAACATCTGTCCACCACTCAACTCGCTTGGTGGCAACTCGTACGATGGTCCTGTGAAACGCACTGTTGCTCCTGAGCCCCAGCCCGCCCCGCAGAAGTCCACTGTCCCCATTCCCGTGAATATTCCTGCGCCTGTCTCCGGAATTGTAGGAACAGCTTCAACCAAGACATGCAAGTGCGAGGAAGGCATGTGCGTTCAAGCGTGGCCTGCAAGCTGCATCTGCGCCAACGCAAACAAGCATGCATGCTGGAAGAAGTGTGGCGGTGTGAAGCCGGCCTTTCAGGTGAGTCCTTGGCATTCTCATCTTATCCCATACATTATTGTCTCCTGGGCATTGTCCAGCAGACATCGTCCTACAGTGCCTATGCATACCTCCACCCGCACCTTCACCACCCCTCGAACCGTTCAACCAACACCCTCAGACCTGCAGCCTCCCCACCACAAAGCCCAAGCCAACACCCACCGGCGAGTTCCGCAAAGTCCAGATCTGCGGCGGCGGCCGCGCAAACACAAACATCTGCCCTACCGGCTACACTTGCATCGACGACCCCTACAAACCGGGCTGCGGACTCGCATGCGACCAGACGGGCATTTGTGTCAAGGATCAACTATGCGGAGGCTTTGCTGAATTCAAATGCCCCGACAATAGGCAGGTCTGTGTTGATAATCCGAGAGATGATTGTGATCCTAAGAATGGGGGTGCGGATTGTGGGGGGTTGTGCGTTTGGCCTCCTGCGCTGAGGGCTGCTTAGAAATACATGTAAGGAGGGCCTGCGACATTGGATCTTTCTTGGTCGAAAGGAGTTTGTACTTTCAATCTCAAATCGCATTGGTTACACCTTTGACTCCTCATTGCCGTGAAAGATGATGCCGAGAGGTCAGTTCCAAAGCACACCTCGTGACTACGCGTTAGTCTCCAGGGCTTGCGCGATAAAGCGCGTCTGTTCCCACCTGCTCTTTCACAGACCAGACCCCACAATGAACATGTCAAAAGCGCACAAAGTCACCGAGTATCAGGAACGCGTCTACGCGCTCCTGCAGCAGATTCCTGAAGGCCGCATCACAACATACGCGGCCATGTCGAAGGCGCTGAACAGCTCCCCGCGTGCAGTCGGCGGCGCGCTGAGAAACAACCCATTTGCACCTGATATACCGTGTCATAGGTGTATTGCCAGTACTGGTGTAGGTAACTCCTTTTCGATACCCATAGTTCGCCAACGCGCATTCGAGCTCGTGGGCTGATGATGTGAGCAGTTCATCGGCGGCTTCAAGGGTGATTGGGAAAAGGTGCCCAGCGGGCAAAATCAAGAATCGAAGCGGAAACTGCTGGAAGGTGAGGGTGTGAGGTTTGATGGAAATGGGTATTTGATCGATAGGAAGATGTTGTGGGATGGGTTTGATGTGAAGAAGCTGAGATGAGAATTGCAGGGACAGAGGGAGGCTGGGTGGGGTTGCGGAAGTGGGGCTACGTCACATCTCTCGAAAAGTTCTGGATGGTGTCCCCAGACATCGAACATTCAATTTCAAGACTATTGACAACACAAATGAATTAGACAGTTCTGTTGCTTGAACCAATACCTACACGATATATCAAAGGCTCCAATACAGCGATAATCACCATTCATCATGGGCCCCAAGAGGAAAGATTTCATGAAGCCGGGCAAGCCAAAAGGCAAGCTCAAGGCGCCCGAGCCACAAACCGAGAACGACTTCCTAGAAGCTGCAGATGAGCACGAACAAGCTGCCGGCAAGTGGAGAGCTGGTGATGCGGCAAAGGCGACACGTTTCTTCAATCGTGCTATCGACACCTACAACGAAGGCCTGAAGAAGCATCCGCAATCATTCGACCTTGCGTACAACAAGTCAGTATATTTTGCAGATCACATGCCCTCAGATAAGGACGCGATCGCTGATCAAATGTAGAGCAAATCTGGAATACAGTCTTACAGAAGATGAACGGATATTACCACATCTGGGCAGCAGAACAGCATTACTGGAAGAAACGCTAAACTCGCATCGCCATGCCATCTCGCTCAATCCTACTAACACCGATATCTTGTTCAACACTGCACAAGTTCTCACATCCCTAGCAGAAGCGGGGCTCGAAGATGGGACGCAAGAGGCTGCAAAGACCCCTGCCAGGACGCTGCTTGAAGAAGCCGTTGATATTTTCACTGGATGCTTGCAGAAGCAGCAGAAAGAGTATGAGCAGATGCAAGCAGATATCGCAAAGGCCCAGGCGTCGGGAGAGTATCAGGAGGCTTGGGAAGGTGATCGACCGCAGCCTGCTGAGACCAAAGAGCAGGATGACACGGACGCTGCATCATTGTCATCAGAGGGACCTGGAGACTGGGCCACAGTCGAGGAGCCTGTAACACCATTGACCATCCTTGAGACGTGTACTGCGCAGTTGGGAGCTCTCATTACCCTGCTTGGGCTGTATACCCCAGATGATCTGCCAAGCATCGAGAAGAAAGCGCAAGACGGTCTTTTGACAGCGACTGAGACCATTCCCACTCTCATTAGTCTCATTGATGCATCGCCGGAGTCAGACTCGGAAGATGAGCCAGTAGCAGGACCCACCTTGTCGATAGGACAGTCCTCTTCCGCAGAAGAGGCCTCGACAACACCCAAGGAAGATGCAGTGCTTGCTGCGGCGAACTTCCAGGCCAGTATTGCAGAAGCCATGTACCGAAGCGGCAGAAGCACGTCAACTCAGTATGCACAACAAGTTGAGCAGACGTTTGCTGCGTTGATCAAAGAATCTCAAGGCAGCAACAATCCAGGCCTTGCATACGTCAACATCCGATCATCATACGCAGACGCGCTCATCGACCTTGCATCCTCAATAGCAGACAGTGTACAGTACACCGCCTCATCGCCAACCTTCGTATCAGATCTGGAGATCCAATGGACCGCGCTCTCGCAAGCCCAGAAGACGCTCACCGAGCTTTCATCAGCGCCACTCTCAGCTATGCTCTCCGCGTCTCGTCTAGCAGACATGTTTCTCGCCCGCGGCGACACCGAATTATTCCGTTTCCGCATCGCGATCACGCCAGGCGCAAAAGCGGCTTGGGCAAACAGCAAAGCCGTTGTCGTGGCAAACGCAGGCGTTTTCTACCGCGGGGCGAGGAGCTACGCGCAGAACGCTGGAGCTGCGCAGACAAGGGCTACAGCTGATGCTAAGGCGATTGTAGCGGAGATCCTGAAAGAGGTATCAAGTGGCTCGAAAGCAAGGAAGGAAAATTGGAATGGGAGGAGTGCGGATGTTGCGGCTGTGCTGGGGCAGATGGTGGAGGAGGGGATTATCGCGGAGGAGAATGCACAGGGTTTGTTGGGTTTTACAGAGTGATTGCTTGTTTGTTCTGTTCTGATCGAGTGACAATGTCACACCTGCAATCGGCGCCGTTTGTACTCGACATATCGTGGCTCTGGGCAAACGGGTTCCACAATATCACGACGATTGAAGCCACTTCAACTCCGCGCCTTTCTATGCCTACGCAATCCATCACAAAGTCCATTGTCTTACACGATGTTAGAGCCCTTGAAAAAGCCCAACCCTCCAAAGAAGCCAGAGCCCCGAACAGCAGGCGCGCCAACGAACCGAGAAGATGTCTTCAACAACCCCTTGTCCATTCACCCTGAAGACGCGAATCCTGGCAATGGTGATCCTGAAGAAGAGAAGATCACACTCATTGAAGCACTGAAAGAGAAGGCGGAGGAGGCAAGGTGTAAGAGTGTGCAAATGCTGGAATTCGGTGAGAAGAAGGACGACTCGAAGGACGACTCGGAGGACGGGGGTCCAAAGACAACATAGACGGTTTGATCGTGAGGGGCAAGCAAAAAAAAACATTCGAGCAGGTAGATTCACCACAATTTGCGTACCACCTCTCTCCCGTCTCTTATTGTGCGCCTCGATAGCCTTCCCGGGTCCTCACCGAATCCTCTACCCAACCTATCTCACGCCACCCTCTCCACCCTGCATCCCCATGTAATGCCCCCTAACTGCCTGCCCCAACTCGTCCCCCTTCCTCTTGCCCTCCGCCGCCTCAGCTCTTCGCACCATTTCTCGCTTCAACAGCGGGTAAAAGTCCCGAGCAACCCCAACATCCACAAACTCACTCCACGAGGAGATTTGCGAGCCATCGGACGTGAAGCCCATCTTCCACACATACTGGTTCCTGTAATCGCCCATGGGACTCTCGCCGAAGGCGCTAACATACATTACGATCCTCTTCTCCTCCTTTTCTACATCATCAATCGAAGTCGTTGATACGCCCTCAATAACGTCGTCTACAACGAGTTTGAAGGAGGTGAAGATTGCGCTTATGGCGAGCAGGTTTTGCTTGAAGAACTCGTTGGATTGGGGCAGGTATTTCAGTGAGGAGGGGAGGAAGACGCGTTTGCAGTCTGGGGTGCGCAGCGCGATGATGGTGTCTACGTCCATGGCGTTGTAGGCTGCGACGAGTTTGTCTGCTGTTTCGCGTTCTTTTGACGGCATGGTGGGTAGTTGCTTGTGGCCTGGATTGTGAGGCTTCAATTGCAAAGATGAGGTTGCAGATGCTCCACGTTGAGCTTGAGGTACTGATCTTGAGGTCAAAGGCGGGGCAAGGTATGACCGCGGTGCTGGTTGGCATTGTATGCAGGAGATGCCCGTATATCATGGATTGAGATTGGCCGACATTGTGAGCTGAGGTGAGGCCCAGTAAGCGCGCTTGGAGAGTGCTGTGGTTGGAGCAGTTCACGACGCATCTGGTCCTGGTCTTCGCTCGACGAGCGGGGATTCACCTCTGTCAACACTTCACGCTTTGACATGTTGCACGAGCAGCATGCTCGTTGCGTTGTTTGCTAGTCAGGCGAAAAACGTTAGACAGCTGTTTTGCTGTAGAGGGAAGGAAGACTTAGGCGCGTTCGTGCTTTCAGTCTCAAAGATTACCTCATTCCGAGTTCGTTCCTTCTAATTCCGAACAACATCACCACCACCACCTCAAATCTCTCACACACACACACACCTGACTCATACTCACCCACTACATGCCCGCCCGTCCCCCTCAACCCTTCATACCCCGCAACGTCAGCTTAACAAACCTCTACACTCTCTACCGTCTCCGCAAAATGTCCGCGGCCCCATCCCCCTCTCGACCCATAAAGATCCTCTTCCTTCACGGCTTCACACAATCCGGCCCCCTCTTCAGCGCAAAATGCGGCGCCCTGCGAAAAACGCTTCAAAAATCCTTCCCAGCAGGAATCACACTCTCGTTCCCGACTGCGCCGCTGCGGTTATCGCCTACGGACGTGAGCTTCTTACACGGGGAGGAGAAGAAAGATGGTAATGGTGGGGAGGAAGATGAGGTTGATGCGTGGGCGTGGTGGCGCCGGAAGGGGGATAGCGAGCCGTACACTTATGCTGGGTTGGAAGAAGGGCTGGGGCGGATAGCGCAAGTACTGAAGGAGGAGGGCCCGTTTGATGGGGTCGTTGGGTTTTCACAGGGCGGTGCTGCGGCGGCTATGGTTGCTTCGCTGCTCGAGCCCGGACGGAGAGAAGCGTTTGAGAAACTGCAGAAAGAGGGCGGGATGCGGTATCCCGAGTCTTTTGAGGCGGATACGGGGTATGTAGAGGGCTGTGTGCATCCGCCGCTGAAGTTTGCGGTTAGTTATTCGGGGTTTGCGGCGAGGGGGCAGAATCCGTATCATGCGTTTTATGAGCCAAAGATTAAGACACCGGTGTTGCATTTTCTGGGGAGTTTGGATACGGTGGTGGAAGAGAGTAGGAGTCTTGCATTGGTGGAGGCGTGCGAGCAGAGTGAGGGCAGGGTCGTGTATCATCCTGGTGGTCACTTTCTGCCGAGTACGCAGAAGGCGAGTGTGAATGCGTTGATTGGGTTCATCAAGGCGGTGCTGCATGAGGCTGAAGGGCCGAAGAACGAGGAGGAGAGCGTGCAGGACATGGATGTGCCATTCTGATCGGAGCCTGTGGAAGATGATCCAGTACTACACAGCGCGGCGTTCACTCATAGATGGTCAAGACATAGACTATTATCTGCTTAGATGTCTATATTACATGCGCAATGCATGCGCGAAGGCGACTATAGACGGCCTTCCAATTCTAGACTAACCATGATTCTTCATCACATCGTCTTCATCACTCATTTCGCCTTGCCCTTGGCTGCCTTCTTGTCAACTTTCGTCGGCTGGATGCGCGCCATCATCTCCTCTTTAGTGATGAGATGGTCGACGCGCTCCAGCAAGCCGAGCAGGCTCTTCATGTTCCCGCTCCACTCGTTCAAAATGTCATCCGAGTCGCGTGGCTTGGAGAAAGTGACGATGCGTGCTGGTCGGTCGATCTTGGCGTAGATGGTCTTTGCGGTGACCAGCTCGCTGATATACTTTTCGGTCTCGTCCTCTGTCAGGTCCAGGAGCTCGGTCAGGCGAGGAATCTGAATGCGTGTGTAGTACTTGGCAACGACGCGCACGTTGTGCTCAATGACGCGCTTTCGCAGGTCCTGCCACCTCTTGAATGCCTTCTCGTCGTCCGAGTCGTCCTTCTCTGCATCGAAAACGTCTGTGTCGGTCAAGTGGGGTCCGAACTGCTTCGAAACCATAGGCCACCTCATTAGCTCGGGGATGGTGAAGAGCTTGACGAGTTGTGCGTCTTGTGGGATCTGCGAGTTGCGCGTGTCGCGCTGGATGCGGTGGATGAGGTCGGACTGCTCGTTGTCGTACGGTGCGAGGATGATGAAGTAGATGACGCGCTGGAGGATCTGTCATGACTGTCAGTATAACTGCATGTACGATCGTGCAATGTGAACGTACCGCTCGAAGCTTCTTAGGGTCCTCCTCGACGGCTTCGGTGTCCAGCACCTGTCGGTAGTGCTTGCAGACCTCGAGGTATTTGTCGTCGTGCTTCGCGAGAGTGATCTGTTGCTCATAGTACCTCAACTTGAGGTCTGTGACATCGTCCTCAGGTTCGATTGGCGGGTCGTCTGCACTGCGGGTTTTCTCCTTCTCTTCACGCTCCTTCTGCTCCTTCTCCAGTTGCTCAGGCGACTTTTTTGGCCTGCGTTGGAAGTACCGTGTGCTGATCTTCCTGCTCAGAATGCCGGCCTGTGTCCAGTCACCCTTTTGTATGCAAAGTGCGACTTGTTGTAGGATGAATTCGGTCTTCTCTCGTCGGGTCATGGAGCCGAAGGTCTCCACTTGAAGCTCGCAGAGGATGTCTGTAGCCGCGTTGATGTCACCCTGCTCCTTCTTGATGTCGGACAATATCCTTGTAATGCGGGCGCGCTCGACTTCGACGAAGATCTGCCATTTGCGTCAGTGCCCACACTCTATCTGTTGCTTGCGTGCTGCTCACCTTGCCCTCAGTCACTGTCCGCAGCGTCTCGATGACGGAGAGCTTTGTGTCGAGGTTGGGAGTATCGTCGAGGAAGGTCATGACGGTCTGAACCATCTTCGTGGTTGCCTGCTTGAGCTGTCCATGCTTCTTCGAGAGCAGAAGCACCTGCTCATTCATGAGGTTCCAGTCATTTGCCTTCTTGGCTATTGTGACGATGGCGATGATGATTCGAGAGGTGGACGCAAGATCTGAAGCCTGGGGCGTGTAAGTTCATGGTCGCGTGCGCGCAGCAAATGTCTCTCCATACCTGGCGTGTCTTCTTCTCAAGTGGCAGCAGCTGGTCGATAGCAGCTTGTGGGTTGCTCTGGAGCATGATATTAGCTTCGTCCCAGCTCTTGCTAATTTCAGACTCACGGATCCAAGCTTCTCGGCCTCTGGAATCTGGACGTCGGCCTCCTTGGAGAAGTCCTTCTCCGCCTTGAGCACCTCTCCGCTAGACATGGTGGCGGGGTTGTTGTGTGGTCGTTGCGTGCGAAGTCGTGAGTTCTACTGAGTGATTCGGTATCGACGGCGAGTAAGAGGAAATATTATATGGAAGGTGAGGGGTGATGGTGACGGCGCGGCGACAATGTTTGGGGCACTGGAGTTGCGGCTCGATGATGTCCATGGCGGCGGTTGCGCAAGGCGCAAGGGCCACCCGGAGCTTGGTCGCCGATTCACCGGCACCAGCCTTACAAGCCCAAGAGCATGCAAAGGCTTCAACACCATTCTCCATTGTCAAAGCAACCTGAATAGTCGTGTAAATGTACAGATTGAGTCTAGCAGCAGTCATATGCTACAGCCGTACTTCTTTGATGTTCTAGCTCGGGACAAGAAACATTATGGAAAATGTGATGGTATAGTTTCATCTGGACTCGCGACTAGAAGATGGAAAAAGCTCCAAATCCTACAATGTCACGGTTTGCTTTAGCCAAAGTTCTTCGCCCGGCTAGCAGGCCAAGCCATAGAGATCCCACTCGCCGCAACCATATACGAGCTGACACCGAAAGCACCCTGGATGTCTTATTCCAACTTTGTACACGCCAAACAACAAGCTGGCCAGAATGAAGACCCCGAACACCACACTAATGATAACATCAAAGTCGACACCCTCCTGATAATATATGCCACATCCTTCTACAGGCTGGCCTGCCCTTTCTTGGAGCTGGCCACGTGTGCGCTTTGGTAGCAGATCGAGCACCCACGTCTCTTGTTCATTGATACACTGGGGCGAGGAGAGCATATGTACCAAACCAGCGGACAATACGAGGGGCCAGGTGGCCGGTGAGCCGGCTGGCTTGCAACGGTATTCTGCGTCAGGAGCGGGCTCAACTTTTGGTCCCGGGGGTATACATTCGCACACGCTGGGTGTGGAGGACATACAACATGGGTTGTGATCTGGGACTTCGTCTGTATTACGCACTCGCAAGCGAAACTACACGCAAGGTCAGCTGAGATTTCTGCCCTGTAAGAATCTCACATAATTGAAGGTCTCTCCCCGACTGGTCATGGGGATGTCGAATCAACACGTCGTCCTTGAGCTCCCGGACATTGCTATTTGCGAAGCCCCTTATGCGTTTAACGGTGTGCAATCCAATTGCTCTTGTGGGCCTTGCGTGCTGCCATGCTTGGAATGCTCCGTTGTAAGTTTCCACCTCCAACTCTGATGACCTAATGTCTCCGAACGTTACTTTCACGCGGTCTCTCCGTTGTACGAGTTCCAGGCCGACCAGCTCAGCAGATACGACTCCAGGCGAGGAGACATCTGAATCAAGCACAGCTCTGCCGCTATCATGTTGATTCTCTTGTAGAGATGTTTGTGGCTCAACATGTTCTCCTACCGTAGCAGCTTCAAGAAGATGTACAGAGCTCAACAAGTGTCTTGACTGTGGGAGATTGTTCGGCCTCTGCGATGGTCAACCCATAGGGCCAGTATCGCTTTGACCCCAGCGTTGATTGCCATTTTCTAGATCTGTCTGAGCAAGATCTGCAAGATCATTTCTAGGGTTCGGTCGCCGATGCTCACTGCTGTCCCAAGCTGATAGGTTCTGATCAGGACGAGCCGCAGACTCAGGCTCCTCGAGCTTCTCAAATTGGTTTTGAAGCCTCTCATTGACCTCCACTTCAACATCGGCAGGGCGCTTAAGAGGTTCTTCCAGTGCCAAACCAGCTGCGATTCTATTGGGCCAGTTCACAGCCTTGAAGCCGCCAACGCGGTCATTGTCTTGCATTCCGCTATGGTTGTCTTGATCGCCGTGACGCCGCAATTCGTCTCCAAGCCCAAGAAGCGCATCTGCAGTGCCCGCGGTAGACACTTGATGTAACGTATGAATTCGTGTCTCCTGCCATCCACCTCCAGTGCGCTTCCATAGAAGACAGTGTTGAGGCTATCCCTTCAGGGGACCGTTGATACATATCGACTGGAGGAACATCGAGTGTCTCGTTGCTGCGGTTGTGGTACCCTTGTTAAGGCGGTTGCGTCGAGATCCAGTCCTGGGGAGTCTTCGACCTTAGGTACTGGCTGTATGACAAGTACGGAGCTGGCTGCTCTTTCCTGTTCTTCCTGTTCTTTGACGCGGAGCTTTCGGTCCCCCAATACCAGTGGTGGATTGGGTACTTTCTTGTCAGGTTCAGTCGCACCTTGTGTTTCGTTCCCAGGTGGATGTAGGAGCGGGAGTTTCTGCACTCCATCCCTTTGGTGTTTCTGGAGACTCGTTCCAGGACCTGTACATTTCAAGTCTTGGGCTATAGTGAGCCACCGCCGGGACTTCAAGAGTACTCCTTTGTGGCACTGGCTGCCCTTCTCCTTCCCTTCCATGTGTCAACATGATGCTCATCCTTCTTCCGAAGCCCCTCTTCTGGTTTGATAGGGTAGTCTACTGCTGTCTCCTCGCTCTTCATTGCACCCTTTCTAACCGCACTCATGGAATTTCGTCGTGAAGACTCCCAATCGTAAAGGCTACTATCTCTTCCTCGTTTTGCCTTTCTCACAGCACCCGTGCTTGTTTCCAAATACCGAAAGCGGCCATCTCCATTTGTTGGTCGTACGCTGGATGTGTAGTTTGATGCTATGGTATTTATATAGTTGTGGCTCGTGTAAACTACGTCATGACTACGAAGTTCTTCTCTTGGGATCCAGGGATATTCGCGCGCCTTCGCCTCGGGATGATCAACTATGTCTTGTGCTTGGATGGTGGCGTCATTCGTGTAAAGACTCAGCTTTTTCGAACCATTTGCATACTTTGCCTCGACCGTCTCTGATATTCGACCGAAAGCGTGGCCTTGACTATACGCTTAGGTAGATCCTCCTCATAAAGCGAACGGTCGGAAGGCCTAGAGATTGTCGGGATCATTCGAGAGGTATGTTCTTCGCACCGGCACGTCTATCGAAGAAAGGCGTGTAGTGCAAAACTGACCACCATGGTCATACCTTGGAAACTGTTCCCGATGCCTGCTCGACGCCGAAGCCTCGAAAGTATCATAACGCTTTGCCTTCTTCTGATTTTCAGTGTTGGGATCTCTCGTCGTAAAGAAGGGAGTGAAGCCGCTTGTGAAGAGTTTGCCATGTTGAGACTTTAGAGTCTCGAGCCAACATGTACTGCAAGTGGCGAAAGTACAAAGATCAGAGAAGTGCACAATGATAACAAAGATGTTCGGAGCAGGAAGTGACAGCGTTCGGGAAGTGATATCATCTCGCGCCTTTCGATTTTCGAAGCGAAGAACCAACCGTGCTAGAACGAAGGGTTTGCCGAACAAATCACGTTTCGGAAAACGTTGCGGTCAGACTTATCAGGGCTATGACTGTATTGGCGAAAGCTCCATCAAGGCAAACTTAGTTCAATGTCCAGCAACGAACACTACATGCCGTCAGCATATACACACTTCTACTAAAAGTACCCCAGTTGTCCATCTTCAACACTGACCAAGTAACCAGAGCTGTTAGAGAAAAACATGACGCAGATGATGCAATAGCATGTCGACATCGCACCCTTCTTCATAATATATCTCCCAGTCTTCTTCAGGCTTACCAGCCGCACCTTGTAAAGGACCACAGGCCTTAGGGAAGGTGATCGAGTACCCATATCTCTTCCTTGTGTACTCGATTGCTTCATAAACAGAAAGAGCGATAGATTGTCTTTGACTTCGTCAATACACTCTTGGAGCAGAGTTACGTGCTCCTGCGTTCGACGCACACAGGCCAACAGATGTAGCATCTCTAGATGGAGACGTTGTACTCGTTGCTGGTGACGTTAGTGAGCGTTGACATCTGTATAGGCGGGGTGTGTTGCGGTAGTTTAGGTGTTTGGTTCGAACCAGAACGCGAACCAGACGAAAAGCGCGCCTATCATGGGATCTTGAACCTCCAGTTTTGGTTCGTTGATCCGTTGTTATGAAAAGTGACTGCGACTCTGGTTCCAGTTGCTTGCTCCATGCGCTCGATGGCTCGGTTGCTACCACCTTCACGATACTCCATCACGTCGCTCCAGAAAGATTCGCCACATCTCTGCTTAACCATCAGTCTTTGCTACCAGGTTTCCTTTGTCTCGGAGACGATTGACGTTTGACTTACGCGATGCCATCTGAGTCGAATCCAGCCGGGATTGAGCGGTGGCTCGAGATAGCCCAACGCCGCAAGCAAGTCTACAAGCGTGGTCCGAGGCCTGTGCCAAAAGCTTTGACGATGTTGTTTCCTGGCTGATGCTCCTTCGTCCTCCTCGTCCGAGCTGTCTTGTTCTTCTGTGCGAAGGCGCTGTGGCTGCCATGTCTTGGCCTCGAACGCCTCGATGACAGACTGGGCAATATAAGAAGCTTTGATGGAGACCAGTCGTGACGCCACTTTCTCAGGCTGATCGTTGGCCTCAGAATAGAGCTTCCGCGCAAAGGTTTTGAGCAGCCGACGAACGTTTCTTGCCAGCCGTTCAGAACCAATATCGGGGTGCTCAACGGCGTTTTGGTAGAGAGCTACTAAACCTTCGTTCTCCAGGAAGATTGGTAACAATTCTCTGGTTGCCATCGCTATCTGATCAAGAGTATATCCAGAGCCTGCAGACAATCCGGTTGCTGTGGATATCAGGAATGCTTCCGAGAAGATCGACTTGACTTGCGAAGCAGCAGACCCATGTTCGGATCCATAACCCGACCAGTTTGCGCTCCAGTTTCTGTATTGACGATTCGACTGTGCATCATCATCTAGACCGTCCTGAGTGATACCAGTAGCCCAGGCCGAAATGTTGACGTGGTTTTCTGGATGATCGTGATGCTCCATAACTAGATCGGAACTCACAGGTTGTTCGGCGTCCCATATATCAAACCTGGCCAAAGGAACGGTTGGTTCCACCTCTAAGTTCCTGTCTACGTCGAGCCCATCTTGATCCTTATCAGTTCCAGTGCCACCCAAGGTCAGGACCTTCCGCAAAACTACGGGGTCCGGCGTCAACTGTGGATGTCTTCTGCGATAGTGCTTCAGCCGAGCGTCCTGTCTCTCGAAAACCGACTCGCATCCATCAGCCTCGCACTTGTATTGCCTGTGCCCGTGCTTGTGCTTCAACCTATATGTCTGGCTAAGTTGCTCCTTTGCCACGTCTTGTTGAACTCGGCGGTACACATCCTTTATATGGACAGCGAAGTCTATTCGGCGATGGCTTAGGGCTGGATTTTGTCTCTGCGGTTGTGTGTCATCTGCTCGGCGGTAGGCCGTGGCAGGCCCGTTGTTTGAGCCTTCGCCGGGCTCTTCTAGGCCACTCTTCATAACAACGCTATTCGGTAGAGGCGCCCATCGGCGTTTTGGGCAGATCTTGTTTGTAGCGGTGTGAACCGCTGTAGAATACTAATAGCTACGGTAAACAATAACGTAGGACTATCGGGTCGATGGAATACTGCGCTGAGTTGTTGACTAGCTAGGAGACGACGATATATACATGCCCAGTAACGTGCTAACCCAGTATAGCCACTGCCGTGTGGGTCAGGGCTTGTGGGTCCATACATATACCGCAACATTGTTGAATAGACCACGGTGAGGCTATGTTGTTCTTGTTCTCCAACCACAGTGACAGAGCGGAGTCATATTGTCGAGGCTCTTCATCCTCGTATAGTATCGGGGCATGTCCCCTTGCTGCATCTTGTCGTGCGCTCCCGTACGCGCCGACTTCTGTAGTCACCAGCTTCGAAGCCAATCCATGCGAATCTTGGAAAGCCGATGGAGCTTCGCGGTTCGAAGCACGAAACGGTGGCTCTTCTGAAACTGCATCGTTTCTGTTCTACGAAACTTTCATCTTGTAGGTCACTGGAGACTGGGTTCAATTTCTGATGATCCTGTAACAAATGATTCAGAGTCTTGCGCCGCCCCTGATTTTCTCTTCCTCCAGCTTGATCTCTCCTCGTTCAAGATCTTCTCTTTCGAGCTCCCACTCCGCCCTACCCATATTTCTTGGTTTTCAAGCTTTGTTTCAGGGGCGGTATTTGACGATGTACTAACAGCTATCGCATGCGACCTCAGACTTCTCTTGGAGTGGATCAGATGAGGCTGAGCTCTGCACAAGGCTATGAACGACCGCGGTATATCAAGTTTCGATTCATGTCCGCCCGGTCACTGCAAAGATCCGGTGATAGAACACAAGGATAATGTAGCGGCGTGGACCGCTGTAGAATACTGATAGCTACGGTAAACGATAATGTAGGACCATCGGGTCGATGGAATACCGCGCTGTATTGCTATCTAGCTAGGAGGAGACGACTATATACCCGACCTGTAACACACTAGTCCAGGGTGGTCGATCAGGGGTATAGGCAGACTGTCAGAGTTCAGTGAAGAACTGTACGCAAAGGGAAGAATTTGAAGATTGTACTGAGGTTGTGTTGAGTGAAGCTACGAACAGTATATATAGGTGAGTAGCTGTAAACAACGCTAGTGTGACGTGGCAGTCACTCTCATGGCAGGTGAGGTACAACAGGCAGGAGCACCCTGAACCGTGACACAGACACTGTACGGGCCAACCGATACCGCAACAGATAAGAGCAAAGAAATGGCGAAGGAATACGGGATCGGATCTGGGAAGAAGCAGAGTACAGTGAGTGTTCTGGTGTAGATCAGGCTGAAGGTAGTTGCGAGCTCAGCCGGGCCCAGCGACATGAGCGCTTAGCAGGTAAATCGGCATCGTGCGTGAATGCCAGCACAACTCTGCGCCTTGCATGCTGAGCTAATGTCTGGCGCGTACATACGAATCATCTGTGATGGATTAGCGTTTTCTGGGCGAATGCTGCACATGGCATGCACAAATGAACTGTTGATGCGCTTTCTGCTGCGACATGGGAAAGTGACCGTTTCCTGAGGCCGACCACGCCATCTGTACGTGCCAAGCCGCGACGAAGCTGTGAGTTGAAGGTGTACTTTTTGATTCGGGTATATGAGGCGTAACGTTCGAATCGACGCCCATTGTCTATGCTCTGGAAGGGCCGATGCAACAACCATGGTTGCAATCACGAGCCAATTCTAATCTTCTTCTTTCCCACTCAACCACTTCGCTATGCGGCTAGCTGCTTTGCTGTCCCCCATCGCGTCTTCTCGTCTCCTCCAGCCCACTCCTTCTCTGTGTAGCCGAGCCTCCGCTTGACTTCCTCGACCGTCGCCTTGTTGCCGGTGTTCTTGCCGATGTTGTCGCTGATCTTGACAGCGTGACGACCTTGTGCGGAGGCGATCTTGATGACGATGTTGAGTGGTACGGACTTGTTGCCCGTCGACTTTTCGACAAAGTCGTCTGTCGTTGTCAGAACGCGAAAAGAGCGTGCTCAAGATGAGATGATACTTACTAGTCAGGAATGTTCCCACACCAAAGGTAGGCTGGAAGCCTGCAGCCTCAGCAGCGGCCTTGTACTTGAGGCACAAGTCAAGATTCAACGAGTCGGAGAAGACGATGGTCTTCTTGTCCGTGATGGCCTCCTGGTCGTAGAACTCCCGCATCATCTTCACAAAGTTGAGCGGGTCGCCAGAGTCCTGTCGCACACCGGTAAACACGTCTGCGTACGTTCTCCGTGGTCTGTTTCCACCCTCGAGCCCAGCGTGGATCGGCGGCTGAGTGGTTGCCAGTGACTGTGTGCCCGGGTCGGTCGTGGCTGCAGCAGATGCTTTTGTGGCACTGCCGCCTTCGATGGCGGTTGTGATGTTGGGGATCTGCTTCTTGAAGGCCTTGAGGAAGGCGGGCGTTCCGAAGGTGTCTGTGAGAGCGACTCCCAGGACGCCCTCACCGAATGTGGCCGTCCAGTACTCGAGCGCGATCTCGTTGGCGTGCTCGTAGTCGTTCGTGATGGCTGCGACGCCCATGAACCACTCGTGCGCGACTGTGCCTACGGGCAGCAGTTCGTGCTTGTGTGCGAAGTGCACATTGCTTGTGCCTGAGAGCTTGCCCTGCCATCCTGCTGTCTTTCCTTCATCTGCAGCCCTGCGCAGCCCCTGAAGGACGAGATCTTGTGTGTGGTAGTCTCTTCGCCGCCTTGTACCGAACTCGGAGAACAGGCAGCCCTCTTGCAAGAGCTTTGCACCCTTCTGGTATGCCTTCTCGACCTGTCCTTCGTAGGACCAGTCCGTTTCGACGAACTTGAAGTACGCCTCGCTCACCAGGGCGAGCAGCGGGATCTCGTACAAGATTGTGTCCAACCACAACCCTTCGGTGTCGATGCGGAAGTCGCCGAGGTCCTCGTCTGAGCCGGTGTCGTGAATCGCGGTGAACGAGAGCTTGAGCTGTGTCGAGGGCTTGAGGTGGAATGTGGAGAGAAAGAGGAGGTACTGGCTGTTCAGGTAGGGGCAGTTCTTCTTGAGAAAGTGGAGCTCCTCTGGGGATACACGGATATTTCCGAGCTCTTCGCTGTGTCAGCAAACAAGCACGGGAGACGGAGGACGATCGTACTGTCTACCTGCGCCTGCAGCCACTGGAAGGCTGCGCGACTAAGCTTCTTGTCCGGCGTCCGGTTTGTGAAACTGTAGGTGACTGACACGTCTGGGAAGAACTTGAGGACGCAACATTGCATAGTCAGTTTGTAGAGATCCGTGTCCAACAGGGACGTGATGCCCCCGGGCAGGTTTGCGGCAGCCGCGGCCATGGTGTTGCGCGAGGAAGGTACGCGCCAGAAGCTGCGGTTGATTCACGGTATTGTATGCGGCGCGACTGCGCTTGCGGATGGAGGGGTGGTGGGGCTGTTGGAAGGTCCCCAGTGGGGCGTATCAGATGCGTAACCGCGGGCGAGCGACGAAAGGTGCCAACGAGTCGCTTGCCGAGGGAAAGAAGGGTTGGTGCAAGGTTTGGTGCAAGCTTTGGTGCATGGCGTGGTGCATTTGTCGCAGCGAACATGCCAAAACTGATCGCTCGCTTTCGTCGATATGTCGCAGTGACGGCACGCGGCGGGTGAGGCCATGGAGGGCTAGCGCCGCTCAGCCTTGCGACTATGCGGCGACATGGACCTGCGCCGTCTTTTGGGGGCGCCGTCATCCCGAGCTCGACTTTGCACTCAGGGTCCACCGCCAACGCTCGTCCTGAGGACCCGTCCGCACGCCCGGGAGATGCTCGTTGCGGTTTCTCTCCTGGCCGTATCGCTGTCCATACTCGTCTACCACCACCCACCGTCGACATGGCCCGCCTACTTTGCCCGCGCGGGCTCTGCGTCGCCTACGGTGCCTACGGTGCCGACGATGCCGACGATGCCCAGACGGTTGCAGGAGGATGAAGATGGAGACCGCCCCGCCAAACAGCAGCGAGCAGAGTCGCCAGGCCAGGCAGAAAGCGACGCACCACCCGAAGAGGCCTCGCCTGCAACAACGCCCAGGGCCACCGCCAGCAATGCGAGCGCCCCGGCCATACCGTCGTTCACGCTCGAGGAGCACCACAGCTCAGGCGACAGCGAAGACGAAGACGACCTGCCACCGCCCTCGTTCCCTGCCCTGAACTCGGCGCAACGAGCCTCTAACCCAGCACCGAGCCCACCGGCCGTCACCATGTCGCCGCCACCCCGGCCGAATGCTATGGCTCCTCCCCTAACCAACGGCAGCTTGGCCCCGCCATCGAAACCACCCTCGTCACCCTCCCTCATGGCCCCGCCGCCACGAGTCTCCCCTTCCAGTCTACGTCCCCTGCCCACCGCACCCGCGTCTCAAGGCCTCAACGCGCCCGCCACCGCTCTCGCCCCGCCTCGCGGTCCCGCCGCACCAGGCCTCGTCCCAAACCGCGGCCCCATCCCGAACAGAGGCCCACCCACCTCAACCGGCTCTCTTGCTCCACCACCCTCAGCCACGCCCAACGCCATCAAGACGCCCAACGCACGAAACAAAGTGCTGCTCACACCCGGCCACTCGCCCCTCGACTGGGCAAATCTACAGCGGAGCCGCAGCAACCTGTCGGGTGTCAGCTCGCTTGTGCGCGTCACGCCTTCGATGCTGAAATTCATGAATGGCCGCAAGGACAAGGAAACAGGGAAGATGAAGGATGCGTGGAGTGCTTATCAGGGCAAGGTGTACAACATCAGTCCCTACCTGCCCTACCACCCCGGCGGCGAAGGCGAACTTAGAAGAGCAGCTGGCAAAGACGGCACGAAGCTGTTCATGGAAGTACATCCGTGGGTCAACTGGGAGAACATGTTGGGTGAGTGTATGGTTGGCATCCTCGTGACTGAGGAACAGGCACCCGCCAAAAGCAACCTGGAGGACATGGACTAGGAGGATTGGAAAGGATCGGAAAGGATCGGAAAGGATCGCATATACTCTACCGAGGTGCATTAGATGGCGTTCACAATCCCATTTGAACATGAGCAACGCGCTTCTTCACTGTAGCTGATGTGTGCGAGCTAAAAGGAGCTGCCACCGATGGTCTGGCGAAGTCAAAGCAGGAAAAAAGTAGAGCAGGGAAATGAAGCGACAGAGCAAGCACGCCTGACCCGCGTTTTCCGTTCAGTGCGCGGAGTGTATGGAACAGCCACAGGAAGTATGAAATTGCACGGAGGCAACCACGAAGGCAACTACAAAGGTAACCACAAAGGCAACCACAAAGGCAACCACAAAGGAAGAACCCACAGGAGAGGATTGGTGGACGAAATAACTGTGAAGCCGAGAGATTTCCCTTGTTCACAGCGCAGCGGATAACTGAGTCTTGATAGAGAGTCCCCACTTCACACGCCATCTGCTCAGCCCGTATCCCAAGGCTCGTTGCGGCAATTCCTGCGAGCTGGCTGTCGAGGCAGCTACGTGTCCGATCCTCTGCAGCAGCTGGGCCCAGGTTGGAACCTGATGCGACTCTTGCGCGTGCAGATCCGCAGATAGTCGCCAAAGGCACAACCATAAACATTTCATTCGTGTCCGTACCGAAGTCGCAGTCTGGGTACCGCCCGGAGCTTTGTGGCCCATTGCCGAGAGCATTGGCAATATCGTGGAGAGAGGAGAGCCATGTTTAATCCGATATACGCGGGCTAAGATTCACTGTACGCTTGGCTCTCGATACTGCACAGGTTAGCTATTATCTACCTTGCGCTTACGGTTGCACGCGGACATCGGCGTCTATAATGTCCGTGATACAGGCTGCAGGCGAGTCGGACGGAGTGATGGCACTCAGCTTGGTCAGCTTGGTGTGCTATCAAATGTCGTGGCAGGTAAAGATGTCGTGGAAGGTTATGGTCAACCCGCCATGCGAAGCCTATTTCGATGCAGGCGTTCCGAATGAGGTTATGGACTTGGACGATCTGCTGTGTGGATAATGCTGTACCACCTGCCAGGACGCCCGTGTTGCTTATTCGAACGTGCATGCGAGCAGATCAAGGTTCAGCGGCCTCGGGCCATCATATTCTGGTACAACAAGCGAGGTCCCTCTGCAAGTGGCCCTTGTTCTCACACTTGGGGCTTAGATTACTGCGATCTTTACCAGCACCGGTAGGAAGCATCAGACTCGGCTAGCTGTAGCCGGACGTTGCTCGCCTGATTTTGCTTAATCCGAGCAGCGTTCGAGCGGAGGTCACTTCCGCCGGACGTGACTCCTGTGAACGCTTGCACGAGGAGTGTCAATGGCGTTCTTAGCTGCTGTGGAGTCGCAGCCTGGGGAGCGGTCCGTTGGTGTGTATTGGTTGGGGCAGACCGCTGATTCAACTTGGGGGTTGAGTTTCCGCGGACAGCTGGTATCACTTTAGCCGGAGATGATATCGTGTGGAGTACGCTGCAGCTCGGGGCAGTGCTCAAGCACATTCCGAAGACAGCGCATTCGTAAGGCTGAGGAGCATCGGCGTGGGGCACAAGCGAAGGGCGAGAAGACTAGGAGCGTTAGTGAGGACGGACGGGGCGATCAGCTAGTTGCGCAAGGCGGGGAACAACAATCCGAACAGATTTGGCATATCGTTCTTCTTCAGTAAAGCCTGGTCATGACACTGCTTTAAGTCCAGTTGATGTTGTGAGTTGAAAAACGGCTGTTGTGTTGCTTCCCTGGGCATGCCGTCTTGCAGTCGTGCTGGGATGTGACGTAGGAAGGGTCTGTAGTACCTAGGTACGTAGAAAGCCACAAAGTCCGTACCAGCCAGCCACAACAACGACGTGCCGATCACATGCGAGCGACAGAACGAATTTGAAAGCGTGCGTCCCGAAAGGATGAGTTGGGAGTTCGAAGGACCGCCTGTTTTGGAAGTAACGAACCGTTTCAAGGCTACTCCCAAATAGAGCAAGCTTGATGTTGGAAGCCGCTCATCCGCGACCCGGAAATAGAACGGTTTCAACATCTCGCGCGACTACCTCACCATCAATATCGTTTTCATGACCGGAGCATCTTCAAAACAACGACTACGACCCACAAGCGACTGGCAAACCACTCAGGTGTATCCAGCGTACTCGTGAAACAGGTCGTTCGCCACGCCACAAGTACCCCTATTATGACTCCTGACGGAAAGGTACACCAGCTGCAAGAGCTGGATGTGCTCACAGGAGCGGCCAACAAGTCTTGTCTGCCTTTAGGTATATCTAAGGGTGATCACAATGCAGTTGTGCATGTTCCTCAAGAAGGCTTACGCTGCAGCGCCGCGTAGGCTCTCGGTGAGCGCTGCGCTGTATCGACGATGTTGCACAGCAGATCAACCTTCAGACAATCGTTTTTCGATGCAACATCCTTGAACCATCCTCCGCCGTGAAAATCTGCCGATGTCCGATCTAGCTACGTGCAAATATCAGGTCCGTAGGCCAAGAACATCGTGCGTTGCTGACATCGCACCGCGCTGATCAGTGAACGATGAACAGCCACTCACTAGCAGTGTTGGTAAACAAGCGAGCGAGACGATCTATCGAGCTGCAACGCTATGATATGTCAGAAGTGTGGTCCACTTAGTCGGCACTGACACGCAAGATATGCACCGTGCGCGGATATTGATACTCGAAACCACTTGCTATGCCAGGGGGTATTGGCACGGCTTACCACAGACCAGGCAGTGGTCGTCCCACTCTGGCATCCGGATATCTATATGTAGCACACGACACTCCGACGTGCTGTCAATAAAGAAGCTGGAGACCTTTCGTGCTTCCGTGTTCAGGTTCTGGTAACTGTCACATCTGAGGTCGAAGCACACATCCCGCCAACATGGCACTCCTCACCTTGATCCTAGTAGCTACATGTCTGAGTGCATATGCACTGTACAAGTACTTGGAATCATGTCGTCTTCATAAGGTTCCTACAGGACTGAAGCCACTTCCTGGTCCAAAAGGTACGCACTTAGAGACTTCCACTCCGCGGCTTTGATGAAGCAACACCTACTCACTGACATCGCTAGGCTACCCCATCATAGGTTCCATACCCGATGTACCAGAGAAGAATGGCTTCATCAAGTTCTCCGACTGGGGCAAGGAGTACGGCCCTATCTACCAGACCAACTTAGCTGGATCCAATCACGTCTGGATATCTTCTGAGAAGATTGCGCATGATCTCCTGTCAAAGAAAGCAGCCATCTACTCTGACCGACCACACATCCCCGCTTTGATTGACGACAACCGTACAAGTGCACAGTATCTGCCATTGCTCAGCAGAAATGGTATGCAACACTTTCCAGACATACATCCATCGCTGACATTGAACAGAGGGCCACACTCGCCAGAGGAAATTCACAAACGTGATCATGCGCGAGTCCGAAAAGGCAATCTTCCACCGGTACCCAGAGTTAGAGGCAAAGCGCATGCTTGTTGAGCTACTCGAGGAGCCCGATCAGTACAATCATGCTCTCGAATCCTTCATCGCCCGCGTTACGTCTCGCCTAGCGTGGGGCCATGCCGAAGCCAGTGACGAGCTCAAACAACGAGCACGCGAACTCCTAATTGGTGTGTCACCTACCGGGGCACTGCCCAACAAGCTACCCTTTTTGATGGCACTGCCCGATTGGCTATCACCAGCCAAGGCATGGGAGAGGCGACGGGCTAAGACAGAGCGAACATTCTTCCAGACTATGCAGTCACAGGTTGAGAGAGACATACAGGAGAAGACAGCACCAGCTTCTTGGATGAAGACCTTCCTTACCCAGGGAGCCAGCAAGTTCGGCTTCAAGTCTGACCTCGAGGGTGCGTATGCAGTTGGCATGCACGGCATTGCTGGTGCATTGACAATCGCCGCGCCAATGCAGTCCTTCTGCTTAGCTATGTCTCATTACCCACAATACCTGTCAATGCTTCAAGAAGAGATCGACCGCGTCTGCGGTGACAGACTTCCCATCTCAGAAGACCGTCCAAATATGCCGATGCTCCGCGCTGTCATCCGCGAGTTGATCCGCTGGCGCCCACCGGTGCCGACTGGCATCCCTCACTACCTAACACAAGACGACGAATACAACGGCTTCCATATTCCCAAGGGCAGCACTATTCACCCTCTTGAGTGGTAAGCTAGAGTCGGGTGTACCTATCAATCATCTCGGCTGACATATGCAGGGCAATATCTCGTGATCCGGAAATCTATCCCGACCCTGAAACATTCAACCCTCTGCGATGGCTGAAGCCCGAATACCCAACATACAAAGAACCTTTGACTCAATTCCCTACTATCATTAATTCATCCCAGTTCGGCTACGGACGACGACTGTGTCAAGGACAGACAGTGGCTGACGAAGATCTCTTCATCGGCATCGGATCCGTCGCCTGGCTCTTCAACATCTCCAAGCGCTCGTCAGACAAGCCACCCGTCCCAAAGAAGCCCCAGCACCTTGTTGGAATCAACAAGAAACGCACTATCTCCAATGAAGAGCTCAACGCCGGCCTCATATCCTCAGAGTTGATATCAGAAAAACGCAGCCTCGAGCTCACAAAACCCACACGACCCTTCCCACCAGGCTACAAACCCATCGAATGGGGCCACCCGTCCCAAAAACCCAAAGACCCGACACTCGACTACTCTATCCTGCTCATCGCAAAGCCTATTCCTTTCCAATTCGACCTGAAGCCACGAGACGAGGCGCGCTCGAACAAGGTTAGGGAACTCTTTGCCGAGGGCCTCGAAAAGGGTCACTACACCAAGCCTCGCGAATACTGGGGCCCGAATCAGGGGAGAGGCGAATCTTTGGGTTGGAGCAAGGTGTGAAACGCCAGATACGGCTGGTCCGCGGACCCTGCGACGGGTGCGGGAGGTGTTGTGCAGGTGAGAAGTGCCGGCGGGGAGCCGGTGTTTGAAACGTGGGGTTGGCCGGCGAAGACCACATTGCGAACTTCAAGCTATGTCGCGGCTCAAAACAACTTCTCCTAGTCTCTTGATGTTTTCTCGTATCGTTTTTCGTGCATTGCCCGGCGTTCTTGGGTTTTGACAAAGCCTTGATGGCTCATACACTTTTTAGCTCTTACCTGGTTCCCGATGGAGCACAGTCTCTTCCGCTTTCCTTTGCACGATATATCTTGTGTAGATGTCACAACAGTTTCTATCTCCACCAGTAGCATTTTCAGAAACCCTGCATGCAGTCATGGTTCACAACATGTGTCTCATGTCCCTGCGCCATAGCCGCATGTGCTTACCGTCTTGGAGCCGTGAACAAAGCTTCGTCATTTTCAGCTGACAGGCACATGAAAGTCGGCTGTCGGTGTGTTCGTATCGCCGCTTGCTCTGTGTAGCGCTGATCACTGTGTTGTTTGCTTTGGAGCGCTCGTAGCGTCTTGCCTAGATCGGTACGCGCCAATGTTCGTGCGGGGACAGCATTCCCACCTCTTTTCCAAACATCAGGCAAGCGAGCTAAAAGTTCAGCTGTACCGTGTAACAACCTAGACTCGTATACAAGCCTCGTACTCTGCTAGATCCAATGGCGATTGCAGGTCGAGGTGTCTTGGTCTTGAGTCCGAATTCCGAACTACGTAAGTGGAGCTCAAACTGAGCGCGGTGGGTCTTATCTCAAGACTGGTAGGGTCGACTCTGGTGACAGCCCCGTCATTGGGTAAGTCATTGTGAGATACACAAGTTTTCCGTTAGCGGTGGGGGGTGTTGAGGGTTAGGTGATGATGTTGTAGAGTTCGCGAAAACACGCTCCGAAATGCTTGATCCAGCTGCCGGGTGGACACGTCCCTACGGCCTTCGCACTCACACAGCATGAAACCTCAACAGAAGAAGAAGAGTACGGAGGTCAACGTGGAAGACTGTAATGCAACATGAAGGTGTAGTCGATGAAAAGACATGTTGCGCTGAGGCTGCGGAAGCCATGCCGCTTTCGGATTGGACGATTCTTGACCCTCCAGATCACCCTTCCCTTCCCACATTTCTACACACCAAACTGCTGCAGAATCAACTTTCGTCTCCGCGGCCCTTGCGACAACTATGTGGCATCTAGCAAATGTTCACTCCCCGTATCTTATTCTTGCAGCGTCTTGGGCTTTACCCGAATTGATCCCGTGACGTCTCTGGATGTTTTTCTTTCCTTCACGCGCTGTCTGGGACGTGGGCTTGCTCGATCCACCGTTTCTACCTCCACCCTGCTTCGAATGCTGAGGCCTGACATTATACTCTCCCATTAGGATCATCTCTCGTAAACTTCCAACCAGCCGTCCATGGAAGCTTCGTAGTTTCCGCGCTAAGTCTTGTTGTGTGCACTCCCTAAGGATGACCCTACAGCGGTACGGTCTGACAGACTTGTTGTTCACCACCCATCCCCGAGACGAGACTTGTAAGCATAGCAAGCCACCGATCTGGCGCCGCTGCAATCCTCACAGGACGTCAAAGCAGAGGCAAACCACACGTACCAGGTACTATGGTCTAATCACACGAAAGGAGAGTTCTTCAGATTCCGGCACAGTCATTTCACAGTATATACCAGGTTCATGCGGTAAAGTTTGCAGCGCTTCATGGCCTGGACTCTAAGGAAACAACACTCAGACACACTACCGCGCACAGTCCAACTGCCACCTTATCCATCTAACCCTTCCAGACAGCCGGACCTGGGGGCTGGTAGTTCTGAGGAATGGGGTAGTAGATGTTCACCAAAATGCCCGCGTCACTAGCCTTGTAGGCGCCCGGGAAGCTAACAAGCGGAGAAGGGCTGCCCGAGCCACCATTCTGGACCTTGATCTGCGCACAAGAAAGGTAGAACTATATTCTCAATCAGTCACACGTCGCTTGAATCCAGATGCAAGGGAAGTCTTACCTGGGCACCACCGGAACTACCAGCACTGTGCAGAGCAATGTGTTCGGCGCGAAGCAAGTACTCGCCTGAGGGTAGAGACTTCGGCAGGGTTACTGGGACTTGTGTCTTTCCCGAGCTGGCCCATGAGATCGAGCTCGAAGTTGTGATCGCTTCTTCCTGGTAGATCTTGAACCACACGTTGCCGCTGCCATCCCAGGTCTCAGCTGTCTGACCAGAGGGTACCTTGGCCATGTAAAACTGCATGGGTCCCGGGTGCGATACACTGGCTGCGGCAGTGAAGGCGACGGTGTCGCCGGCATTGACGGTGTAGGTCTTGGCGGAGGTGCCAGGCGCGAGTTGGTAACAGCGGATGGCGGTGGAGGATACGTCGGTCACGGGGCCTGAGTATTTGTTAGCACGATCGAAAAGGGTTTGTCTGGCATCAAAGGTGTGTACCATTGGACTGGTAGTTTGCAGTCTGCCTGACATACTGCCAATTGCCGGTTCCCTTACCGCCAATGACGAGTTCGGGGAAGGTGTAATGTGCGGCAGAGCTGCTTGCGAGCGCAAGGAGGGAGAGAATGAAAGACTTCATGATTGAAGGTGAGGCAGTGATGTTCCTTGCAGCTTGAGCAACTTTGAGGTCATTTGCGACGATACTTATATACAATACAGTTCCTTCGTCATTTCCATTTGCTTCAGGGCATGCAAAGTACCATGTCGGATACTATGGCTTTCGCGATGGTATTCCAAACTACCGGCGGATAAAGACATAGATGAAAGGATAAGGATCTGCCGAGCCTTGACGATGAAACATTCAATCAATCCGACAACATCACATCCCGTTTTAGATGAAAAGAGCAATTGGAAGAGATGCTGATTGGCTATCAAGCTCCCGGATTGAAACACATGACCTTGATAATGACTCAGAGGGTAATATTGTCAAGTACCGAACGATATGGGGTGATCGAGTCGAGGGGCCAACTGGGCGGTTACGTGTGATGTCGGTTGGTAGTGCATGCAGTTAATCACAAATTCGTGTCCTTTGTCGTCTGTTTTCGGCAGCAACGACACCAGATTAACGATTCAATGAAAAATACAACGGGGAGCAGCCTGGATTGCGCTGTCATCTCAGAATCTTTGACCTAATATGAAACTCTGTTAATGTGTATTATAATATACATTCTACGCCCACTCTTTCACATACGACCATAGGACGTTGAAAACAAGTTCTCCTGTCCGACTCGCCATCTGTCGTGGTGCCGTTTCGAGGATGCTGTGGTACGCCTTCCTGTTTTCGGTATCTACGTGGCTTTACCAGCTAAGCCTACTATAGACCTTTTTGCTCTGTATTCGCAAGAACACCAAAACAGATGACAAGATTCAGCCCTGGGAGCTGTTGCCAAAATGCTGACCGCCGACTATCTGTCGCCTGCGCCTCTCATATCTGCTAACGCTGCCACTCGCAACACCTGGTTGCCTCTTGAGAAGGTTCATGCCCAAGAACACACAGAACAGCATGGACAAAACAGCCAAACTCATCGACCTTGAGAATCTGAAGAGGCGGGCTCAGCAAAAGGTTGCTCTGAAACCCCTGACCTCTGAAGATATCAAGGGGTTGTTGATCAGGTCCAGCTTCGACGCCTATGAATTCACCATGGAACAATGAATGAGGTAGGTACTTCTCAGCTCTCGCAGAATGAATGCACTGACAATTTAGATTTTCTGAGCACGTGCTACAGAAGCCGATGCTTGAAAAGCAATTCACAGAGGCCCCTACGATCTATCAGATCAAGCTCTTCCTTGAATACTTTGCGCGCGCCAGAGATGGCCTCCTGGAAGATCAAATCACCGATACTACATTGATCAATCGCTTCAACAATCTGAAGCGTGCTATCAAGCTGCACACAAATCATCAGTACAACTGTACGCAGAACAAGGAAATTGTCTAGTTTGTGCAAAAAGAGCTTGTCCCAGGAGGGCTTGTGTCGACGTGCGCTCGACCAAAGCCGAACGCGCCCATTCCTGTGGCTTCAGATATTGTAAGATTTCTTTTCGCGAGCGACGAGTACAAGGAGTTCCATCCCCGTATACGTGTCCAGATGGCATTTACAATTCAGCTCATGTCATGTGTTGGAGTCTGACCGGGGGAGTCGTTGAATCAGATGCCTGGTATAAGAGCATTGAAGGCTTGCTCTACAAGGATGTAGATCTCCTCTACTTCAGCGAACCGGAGCCTGGATGGCGTCTCCACGTCAAGCTGAGAAACCGCAAGGAGCATCGTGAGTACAAGAAGCACGCATATGTGGTTGTTGTGTTCCTTTTGACTGCAACTGACGCTGGGTAAACAGATAGCTATCCTCCCAGAGATGCCGTCAAAAAGATACATGTGTCCAGTGACCTGGTTCTTAGCACTCGCGTTCGCAGACGGCGTGTTCCAGGACATAGGATCATATCTTGATCTTAGGAGCATTCGGCCAATTGAGGGCAGCCCCCAAATACACAGCTCGGTACAGAGCCTATGCCCTTGAACGTCTTGTAATGAGAGGGATGCGCGCGAATCGATCAATGTCTCAGGACAGGATTTGGACGTACGACTGTTTCAATACCGCTTTGAAAGGTGCTGGTCGAAGAGCTGGCTATCAGGACAACCTCAGCGCATATTGCTTCAGACGCACCTTTGCGCAAGCTGTGAAGGGGAACTCCCATCCTCTATGACGCAAAACTGTGCTAACCTGTGCGTAGAGGTAGCAAAGTCGTCGAGTCAGCTCAGCATTGCGATGGTTCACAGCGATAAAGATACAGTGCAACACTACGTTTCTGGTTATACAGGTCTTGACGGCCAGGCAATTGCTTACGGACTCGAGCAACGCCCTCATCTGTACAGAGATGCCAGCTCCATGATGACAAATCGGAAATTGTTCGCTCCCAGGCCACCCGCTCAGCTCTGACCGAAGTTTCAAGCAAGACGGCGGATACACCAACGGCATTAAAGGAAATCGTTCGAGTCGTTTCACTCATGGCATTATCCGCAGCCCAGAAGTACGAACTGCGCAGACAGTCACGGCAGAGATCCTACCAGAAACGTCGCCTGGACTACCTCGAAGGGAAAGGCACAGCAGTGAGAGAATCCACGCCAAACAGCCCCAGTCAACCCCGTGAGCCCTCTCGTTACCTTACGGCGCTCATCAAGTTCGAGCCACATCGTAGGGCCGCTATTGAACTCATGTTTCGAGCCGACAAACTTACAGCGAGGCTCGATTTCGCAGAGATGCTTGAGCCGCTTATTGGCATGGCTTCCACGGAAAGGCAGCGGTACGTGTACAAAACCGCAGAGCCTAACGAGCAGAACTGTTGTCAAGTCGGTGGCAAACATGTTACCAAGTACGCCAACCCAGAATCTCTGCCGCGCTTTCTACTCACTCCCTCTAGGCTTCGGCCTACGTTTGCCCGTAATAGTTTAAATCCGCTTGGCATCTGCATGAACAGCGGCACAGCAGAATAAGTATGCTCGTCTGCCTACTCTTGTCAACCAACTCGATTACTACCATCCAAATTTCATCCGCCACCATGGAGCCAATTTACTCGCGCGATGAGTGCATCGCCGCGATTCGCGACTTCTATGACTTCTTGGGAAGATGTTCTTGGATGTGCCCTCGTCCATCATCTACCCACCTCCCGGCGGTTGGCCCAACATGATTCCCGAAGTCATGGATTGTCTGGGCAAAAACGCAGAAGTCATAAGTTTGCTGCGTCATCTGCCATTCCCTGATGACCAACCTTACACAGCGCGGCCACACTGTTTGCCTGGCTGCCGGTTCCAGGCCTGGAAGACTTCGGTGGACAAGCTGAAGGAGGAGGAGGCAGATAGAGAAGATTTGCTACTTGCAACGGAGAGTAAAGAATACCAGTTTGGCGGCAAGATTCCTAAATATTGCGTGGATCTTACACACGCTCTCAATATCAGCGAATACGTAATGCTGTTGGACATCAGAACCGGGCTGGTATATTGGATGGGCTGCCCAGAGGAAATTTTGGAGGCGTGTGATCCTCAGCCATCACGTCTGGTGTATCCTTTGGAGGGCGAAGCAGAGGCGGACAAAGACAGAAGCGTCGTTGTTGCAGAGGGGGAAGAGGATGATACCGAAACTTCAGACGACAACAGGGAACACGAAACGCCTCCGACATCCGACGACGAGAACGACGACGAAGACGATGAGCCCGATGATTCCGAGGACGATGGTGAGTCGGAAGACGTGGAATGGGGACCCTGCTGGCCGGTCCGCCACTTCTTCGCCATGTTGAAGAACCACTTCATCAAGCTGAACTTCATTCCCTATAGTAGTCAGCGCGTCATTCAAATCTGGACCGAGCGATACACTGACCATGAAAAAATCCCTGAAGGTGTTCCGGAGTTTCTACAGTCCATTTATCACAAACATGGGTGGCCTAATCTGGAGGTCTATCAAAAAGAAGCGTGTTTGGCAGAGCTCAAGGACGCGACGGGAACTGAAGGTACCAAATACTACAACCTTGATCAGTACTACCAGAACCGTGAGCACTAAATGAAGAGTTGGGAATTGGAGGGACCGAATAATGCAGTATTGGTCAATATTATCCAAATCGTTAAGCAGACTTGAGCGATCAGATAGCCTAACAGCAACATATCGGCAGTAGAAGAAGTGCCAACGGAGCTGTTACATCGCTGAAATTTATTCATTTAATTCGCCATTCCTGCATCTACATTGCCTGACATGCGCTGTGATTGAACCTTTGCGAAGCATCTTCAGTTCAAACTTCATTGTATGGTCTGAGATCCTGAGGCCGAAGGCATTCCTCGTGCGGGATGTTGTGGTAAGGTTGTCATTTGTTACTGCGTGAGCAGTCGGTCGGAGGCTGTGGTCAATGATTGTATTGCTATCTGTTGTTGTTCGGTGATGTTTCTTGTACAGGAGCTCTCCGCTCAGAGGTAAGTGCACTTGCCCACTGGGCAGTGCCTTCTACAATAGGATATCATGTGACTTCAGCCACGTAGTTACATCATTAGTCAGAGTCTTCCAAACCATCACGTTCGCGGAAGGTGCTCAAGTGAGCAAATTGCCTCGGCCGCCAAAAACCCCGGTGGGGCCGCATCCCTACCACGAATCAATCTTTTCGACAATCAACTTCATCTCCACTTTGCGCACGAACTAAGACATGGAGGGTACGGGCGGATCAGTAGTTAGATAGGTGACCACTAGCGAATACCCGCTGTTGTATGTTTTTGCCAATCTCCACACGTCGTTGGTATCAACAACCTGCCGAGGCACACATCGAAAAGGAAACCGTCAAATAAAACATCTTTTTTGCGCGTACAGATCCTCCATCGCAACGACAATTATCGGATCTGTTCCTCGATACAGTCCATCGCTCTCGTGTGTAGTCGACCTTTCCACCAGACTACCCTTTGCTGGCCAAAAGCCTCGGAGCGTGTCTAAGCAAACTTTAAGTTGATAGATAGGTAGGTCGTGGTACATCTGGTAGTATTAAGATTAAACTATCGCGCCTCATATGCAACTCCATCTCAATGCATGTTGTACAACATTTACATCATCGCAGCTTCCAGTCGTTTACGCGACCAGACCTTCTTGGGATGCCTTACCGCCCTCACCAGTACCGGGCTTTCCGCCCACTCTGTGACGCGCACCAGCATCGACCGGCCAGTCATACGCAGGACCTTCGTCTTGAATCTTGTTCTCTTCTCTCCACTGCTTCCTGTCTGTAGTACCAACACCAGGGCCCCTGTAGACGCTGCCATACCAGCCACTTGCCCAGTCCTTTCCAGGACCGTCCTTGGTCTGTTTAGTCGCGTGCCTCTTATACCACTTGCCGTAAGTGAGCAGGTAATAAAGTCGGAAACTCAGGAGAGCAAATTTGTCGCGCTCAAGATCCTCAGGGTACTTAGCTCCAAGGTCGACAGCAGCAGCGATACCAGACATGACAGCGACTTCGTGGGCGTTGATGAGCGTCCAAGCAGCGGCGAAACGGGTATTCTTGCGGCCCTGGAGCAGCCACACCCAAGGAACGACGAAGAGGTAATGAGTCCATGAGTGGCATAGCTGGTGCCACCAATCTTGTCGGATGATCTTGTCCTTGTTGATTTCTTCGCTGCTCCAAAGGTGGCCGTCGCGGTGCTTGTTCAGGTAGATAGTCTGGAATACATGCCTGTCGAATGGCATGTCTGGTGGAAACTGGCTCTGATAATTTGTGCAGTCGAAGCACATCTCCAGTTTCGAGCGGTCCTCGGGGTACATCTTGATGTAGTACATGGGCTTGAACGAATCCTTTGCGTACTTGAGTCTTTGGGATTGATCGACGCCAGAAAGGCTGGAGACGGCCTTGTTCTCGTCGTAGAAATTCTCGTAATGCTTCTTCATGTAGTCGCTATCCCAGTGGGTGATGGTAATATCATCAGAGAATTTGGCGGATCCAAGAACCTTCTTCTCGCGGAGAGAGGCACACGGCGCGAGGATGCGCTTAGCAGTGTCGGCGCTGTCACATGTTAGCATTGGCTTTGTGAAGTCGAAGGTTGCACATACAGAACGCAAAGAACGATCTCATCGTAGTGCTCGGTCTCTTCCTTGATGTTTTGATCGGCATTGACAGGGTCGTTGGGCACCCAAGAGCTGTTGGGGTTGTGACCGTCCGGAACTGGCGTACGCTTGATAGTCTTCACAATCACACCATCCTTGTCTCGCTTGACCACTCTTGTGACCTCAGTCGAAAGTCTGACATTCACGCCCTTCGAAATCAGATCATCTTTCCACTTTCCATAGAATTCGGTAAACTTTGGGAAGACAACCATAGGCGGCAGATTACTTGCAATGCTATGCTCGTCCGGTGGGTACCACAAGCCGTATGTCGGACTTGTGCAGAGGCGCTCCAGAACAATGAACGGGACATTCGGTGTTTCGTTTCCAGTTCCAAGGAACAGGGCAATCATAGGCATAGCGACGGTGTTGGTGAACTCCTCAGAAAACATCCAGAGCTTAAACATGTACTTGATGGGTATCAGGGCGAAAATGACTTCAAACCAACGAGAGAATGTCATCATGCGCTTGAATCGCTTGATCTCTCCTTGGTGTCGGGCGAGCAACTCAGTAGGGAAGACGTTGGTCCAGAAAATGTCATCTTTCCCAAAGGAAACGTGCAGGTTGACGGGATCGGCGCGGTGGCCTTGTCGTGCGAACATGGTCATGGTGTGGTGAAAGATGTAACTTCCACCCTGAACACCTTGGTTTAACCAGCTGGCTCCATGGCGTTCTTTGTCAAGTGGGATCGAGAAGGCCTGTCCTCCACAGTAGTCAACTGCATCGATAAGGGTTACATCGAATTTATCTGGGTGTTCAGCGAGGTGATGAGCACATGACATGCCTGACAGCTGTATTAGACTCTGCATTTGGTTACAATTCGTGTTCCAGACGTACCAGCAGCACCAGCGCCCACAACTAGCACTCTCTTCTTTTCTCCAGGTCTAGCCGCCATGTTTACGACTGGCAGGATTGGGTCTGTTTCGCGTGGTTGTGACATTGGGATCCATCACTTATGAGAATAATGTGTGGATCGCACATGCCCTGTATTTGTTCTTGCAGCAACGACGAAAGAGTTGTCAAATGCCTGCGTCATGAGCGTCTCGATATGGCAAGTGGATCTCGATCTCAGATCTGAGAGGATCACCTCCACGATCGCGCTAAACCTAACAAGTGGGAAGTGCGGCTTCAACACCACGCGATACGCGTGATGTCATCACGAACACTTAAACGTCAAGGTATCATGGCGTCATGAAAATTTGTAGGGGATGTTTATTGCGATGTGTAAGTTGTTCGTTCGTGTTGATGCGCGTCACTAATTCAGAGTGTGTGCATCCCTCTCAATGTCCGAGCTGTCCAATCATCGACTTCGTTGGTGCTTGGCTGCGCACGACACAGCTCGGGGTACGTCGAAGGTTCTGCATGCAGCGGTAGCGTGTCTGGACCCTCTTGCAGGTTAAAGAATTCCAAGCCCAGGCTTGACGTTGCGTTCGCGAAATAGTCTTCCTGGATGTCTGATATCTCAACTAGAGTTTGTGATGTCTCATCACGTCCCAGGGCTGCTTGGTGTTCATCAAGTCTTGCTCCCCCTTGTCCGCCAAACGCCCCTCGAGTTGACCCGTGTTCTTTAGTCACACCGGTCATACTCGCGAATTGTATCGCGATTTTGGTGAGAATGTTGTATGTGGTGGCGAGCTTCATTCCGCGGATGTGATTTAGCATGACACGCACCATTTCCTTCCGCTCAACATCCTTTGCGGTGTCCAGTTGATTCCTCGGACGTGCAAGAAAGTCGGCACACACGATTAGGATCGAGTAGAAGACGAAGAACAGATCCAGCGAGGAGTAGCCGATCATACAAAGGTCAGCGCCCTCCATTATACATCGTATGCTTTGATGAGCTGACTCTACACAATCTTCGCTCAGAGCTAAGATTCTCGACAGCTCCTCGGAGTAAGGGATCGGTTTGTCCTCAAGGTAGGCGATGTTTCTCTCGACCTTCTGGACCAGAAAGTCTCGCGATACTATGCACCGCGTGTAGTAGTAGTATATGTGTAACAGAAGGATTCTCGCCTTCTGTTCCGGTGGTATCGTTGGTAAGTAATTCAACGACAAGTTCGGCGGGATTGTTTGCAGAAAGCTGTTGCATTCTCGCATCAGCGACTCTGCCATAGCCAATGACGGACTTCTTTCTTCAGCAGTGTTCGAGTCAAAGTATGCTCTCTGCCGGATCGTGTACGACATCCGTGCTACCTCGAAGGCATAAGTCATAAACTCGGCGGACATGCTCTTTTGCTCGAGTATGGGTGCATCCGGTATCTTCATCGACATCTCGTGGTCATCAATAACTGTCGGCCGTCCCAAGATGCTGCACAGTATCCGCTCGAAACCGTAGATCGACCACCACACCTGCCTCCGTGTGTTTCGCTCGATCGGATCGAACTCCATGTTTGTAGCATCTCGATGCATGCCCATCGTGATCGCCTGTTGATAATTTGTAAGTACAAGTCTACAATGTTGAAGCAAAGGACCTACCATCCGTGCAGCCAATCCAACCAGCAGCCATGAGCTGCTCTTCTGGCCGATATTGTGGTGATGGACGTTGAGAAGCACCAGTGCCTGGACGTTTACGATCGACGTTGTCATGAGAAGGTACCGAAAGTACGACTTGACGAAGCTGAGGTACTTTATCCGCAGCTTGTGTGACTGCTCTGGGTCATGCTCCTGTAGGTGCTGGCAGCCAAATGAAAAGACTAAACACAGACAGATAAGCCAGCCCATATCTTTACAGTCCTTCAGCGACTCCGATCTTCTCGAGTACGTCGCCTCTAAGCGGAACTGAAACATGCTTCTATGGAATAAGGGCAGGTAGACGTGGACATGGTCGAAATAGGCTGAAACGAGCGCATCTGCGAGGGACCGAGAAGGTAGCAGATCTCCGATGGTGTCTTGGTTGGGCTCGTTTGGATATTCCCACAAGCCGTTCGTCCCTTCCATCTGTGTTCTCGATCGTTTGCGTCCTCTGCAATCCTGGGCTGGTGAGCCTCTACCTTCAAGCCCGCCCATTGTGTATTCTTCATCTGAAAGGTTTGTGCTGGTACGCTGTAAGGATTGGTTTGACGCTCTGCTAGTTGCGTCAGAGCTAGATGCTCGAATGGTTGCAAAGTCTCCGCCAGCAGCCTTGCACCGCGCTACCAGCCCTCTGATGGTCATGGCAAGACGGAAGCTGCTAGAGGGTCCGAAATAATGCGGCACACCATGTCGCGTTGGAACTAGCTCCTCGTTGCTGCGTCTGGATTGCTGTGCTTCAGAAAAGGGGTTGTGTTGACTCTCTTTTGTCGTAGAGATGGGAGAGGTCGTGCCAGTAGACCGTGATGACACTGCTGTCGGTGGCGAGAATGTCTGCTGCGCTGTGTGCTGTTTTGGTAAGTGCTGTTGTGGCCCTTGTGATGGCCGTTGTTGAGCAGGGCTGCTGAAGATGTCGGCAGGTCTAAAGTCGTCGCTGGCTGGCATAGGAATGTTCCTCTCTGCTGCAAGCCTGAACAATATGTTGACATCTTGAACATTTTCTTGAGGAAAGAGACCCTTGATTAGAGATTCGAGTGCTCTGTACCGTAGACTCAGCGTCTCAACACTCCCGTAGACGCGTTGCTTCCGCGGAAGTTTCGACTCGCAGAACACGCCACTCATCTTGCAGTCCGCACATGGCTCGTCTGGGTTGTCGCGAATACATCGTGCTCGCCGGAGTTTGCATCGGTCGCAACTGACCAGCGCACGCTTTCGTGGTGCTGGATCTGCTCTGTCGCAGCTTCGTTCGGCCATATTGTTTGGCGACTCATGGGCGTTTGGGGAAGGGGATGAACAGTTCCGGATGTTGTCAGAGAGGACCTTACATTTCTGGTTCTGATCTTTGAAATTTAGGCTGCGGAACTGTGAATCCGAATTGTCTTGTGAGCTGCAGACTCCACAGCGTCATGGTGCTCAAGTACCTATCGGACTGCCCTCCGTGATTGCGGCCAGGGTAGATTTGGGCGCCGTGTGGATCAGTGCCATATCAGTCGCGGAAGCGGGAAGCGTCTGCGAGCAAGATGCTGTGCACGTGCTTGAATCCGAATGCGACGCCAATTATTCCACGGGGAATTGAGCATCGTGGGAATTGTGGCAGCTATCAAACCTCCGAAGGTTGTCGTATGGCTCGTATCAACACTAGATGAACCGTAGTTCGCACTAAACAAGCCTAAGGGCTTGTCCTACGATTCCAAATGGACGGGGTTTTTCGGGTCGTTACCGACCGACGGTAAACTAGTGGTCCCAACAATGCAATGCACCATGAGCTTAAGCTCTGGACAGCCTCTCATGAAGCGTGTCGTCTTCGAACCTCAGATCCTGACCTCTCACATCTTCATTGTAAGCCGCGGAGGGGCTGATCAACCCAGAAACGCCCTGGACAGGGAACGGCTAAGTGATCGAGATTGGATATCTGAGAAAGCTGAATAGGGCCCAGACGGGGCTTCAAAGCGGACTGTGGGTGCCACCATGATGGAAAGAGGCTACAAGGTTTACATCCACACAAGTATGTTTGCGGCTAGATGTGCGCATTTGCTTTTCGCTTTCCTCTGAGGTCTGTCAAAGCTATTTTCTTGCTCCGCATATGAGATTCACGGTTTGCGAGTAGGAGCTGGGCGGATGTTGGATCGCATTGTCTGCGCCAGAGCAACTTCCAGAGCCGCGCGGAGGCCAACGACGCACCCGCTTGGAGAGCCATCAGCAACTTCCAAAATGTCGACGTATTACGTCGTCTGAGCATGATTCAGCTTCCTTTAGGAATTCGTTGCAGTGATGCCCAACTACTCACTGCCGAAGGTCTATTGGCCGATTAGAGAGCCGATCATCATCTCAGCTGTTCTCGGGCTCCGACAGTCTGGTGCAATAACAAGCGTCGTACATCAGATTTAGAAATTGGATAGACGTTGAGCGACAGGGTCCAGTTTTAATTCGGCAGCATTCAGCCGAAGTATACCATTGTTAAGAGTGACGTGGGGTTCCAGACGGCTCGTCTCGGAACATTCCTCCATCTCCTTTTACCTCTTATCTTGTACGTCGAACCTCAACACCACATCACCACATATGGCACTCCACCATGGAAGTATGCATCATGTTGGAATTGCCGGGGAACTGTTCTTGTGATACTTGGCACTGCTACATTCGTACAAAATTCTACATGCTGATCTCACGATGAGCATACTCGAAGAAGACAAACTACGGAAAATAGCGAATACCACCAAGTCCAATGCCTATACACAACGCCTCAGTCCATATGTACGATGCCACCGGCTGAACTGTCGAAGTTGGAAGTAGCCGCACTGGTGATGCTACTGGAGAGCTACTGATGAAGGTGGTGAAGATCTGATGTATTAGGGAACTACTGAGGAGCGATTATCTACATGTGTGCGGAGGAGCGGGAACTAACGAGCTGACCAATCATAGGGCGGCAGCCTCGAACAGCTACTGGAGGTTACCATTCGCCGGGTAGAGGCTAGCTGCGCACGCGGTTGGGTGGACGAGGTAAGACAGCGTCCGTCGACGCAAGCACCGTTACGGAAGTTACCACAGCCTCCACAATGGTTATGTTCGGTCTTGGTGTTGAAGCAGCCACTATTGCAAATATATGGTAAGCCGAGCGGGCAATAGATGGACTCGGGATCCGGTGTTGCTAGTGAGGCCGGCGTAGAGAATGCGCTGCTAAGTTGTGACATTGTTATTAGAAAGGTGACTTGCGACGATCTGGCACGCGTGCTACCACCACAATCTACAGCAATGGGACGGAAGGCATCGGGAAACACAGAAGCGAGGTCTGTGGATGTCGAGAAAGCTTCCCCGGACATCCAGGCTGGCAAGGCGGTCGTTGGGCTAATAGTGAACGTCAAAGGGTCCAATGACCCGTTCAAGTTCGAGCGGGATATCGACGAAGATACTGCTGGCAAATCCATGGTTGCAACGATCGGCGGGCTCATGGTGGAAGCTTGCGATGCTGTGCTTAACTTCGATTCCGCAGTGGATATGATTGAGACCGAAGGGATCGATCTCTTAACTGCCAGGGCTGTGGAAACAGTAAGGACAGCTGTCGTAGTTGCTTCTACAATCACGTCAATTGAGGTGGAACTCTCCAGATCGTTGGGAGTGGAGATGAGGTTGTCGATTGCTTTAGTGCTGACAGAGTTATCAGCGAATGTGAATGAGGGAGCGTGGTCTGAAGCAGAACCGTTGACGGGAACAAATTCCAGTAAGGGTGTCGTAGACGAAGTGGACATATCTGCGATATCTGTAGACACAGACACTGAGGTTGAGGGCTGGCCACTTGAGGTGGACGTGAGTGCGACAGAGCCACTCAAGAGGTCTGGCGCAAACGGTACATCTACCAAAGGACTATCCGCACTTGATAACAACGAAATTGTCAGGCCTGAGCTGACATGTTGAGATGTGGTCGATTCGAAAGCATCTGTGGATCCCTGCGACCGACGTTCAAAGTCAGATGTAAAGAAAGCTGCGTCCAGGTGGGTTTCGCTAGACACTGTTCCATCAGAGATTGAAATGGTCAAAGTAAATACAGCTTGCGATGCAGTAGATTATTACAGATCGGGGATTAGCCCATCGAAAGGTAGTGCCGGTGACGAAGTAATGCTCGAGGCCCCTGTATTCGCTCGCAGTGTTATGGTTAATGAAAACGTTGAGGCACTTGCTGCAGTTGTGCTAAAAGCAGCAACAGCCGAGAGAGGGCCACCTAAAGGTAGCGTGTTTGTCGTAGGCGTCCCCATTGACTGGTAGTCTAGTGGCGTACTTGTAAGAACTGGCCTGCTGGAAGGTTGGATAATTTCTGACCCAGAACTTGTTTGTGAGGGAGCAGCCGGTGCTAGTGAATAGTCTAGCGACACAGCAAAAATTCTCGCGTCGAGACTGAAGCTTGACTGCTCGGAGGTGGCACTGATCCGAGGAGCCCCGGTGATATACCTAACGAAGAAGCTTCGCTTGGAGCCACCATCCAGATCGACGATTCCTCAATTGAGGTGGTCAAATATTCTGATGGTACTAAGGTCGTTTGCGACGACTGAGACAAAACCGGGACGAGAGCACCCTGTGAGGTGATAGTTGCCAACGCGCTAGCAGCAGAATTGATGCCAAGCGCTGCAGGTATGCCTGTCGTTTTTGCGGCAGATGCATCAATCTGCACTGTTATGGCAGATGGGACCTCAGAAGACGTTAGATCAGACAGTAATATCTCGAAAGACGGCAGCTTGAGTAATAGAGTAGCCGGAAATACCGATGGAAGAGGCGTTGGGCGAGCTGATGCTATATCTGAAACCACTTCAACTGAGAGCAAAGTATCTGACCGGGTCGTGCCAGAAGTGAGGTCGTTCGTGACTACTGCATCCTTAGGCAAACGGTTCAATATAGAAGCGTCTAAAGGTATCGTATCGGCGAATGACGCATCCACAATTTGTGTAGTTGACCAATCTATGAGTGATGGTGATGTTTCTAGCTGCGGAACCGTGGAGAATGGTTGATTCGAAGATGGTCTGTTTGAGGAAAGCGAGACAATGGGCAGGGCGTCTGGTGATTCAGTTCTGCTATTTGGGAACGAAGGAGTAGTAGAAGTCGAAAATAACGCCGACGAACATCCCGAAAGGACCTTGATTACCAAATCTTGCAAGCCTTCACATCTGCTAGGTACGAAGTCCTGCCCACTGGGGTAAGTTTCGCTGACGACGTAGTCGCAAAGCAAGCTCGCTCCGAAGACAGCGAGGAATTAGAGTCTGGGTTGTCACAGGGGTTCGCTGTCGTAGACAGATGCGATGCAATCTTTGACGATCTCAGGCTTGAAAGGGCTGGAACTTGAACCTTCGAAATAATTTTGACACACTGATGAGACGACATCAACTACCGAGTTGTTCGCAAAAGCTTCGCCATTTACGCCCTGGTTGCTTGCTTTCTGTGCAATATTGGCTCTAAATCCCTCGGCGAACGCCCTAACACTGTCCGAGGTCGCTCGTATACCAACATCGGGTCTTCGGCGAAATTTCCTCAGGGCGGTGATGAACGGCTGATGGTTGAGATCCAGAAAGTAGGAGGATGAAGGTGAAGAGAAAGGCGAGCAGCAGAGATGACTTCGAGATGGCACGTCGCGAGCCTGCGCCTGTGAACACCAGAGGCCTCTGTGTCGCACCTGCATGAAGGCGGCCTGTGGAAATCGATATTAGCTCGGCATAAGCGCTCGATGTTGGCAGACTCTTAACGTCTGGGCAATCGTTTGCTTGACCCTCGTCATCCACCCATGTGCCCTGTTTGGTACCGTCGCTCGTCAAGGAGAAGCTGGCGCAACTTCCCGCCAAGACAAGCTGGTCTTGCGGGATTCATGTATCCGGCTCGTTTTCCATCACCGGGCTCCAGGGACCTGGTTCGTTTTGACTGAACGTGAAGTTGGACTGGTATAAAGAGGTGCCTGGCTGACACTTGACATCGTTTGAGCATATGAGTGTGCTGCTTCCGTCTTTGTGACATACAAAATTTTGGAAACTGCCATCAAGGCTCGAGCAAGCTGGTTCTTGACAGCTGTAAGAGAGTTCGAAACTATCGCTTCCTAAGCCAAAGTTGGCGAATGCCCCTTCCACTCGTATCGCGATGCCATTAGTTGCTTTCGTTACAAGTACCATAACAGTGTATCGAAGTCGTCGCGATCTCGGCAGAAATGTGGATCTTTGGATGTGGGATTGGGTATGCAAAAGGTGAAATGACAGTATGTCAGAGGAGACCTAGAAGATGGTCAGCAAGTGTGGCAAACGAACCTCGTCACACACTGAGGAGTATCAGAGCTTGAGACAGCAACGCGTTTGTGATGGAAAAGACATGGTGGCTGAGATACTTGAAATGTCGCTCCGAGGGGCATCATAAATCGGCGCGAGCGAAAATGCATTGTTTCGATAGAGCTTTGTGAAAGCCAGCCGCAGGACGGCCAAAATTCGACACAGATTTCCATCGGTTATTCCCCTTTTGACATGCTGGAGTCGGTCCTGAACTTGCCAGTATTTGGAACCTGCGCGAGTCGTCGTTGCATTGGGACAGATCATTACACAAGATATATATCATGCTACGCCGAGCAAGACACGTCAACGGAGGCATTCATCTGAACTGCTTAAGTGCTCACAGCATTTTAGCAGCTTTGCCTCTATCGTAGCGTGCTCTACGTCAGCTGCCCTGCCTCGCATTGCTGTTCTTTGCGGCCATCAGATAATGTAACTGCGTGAGCAGTGTCGGTCGGAGGCTGTGATCAATGATAGTATTGCTATCTGTGTTGCTGTTCGGTGATGTTCTGGTACAGGAATTCTCCGCTCAGAGGTAAGTGCAATTGCTCTCGGGCAGTGCCTTCTACAATTGAATATCATGTGACTTCAGCCACGTAGTTACAGATAATGCATGTTTGCGGTGAACGGGCAAGCACCAGCTCGATATTAGCTGGTTCACAACAGAGAACGACGTAGACGAGAAATGAAATTGGCAATGAAGCTAGAGTCCGACCAGTGTAGTGGATGGCACATGAGGAGCCGTCAGGGTGACTGGTCTCAACCACGTACCCTAGGCGCTGCCAATTGATGGTGAGCGGCAACTGCTCAGCGATGGTATGACCGTACATACGGCGATGGGAACGAAGGGATCGGCAATTTCTCCCGGTCGCTGTTGATGTCCAGAAGTGAAGGTGAAATCTGAGCTCGAGGTAGGTGCAAACTTACGGGCGCGCTAGCCACATTGGCTCGCATAGCACCGACATGACAGCACTCAACGACTCGGACATTTGACTGAAAGACTGAGCCTTATTGCAGAGGCACACAGGAGGCGAAACTCGATAGGGCATGGGATGTCTTGATAATTCGGACTATTATGGTACAGTCGTGATCGTAAACGCTATGAGAGCCAACAGGCTCAGTCCCAGCAAACAAAAACGCCCATCATGATAGGACCCCCAAATGTTCCTAAATAGCGCAAAGATTCATCAAGCGCGTAAATGCCCAATGTGAAGCGCAACCGTAACGCCCATGTTTTGATGGAAACCCAGATGCTCTCAATTGCAAGCGCAAGAGAATGAAATATAGTGGTATCGGCGTCCTTCAACACCAGTACGCCCCCCTAATGCTTATAGTAGAATGAATGTGCCGGATCCGACACCTGTGGGCCAAGGACTACCGGATGACACCCCAGCTGTCCATACTGCTGAGCCCTCCTGTACGCTCTTTCTTCTTGAAGGCGTTCCAGAATCGAAGCGTTTCGTCGCCAGCACCTGTAACTATGACCTGGCCATCCGGGCTCATTGCAAGGTATAGCACACGATATGTATGCCCTGTCAATGAGACGACCTGCTGCATACTAGGGTACTTCCAGACAATGATTTGGTTCTGGCTGTAGCCGTGTGTCGAGACAATCTCGTTGCTGTTCTTCGACCAGGCGAGATTGCAAACTTGACTGCCGGTGTCGAGGCTTTGTAGTAGATTCGCAGGTGCCGTTGGTGAGGTTGGAATATTGGCAGAGCTGGAAGCCGATGCGGCTGCCGAGGCTGCAGCAAGGGATGAGGCTGAGGGGCCACTTGACGAAATCAATGTGTTCCAGAATTTAATGGTTCGATCTGCTGTACCACCGCCGCTAGCTAAGAGGCCACGTTGGTGAGGACTCCAGGCAATTGCCTTAACAGCAGCTTGGTGCTCACTGAACTTGAATGTGGGCTCAGCGTTCAGTTTGTCCCAGACCATCAGCTTGTTGTCGTTGCCTCCGGACGCGAGCTGTTGATCTTCGTGGTTCCACTTCAGGCCACAAATTTCCTGCTTGTGCCCGACAAGTTTCCGGAGCCATTGGTCTGGTTGTCGTACGTCGCGGTGGTAGATAATGCGATCTCGTGAACCAGAGGTAAGGATATGTTCGTTCCACGCAAGAGCGCCAACCCGAGCTGTGTGACCCATCATTGTTCGGAGGCGGCGCTGGGTGTGCGCGTCCCAAATCTGTACTTGGCCTTTGTTTGTGCCAATTGCGATGTGTGAGCCGCGCTGTATCCAGTTGACGCTCGTAACGGAATCGTCCTGCAGTTCGCAGAGCTTGGTTACGCGGCCACTACTTGAGTTCCACATGTAAACACATGATCCCAGGCCAACACCAAGCGTGTTCTGACTACCCCAATCGACAAGGTTAAGATAGAAGTCGTCTGCCAGATCTGGCGCATCAAGAACCTTGTACGGCACCTTGGACACAGCTCGTGGCGCTCTTTGGGGACTGAGCAGCATACGTTGACTGCTGTACTTGATAGGCGATAAGCTGTAGATATCTGCGCGCGCGTTGAGATTCAGCACACCATGTCGACCCGATGGTGTTCTTGATGGCGTAGGCTGACCAGAGTAGGAGAAGAGATTTTTGTGAGGTGTCGAGGGTGTCCCACTTGGTGGCGGTAGTGAGTTTGTGGTCTTCGTTGGTGGAGTGTGTGACCGTCCTCCAGACCGCATCGTGGCGCTGTCTGTAGGAGACAAGCGCTGTGGCAGAGCTTGAGGCACTGAATCCTCAAACATTTCCTGGCGTAGTACTGCCGAGTATGTCCGGTTTGCTTCTTCAGCTAAGCACAAGTCAGTCTCGCGGTCTTCAGCAAAAGTCTGCGCCAGTGCTTACTCTTCTGGAAGTGCAGCTCGTTATGAGGTGTGCGCTTGGATTTAGAGGGTGTTGCTGGAGAGCCATCATCGTGCAGAAGATTGAAACTGGCCTGCAGATCTTGGCCCGCGCGATTGGGAATGAACCTGAGTTCAGCGTTAGTATATTATCGCACTATCCATGACGTCTTCAAACACTCACCTGTCGCCCTGTATCCGCGGTCTCTTACGACTGGGACTAGCTATCGGTGTTCGCTCCCGTACTTTGCTAGCCTGCTCGAAGTCCTTTAGCGCTTTCGACAACGCTGATGCGTCTACTGGTTCTGAGTTGCGGCTGAGGGTCTGATTGCGTTTGTGCGAGGCAGTCGGCGGCGTCTTCGATTCAGGTGGTGATATGAGCGTTGGTGTCGCAACACCGTCGTCGTGCGCCGTCTCTGTAGATTGCTCCACTGTCTCGCGTCGCGCCATGTTGCTGGATGCGCCGTGTCTTGATCGTTGGTGATGCGCCGGTTGGTAGGAGTCGTGCGCGAGCGAGTGGTTGCGGGGAGCGTCAGGGCGGGGTGACAGGTGCCTGGAGTCGCGTGGTAAGGATAGTGGGGTCGCAGACGCCTGGTGAGGAAGCAAAAGGAGCGGAATATGAGGTGAATGCGACGGTGAACTCGAATGACAGCAGGGATTGTGATGATAGATGGAACCTCCAGGGTGTTTTGTCCCAACTCTTACTGCGCAGCGGCAGGCGTCGATGCGCAAAGGGCCAAACAATATCTTCAACCCTCAGCGAGAGGTGTGGCGCATAGCAGGGTCGTGAGGAGTGAACTGTTTGGCGGGAGATCACGATGGGCGGGGTGGCCGGGATGACTTGTTGTGAGGTCGGAGCTTTGGTGGATTACCGCAGCGCCCAGGGACCAAGGGAGCAACGGGTGTCAATAATGAGCGTGCAGGCAAGGAGATACTGATAACAATTGTCCAACGCAGCGAGAGCTCGAGCTAGGGACCGCAGTGAATGTTAAGGATATGGCTTCTGCATGTGTCTGGATGCAGTGCGCGTCGTTGTTGTTGTCGCGAGGTACCTGTTCGGGGGTCGTGCCTTCTTTGTTTGGCTTGTCGCTGTTTTGGTCGCTCCCTCCCACGCGTTGCCATCACAGCCAACCAATCCCGCCTCTAGCGCGCACCCTCGCTGCATCATCGTGTCCCTCTGCCACCCCACACCGCGGGGCCCGTTGACAGACCTCCCGAGCCAATCCTTATGCTCACCAAGCTTCAGCCGCTGCGAGCCACTCTGCTACAACTGACGCCCACCACACGGACCTGCGTTCTCATCTCTACTCCACTGTTGCTGTCGTGTGCTCTGCAAACCATGGCTGCCAAATTCTCTCTCCAAGCTGCCGAGGACTTCCTCTCCTTCGTGAACGCCTCCCCTACTCGTATGTCTCCGCTGGTGCGCTGGATGTTCGACCATCATTGACAGTTGTACTAGCATTCCATGCTGTCAAGTCAGCTAAGGAACGTCTGGAGAAGGCTGGCTTTAAGCAGATCAAGGTATGTTTTGTATCCATTCATAGCTTCGACCGCCTTAGAGCTCAGTCTGTCACATGCACACATGCTCTAATCAAGGCATATTCTTGCAGACAAATTGCTATACACCCTATCTCACATCCTCCTCATTGAACTGGACGCTGATATCTCTCAGGAACGAGACTCTTGGGCACCGACCATCCAGCCCGGGGGCAAGTACTATCTCACACGAAACGGCTCATCTATCGTCGCCTTCGCAATTGGCAAGCAATGGAAGGCTGGCAACCCCATTGGCATGATTGGTGCGCACACTGATTCGCCGTGCCTGCGCATCAAGCCTGTATCGAAGCGCCAGAGCGATGGTTTCCTCCAAGTCGCGTGTGAGACGTACGGTGGTGGTCTATGGCACACCTGGTTCGACCGTGACCTCAGTATCGCTGGCCGGGCCATGGTGCGAACAAAGGACGGCAAGATCGAGCAGCGTCTTGTGAAGGTCGAGCGCCCTATCCTTCGAATCCCCACCCTCGCTATCCACCTCGACCGTCAAGAGAACTTCCAGTTCAACAAGGAGACTCAGCTGTTCCCCATCGCTGGGCTAGTGCAGGCTGAGCTGAACAGGCAGGGCAAGACTGAAGAGAGCAAAGACGACGACAAGAAGGATAGCACATTCGAGCCACTCGCAACCCCATACCAGAGGCACCACTCATACATTGTCGAGATCATCGCAGAGGAGGCAGGTGCCGATCCGAATGATGTTCTGGACTTCGAGATCGTGCTCTACGATACTCAGAAGTCGGTTATTGGTGGTCTCAACAACGAGCTCATCTTCTCACCACGACTGGACAACCTCATGATGTCGTACTGCAGTGTCGAGGGGTTGATAAAGAGTCTTTCATCTTCTTCAAGCCTCGATAAAGACTCGACAATCCGTCTGATTGCTTTGTTCGACCACGAGGAGATTGGCTCGCAGACAGCACAAGGAGCGGACTCCAACCTGCTTCCTGCTGTCATTCGCCGTCTGTCGGTCCTGCCTGGGTCTGAGTCAAGCAACTCAGACAAGTCCTACGATAAAATCGAGGCTGACACAGCCACTGCTTACGAGCAGACACTATCCACCTCTTTCCTCATCTCAGCAGATATGGCTCACTCAGTCCATCCCAACTACCCAGCCAAATACGAGGCGCAGCACAGGCCTGAGATGAACAAGGGCACAGTCATCAAGGTCAATGCCAATGCTCGTTATGCCACAAACTCGCCAGGTGTCGTCCTGCTGCAAGAGGCCGCTCGCCGTGCGAAACCAGCATCGTCAGGCCTCAGCAAGCAAGGTGTACCGCTCCAGCTCTTTGTTGTCCGTAACGACTCGTCTTGCGGTAGCACGATTGGTCCTATGCTGTCAGCAGCTATGGGCGCTCGAACACTCGACCTAGGTAACCCTCAGCTCAGCATGCACAGTATTCGTGAGACTGGCGGTGCGCACGATGTCGAGCATGCTGTCAACCTATTTGACAGTTTCTTTGAGAACTTTGAGGAGTTGGAGAAAAACATCGTGGTTGATTGACTAGATGCTAAGCTTTGAAGCTCATGTAAATAGCATAAAGAACAAAGTAAAGCATGTGAACATCATGATGAGAATCGGAAACCCCTCGGCTTGCTCAGAATTGATTGATGTTGATTCAGGGTCCACGCTAATTGCCCCACCATGCATCCCATCAAAAGTGTCATCGTCCAGCTGTGCCGTTTCACAAGTCAGCAACAGTGCCCGGTCATCTCAGATACACAGATTCTACCAAGCAACATGGCGCCTCGGTTTCTGTCTGGCGATAGCGCCGCCATTGAGGAGTTCCTGTCCAGGTTCGATGTAAGGAACCGTGTTACCCCACCAAAACGTTGCTGATAAGTGAATGCACAGGTGTTTCTGTTCGATTGTGATGGTACGCACCCTCAGCGATACATTCATACGTTCTTCCAATCATATTGCAATGAGAAACTGATTGTGAAGAAGGATAGGCGTCCTCTGGTCTGGCGATCACTTGTTCGAGAAAGTACCTGAGACAATTCAGATGCTCAGAAGCAAAGGTACGATACATGTATCTCACTAATTTGCAGCTACTGACTGAAGCACAGGCAAGCAACTTGTGTTCGTCACCAATAACAGCACAAAATCGCGCGCAGACTACAAGAAGAAGTTTGACAAGCTGGGCATACCCGCTGAAGTGGCAAGTACGATCAATCCTGTCAGCCAGACTGTTAGCTTACCCTGTATCAGAACGAAGTCTTTGGATCCTCGTACAGCGCCGCCGTCTATATCAACCGCATCCTCAAGCTCCCCGCCCCAAAGAACAAGGTTTTCGTACTTGGAGAGTCTGGCATTGAACAGGAGCTGGAAGCTGAAGGTGTCCCGTACATTGGCGGGACAGACCCAGCCTTCCGTCGCGATATCGAGCCTGAGGACTTCACGAACATTGCCAACGGCAGTCTGCTTGACCCAGATGTTGGCATTGTGCTGAGCGGCCTCGACTTCCACTCAAACTACCTCAAGACCGCAATCGCATTTCAGTACCTGCAGCATGGCGCAAAGTACCTTGCCACGAATATCGATAGCACGCTGCCCATGTCGCACACACTCTTCCCTGGAGCTGGATCATCAGGTGCTGGTCTGGCGAAAGCTATCGGGAGAGAGCCGCTGTCTCTGGGTAAGCCTAGTCAGGCCATGATGGATGCTGTTGAGGGCAAGTTCCAGTTCGATCGTAGTAGGACATGCATGATCGGAGACAGGCTGAACACGGACATTCAATTTGGCATTGACGGCAAGCTGGGTGGAACCCTCGCTGTTCTCACCGGTGTAAGCAAGAAGGAAGATTTCCTGGCGGAGGGTGCACCCACCGTGCCTACCGCTTATGTCAACGCTCTTGGTGATTTGATGGGTTAGACATACATCTGCATACATAGACTACAGCGAAAACCAGAAGTAGACAACCATCTTGACGTAGCTCAGCGATGACTCCACTGTGATACGTGCAAGTACGACAGGGGTGTTGAGCGCGTGCGCTATTGACTGACAGGTGTTGCAAGGATTGGGGAGAGGACGATCCAGACGCGCTACGCGAAGCTCGGACGCAGAACGCGTTCACGCGACGCGATCACTTTACGATCACCATCATTGCAGCCCACCTTGGAGCGAAGCACAGCACACAGCTATAATCACAGACGACAATGATCCGCCACGACTACTCCCGTGTCGACTCAAAGCGACGTGCAAACCTAAGCCACAAAAAGAAGCAATTCGCCAAAGCAGAGTTTCAGGAACAGACCTACGAGCACCGTCTCAACTTCTACGTACTGCCGCCTACGGCGGAGATCACGCTCGAGGAGTTCGAACAGTGGGCAATCGATAGACTGAAGGGTATGTACTGTGTCACAGATGTCTTCTACAGCCCGGTGTGCTGACTTGATCATTACAGTTCTGTCCGAGCTTGAAGCATGCACATTCCGCAACAAGGGCCCCGAAGAGACCGCCGAGTATATGAAGAGCATACTCGAAAAGTACCTGCCAATGCGGTCCGGCACATCGAAGGGCCAACACCTACACGAGGAGAGGAAGAAAGACCACTATTCACATTTTATCCTGCGACTGGCGTTCTCTGCGACAGAAGACCTGCGCAGGCGGTTCTCGAGGCTCGAGACAATGCTCTTTCAGCTGCGCTTCAAGGATGATGATCACATTGAGCGACAGAAGTTCGTGAGGAGTCTGAACCTTGAGTGGGAGGAGGTACAAGAGGCAGAGAAGAGGGAGCTGAAGGAAAAGTTGCTGGCTGCGGCTGGTGGAGGCATGAGAAACCGCGAGGAGCAGGAGTGGTTCAAGGTCGACTGGGAGAGAGTGCCCTTGCTTGTTGAGCAGCGGAGGGTATTCCTTAAGCGGGGCAAAGCGTACGTGCCGCAGCGAGAGCAGATGAGCCTGGTGGTTGCCGAGTTCACAAAGACGCTGGACGAGGCATTGGAGGTAAGTGACAGCTCGATTCCTCACAAGTATCATAATAACACAAACCTTAGCTCACATCCCGCGCCCTCCCTCGCCTTGATGAAGATGACCGCCTCGCCCCTATCCTTGCCCATCTCTCACAGTCCTTCACGGCGCCCGATGCCGCCTACTCCTCTTCAGACGCCAACATCGACGGCCTCTCCACCCTAACCGCAAACTCGATCGACACCCTCTCCCAGAACTTCCCTCTGTGCATGCGCAACCTCCACACCACATTGCGCGAGAATTCCCACCTCAAGCACTTCGGGCGTCTACAATACACACTGTTCCTCAAAGGCATCGGTCTGTCACTCGACGAATGTATAATCTTCTGGCGAAGAAGCTTCAAACTGATGACCGACGACAAATTCACAAAAGAATACCGCTACAACATCCGCCACTCATACGGCGACGTCGGTGGAGACAGCAATCGGAGAGGTAGAGGTTATACTCCCTACTCCTGCCAGAAGTTGTTGACGGAGCCACTCCCTGGACCAGGCCAGACACACGGTTGCCCATACCGTACATTCACACCCGACAATCTCATCTCTGTTCTACAGCGAGTAGGCGTAAATGAGAGGGATGTGCTGAAGACGGTCAGGGAGGATGTAGGCAAGCAGAGGTACCATGTTGCGTGTAACAGGGTATTTGAGTGGAGCCATAAGAGGGAGATCAAGAAGGTTAAGGATGATGGGAGTTGGAATGCGACGGATCTGGATACTATTGTGCATCCTAATACGTATTTCAAGAGAAGTTGGCTGCTGAAGCATTTGGGTGAAGGGAATGCTGGGATAGTTAACGGGGGATCGGGGGATACGATGGAGGAGTAGGAATTGTTCGTGTATATGGCCTAAAATATGGTTAGCATGGGTTGGTTGGATGTCTGGACTGGCGAAGGTGTTTGGAGTACATTCGCATTGATGGGCTGGAATTCGGCAGGTGTAGGCCTGTGATCTGTGGAATCCGTCGCATTAATGTTGATCATTGCATTCATGGCTGTCGTATATATTGCTTACTTCCTCCATCTTAACTATTGAGCCATTGCGACTGTGCGGTGTTGTACCGTACATGCGCACCGAAAGGGTTGGGTACGGTAGGCGTAGGTCTGTGGTTTGTAAGATTCTTCATAGCAATATGAACTATTGGATCCATGGCTGCTATTGCAAGGCTGTAGGTTGCGTGCTTTGTATGTTCCAGATGGTGGGCGAGTTCCCGTGTTTGTTGATATGAGAATTGCAATGCTTGGTGTCGCCAGGGAGGTTACCTGATTCATCGTTGGGGCAGTCATCATTAAATTTATGATATTATTCGCTTGCGACTTTCTGGAAAATGAAGAGCCTTGCGAACAACATGCTGAGGTTCGTATATTGTGGTGATGCCGTGTTGCGTACAATGTGACTAGATTGGTGGGGTTTTGGTTGCCTCGGCGGTTTCCCTCCACAACTTCCATCGCCAACATGTTTCCTCAAAACAACGCGTCTTAGAGAGATCACAACAATGCGCAATTGATCATCCGGTCGACCTGCCATTACCTGACCTTCTCTGTGTCAGTATGCACAGATTTCACTACGCCCGTCAACGCGTCCTGTCAAGGTATCTGCGCAACAACTCACGCTTGTTTTCCTACCAGGATGTTCTTCTTTCACTCCACAAGACCTAGACACGTCATACAAATAAAGCTGCCGCCCAACTCCAATTCAGACTTGATTTGACGTGTTCCAACTTTCCTACCCGCGTACTGGAGCCAGTTTCTTCGAGACGGTAGATTTTGGAGATGGACGTCCCTGGTGAACAACCCACAATAACGGACAATAAACTTCCGGACCAGGCTACTTCCATCAGATGCAAACATTGCAACCGTCAATTCGCAACAATCTCCGTTGAAGGTGGATTGATTCTTTCTCTCCCGCAGGAGCAGGCCTGCGCTTCATGTGAGCCATTCCTTGGCTTGTACGAAACTCTTCAAACCAGAGAACAAGAGCATACGGCGTTGCTTGACAGAGGAGAAAAGCATCATGGCCGTGCCTTAGCGCACGGCAAATATCGAAACGCAAGGGTTGCGCTCGAGAACTTCCTGATCAACATCGAAGCGCCCAATGAAGCAACTTTCGATGTGGCGCAGGCTGGTTTTGCAAACCGCGCAGACCCTGTGCAGCTCGAGCATACAGATGATACAGCGGAAGCATTGAAGCCCGAGACAGACCAGCAAAATCCCAATGGCGTGTCCTCGACAGCCGAACAAGTGGTGCCCACAGAAGCCTCATCCACAGTCAAGCGCAAACCAGTGCGCGATTATGGCGCCTCGAATCTCGAGCGCAAACGGATCAAATTTACCGAAACCGTCGAAGAGCGCCCAGAGTACAGAGGGACTCTTGAGTTCTATCGTGGTGCTAAGGAATATGTCCCAGGTCGATATGTGGCAGCTGAAGGATCTGAGTACCTGGACACTAGTGGTTCGACCCTGTCTTTTGCCAAATTCACTGGTCAGAAGAAAATAGGCTCAACATTCATCGACATGGTACCGAAAGAGGAGGCACAGGATGGCGAAGGTGGGACTTCAGCAGCAAAGAAGAAAGGGAGAGGCAGGGGCAAAAGGAAACAGTGCGAGACCGAAGAGCCTCATCATGAGCCAGAAAAGAATGAAAGTCAGATGAACAGCCGAGAATCGAGGGTTTCGAGGCGATCGAGATCGACAACACCACCAGTGACGACAAGACCACGAAGGACCATCGCCCAGTATAATGGACAGGATGACGAACCTCCAGCAGAGTCAAGCAACACACCATCCCTGATCGTCGTACTGAAAGCTCCTCACCTCCTCAAGAATGGCAAAGTCATCAACGGAGAAGAGCCAACCCAAGCAAGAGAGCATATAGATGAACGTGAACGGTCATCTCGCGAAGCTGATTGCGACGATGCAGCGAAAGATGCAGCGAAAGATGCAGCAGAGGCCGCAAACATCAATAAGGTTGTGCTAAATATACAGCGTGAGTTGAGTAATCTACAGCAGGCTTCCATTTCTTCCAGATACAAGGACGTGGTCTCGACAGCTGTGCGCGGCTTCTTCGAAGTTCTGGAGCCCTTGAAGGCACTCAACCACACCAAGCCACATCAAGCTGAAGAAGCTGAGGATATACCAGAGCAAGATAGCATCTACTTCGAAGCTCTTGACGTGACCGACAAATTAGCCTTGACGGATATACCACGGCCAGCTGAGTCTCCAGAGCAGGGCGAGATTACGCCCAAATGGACTCATGCAACAACTCACAACGACAAAGTGCAAGCACCTGATATCGGCCGTGCACTAGATGCCAACGCTCCCGATGACATGCCAGAAGAAGACAAACATAACGCATCTTGAATTTCCGGGTTTGATAATGCAGAGAATAATCTGGGTGTAAATGGAGATCTTCTCACCTTGTCGGTCGAAGTAGCTACAGAACGACGGGCAACCACACAAACGAAGAAGAAGCGTATTGTGAAAGCTCGGCCTCCTACTGCACACAAAGGCAGTGACGCTGCGAGGCGTCTATCAACTCAGTGACTCATTTCGCATGGGTTAACCACCGAACCTAGGAGGCGACCAAGAAGGATGAGCTCAACAGCGCCTCCAGACAACCAGTCACCAGAGTACCATCTGGTCGACCTTCTGCCAAAAATCCCAGAAAAGGTCAAGTTGCACTTTCACGGAAGTTGCCAGCTCCTTTCCACACTGCTGTCTCGGATTTGAAAGGAGCAGAAGAGCAGAATGAAATCACAATCAACGGCAATGAAGACAGGCCAAACAGATTTTCGATAACAAAGCACAACAACCACGCCAAAGCAACGAAAGCATCCAACCTCAATACTGGAAACTCTCTCTCGGGATCTGGCGAGCCGCCGTTCACAGATGCTGCTTTCGGTGTGGCCGGTATTGATGCAAGCTCACACAACGACCACTCAATACATCAGGACCCTGCTTTCCCCGTCAAACCAACACTGGAGGCCTTACCTAGCCAGCCGTCTCGCTTTGAGACGGCTAGAAGCATGCATCAAAGGTTTGGCGAGTTGATCAACGGTCGAGAGGAGAAGCAGGGCACCCATACTCAAAGCGAAAGCAAGGCTTCCAACGGGGCTGCACACACCAGCAATAATGACCAGAATCTTGGTACTGAACCTGCAGGGTCTGGTGAAACCAGTGAACAGTCGGAGGTGCACACCACGGACGCGGATCGGCGTGGGGCAGGAGAGGCTCATCGAGTGGATCCTGACACGGCTCATGATTCAGCCCAAGTGGAAACAATGGACGATCGAGACCTTTTTGCGGATCGCAGAGATGAGAACAACATCGAGACTTCCGACGTAGAGATGCACGACGCCATTGAACAGTCGTTCAGGACTCCGCGAGAAATGTTCGGCGATGACGATGAGGCAAAGGTCAAGACGGCCGTCGAACATCCTTGTGACCATCGCACCGCTGCATCTCAGGTCGGAGGCCACAATGGTCCCTTGCATAGGATCGGTGTTGAGGGCAACAAATTGGACCACGTAGACAAGTACATCGCGTGCCCTACTGCAAAGAAAGTAAGCCTCCAAGAAACACGTCGAAGATCTTTACTTCGCACTGGCAAGAGAGTCGGTCACGTCTACGAGGACCCTGACGAGGCCTTTGACAAGAAGAACGCAGAGGATGAGACGCGGCCTACAGATACTGCCTTTGCGGTCCCCCAACCGCTCACCTTCAAGCCATCCAGGTAGCCATCTGCACTCTGACACAACTTCTCGCTTGGATGAAGCCACCAACAACGCATCTCCATCGCTGTGAAACCACAGGACCCTGAGATGCCACGCGCGGCTCCTGCTGCCGCGGAGATGCACAGTACCAGGATCAACAAAGCTGGGGTAATACTGCCGAGTCAGGGCACAATCAGGTGATGTTAGTCAAGCTAATGATGATGCTAAGAGACTGGGGTACGGGAATGCTTGCCCACTTACCCTTGTTCAGCCATAAGGCTTGTGGCGCACGCTGTGATGCGTACCGGAAGACGAGTTCGGTGGGTAGAGGCGGTGAGGCTGGAATCCTAATGTAGACTACGAATCCACATTTTTGCTAAACTTCATGTGATTTATGATAATGTGGACACGTCCAGGACTCAAAATTCCTCCTTTGAATGTTTGTAATTGCTGAACCTACGGAATACGGTGAAGCCGTGCAGTCATGGTACACCGATCGCCGCATGCCCACTCAATGCACTTCTCCTAACACACTCTGAGATCTGAATCACACAAGGCCAATCAAGCAGCAGCCTGTTGCAATCAAGCAACTGTAAACGCGAGGCGCTTCTATCCAGCCACTCAGACGAGATCGGTGCCTTCAGGGTATGCCAACGCCTTCCATGCATGCATCGAAGATCCAATCGCTTTCGATCGAAATTCAGCGAGGATTCTCATCTACAGCCGGATATCGGCACGTGGAGATTTGGGTGTAGATGTATGCGGTGATGAAGGACTGAGAATGTTGCCTGTTACAGTAGGAATGGTTACACTTGATTGCGGTGAAGTGATCGTTCCGTTAAATGGGTAGGTAGCTCGCGCTGAGTCGCACGATATGCATCGCCCACGTGTTTAAGGCAAGACTGCGTTCGATCATATGCAGACACGGCTGATGGTGAATTAGAAGGTTTGGACTGGGGACATGCGAATACGAAGGCGTGCGTTTCAGGTCTTTGAGCCTTGAACTTGCAGCACGAGGCGGAAGATGTTGATTGCACAGATGAGAAGTCCGACATGATGTTTGCTCCCTACTGAGTCTGGACGTGCCTGTTGTCTCCGAGAGACACCAGGGCAAAAGAAGAGGTCACTGATATTGCCAACTACCTACACCCAATGCAGTGGCGATATGCGAAGCTGAATTTGAGTTCAAGCTGTCTATTGAAACATCGTGAGCTTCCTCACGTCATTGCAACCTTGCTGCGGTCTTGAACAGTCAGGTACCTCAAGGATGCTGCTCAACGTGTCACATCTTTACGAGCAGGACCTGACATCGCCCAAAGCTTCAAAAGTGCGTGCCGTACCGTGACTCTCTCCCAGCTCACAATCAAGTTGTTGAGTTTGATTGTTAGGATCAAGAAGACGTGGACTTCATGCAAAACCCGCAATTTCGCAGGGATTTTCACTGTTCCTCCTGCTCTGACATCACACCGTTAAAACTCAGCCGCCCCCATCGGATGATGCACTGTAAGCCTAGGACCACTGCATTACATGACTGCTCTGCAGGCATGACTAATGCGTCCAATCATTTTTGAGTTCAGGTCACACACTCGTACATACACTCGTACATACACTTGTACATACACACAACAATACACTCATACATGAGGCCCAATCCCAGTACCACCCCTCGCTTACATGCACCTATACACCGCTGTCAGACCCCCAAGCAATGCATTGGTATTCTGCAATGTACGAGTCTTGACCCATGCAACGATGTGCGGAAGATTCTCTTTATTAGGATATTTGTGCGATTCTACGGTGGTAGTGCGGTCGTGTTACGAAGAAGAAAAACACTGACAATTTGCACCTTCCGACCTATCACACGACCAGAGTTGGCAACAAACAAATCAAGTCCTCTCCACGGAGTACCATCTGGTCTGTGTCAGTATGCACGTCCCAATAGTAGTAGGGTCTTAATTGACTTGGTTTGTTTGTTGCCAACTCTGTGCACGACACGTAGCACGAGAGACGCGTATGCCACGTGGTTCCCAACAATTGTAAGTTGACAAGTGGCTTCGCAAAGATCTCTGACGACACGAGTTTTTGATGGCAACGTACATTGCAGGATGAGGCTGTAACATCGAGAATTCGCGTTTGCCGATGACTCGCCCTCCCCAACAAAACATCGTATCCAAGCACATGGCTGCACAGGCCATTGGTTCGATCGTTCTTAAGTCGGATCTGTCGTTCCCGATCGCCGCAGCGGAATCCTTCCCGCGCATCACAAGATCGCAGCCTCCACACCGGACTCTCCGTTCGACGATCATCTCCATGGCACCATTACTGAACCATAACATCATCGAAAGTGGATCGTGGTGAATTGTCGGACGTGCAGCTCTCGCCGATATCGCCCGTAGGGACCTGCCTACCGTGTCCGTGCGCGTAATGCGTGGATTCGCGTAATGCGCCAAAATCCTCACCAAAATAGCCTATTTCTAGTCCAGCTCTTTAGCTAGAAGAAGTATTAAAAAAAAAGCTCTAATACTAAAGTCATAGTAGATGACTAGGTCTATAACTTTTATATATAAATATTTTTAAAATATAGCCATTCTAGTTTTTCTACTTCAAAACTACAAAATTAAGGTTGTGTGAGGTCACTGTAGGCAGGCAATCGGACACAGGATGGATTGGGGCCGTCTGAGGCCAAATGAGATGAGATTAGACGAATCCTTGATGGCTGAGCCTCAAGGTTCGTGAGGAATATATACAGGTGGCCCGTGAGCCTCCGGCTCAGCTCCGGAGTACGTCCGAGGGCTGGCCGGTACATGTAAGGGGGAATACCCGTGACAGGTTGATAGATTTGTCTAAGATTTTAATACAAGATAGAGTACTATGAGGAGACTTACTTCTATATTAGATTTTTTTTTAAGTAGTTTTGATCTAGAGTTATACTCTATTTTCGACTTTTCAGATAGTAGAAACTAGAGAATGTTGAATATCTTAGGAAATAAGCAAGAACCAAACTAGAATAGCTATATTTTAAAAATATTTATATATAAAAGCTATAGACCCAGTCATCTACTATGACTTTAGTATTAGAGTTTTTTTTTTTAATATCTCTTCTAGCTAAAGAGCTGGCCTATCTTGAAGAGTACTAGAAATAGGCTATTTCGGTGAGGATTTCGGCGCATTACGCGCACAGACACGGTAACGTTCCAGAGTTGAGGAAATTGGACTTGGTGCAGCTTGATGCCATCGTCTGGCTCTCAGATACTCTCAATAGATAATCGGCATCATGATACGATACATCCCTGAGGCGTGAGGCTGTCATAACGGCAGGGGTGGATATGCAAGGGGCTAGATATGCGTCCGGACTTCAAGGACCCTTCTTGAAGACGCAACGGTCAGTCAAGAGGTGGGGTCGCGTTTGACCTAGTGGTTCTGGTGGGAGGACAGACCCGCTGGCGGGAACAAGCCCTCTTGGAAATGACTAAGGGAATCGTTCCCGCGGCCCTGACAGTTCCAAAGAATCCAAGTTATCTGCACAGTATTGAGGCTGTAAACTCGAGATACATTCAATAGTTAGGAGTTTGGGTCACCATCAAAATTACACTAAGTTTGACAGTCTGAGTGCCCATAAGAGTACAATATGACTGTGCATATCGGGCTAGTACCGGCCAGACGTCGGCGAGCATCACGACCTCTTGTTCTGCTGCCAAGCTTCGATAGTCAGCCACGAAGTGTGTACGTTGGGAATGCTTTAGAGCCGCATTAGTACAACTAGTGTTGTTGTACGGGAGGTTGAAAGCAGACGAAAGACGTGTTTTTTGGATTCTGCACCTCCCTGCATGGAACAAACGTGGAAGCTTTGGATACGGGACATTTACGCCAGTGAGTCCAGGGTCGTGAGTGGGGGAGCTGCAGACGCCTCCAAGCTACTGATCACGCTGCAGCCAAGTTTAAAGGTTCCAAGTGCTCGTCAACTTGGTGGAAGAGTTCTCCTGATGTGATCAAGTGTAATCCAAGATGTACGAAGGGAAAATGTTCGCATCCTTGCTAGCTCGATCGCCATTTCTCGCTACGACTTTCGATTTGCTAAAATTTCGCTACTTCACATCAATGAGGCGATCACAGACCTTGAACCTCAAAAGCAAACACGCACGAGCAGATCATCATTACAGCTACTACGGCACGTCTGCAATCTAGCAATAGACACCCGCATGGCTCACCGGATACACTTTGATCCATTTCCTTCTCAAAGACCAGCCCCCTGGTCGAGTAGAGACTGTCAAAATATTTGTTGAGGACAACGCCAACGCAAATTAGCCAGCCACCTGCAATTTGTACATGAGATTACACGCCTCAGTCGCACATATCTAATCCACTATTGAAACCAAGTGGCACGTTTTGACAGCGCAGACCGCTGAGTATCCCTCGCGAGCGCTCCCGCATTCGGCATGCTGTTAGTCTAGCAAGCGCCTGCAGTAGTCTGCATAAGGTCCCCTACAACCGTCAAGCTCAAAGCCCGACCGTGCAGGACGAAAAGCATCTCGAAGACCTGCGGCGTAGAGCTAGAAGGCGGCTTCTCTGCCGCAGCGTTATCAAACATCTCTATTACGGATAGCGCGCCAGAAGAGCTTAGCGATTAGTAGAAAAGCAATGGGTGTTGCCTCAAGATTCACCGAACATCTTTTCCGACGTCAGCCATGGGGCGTTTGGATGCATACGGCTCTGAATGAACCATGTCAAATCGCTCTCAGTCTACACAAGGTTGACTTCAAACATCGACGCCAAGATGAGGCGCCAACCGCCTACACTACCCAGACCAATCTTTCAATATGGTTGGTCAACGTAATGCCCGACATTTCATCGTGGTTGTTTGACAACCCCGGTGTCTGTTCACCGCCAATATGACCAGTGCCCTTGTCGCAGTCGTCGTCCATGGTGAATGGTGAATGCATCCCACCTTTGCCGAAACGCGGCTACCTAGTTATGTAAACCTACTTTAGACTGAGGCCAAACCCCGTATCGAGGCACGGGCTGTGGTACAAACTCAACAACACGTGCACATCCATTGATGTGTACTCGAAACTCTATCAGCAATTCCAACAGCCAAGTTGCGGTGCCAATCCGCACCCAGGACGCAAGCGAAGCCACCTACTGTACACCTCCCACCATCACCGCATGCAAAGAATGCGGAGAATGCAGCAATTACAAGGGTGATGCTCACCTGACGGAAACGGACAGCCAACATCGCCAAAACCTGCCAATCATGACATCGTTTCGCGTGGAGCACGCATCCTTGCAACCGACATAGCAGCGCAGCTTTTGATGCAGGTTCCCGGAAGGATAGATTCGGCAGGGTAGATGATAATCACGGCCACATGCCGTACGCCGGATCCGCGGCTAGCCTGCCTGCTGATCGGTCGATGCTACACGCGAGATTTTGGGATGCGCGTCGCGCGTTGTTGATCCTCATGAGTAGGGGAAAGTCTATCGCCGTAGCTGAGCGAGTCCGGCGAACGAGGGGAAAACGTCATGTATTCACATGCTGCAATTGAAACGTTGTTTGAGCCGTGAAGTCGGGTTTGAGAAAAGGGATTGCGAGGTAAGAGGGACTTGTTTGGTGGTTGTGAGAATCTATTATGTTTTACATGTCTATGGTCTAATGTTGATTGTTTGCGACGTGATTCGTGATGTCGTTATTGAGCGTCTGCTGCATTGTACGTGAGCCTTGAGGTCTTCAATCTATCAATATCGTTGCAGTCTCCATGCTGTCCCTAGCTCACCCAGAATATGTGGTGGCTATATGTATCCTCCTCTCGGTCTATCTTTCGTCCCCTGGCTCCGCTAGCACGGAGAGCCGCGCCGTAAGGTCGCGGGGGAAATGGTGCGTCTAGCAACGCACTGGGTATCATATCTTTGAAAAGGTTTCTGAATATTTTGGTGTTTGAATGACATTGTTCAAGGGACGAAGACGTCTTGTTGAGTCTCCCACTGCCATTGTTCTATGAGCTGGCGAGCTCGGTATTCGGTTGCGTAACCAACGTCGGTTTCGACATCGTGGAGGAGGTCGAGGACAACTTGACGTTCTCGTGCGTCACCGAGACATTGCCCGGCAGTGAACAGGGCTTGGACGGAATAAACGCGTACGGCATCGTCTGATTGGGCGAGTGAAATGCCAACAATCTCGCGGCTGTGCTTCCGGCAAGCAGCAAGGGCCGACTGGTAGGAGTTGAGGCGAGCACAGACAGTGCTGCGGCCTTGGGTAGACTCATGTGGCTTGTTCATGAACAACAAGATCTGGCTCATGTGGTAGGCTTGCATTGTCGAAGCGCACATAGGAATGTTGTACCACACTTCCGGGAACAAAGCCTCGTTCTCTCCTCGAAGAAGTCGTCCAGGAGCAAGGGTGGGTTCCATTCGGCTGGAAGGCTTAAAGGTTACAGGGAGGCTGTCGTACCAGGCTTGAAACTGCTTGCGCAGGTGGTACCAGTAGTCCAGAAGTGTTGATTGAGGAATACCAGCCCAGCCCATTCCCATATCTGTAGGAAGCTCGTCTCCAGCCGCCATGAAGTTGATCAGCTTCGACATAAGCCAGACAAGGGCATTGCAAACGACTCCATCGTCAGAGTAGCCGCTCTCAACGAGGTTGTTGGGTACTAAGAAGCCTTGATCGTCAATGAGTAAGCCAGCTTCCTTCCACAAAGAAAGATCTTCAGTATCAAGGTGTGTATGAGTCTTGCTGATGACTGGATGACGAGTCAGTAGATGTCTGACACGCGTGGCGTAATCAACTTACAAGCCGCATACGTGTCTTGTCGTGCAATGTTCCAGAAAGTTGATCGTCGAGCCTTGGAGATGAAGCTTAGACTTGATGTTGAGAGAGGTGAGCCGGGCGACTGCATCTGGAAAGGCATAAAACGCTCCTGCGAGTGGACCAGTAGAGATTTAGCGCCGCTCAAGTGCTTGGCCCATTCTGACATCGATACGTCAAGGAACTCGTATACGCAGAGGATGGCCGAAGCCGCCAGGATTTCGTCAGTGCCAGAATTGCAAGAGGCGTTGCTCGATGTTCGGCGTCGCTTGGCAGGGTGTACTAGCTCGCCATTGTGCTGATGAAACTCGCAATCCGATTCATCCGCGGTGATGGTTGTGTCGGACTTCAAAGCTTGAAGCAGAGAAGATACGGCGTTGTTGTAGTAAACCGCTGCTTTGTGTTTCCAGTCCACTGTTGAAGACCCAGGGTAGACCTCCATCCTTGCCTGACATCTGGATCTTCCGGACTTGCGGCCTTGAACCTGTGCGAGAGCCTTTGCGGCGCATGCGACAGCAGCGTTCTTGAGCAGAGTGTTTTCCCGTGCTTGTACTGGCACGTAGGAAGCGAAGTATGTGTCTCTGTCGAAGAGGTCCATCCAGCGCCCAGGCCCCTCGGAGAAATACCGTAAGAGGAAGGCGACCTCGTGATCTTCTGACATCAACGATCCACTATTAGATCGGGGCGGCGACTGCCGCGAGCTCGACATTGAGCATGATTGAGGCATGTACTCTGTTGTTGAATCGAAAGGTGATGTGAGGCGAGGATCGATAGGTGGAGGTGTCATGGCACCTGACCAATCCATGATTGGGTGGATGCGACGATTACATAATGAGGCTGGTGGTGAGATGGGAGTGTTGACTGTCGATGTGGGTGGTGATTGTATCAGAGGTGGTAGCGCATCAAGCTCTGGAGTATAGCACATAGGTACGCTGGTGGGTGCTAGTTCTGGACCCATGCTAGAAGGCGTGCTGATCAAAGAGTGGATGTTCCCAGAGGTTGGCCACGAGCTGACTGATCGAGGTTGAAAAGGAGCAGGCGAGTCCGTTGATGTGACAGACATGGTCTCGAGATCTGGCGTTACGGGATCGAGGTATGGATTTGTTGTGTTGATGAAGGTGACTGTCGGTGATGTTAAAGAGGAAAGAGCCATCTCACGATGAAAGCAACCCACCGATCCTTGGAATGTCCAACCAAATAGCATCATCCTCAAATGTGTTCTTGTAGGAGTAGAAACCCTTCAAGGAGTTCTCATCCCCTGAGTCGTCGCCGTTCATGGAGGCATTGTGTTGATGACGGAATACTATCCCTGAACTTGGGATGCATTCTCTCGAGGCCTTGATGCATTGTCCACACACAGGCTTCTTCTCATCACACTTGAGCTTCCGCTGACGGCAAGTGAGGCTGACGAGATGTTAGATGAAGTGAAGAAGAAACATCGCTCCACTTACCATCCAGTTCGTGAACGCATCTCAGTAGTGGTCCGCGTGGGTCAATGGGGGCTCTGGTAGTCACGCGTACTCAAGTCGAGCGTAGTGGGTATGAAGGAATGTCCACATGAGTCGGCGAGCGCTGGGTTATAGATATAACAACATGCTCGAGGGCGATACAGCGGTCTTGCTGAAGGTTGGATGCGGGGTTTAGCATAGTTCGCGCCAGGGCCGGTCCACCGTCACAATCTAAACAGGGCCTGTAGGAGATGGCGAAAGGCTTTTCCTTGCTCTAGGTGCGTCAGCATGAGTCGCATTCGCGTCGCTCGATCTGGGGTAGTTTGAGCATTGAGCTAAAGTTCAGCATGGAAGAGCAGTTACGATGGCCCCGTCCGGCGAGTCGCGTCAAACGCCGTAATGATGTGCTTCTCGCCGAATCCTGACCGAGCCGCAGAACGCACATCACTCTGAGATTACCGCACACGTGGGACTAGTCGGAATGTGGCCGCTAGTTGCCACTTTTTTGAAGTTTTCTCCTGGCTGCTTTGCTTTCGCGTAATACCGCCATCAGACCGTCTTGGCAAGCCGCCGCTTTCTTTAGTGCACCCTTCCCTCATCCCAGCTCAGATCCGGAGTGATCATCCTGTCATCCCGCTATGTTTCAGTAGATACTGGGTACCTATAATAACTGTCGGATGTAACTTCATGCCCCTTAACCAGTTCGTGACCGAAGCACTGATCGCGTTATCAGCGGGAAGAACTAAACGTGCATGCAGCGCATTGAAACATCGAAGGATTTTGGAAGCATTCGGATAATGTTCGGTTCGCTCACCGCCTAGAAGCCCTTCCGCAGACCCTGGGCCATGTTTTTGTGGTGGCTGGCGAAGTCGCTCAGTTCGAGGTCTTCTGTTTCTTCTTCGGTCGTTCCGCAGCTTTCCCTGCATCGCTGTCTGCGTCTTCCATTTCTGCATCGCTGTCGCCGGAGCCACTGTCGTGGTCGGAATCGAATTCTTCTCCAACTTCAGATTCAGACTCGGTCTGGAAATCCTCATCAACGCTCTCGTCGTCCTCGTCGGCACTACCGCGATTCGCGACACCTCCATCGTCACTAGAGGCAAGGTCGTCATCTTGGAGTGCGGCTGCAAGAATTGCTCCAGACTATTGAATGCATTAGTGCGTTTGGGTGGCTATAGAGGTGAAGTACTTACATCATCGGCCATCTCGTTCTTTGTTTTGATGCCTTTAGCACGGAAAAAGTTCTCGAGTGGCTGTTGCTCTTCACTGTATTCAAGGCTTAGCTATGCCGGTCTTTCCAGGTTTTGTGGTCTGTACTCACCGATTGATGTTGGAGAACTGGTGCTCTGCCATTCCACCCTTCATTGTGAAAGTAATGTCGAATGTTCGACTAGCAGCCATGGCGCCACCAACACGCGACATCGTGACCGATGCAATGTTGTCCATGGCGATGTAAGTTGCTGGCTTGGGAATGAACATAAAGGCTTTGTCAAGGCAGTATAGGTGGCCCTCGTTCGCCTTGATCGAGCACTTTACACCAGATTGCTCGTGGTGGCTGATGAAGTCGCGTGATGGCCTAGTAACGCGTTTCCCGCTGAGCCCCCGGAAGATGTCAGAGACTACTACAGCAATAGGTGCCTCGTAGTGTGATTGTAGCTTGTCCTTGTATTTAGCTTCCAGTAGGTCCTCCTTCATGTTCAGGTCGAGGTTGACTTCCTCGTCACGTTTGAACTGCATGACCAAGAATGGGTAGCGTGTCTGACCTTGCCTCAGAGGTGGATCCAATCCTATTGTGATCAACGTGTGCATGTCGTCGGGCTTTGGCAATACCATGAACTTCTTGACCGAGTCGAACTGGATCTTGTAGTCATACGTCTTTCCACGCAACCTGAACGAGGTCTCGTACATATCAATGTCGAAACGACCTCTGGGAGTCAAGTGGAGAATATCCAGGAAGGTTGCGAATGTGTCACCAGCGACCTCGCCAATTTCGGCCTTGTCCATGAGTGTCTCATAGAACAGGTTGGCAGCATTCTGTTCTTCGCCGTCTTCTGCGCCAGAAATGTCCTCGCCGTCCTCGTTTTTCTCCTTCTTGGATGCAACACCTGGGATATAGAAGCGCATCTCAACCAGCTGGTCGCGTGCTCCAGCTGACTTCTTGCCCCTGAAGCGAGCACCCCCAAGGCTCCCATTTGCGCCAGTATCGCCATCGGCAAGTAGTGAGAAATCGACTGCAACCTCGTTCTTTCCGGCCAAGTTGGTGTTCGATACCTCGGTGTAGGGAACTTCGAAAGCAGGGCGGTTTGCGACGTTGAAGGTGAGCTCAGCCTTTCCGAATTCGGCTTTACCCCAGTTCCAGCCACGGAGGGCGTGTTCTCGGTTGTCCAGGTTGATACCGTACCAGACCTTGAAGAGCTTCGCTGCACGATCGAAATCCTGATGTTCTCAGTACTGAGCATACATGCACTTATAGTGTTCTCTCTCACCTCCTGCTTGAAGCCATCGAGTTGTACTACACCGTCATTGCGTGAAAGGATCTTGATCTCATAACCGCGCGCCGCCCGACTCCACTGTGCCTGGATGATCTGTGACTGATCGCATGTATACGTCTCGCCGTTTGCTGGCTTCCAGCCAAATCCAGACTCGGAAAATCGAGTGGCGCCTGGCTTTCGTGAAAGGTTCAGGTAGATGTCGTTGAAGGCCTCCCTGCTCGGTGTCAGCCTGGTAAAACAAAAAATATGTCTCTTTTCGAGAGCGCTAAGCTGGTTACATGTTTGCGACTTTCAAAAAGGGTCGTTAATGGTGGTGGAGGGTTGATGAAGGTGGGTGATAGTGAGTTGATGTTGATCCAACGTCCAAGCTCAACGCGTTGAAGCTCTAAAATTTCACGTGACACGCGTTCTAGCGCGTTCTGTCTGTCTGCATCATCTTTCTTTATCCCACCAAGTTACCTTCACCCTCACAACACCAGACATGCAGCTGGGCAACAGCGTGCAGTCGAGAAACTGCTTCACCACCAACAAGAGATTTGTACAGATTTTCCTACTGATATTCCTTAGTCTTTGTCAGATGTCCACCTCAATCCTTGTGCACCGTTCGGTGGCATAGAGGCACACCTGTCAATATGCTCTGAAGCTTCCTTCACTCATCTGATTCGGATTCACCTTGAATACTCTATACGTATGTTCATCTCGTGTCTTCATCTTGTTGACCTTCCTTGGACCAACATCATATTAATCTCGAACATCTCCATGAAGTTCATTTATTCGAAGCCAGTAAAGTCTTACGCGTTTCGCCATCTATACAGCAATTTGTGCGAACGAAACACAAGAAATCGAGTCTCAGCAACGCTGTGCATACGATCCCTGGGCTCGTCAGAACCGGTGATGAGCCGATATCGACACCCTCCGTGAACAGCCCGCACGTCACGCATCGCCATGGATCAACCTGTAACTGTTATCACTTCGTCAGACGGCTATCAGCATCTGTTGGCCAGGTTGTGCTCATCGTCTAACGTCTTCAACGGGAGCCGCAAATAAGGCCGAGCATACCGCAATCCTGCCGACTGACTCGAAAACGCAGGGATGCCACCGTCAAATGCAGCAAAGTACAACTACCCTGGAGTCGAACGACGACACTGTGCATGCAACTGATATCATGAACGCTCCGAACGACGTCGCCAGATCGTCGTATCATGAAAACGTTGGAGTTACTCTTTGCATTACCCACATTCCGATTGGAGCCTTCCAAACAGCAGGCGCGATCCTTCACTCGCAACCCTGACCCTTGTTCATGGCCCACCGAAGTGGCCAAAGTGCCTGATGACAGGTCTTCGAGTTTGAGCTGTCATTCAGCGGCCTATGCTTTATTGTTTCCGTCAGCAATAGGCAGGAGGAACTCAAGAAACCGAAGATCCCCACAGACCGAGACATGGTTCATGGCTTTTTTGAATGCCTCAACAAAACTCTAGACAAGCATCTGGCTGGAGTCGGTCTGACGTATGTTCGCTGCTGGTTTCGGAAGACGAGAGCGTCACTATCCCATGTGGATCCTACGCCCTGTGGTGTGTATACGTTCTGTACACGTTTTGAATATGGTATGATGGGATCTCCGTCTTGAAGTCTTAGGCGGTCAAGATATTCCGGGACACTACGTTCAATGACGTGCATACGTACACACGCTGTAAACTCCTCAACGTTACCCAGACCGAATGGATAGCAGATAACCGAAACTGGAGGGGTTCTTGGCGCTGTATGATCATCCACGGCTTCGAGTTTCCTGAAAGAGCCAACAAACAGCGGCAAACACCTTTGGTTCGTACATTTGTCCGATGTTGGGTCCAATCAAGTCAAGTGATGCTCAAGACGTGGCTCCACACACCACAATGGACACAACTGGCAAACAGGTTCTCTTCCAGTATCCATGTGACGAACTACCGGGCCTTCTCACGGGCCGACGCCTGGATGCTCCCGCCCTGCATCCCTGGTGGGCGGAAATGTGGGCGGAAATGTGGGCGGAAATTGTTTCCTCAACCATCAATACGAGCATCCGGAGGAGCCTCGTCGACATCGAAACATTCGCTTAGGGTTACAACGAGACCTGACCATTGCTGACCATCAGTCCAGATTCGCAGTACGAGATCATCAAATTTTGAGCTCTGACAGTGGAGTCTCGGCGACAACTCATCAATAGCTTTACTTTCGACGATGCAGGAGTGTCCGTCTCTGGTCGATCTAGACAACACCTGGGTGGAATCGAAGACAGAAATCAGATCGAGACTGCAATCGTGAAAGGTTACTAGTCGTTTCAAGAACGGTGCTCAGCAATATGATCCACATGCGTCCAGAATTAATCTTTCGAATTGACGTCAACCCCTTGGACAATACAACCGGGCCGTCCGTGTCAAGTACACCAATAACTTGCACGGTCCCTGTCCGACCTTAATCGCCTAATTGGGCAACCAGTTCGGATCCACTGAATCTCGCAATTTGACGTCGCCACCACTTCAAGGACAACCATGCACTTCAACTGCGCCATTGCAAGCCAACGGCAGCAGCTGTCGAAACCACAGTCAGCGTTTGCATTATTTGTGTTATTCGAACTCTGTCATGCAAACCTTTTACATCGGCGTCTGACGCGCTTCTAGTTTGACGCGGACACTAAGGACAATAAAACTTCCGTTGCCCTTGGACGTTCCGGGATCCGTGAACCGCGCTACGCCCTACACCTATGTGCACGCCCCTGCACAAAACTTTACGAACAAGTGGATTGCCTTTACGCCAGCTCACAACGCCTACGATGCTAATGCGTAACAGCAGTCCCTGAATTATCCGAACGTGCAGTAGGGTAGTACAGTGTCGACTTACACTAGGCGCCTGCAGCAGTAGATCCCGATGTGCAGTGAGTTAGTTGTGGTTGGATCCAGGGTTGAGGCTACGCTAATTGCTGCATGCATAGGCTCGAACACTGACAAGTAAACGGCGATTTATATTGAATGCAGAGCCTCGAGGCGAGGAGGCAGGCTCGTGCATAATGTGGGTCATGTGCAACACTGCTTGTGTCCACGGTGAAGCCCTAAGACGTCCGGTCAAGCCACATATTTATGACCTGCATGCAGGTATGCACGCATGCACACACCTTTGCTTGGAATACTCACGATGCTGCACGTTGCTGGTCGCTGGGTTGTAGATGCACACATCATTGCTCTGAGAACATACATCACAATCTCTCCGAAGAGGCGCCTTTCGTTTAGCGACAACAAACCGACCTACTGATAGCGATCGTCATATCAATCCCACGCTCAAGTCTAGCGATAGCCAATTACGAGTCTGGCGACTGCCAAACGCAAAGATCCAGGTCGACCGCCCAACAATGCATTTCACACAACTACACAGGGGAGCGGACTCGGATGTGTAGCCAACCCCAAAACCGAGCGATCTAGACATCTTGAAGCACACACAATGTTCGGCCTGAACAGTGTTGGCTTCAATACCTTTTGGCCTTTACCTCTACTTCCACATGTTTCCAGATCTGGTCTCATCAACCTTTTAAAGACTCGATTGCTTTCATTTCTCACACTATGTCCTGCACACCACAGATCACCAGCACCGAAGCAGTCGTGCTACTTCTGTTCGGAGGTATCTTTATTAAACTCCTTCACCTCATCTATGCTGTTGCATATCAGACTGAACTAGAGCCAGACCTTGAGATGGCACCTGAGTATATTGTAGTACAATATGCGGCACCGCCTCCATATGAAGCCGCACATGGCCCATCAACTGGTGTTGAGGCCATGGATACTGACTTCGAAGACTAAGTAGATGTATTTTCCTAGTGAAGGAAGAGCAAACGAGTGTCTGTTCAAGAATATTGTAGAAAAGAGGATATCCACTATTATAGCTGAGATGATGAAGCTCTTATGTGGACTCGTACTAGCTGAGAGATATGCATACTTTGACAGCTGGCCCGGACCGGCGAAATGATAAGAATGAAGAATAAGTATCTCGCATGTTGTGTCTTTCTCATAATCATACGGTATCATGGTCACGTGTTCGCTGAGTGCACCCTTCCTTCTTTCCCTTCTTGCCGTTTCGATATCAACAACATAACGCGCTTGTATCCCCCTTACACTCTTCATCAGCTGCACGCCCAGCGAGTCGCATAGGAAGCATCACAAATCTCGTGGAGACTCACCGATGACTTCGACGTACCGCAATGCGCAACCCCCCAAATTGAGGCTAGCTTTGCCAACGCACCAAGCCACATGGATGAATAGCGTTCAGCCGCATAGACAGCTTGAGTACTCCTGTACAAACCGGATGAAGTCAAGCAGAGTCCACCTCACATGAAGTCATGGGATTTGTTGACCCGAACTATCGCCCTGTCTCACATTTGGATAGCTGTGAGTACAAAGGTGTAGAAGGTGTAGAAGGTGAGTCCTTGCCGCAAGCCTGATACACACCTTCTTTCCGGCCTTTAATTTCCCCATTAGGCGCCAAATTCTTCTGCTCTTTCAATGGAGAGTTCTTCAATGAACGTCCCGATTTCGAGCCCGCTACTATTGACGGAGGGTCCAACAACCTCGGAGACCCCGACGAAGCTGACAATGCTGCATTCCAGAGCTTCATTGCAGGCAAGGAGCTTCGCGCAAAAAAGGAGCCACGTCCGCATCCTGAGTCGAACGTACTGTATCAGCCTCTCATTGACCACGAGATACGAGTCTTGGAACTGAAGCCTGCGGCCTTCGATGCTTCTTTCCAGGCTGGTCTCCATGTTGTCAACATCGATTTTGCCTACCCTGAACGCCTCGAGCCTGCGTATCCATGGGTCAAACTTCCCGGGGGGACGTCTTTTCGAAGACATGTCAATCATGCCGTCTCGATCAGTACTAGGAGACCGTTCTGGTACACGGCATTGAGCAACACTTGGGTCCACCTGTTTTCGATCAGCAGGTTGATTTTGAAGCTGGCTCCATCAGAACCACATCCGGACTCGCATCTGCATTGCGATATCTCAGATCTTCAACACAAAGTGTATTCCTTTGGATCGATCAAGTCTATATCAACCAATCCGACCTCAAGGAGAAAGATGCGCAGATTTCTTTGATGAATCTGATATACACTCGCGCCACCAATACACTTATATGGTTAGGTGATGACGATGGTGCCGACGCTTACATAGCATTCCAAACATTACGGCTTGTACATGATCGGCTACAACTCAGTGATACGAAAATGACCATCTCCGCTCTTGAGTTCCAACGTCTTCATATCCCTGCGCCCAACGATGTATCGTGGTGGGCCGTACGACAGCTCTTTGGAAGACACTGGTTCTCGAGGACCTGGACTATTCGGGAGGCTTGTCTTTCCAGAAAGCTCTACGTGCAATGTGGCAAGGCTGTGGTACCTTGGGACGATTTATCAGCGTGGTGTATGACACTAGAAGTCTCTGGTCTACTTGTATGGTTGGCCGCCAACGATGTATTGGTTTGCGCCCTTTGCGAAACCATCGAAAAGGCTGTTGCTGTCATCAACCGACCCTCCAGAGATGAAACGATAAATCTTCTCCAAGCCTATCGCCTTTATTAGCCTCAATGAGAGGACAAGCCTCGTAGAAGCCTTGGTCAAAACCCGACACGCAGCCGCTACCGAACCTAAAGACAAAGTGTATGGCGTACTTGGCCTTGCAAATTCTGACCTTATGCCGATCCTGCCGGATTCCTCCAAGGAAATTACATCGAGGCATGTGTATCACAAGGCTTGTGTTGCAGAACTTTTGGGAAGCTCACGTTTGATACCGTTGCTAAAATGCGTGGACCATGATACGCCTCTACGGCCATCCTGGGTCCCAGCTTGGAGCAGCCCACGTGTCACTGCAGCGCTCGGATATCTGACAGCAACGTGGGGCGTGTACATGACCGGTGGCGACCCATCAGGCGGAGTCTCAAGGGTACTCAGCGACGATCGCAAAAGGCTCACATTATGCGGCAAAATCTTCGACACTGTCTCCTCGACAGGTGAAGTTAGTATTGACCCGAGTCTCTATATCGAAGAACCCTCATTGCTGAGCAACCCTTGGGCGAATTATGTCTACATAGCTGACAACCCAAGATCGAAAACTCTATACTCGACTACCAATGAATCCGTCTATCACGCGTTTTGGCAGACAGTCATGGCGGGACGGGAATGATCGGGTACCAGAGCACTCTCACCAGAGCACAACGAGGTCTTCAGTCTCGTACTCGACAGTTCCACCGGTCGTCATCTATCTCTGCCTGGTCAAATAATGAGTGCTCGCCGGAAGAAGGGTTTCTTCACGCTTCAGAACCTTCGATCTAGAAAACCTGCCGAAGCTCTCAGAGAGTCAGACAATGCAATGCGAGCTGCACTACATAGGCGGCGATTTGCTGTAACATATAAGGGGTACCTTGCGCTTGTACCTAGAGACACGAAAGTAGGCGATGACATCGTGGTCTATGAGAAGGTTGGCGTGCCCTTCGTCATACGGAAGGTGACTGACAAAATTGATGGAGATGAAGTATTCGAACTTTTGGGCGAAAGCTACGTGCACGGGATCATGAAGGGCGAGGCTATGCGTCAGCATGAGTTGCCTATTCGAGATGTGACTCTGGTATGAATATAATCCGTGGTTTTGTAGACCAAGCCAACACTGCACATCCACATATTGCATTATGAAATCTCCAGGTCTTTGAGCACAAGCACGGTTGAGCGACGACCTATTCTCCTGCTTCTACGACTTATCTCTTACAATGTAATCAATGCACCGTAGCCACATTCATATCTGCACAGAATCCGAAATACAGGTGTAGGTAGTCGTCTTCGCGACAATTTATTGTACATACATGTCAACTCCTGTTCTATGATCAAAGAGCACTATACTATAGAGTCCGATACAAAGTCGATACAAATGTAGTCTTACACAACTTACGCCGTGGCAAGCTGCTCCTTGACGAGATCATCGCACCTCAGACACAGATCCTCCCAGGCTTCCTTCGCAAAGCGCCAACACCTGGGGCATTTCTCTAGCGCCGGAGGGCGAACGAGGACCTTGGCGTCTTTGAGGAAGCTGTCTTCAGATGTTGTCGCAATGGCTTCGGATTCCTGCCAAGCCCACTCCCATGCCTCAGTCGTACCAGGCTTCTCAGCGGTCATATTGAAATCGCTAACAACCAGCAACCCCGCGAGTTGACTCTGCACGTCGAGCTCGGCATGCGGCACGCAACTCTGTAGCAGCGCGTTGAACTCGAAGATAGCGTCAGGCGACATGACAAGTGTGACAGCCGTCTCAAGCCCAGAACCGATCCTTTTCCCTGCCCTGAGCCTCTCCTGCGCAACCTTTACCGCGTTATTGATCTCATTCACCCTCTCAAGTGCGCTATCCAGTGCTTTCCCCTTCGCCGCATTCGTCGCGGGCAAAGCACTCCACACCGCTTTGCCTGGATGCACGCTCTTCTCTCTTAGCATAGGAGGGACATGGTCCCAGACTTCTTCAACCAGCAGCGGCGTGATTGGGGCGAGGATCTGCAGGAGCTCGTAGAAGATAAGGCCGAGGTGGGATTGCAGGGTGATACAGTCAGATGTATGGCCGGTGTAAATCCTGTCCTTGAGGGTCTCGAAGTAGAACGCGCTGAGGTCGGTGGCGATGTATTTGTTCAGTGTGTTCAGGGACTTGAAGAACTCGTAACGTGCGTAGTACGTGTGTACGTCTGCTGAGACCTGACTGAGGCGATGTAAAGCTAGAGTATCGGAGAGAAGAGGCGAAGAGGGAGGTTTGTCGCGCAGAGCGTTGAATGATTCGAATGTCGGTGGGCAAGACGGCAGCGAGAGTACGCCGAGCAGCCATTTGAAAGTTACGCGGTACTTGTGGAGGGCTTGGTTTACGGATTGCAGGACGGGCTGGCCGATGGTGACGTCGCGCATGTAGTCGCTGCTGGCGGCCCAGAGGCGTAGTGCATCGGCGCCCATGCCGTCGTATGTTGGGCTCGCGCTGGGCGGCGGTGCTGGTTGCCCTTTTTGCTTCTTGCGCTTGATGGGTGGGAGGAGTTCGCCGCTCATGATCTGGGAGGGGGATATGACATTGCCGAGGGATTTGCTCATTTTGCGACCATCAGAGTCGAGTGTGAAGCCGTGTGTGATGAGCGTCTTGTATGGCGCGCGTGCGGTACCAGAAGAGTAGTTTTGTGTGGCGATGTGGGTGAGGAGTGAGGACTGGAACCACCCACGGTGCTGGTCGGTTCCTTCGAGGTAGACGTCTGCAACAGGTCCGTCCTTGGGTTGTGGTAAGAGTGTCCAAGATGTGCCACTGTCAAACCAAACATCCATCGTGTCGCGTCCACGGACATAAGTCCCTGTCCCAGCGAGGTGAGGAGGCACCCATACTGGGTCTGACGGAGCATCTGTCCACCAAGCATCGATGCCACGCCCTCTGATGGTGTTGATTAGGTGCTGGATGGTTTCTGAGTCCATGATAGCCTCGAGAGAGTCGCCTTGGACCTTGTAGAGAGCGGGGATAGGTACACCCCATGCGCGCTGGCGCGAGATGCACCATTGGCTTCGACCTTGGATGAAGCTCTCCAGTCGTGGCCGGCCGGTCTCAGGAAGAAAGTTCACGTCAGCAATAGCCTTCATCGATGCATCTTTAAGATCACCGACGTCAGCAAACCACTGCTCAGTCGCTCTTACAATGACCGGCTGTTTCGTCCTCCAATCGATGGGGTACTTGTGTTTGAAATATCGTTTCGCGCGAAGGAGGCCTTGCTTCTTGAGGTAGTTGCATACAGCTCGTGTACCTGTCCTCTTCTCATCAGACACAAGTAGTCCTTCGAGAAGCTCTGGCTGTTCAGGAAAGGCGTCCTTGGTGAAAGCGCCTGCATCATCTACCGGTGCAAACGCTTGGATGCCCATGGCCTGACAGACGTGGTAGTCGTCCATTCCGTGACCAGGTGCGAAGTGCACCAACCCAGTACCAGTCGAATCAGTGACGAAGTCCGCATGAATGACTGGCTGCAGTCCGTCTGCTTTCTGGAACGGGTTCTCGTACTGAATGTTCCCAACGAGATCTGATCCCCGCAAGCCAGACGCGATAACTTCAAGCTTGCGCTCAAGCACCTTCTCATACTCCTCCACTCTTGTCGCCGCAACGAGCGTCAGCTCGCAATCTTTCTCCGCGTCCTTCACAACGCAGTACTCCATATCTCTATGCACCGCAATCGCCTTATTCGCTGGCAATGTCCAAGGTGTAGTCGTCCAGATGAGCACATTGACGTCTCCTTTTACACCCCTCCCTTTCAGCTTTTCCTTCAATTCCTCTGTAACCTGCGCTGGGAACCTCACAAACGCCGCGAGACTGTTATGCCCCTCATCGTACTCCAGTTCGGCCTCTGCCAATGCTGTTCGTGAACTCGGACTCCAATACACAGGCTTGAACTGCCTATACACCAACCCCTTCTCCCACATCTCTTTGAAGATCTCTAGCTGCCTTAACTCGAAGCCTTTCTCCATAGTCTGATATGCATTGTCCCAATCACCCATAACGCCCCATTCTTTGAACCCGCACTTCTGTGCTTCGACGGTTGTAGCAGCGAGCTCGCGCGCAGCGGCGCGAATGGAGATCGCATCGGTGTCACCGAGGGATTTCTTCGCGGCTTGAAGTGCTTTGATCTCAATGGGGAGACCGTGGCAGTCCCAGCCGGGGATATAGGATACTTTCTGGCCTTGTGTGACATGGAAGCGGCAGATGATGTCTTTTGTGATCTTATTTAGGGCGTGGCCGATGTGGAGGGGTCCATTGGCGTAGGGCGGCCCATCGTGGAGGGTGAATGGTTTGCCGGCGCGCGTGCGCTGCCAGGCGTAGAAGTCATCGGTGCATCGTTGCAGGTAGAGCGGTGTCTTCTCCGAGAGAGGACGAGGCGGGAACGGCGATTTGGGGAGGCGGAGAGTGGACGAGTAGGATGCGCGGAGAATGCGCGTTGGAGTTAGCATGGCATCGTCAAGAGGTGTATGAAGCTTTGGGCCTTTTTGATGATTCAAGCTTCGGAGGTCCGCAACCGGCGATGCCTCGGCTGACTTTGGAGATTGGTCGGCCATATCAGGAAGCAGCAATGGAAGAGAGCGATAAGGCCAAGAAAAGGTTCGTAGTAATGGTAGAGTTAACGGCTTGAAATGCAATGCTTCTGCTATTCTATACGCTGACTTCTTTGAGTCACCCAACCAACCATGGTACCTTCCTTGACTCACACCTGCGCCTCAGTACACAGTCAGAGAGCTTACAGCGCCGTTCTTCAGCACCTCGAACACCATTCCTGGAAACCCAAACAGCTCCACGTTGCCGACATCTGTAGCACCATCCACCATAACACTCCCAGCATTTGCAAACTTGCTTCTCCTGCCAGATGCATCCTCCCAGCCTCCAAGAAGCTCACAACTACTGCCAGGACTGTCGCCCCAGCCTCTGTTGAGAGCCATACCGCGTTGTTGCAACCGCTCCTGTTCCTCGTTGTCGTAGTAAGTCTTGAAAACTTCTTTGAGCCGACCTGAGATGTCGCTGAAGCGCATCTCAGAGTTCAGAGCTTCTCGGTACTGCGCTGAGGGGACATGTTCCAATGTCCATCTGCTTCTCCTGTGCCTGTTGAACTGGTACGAGCCTGGTATATTGCCATGGAATATGATCTTAGTTACGGTCAAGTGGTTGAGTGGCTGCGCACTGAGTTCACCTTCGTCGTGAAGATCCGACTCTTTGCGCTCTGCTGTGGGCGAGGGTGGGGATATCTGTGTTGGTTGCGAAATCAATATGTCAAAGCCATGATGGTAGTAGTTGTAGAAGTGCTCTGCTGCAGCGATTTCTCGCTCTTGAGCTTCGAGCGCCGCATCGTCATCATCTTCCCAGTCTTCTTCGTCATCTTTACCAATCGCAGAGCCACGGTCTGAGTCCAGCATGTCCTCAGGTGTCAACCCCCCAGGCGAGTGGTCAGATGCATCGCTGGTCGTTCGGTCTTTGTGTATTGATAGTCGATGGTCGTTTTTGCGGTAGATAGAATCCGGCGCTCCAAGCTCCATGATGAGATCTTGAGGTGTTGTTTCGCTGAGGACTATCCAGAACGGAGGACTTGTTCGTCTGACGAGCTCGACCTTCCCTTCGCCGTGTACTTTGACGACTTCTATCTCGTCGGGCCCACCTCCTGTACCTTTAGTACCAACGAGTGCCGAAGACCTAGGATTTGTAGGAGTTGCTGTGAACAGTGTCGCCCGAGCCTTTTGCCACGACTCTCCGCTGAATACTGCCATAGCGGTTGCAGGGCCCGTGGCGGAGGATGACAACAGTGAGATGAAATCCTTCTTCGGTGAGTACGCAGAGTGTTGTACTGGGAAGTTAAATGCAATGCCAGGGTATGACAGGTTATATGTCCCTCTTGCATTTGGGTCATCAGACTTGGGCGGTATGTATTCTCCGCCATAGGTGGGTCCCAGCAGCTTGTCATAGATATGCCTGAACCTGGGCCCTGCCACGCCGCCATGCATATCTGCAGGCTTGAACACCTCGATGTCTTTGTACACTAGTCGAGCCTTTGTAAAGTCGAGTACTTCGATCAGCCGCAACCGCTGGTCAGGGCCATCGAACTGCAGCCGCAGACCGTTGTCGGGTAGAACGAGTTGTACGGGCGACGAGATAGGCCGGAGATCATCGTGGTAGAGTTGAAATCGCGGAAACGCCTTGACTTCGGCTTTGATCGTTGTAAGGATGTCATGTAGGGAGCAACCGAGTGCTGCAGTATGGTAAGTAGGGTGGAGCTCGCATAGATGAGCTACTCACTCATGAAGCCCAGGCTGCGTCCTGGCTGCAGCTGCATACTACCTTCCTCCATTCTGAGTGAGTATCTGGGGAGAGGTTGTGCGCCACAGTTGTTACCACTAGCCTACGCGCAAGCACGCGCGGTGGATGCCCCGGTGATCTTGTGCTCTTTCACGTGGACGGAGTGAAGCAGCGTGACGTCGGTCTGAATTGCCTAGCCACGAACGTATCGCAGCAGTCTGTGTCGCAGTATTACAATGTGTCTACTCAGAGGAAGTGAAGTTCGAGCGTCATAAGGAGCTATGTTGAGGTGAGGGGTGGCTCTGGCGGGGATCTATGCAAGGTGGCGTTGAGGTTGCCTTCTATGGCAGGCTCCAGGAATCTATGTAGAACAACATAAATGCGCGCGTCAGGATATCATGTGAAATACAAAGCAAGTCAAGAGTATAGTCAGATCAAACAGTCCAGAGAGCTGCAGGTGCAGGTGTTGAGCTGCTGCAGATAACGGAGAGCTCGGGCGGCTACCGATAGCGTGTTTGGGCCCCACCCGGATCCCTGCAACCCTTGTGTTTTGTTGTTTACGTGCATCAACACAGAACGACATCACCACCGCCAACCTCACTAACCACCACAGCCAACCTATCTCGGCATGTCTGGCCTCCCAAGACCAGGCGCACCGGCGGTGAAGCGCACGACATCCACCATGCGCCCGCCAGCATCGCGACAGGCAACCAACAACTTTCTCCGTGGCCGCTCTGCCACACCCATGCTTGATGGGCGCACATCTCGAGCAGAATCAGTAGCTTCGACTAGGACAAGAGGCACACCACGCTCGTCACCACTTAAGAGGAAAGCAACCGACTTTGAAGATGCCGGGCAAGAGACAAATATCAACGTCGTCGTTCGGTGTCGTGGTCGCAATGACCGCGAAGTGCGCGAGAACAGCGGTGTTGTCGTCTCTACCAACGGCATCAAGGGCAACACAGTCGAGCTTTCCATGGGACCCAGCGCACTCAGCAACAAGACATACCAGTTTGACAAGGTCTTCTCACCTGCCGCGGACCAAGGCATGGTCTTCGATGAAGTCGTTGCACCTATCATAGACGAGGTATGTACAATGAAAAGCTTCTCGAGGGCGCGCCTGACTTGATATAGGTTCTCGATGGCTTCAACTGCACAATCTTTGCGTACGGTCAAACCGGTACAGGAAAAACATATACGATGACCGGTGACATTTCCGACGTCCTTCCTCTTCCTGACGCCGCTGGTATCGTCCCTCGTGTGCTTTACGCACTTTTCGATAAACTCAACCAAGAGGAGACCGAGAACTCCGTCAAATGCTCCTTCATCGAACTATACAACGAAGAGCTGCGCGACCTTTGTGCTGTGGACGACTCAGTAAAGCTGAAGATTTTCGACGACAATAGCAAGAAGGGCCAGACTACAACAATGGTCCAGGGCATGGAAGAGTGCCATCTGAAGACCGCTCGAGAAGGTATTCAGCTCTTGCGCTCAGGTTCCCACAAGCGTCAGGTGGCAGCGACAAAGTGCAACGATCTGAGTTCTCGATCGCACACAGTCTTTACCATCACAGTCTACATCAAACGCACCACGGAAGATGGCCAGGAATATCTGAGCGCGGGAAAGCTGAACCTGGTCGATCTCGCTGGTAGTGAGAACATTCAACGCAGTGGCGCAGAGAACAAGCGCGCTGCTGAGGCCGGTCTGATTAACAAGAGTTTGCTCACTCTAGGTCGCGTTATCAACGCACTCGTCGAACGCAGCTCTCACATTCCGTATCGCGAATCGAAGCTGACGCGACTCCTACAAGACTCGCTCGGTGGACGAACAAAGACATGCATCATCGCAACTCTGTCGCCGGCGAAGAGTAACCTCGAAGAGACGATTTCCACGCTCGACTACGCTTTTCGTGCGAAGAACATTCGAAACAAGCCTCAAGTCAACCAGGCGATTAACAAGAAGACTCTTCTGAAGGAGTTCACGGCTGAGATCGAGAAGCTGAAGAGCGAACTTATAGCCACACGGCAGCGCAATGGTGTTTACCTTACCCAGGAGAACTACGAGGAGATCACCACGATCAGCGAGTCGCGACGCATCCTTAGCGAGGAGCAACGAGACCGAATCGAGACGATGGAAGTCAACCTACGCAACAGGGTAGAGGAGCTGTTCAAGATCACAACGAACTTCCAAACCCTGAAGAAGGACAACGAGCAGACTCAACTAGCTCTGGAGGGTACAAAAGGCATACTGGAGAAGACCGAGATCGTATTGGAGCACACACGCCAGAATCTGGCTGAAGAGGGGGAGCTACGGAAGGCGCACGAAAAGACCGAGGGTGAACTTGCAGAGATAGGTTATGGCATGATCTCAACACTCGGCAAAACCACCTCAGACCTCGATGGTCTGCGATCGAAGATTCGCAGGAAATCAGAACTGCAATCCCAGAACCGTCGTAACTGGGCTACGTCGCAAAACCACGTCCTGGACACAACTCGAATGGTCGAGGACCGAATCGAAGAGTTCCAGCAACAGCAAGAGCAGATCATGGACCTTCTCTCGGCTCGTATGCAAGATTTTGTCAGAGATGAACTTGAGAAGCTCGGCGCATCGCAGACTTTCTTGCAGGAGAAGATGCAGGCATACCAGACATCAGAGCAGGAAGTTAACCAGCAGACCGCCAAAACCCGTGAAGACATGAACGAGGTCCTGGAAGAGATCAAGACACTGCGTGAGGATGTCAAGTCGAAGATTGGCTCCGGTCTCGATGAGCTCTCCTCTGCAGCGGAGCAGATCTCAGCCAACATCATCACCGAACTAGACGGTTTCAGAGATGAACTACATCAGTCCTACGCAAATTTGGGGCGCGACTTCAAGGCCACATTCGATGGGCTTGTCAAGAGTCTCAACGCACAACAGGCAGAGAACGACCGCTTGCATGCGCAAGTTCTTGAGGCAAATGCAGCCTTGCTGGCCGCTAACAACCACACTCAAGGACGACTGGCACAAGTTGTCGACGAGGAGAAGCAGAAATCTGCCGAAGAGCGCCAGCAGCTACTACAACAGATCACTGCGCTCATCGGAGCTAACGCAGACGCTCAAGACCAACGGATGAATGAGAAGCTCGCTTCTGTTGGTGCAGAGCTTGGAGCTGCAAACGCAGTCTTCGAAACACAACAAAGTGCATACACATCCGGCGTCGAGGCTTGGAACAACCAGTCTAAGAGCATCGTAGCTGGCGTCACAACATCGAGAGATTCCATGAAGACCAAGCTTCGAGGCGACTACGAGATGGCGACGCAACATTCGGATTTGCTCAAGGATACCACCACATCTGTGCACGCAAGTACAGTGAAGACGGTGGAAGCCCAGATGGCACATCTTGACACACAACTGCACTCTCTCGATGACATTGTCTCTCGCATTCGCGAGCAAAACAACGTTCATCACGCCGCGCATACTGCTTCGCTCGCAACGCTGTCGTCCACGGTGCAGACGTCGTACTCCAGCATTGGCGAACACCTCTCGACGTCTTTCGAACGCGTCCAGTCCCTCGAGAACGATGTGTCAGCACAACAGAGTACCCTCAAGGAGACTCTGACCTCATTGTCTGCCGATGCCACGATCCGCGCACCTCTTCACGAGCTCCGCGAGACCGTTGGCGCACAGAACCTCATGGAGTACAAACCAACCGGTCAAACGCCCCAACGCGTCAACTACCACATTCCCTCCAACCTCCCCCGAACCGAAGACCACGAGACCATCCTCTCCCGCCTGCGCGACCGCCCCACCTCCTCAGACCACACCCCCCGCAGCCCAACCAAACAACCCGTCTTCATCGATGCCACCTCCTCCGCCGACTCCACCACCGAGCTCTTCTTACCCGCAAAACCCGACTTCACACGTTCCATCAGTGCGCACACCCAAAACCACACCGCGCCCATCTCCCTCCGCGAGCTCGACGTTAACATCGTCGCGCAGGAATCCGCGCACACCCAGCCTCTGCCGCTCGTTTCAAGGTCGAGCGATTCGGTCGTTATGGCTGCGCCGCCGAATAAGAAGCTCAAGGGTAGCGAGGAGGGGAGTAAGTTGCCAATGAAGAAGATGATGCGGAAGACTGTTGGTGGCGGGGTGGGGAAGGAGGAGAGGGAGAATTTGAGTATTACGAATTTTGCGAGCTCGATTGGGCCGGGGCAGGTTGGTGGGAGGCGGTTGAGGAGCCATGGTAGCAGCTAGGCCACTTGACTTGGGCCTGTGTAGTAGTTGAATCCTTTTGTATAGGCGTTTGTTCATATTTGTCTGGGGATTTGGTAACGGCGTTCAGTCTAGTAGACGCCTTTGCACTACACAGTGTTGGTTGAGTGTTTGAGCTTCCTCTCTGCATTTTTTTGGTGTAGGCGTAATGTTCTGAATCGATTATTCTGCTCTTCCTTCAACTTCAACTTCGACGGTAACGATGGCATTCATTTAGCAGTTATTGTGCTGAGACAATGTGCGTGGAAACAATGACGTAGAGGACAGGGGTGTGAAGTGAAGGGGCTCGGATGAATTGATATGTAAGACGAAGAGAAAGGCACCCAGGTTAGTAGTCATGACAGTGATGATCACGGCCTGAGGTATGGTCAGGTATTGGGTCTACCATGTGTACCTTTATACTATGGTGATCCGGGTGCTTTCCTCTGCGTTGAAGCGAAACGCATAGCTCTTGATCATTTCAGCGTGTTCCGGCCCTATCAAGTCCGTACATTGGTTCCCGTACCAAGCTTCGTCCTGCTCAAATGAACTAAGCTTCTCATCTTGTTGTGTCAAAACACAGAACTCTATATGTTTGTAGCATTGGTCTTGTAGACGCTTCCTACCAGACAGGCTCTTTCGAAGTGAGTGTCCGCTAGGACTTCCAGTATCGGCGCACAGTAGACCGTATCTCCTTCTTCCAGGTTGTCGTCTTCCAGTGGACAACCCGGCAAACATACATCAACTGTCCTGCACGAGTAGCTTTCATGACGCTGACATGGTTCACCGGTTGCCTCCCTCGGAACGAACACCAAACGCAATCTTGCCGACCGAACTTACATGCAAAGAGACGCAAATACTCCCTAACCAAACGTTCGGCAGTCCAGCGCTCGCTTTGAAGCCCCAGAGCACACTGCTTCTTATGTACCAGGAGAACGGCCATGTCACACGTGCGCAGCAAGATACGGCCCATTCAAATTCCGGAACAATCAGCGTCTTTGGTAAGATGGATTCGTCTCCTGCTGGCACACTACAGGAGTTGTTCGACACAGTGGGCAAGGGTTCTGATGTCCGTCTTCTCGCTAGGCGAAATTTCGATGACAGCATTTGTTTTCAAGACAACGACACGCCTATAGCACAAGAGCGTAAAACGGCTGCGAACTCCTGTCCAAAGCTCGAAGTCGAGGGTTCAGATGTATGGTGACTCCCAGGCTAGACTGATACGAGCAAAGTGTATACCCTGTACTGGGTATGGGGATTTGATGGGCTGAATTTCGTGGAGAGATATACAAACTGTATCGATGTCATAGTACCTCACGAGGATGAGGAATGCATTCGTCTCAAGGAGAGTACCAGTTCTGGTGTCGAATATTGGGCATGGACGCTGTTCGAAACAAAGTAGAGTCAGACGTAAGACAAAAACCAACCTATTATTGAAAGCATCGTTGGTATGGCTGCACACGGTTTCACAAGCACAATAGCACTTGCCATCGCTTGAAGATACTAAGATACATTAACGTCCCCCACTGTGTGCCAAGAACTCCGGCCGGAAAATACGAGGCGTACTCTCACTTTACATCACTCAATATCTGCTGTACTGCTGAGTCCCGCCCCGCGACCATAGTTGCCAATCTACAACTCCAAGGTGCGGAGCTGTGGCTAGGACATAAGCGTCTAACGCCCCGAAATAAAATAGCAGTCTTGAAACTTCAAAAAGTATCCATCTGCACAGAAAGCTGCGGAAACTTCCAACAACTCTCAATTACTTTACACGCGCTTTCGCTTCCGTTTTTGCCTTTGACGTTCGCTAGAAGTTGATGGCATGTGACGTCGTGCACTTGAGTCGGCAACATTCTGCAGTCGGCTGCATGTCAGTTATGATACCCTCTCTGTCCCAGCCCTGGTCACGTCTTCTTTTGGTGCTAGAGCCGCAAGAGCATCGCGCAAAGCTTGAAGGCTTGCGTGGTCGTCTCCAACCACCTGCTGGTAGCCTGCAAGTGCTTTTGCATACAACAGTATGGCGTCCTCTACTCGACGCTGGCGGTCGAAGAGGGAACCAAGATCCCACATTGCGTTGAGCGCCGGTCTGAAGGTGGAGATAGCCTCTTGCCCGACTGCCTTTTCGTAGCCTTCTAGCGCCTGCATGTACATCTTCTCTGCCTCGTCTAGCTTTCCCTGGTCGCTGTAGAGAAGACCTAAGTTGTTGACTGTGTTCAGCGTCGACGTGTGCTCTGCTCCTAGCGCCTTCTTGTAGCCTTC